TTTTCGAATTTTGGTTCGTGACAATATTCTTCATCAAACCAACCCCTTTGGATTTTTTCATTTTTGACTTTTGGACTTCGGAAATTGAGCCTGCGCAAATCGAGCCGGGTGAATTAAATAGAAAATGCGTGAGCTTCGTCATTTCTATATGGACTGATGGCGATTTTCGCTGTGCTTGTGACCTCAAAAGAACGGGAAACTTGGCGAAAAATTAGTATTTTTGTTTTTTTGTTGGTCCTTTTGTTTGCGGCCATTACGATCGCCCATGAGCTTGTCGTTTATCACGATTATTTGAGGTTAGACTTTAAAATTTGATAAGAAGAAAAAAAACCGCTAAAGCTGGAAAAAAAAACGAGAAAAGCTTTATGAAGGACACTTGAAAGTTGGACGGCTTCTTGGAGCATTAGTTCAAGACTTAGTGGACACTATAGTGTGTTCATAACAAGAGTTAAAAGGGGGCACAAAACTACAAAAACAATAGAGTGAATTTTCTATCCTTGACTCAAGTTTTGTTTTTTTGGTTTTTTTATTTTTTTGGAAGTATGGAATTTAAATATTCTAGATTTCTTTTTCTACATCAAAAGAAGCTTTGCTGAATACGAAACTAAAAAAATTATATAAATGCAGCTAGAAATCTGAGTAAACCCGGCGAACACGATCTAAGAAGTCCCTTGAGAATACTTAGAACCCTAGAGAGAACCCTAGGATCTTATCCACCACCCTAATCAAATTAACTTTGACCGCGAAATAAAATTTATATAAAATTTATCCATTATTCAAATTCCGAGGTATAATCTAACCTAAACATTAGATCCGGAATCCTCGACGGCTTCGAAAATTCTCTGAACGTCATCCGCCACAAAGGGGTCATCGTCGCGATATTGATGGGCCTGGCGGCGTTGATCATCTGCATCCTTCTAGACGTTGTCCGAAGTCAGGCGGACCCGAGGGCTCGTTGCTCGTTAACATCGGCTTCCGTGAGGATCACAAGTATTCATCAGATCATTTCGGAACCAGTTATGGTCCATACTTCTGCTGACGTCGGCCATGATGACCTTTTTCGCCGGGGCCATCGCCGTCGTCTTCATCCGGAGATTCGACGCATCCGTCGCCAAACTCCTGATTCCGGTTTGGCTCAAGTTTCCATGGAAAATGGTCTTCTTGTCAGAAATACCTCAGCTACTTGAAGAAGAGCTCGAGCCGGAAATTCATCGACCGAATACAGGCGAGTAGTTGGGTACTTGAAAAAATATAATGAAGTTGCTAATTAGAAAATGTTTCATTTTCTAGACGTCAAAAAAAAAAAATGCCTTGCAGGCGACGTACAGCTGCTGCGGCGTCCTCGGGATCGACGATTTTCTAGACTTTTCAGAAGTCGAAGTGCCATCGTTTCGAAAGTAAATTTACCACTGAAAATGAGATTAACATTTTTTGCAGCACCTTGAAACCGAACACAAAGTTTGGCGACTGCTCCAACTTGCCGTGTGAACTTCCCTTGAGCTGCTGTTCTTCGATGAGTTGCTCCAACCAACTGATGTTGCTTAAAGAGCCTGAAGGCGCGGAAGGACTGGTCGAGAGCTGGTACCATCAGACAGGTCTCTTTTTTTTTCTAATTCAACTACTCCATCTTTTCTCACAAATATCAAGAGCTCATGGAATGAATCAACGCGTTTGTAATTTTTTTTGAGGTCAAAAAAAGATATACATGCAATATTGAAAAAGTGTTATCACAAAATTCCGGCCTGAAGATCCTTGTATGAAAATCAGTTCAAAGTCCAAAGATCCTGAGAAAATTTTTAAATTGTATAAAAAAGCACTTCAGGATGCATCGAAGCGCTGGACAAGCACTACCTCTGGAGTCCGTTGCCTTGCAGTTGGCTAACGGCAGTTCTGATAAGCATTTTCTTCCTCTTGCAGTTGCTTGGCGCCGTTTCCATGCAGGTTTAACATGCAGAATTATAAATAAAGGCAAATTTGATTCCAGATGACTCTGACTGGCTTTGCAACATTGAACGAGTCCGGTCGAGAAGAAGACGAAGATTCGTACGCCTGGATCCTGCCATGCGCCTATCCTTCACCTCAACAGCTAGTCGAGGTTCAATACATTTCCTGCTGGCTTTTGAGAGAGAAAAAACACCGCTTGCTTGCTAAAAACGATCAAAATAAAAACTTCAGAGAAACTAAAATATAAAAAACCTGAAACATACTAATAATAAACGAGCATTTTTGATTGAAATATTTTCGGAGCCAAATTTTACGTCTCATTTTCGCGGTGAATAGAGAATAGTCTAAAACAGAAAGCAAAAATCGTATTCAATTCAGAAGCTCATGCCTGAATCCTCTTCTGAAAATGAAGACGAAGTCCCAAGAATCGAACAAGAAGGATCTACAGAAGTAAAATCTAAAAGTAAAGAAACGAAAACGAAAGAGCAAGTCAAGAAAGTAGAACTGAAGAACACCGGACTGTCAAAAGTCGAGGAAAAAAAGGGACCCCAAAAGAAGAAGATAAAAGATGAAGCTAAAACAAGAATAGAACCAAAACCTGTCGGAAAAAAATCAGAATCAAAAGGAATCGTCTCAAGACCAGTTCCAAAAAAGGATTGATCCAAAAACCCGTCTTCAGAAACTTTAATCGAAATCAGACAAATTTTCAAATATATTCATTCGTCGAAATAAATCTATTGATGAAAAGAACTATGCATTTACCAGTGTACAAAAACAACAAAGGAGGCCTATTTTGATGAGAAACGAAAAGAAAAGTTCATAATTTACTCGTCCTTCCACTCGGGATAGTAATGCGAGCGGATGCGGTCGAGGTAGTGACGGACGCGTGGAAAATCGTCTTCCAGAAGGTCGGTGATCTCTTGGCGGTAAGGAAGGTAGAATGTGGCTCCAAGTTGGCCGAATACCGAACAGTCCGTCTAAATTAGGATGTTCCAAAAATTGGATGAAATGAAACATATAATGAAAAAAAAAACGTTCCAATTTTTCTCAGTGCTCCAAATTTTTCTTCCAAAGGGCGTACAAAAAACAAAGTTTGCCTGAATCAAAGACTTTCATAGTCGTTATATGTCGGTGAACCTGTTTTTCACGTTTAATACAGGACATTAATAAAAAAATTGTGCCTCAATTTCAGAAAAAAATTTTCAGATTTTTTTATATTAAAATTCCATTAAAAAAAACTTTTTTCGAAATTTTTTTTCGACCATTTTGAAAAATATTCGTATGACTGAAATGTTCAACTATTTTCCCACAAAACTGCAAGGACAGCAAAAAAAAAACTAACCGAGGTAATTCGGTCTCCAAACAAGAATTTTTTGTCGCCTAAAACGTCGTCGATGGCCTGGATATCTTTCCGCAACAGGATTTTCAGCTCTTCCTTGCTCAAACTTCCCAAAACGCCGTTGACGCGTTTTCGAGCCTTCAAAACGAAACATTAGAATATTAGATAAGAAAATTAAAAAAGAGAAATTCTCATAAATTCCTCGAAAAAAATAAAAAAATAAGAACAAAAAAAGTCGAAAAAAATGGAGCAAAAAAATTTTTTTGAGTATGCAATTTTGCGCGACGGTGTAAAAGTAAAATGCACACGAAGCATTTCACTTTACGCGAAAATTTGAAAAATGCCTTTTTGAGAAACATTTTCCTTATTTTTACACTCACAATTTCACTGAATCGTTTGGCAAATATGTTGGTAAGGAATCCCGGCAATGGTGCTCCGCTCACCTGAAAAGAATAGAGATACAATTTAGGTTTTTTTCAACCATACCGATCGACTCAACAACAAATGCGCATTGTTGACAGTTTTGTCGACGAGTAAAGCGCTGAAATTATTATTGTTTTGCGGAAATCGGATGAAAACCAACTAATTTGTCGACAAATCGATCATTCGTTCAAGGGCTCGCGCCGTTCCTCGCTCTTCGCCTTTGAGACTATCCTAAGATCATGAAGTAAATAGTTTTAGTAAGGCCCTAAAATGATTCAAAATTTGAATAAAATTTAGGCTTTTTGATAGTGAAGAGACCGAAGTCTTTAATAATCGGAAAAAAACTTTTTGTCTGAAAAAAAGTAAAAACGAGAATTTTTTTCAATATTTTATATTTTTTTGCTATCACGAATCTTTCCAAGTGGAACTTAATCTATCTGAATTTCTCTGATTCTGAATAAACTTCTTGGTTTTTTTCAAAGAAGCGATTCCGCTCTTCAAAAACACACTTATCATATAATTTTTTTCCGAATCTCATCATTAAAATAATAATTTTTACTATGAAAAAAATACGAAAAAAACTGGCCTCACCCTTTGGAATTTCAGAGTGGTCCCTATAGGGACAGCTTTAGCGGTCCTTGGACGGTCCCCTCTAGAGATCACTTTACCAACCCTATAGGGGCCACTAAAGGAGACATGCTAATCGACAATTGTATAAACTTTATGAGAAGAAGCATTTTCCTTCGAAAAACTAAATAAATAATGTGTTTTGAATGAAATTGAAAGATTTCTATAGAGAACACTCGAGCTTTAGGGGCTAGGCGTCAGACCCTGAAGTCCTATAGGGACCATTTTTCCCCCTAAGTCCATTCAGTGACCGTTCAAAAAAAAATTTATAATTTTATTTCGAAGTATTTTTTTTTTTAAATTTCCAGAAAACATACTTCAATCTTGAAATGCTTCTGGAGGGTCCAGACGATGACTTGGGAGTCGGCGATTTGCTGTCCGTTCAGTTCAATGAAGGGCAAAAGGCCTCGGGGCGACTGTTTCAGGGTGATCCACGAGGAGATCGACTTGAAATTGGAAAATCTTCGAGTTCAGCGGGGAAATCAGACGGAACCTCATACTTGATGCCGTAGACCCTCAAGAAAGTCTCGATTTTAAGGCAAAACGGGGAAAGACTGGGCGCCTTGGTGGCCGGTCTCGGGAACTGGTAGAGGTAGACGACGTCTTGTTTCCAGTTCATTTTTTGGGGTCCGCTGCTTTTGTATCTTCTGGAAAATGGGTTTTTAGGGGTTTGTCGTGTGCATGCACAGCGGCGCTTTCGCGCAGAAAAATTGTTTTTGCGTAGAGATTCGTCTCAAAGACCTATGGCAATACGGCCGCGTGTCCCTTTAATACGCTCTTAGAGCCGAAATCTCTGCCTTTTCCATGAACTGCGGAGATTTTGACTCCGCCCACCTTTTTTCACATTTTCTTCCACTAACGAAAATGCCGTGCATTTTAACCTGTTACAAAGTTCGAAATTGCCCGAAGTAGCCGCCAATTTCGTCGCATTTGCAGTGTTGCGAAGGAGTTGCGCTGGAATTGAACATAAAGCTCGCATCTGGAAGAAAAAAGGTCAAAAAGCATTTAAAAAAAGGAAAAGAGATATTCGCGGTTTTCAAAACCTTTTTGGAAGGAATCAATACAGATAACCAAAATTTCAGCTTTATTATTTCAATTTGAGAAACCCGTGAAACTGAAAACAAGGCTAACAAATAACAATTGAGGACTCAATTAAAAAATGTACATAATTCTAGTCTCTAAAACTCTTAAGAAAAACGAAGGACGTTCAATTCGAACTATTGGATGATAATTAGAAAAAAAAAAATAAACTGAATAATTTTAGCAAAAACTAATGCTTCTAAATCTAGAAAAGTGTCGAAAAAGTCGAGGAAAATCAGAATTTCAAGAATGGGCCGTTTTGTATTCTTCATATCGCTGTTTCTGGAGGGTGTACTCCTCCATGTTGGTGTTCTGTTTGATGGAGTTGAGACGGTACTTGACGCCTTCCTGACGTCGTTCCCTCTGCCGCCGCTCGTCCCAAAGTACGGCTACTGTGAAAAAAGGTGATAGAGATTCGTTTTGAAACAAAAATGTCGATTTCGAGGCTATAAAGCGGATATATAGCTAGTTCACGGCTGGCTTGAGCCTTCGCAAAAAGGGTCCTGACACGATAAGAAAAGACAGTGCCTGGTTGGTGGAGAGCGCAGACAAGCCACGCCCCTCAGCTTTCCAAGTTAGCCGTGAATCGGCTATATGCGACTCCGAAACATTGCGGTTATTCTGTTTCTGTTTTTAGGAAAAATGGAGAAACGAAAAATGCCAAAAATTTCAAAATCTCAAGTTTCTAGCGCTCAAGATCACGATATTTTCCAGAAAAATGAAAATATTTTTGAATGTCCCCTTGAAGATTTTAACTTTAAGTTAACTTTTTATTGGACATTTGCAAGACAGACTCAGGGATTATTCTGAAAAAAATTCATATCTCACAAAAACTTTCCGGATTCGGTAAGAAAAACAGAAAAGTTCAACACCAAAAATAGAAGGATAAAAACTAAAGCTAAGGTATTTTAGCTATGGGGCGCACTTGCACGTCTGGAAACAGCCATTTTTGTAACTTTCAACTAATTCAATGAGAGAAAAAACATGAAAACAAAAAAAAAACATACAGATAGTGATTGAAGTGAAGATGCAGGAGCCGATAAAAACTTTGAATCCGTATTGTTTTTGTACAGTTTTTCATCTTAAAAGCTATGAAATAAATTCATTAGCCGAGATTTGAAACTCGCTGGCCGCATTTGGAATGGCTCAACGCGTTGCGGTCACTTTGAAGTGCGCCCGACCACAAAACGACTTTCGCGAAATGCAAATTTCGGGGCGATGACATTATTAGCAACGCATCGAGCCCTTTCCAAAATATCAGAAATTTTCTTTTTTTGATAAAAAAAATAATAAAAAGGACCTTCAGAACCTATCAAAGAAAAGCAAAAAATGAAAAAAAAAATCATAAAAGTTTATTTCCAATTAAAATTCAAGACTTAGATTATTCAGAACAAATATCACAGGATCAAGGAGCAAAAAAACCAGAAATTCATCGAAAAAAAAGCTAATTACACATGAAGAAATACCCAAGGAACACGAAAAAAGCACTGAAATAAGCGAAAAAGTGCCGGAAAAGTTTCAAATATTGCGAGGAAAAAAAAGAGATCGATTTAAAAAAAACGAAGCAAAATCCAGAATATTCTCATATTTATAATGTAATATATCTATTCCCGTAAAAAAACAACAAGTTTCATTCAGTTGAGTTTCGGAAAAAAAACTGAAAATGGAACTGAAAAGATTGAGGAAATATGAAACACAGGAAAAAAGTTAATTCACCGGAAGCTTTGTAAAAAAAAAGAGAAGCTCCGCCCAAATTACGGCGTGTTCGTAGTGCGTCTGAGCTTCTTTTTTGAAGGGAAAACTGGTGAATCAACCGAAAAAAAAAGCGAGTTCTAGTTCTTTCTTGATACATTTAACAAACTTCAATCATTGCCTGAACATCTAACTTTTCATCAATTCACAATTTTGACGAAAAATATGCTTTTTTAAAACGAAAAATTCAAAAACTTCACATAATATTTGCACATCTAACTTTGCTAGCGATACATTAATTTACAATGATTTTCGATCTTCAATCTTGAATCTCAGCCTTCGACGGCATCATAATCGGTCGGTTTGAAGCGAGGACGACTGGAGAGGTCGTTCAAAGTCCGTTTGCTGTGGTCGTACTGATGTTTGGCCCTGAGGATTTTGTCGCAGAGGCGTTGAGCCACGTCGAGTCGGCTGCACCAGATGTGGACGGACCTCAGTCGTCTCTCTTCCAGGTCCAAGTGCACTTCTGAAATCGCCTCATCTTTGAACTTGATGGGCAATTTTCGGAGAAGGATGTAGTTTTATCCGAGAAAAGCGCCAAAATTCTGTTTGCTTTTAACAAGGAAGAATTCTATAGTCCATTTTCCACAGCAAAAAAAACAAAGAGTTCCAAGTCGCGGCAAATAGAGTATATGAGAGATTTGATTTTTTTTTCGTTGCAAAAACTCCCTGAAGGCCTAGATGATGTGATGTCACAGTATTTTTTGCCGCGAAATTTTCTTTTCAGAGTTTTTAGAAGTGTGAGGCCTAAACCAGTGCAATTTCTAGAATTTTTAGAAAGTAGTTTTTACGTCAAAACAAAATTTTGACAATATTATCATCAGAACATTGAGCTTAATCTATTCGTATGTCTTCGTTTTTTACCTAGTTTGAGTTAAAAAAAATTTTTTATTGCTGTTCAATGAAATTGAATAGTCCTCAGAAATGGGAAAATAGACTTCAGAAGTCATAGACTGTGAACCAAGAGAAGCACCAAAACTACTAAAAAAAAGATTCCAGTCTGATCGAAGTTTCAACGTCGAACAAGAATAAATGAAAATATTGAATTTCTGTATATATATCTTCAACTGACATTTGTACTGAAAGTTTTTTTAAACATGTAGTGATAAGCTCGTTTCCAAGAACAACATGAGCTTTTTCCAACTGACCAATATTCGCAAACGAGTTCTCGATGGGCGGCTTGGCCTGGACGTTCTTCAGACATTTGTAGGCGAGTCGCTGGATCACATGAGACGGATCGGCGTTCACCTGAACCGTTCAAAGACTTCATACAAACGGCAACATGACGGAAAATAAAAAGGACACAAAAAAGGACCTGCTGGCAGATGTAGCACTGTTTGGTGGAGATGAGGACGTACTGCCGGATGATCCGATCCGTACCGTCGAACTGTTCGAGGCAGGTCTCCACGTCGAGAAGTCGTTCCTTCGGAGAATATCCGTTAATCCGGAGAAGTTCAAGCTGTGCGTTGGCCATCAGCGGATTGTAGGAAGGCAGCAGGTGGTACAGGTTCCGGCACAGTCGCGGTGGTCGAACTCTTCTGTAGGCAAAATATTGTTTTTCTTGTGTTTCCCTTTTTTTTCTGTTTTGATTACAATTTTCCCTATCTTCAGGGCTATCGAATGTGAAAGATCCGAAAAACTCGATTTTGTGAATATTGATTATTATTTGTATTTGTCTTTCAAGAATTGACAACTTCAAAAATGACGCATTTTTATATTTTCAGACCTCGAGGCAGTCAACCGCCGAACTCCAGTCGCCGGCATCGCGACTTCCTTGATCGCCGAAGCCGTCCCTTCGACAAAGTCGAAGACTCCTTGGACCGGCTTGGTTACGGTATCGACAGCTCCCGTCGCAACGCCGCGAATCACTCCCTACATTGAAAATCAATTAACCAGCTTATTAGAGTTCTCTGAAAATAGTGACAAAAATGGCAAGATAACTCCTTGATGAAATAAATAAAGATTCTCAAAGCTTCAACCTGCAAAATTCACAGCTACCAGACCTTAAAGTCAAAGAAACCACTAAAAGCTGCAAGAACAGGCCACTTCAAACATAAAGCTCTTATTTCTCGAAAACTAGGAAGTTGAGCCGGTTTATGATTCAAAGATCGATTTGATAAATCAAACAGGAGTCTAGCCAAACTTCAACTTTACAGTGAAATGACGTTTCTTGGGCCTCTTTGAAACTTGTCCACTCGTCTTGCCCAGCTAATTCTAAGATTCCCACCTTCACGATGCCGTTCTTCTTGCTCTCCGTGACGAAATTCGTGAAGATGGCCGTTGCGCCGCCAAGAACTCCGACACCAAGACCCTTCACCCCAGAATACAAGTGCGTGAGTGGCGTCGACGAAGAACTTCAAAGACAAGACTTTTGTTGATGTCATGGTCAGAACTATAGAGACCTATGAGATCGAATCATGTTGTGCCGACGCTTCAGCTCATGTTCCTGGTCAAAAGTGAAGGAACCGACTCCGGAAGCCACCGAAGAAGCCATCTGAAGTGAAATTCGGGTTAAAATTACTGATAAGAAAATTTTGTGGCCTTATGTTGTATTTTATTTTTTTTTACCTTTCAACTTCTCTAAATTAATTCTGGTACATTCTAGGAACTTGACTACGTTCTTTCTTCCAGAAAAAAAAACCCATCCAAACCTTGGAAACACTATTCGACAGACCATAACCCAGGCCGGCGACGAATCTTTGCACATCTCCTTCTATGAAAAGACCCTGAAGGATCCAAATTATCGATCTTGATGCTTGAAATTCGATTCTACTTGGAATGAATCTTTCAAATCGGTGACAAGACCCAGTGGATTTCCGAACGCGTCGAGCGTCACAACAATGTTCAGCGTCTGTTTTTGGAGTTCCGCTGCAAAAAAAAACTGTCAAAAAAGATTTTTAAAAAATTAAGATGACAAAATCCAAAATAGTTACTAAAAAACAGCCAAAAAAGCGCCGAGAGAATCGTTAACTCAATGAAAGTCGATTGCACATGTATTCTTACATTGAATATGCAACAGTTTTTTTTAAACAGCAAGGTAAAATGACCTTCCTTGTTAGAAACTTGTCTTCATGGCTCTTTTTTCCCAACTCTTCAGCCCCACACGCTTACATGCATAATACTTCTGGAGGGTTTCCAGAAGGAATGAAGACGTCTCGAAGTAGTGATACTGTCGGAAGGGCGGCAGGGTCACGGAAGCGTTTTCGAAGGAGATCAGCTTCATGTTGAACTGCTGTTTCAGGTGTCGCAGGTCACGAGGCAGGCCCGACTTTGAGACAGTTACCACTAAAAAATCAGAGAGCTGAAAATATCTTGAGGTGTTGGAAATCACCACTAAGAGCGACGTGTCCCATTTCAAGATCCAACGTTCCAAAGTACCATCGGCGTGTTTGGAGAGGGTCGTGTCGTTCGAGACTGAAAAGGATTATTCAAGCTCCCAGTTCAAATCCCGTTTGAGCTTCAATATCAATACAAGGAAGGTGATCCCGCTCAACTAGAACTTAAAAGGCGCTTTTTTTCTACTTTCTTGGGATCAGTGTGTTCGAAAGTACCTACAGTAGCGGAAAATGGCTGGTATTTTATTGGTTTTTCGTTCATAAATTTGTTAAAAATGATTTTTTTGACCTGAAAGTTTGATATACTTTCAAGAAAGGGGGAAGAAACACTCTAGTAACATTGATATTTCTCAAACCACCGCCTTTAAACTCCCTTTGTCAGTGAAAAATTTAGAATTTTCTAAAAATTATCTCAAACACTTCTAGAAAGTTTACTTAATTATCTCGTAGATGAAGCTTTGAAGCACTGTTTTCTCACAGAAAAAGGCCTAAAGCCAATAATTCGCGACAAAAAATCCTCCTAAACAAGAAGTTTTTCAAAAAATGTACTCCAACAAAATTCTTAATTCGGTTGCGTGAACCTTTCGTTCAAACCTTCCAAATTTTATGAAATATTATTATTAACCAGCTCAAATAAAGCTCAATGAACCCGAACCCGAACCCTCCCCCTCCCATTGCACAAGCTTAACAAAACCCTCCAAAAAACGCACTCAATACTCGGCGGCAAGTTCAGCGCCCGTTGTTGTACACTGGCGGCGGCGTCTGACGCCTGCGCCATTTGGACAATTTTCCATAGAAGAAGCTCGTCGAGTTGAACGTACATATCGCAGAGTTTGACGCGGAAACACTGAAAAAATCAGTACTTTTTTGAGTTCAGCACAACAAAAAAAAACATCGAACGAGTCGTAGTGCTTCATCGGCGTGCAGTTCATCTCCAGTTTCAAAGCCGGACGGGCCGAGGTCAGCTGGAAATAAGAAAAAAATTCCCGACTTTTTCAAAATAACTTGGATATTATAGTACACGAGATTTTTAGATGAAAACACAGCTAACTAATAAGTTTAAGTGGTCACTAGAGGGATTTTACAGTCTTAAAAAATACTCATTAATGGAATTCGTCATTAATGGAATTAAAAATCTCTTTTCAATCAAAAATTCTCGATTCTCCGTGGAGCGCGCTAGCCTTTTTCTTCCCACATTTTTTTTTTGGCTTTTAGTTACCCCAGCAGGAAGTTCATCTCCGTCTTCGTCTTCGCCCTGGTCCACGTCCTGTTGACAGTACAATACTTGCCACCGATCGGATGATAAAAGTTGGTTATCTATCTGAAAAAAACCTATAATTAGTTTTTTGAAAAAAAAAAAATGAATCAAATTTTACAAAAAATAAGCAGTACAACTCAAATCTTACAGCTAAAAGCAGTAGTAAAATAAAAAAAAATGAAATGAAAAAAAAAAAATTTAGAACAGGTTACTAGGAGACAAACATTTTCAAGACCCTTTTTTTAAAAAAATCATCTTTGTTAATATAAATCCTCACTCCACGTTGCTCCACAAGAAACGGTTCGAAAATTGTCAAAATGTCCATTTTAACTTCAGGGGCTTCAATAACTCAGGAAAATTATAATTTAAAGAAAAACTATCAATTGTTCTCATCTCTTCATTCATATAAAAAAATTTCCCTAGTAAATTTCTTTTTTTATCCTTTTTTTCACCTGAATAACATCGACACTTCCTGTCAACTGATAAGTGTTGTTTGACCGTCGGGCGCTCAGAACGATTCCACCTGAAAAATTCATTTCTATCCACTTTTTTTCTAAGAATTTCTAACCAAAATGAGCATAGAGCAGCTCCTCATACTGTCCGTTGACCAGAGAAATTCCCAGGCCGTTTCTCATAGTTATACTGATATCGAGTACACCTGAAGGAAATTATATTGTCCTGTTTTTGAAGAATCCCTTTTTTTGACGGACGTATACCAAAAAAATAAATTTGTCTATTTCCCAATCTATGTGAAACGGAAAACCTCAGGAAAATAGTCTGAAAAAAAAAATTTTAAAATGGACAAACCAAGTGAAGAAATTGGGATCAGTGGTTCGGATATAGAGCGGGTCTGTTGTTCTCGATCCGTTATACGGATAACCTTAACGGGAAATATTTTTTTGAAAGATGATAAGGCTTGAAATAAACCACAGTGGGACCGCTGTGAAGACATTCCACGTCGAGGACTCCACTGCCCGGCCTTTGTCTTTGGAATCGCCAAGACTAAATAAAAAAGAGATTTTGAAAAAGATTATTTTTTTTTCTTGCGATCTGGGGCCATATGCAAGAAAATAGTGAATGCTCAAACTTGATCTTTAATTCTGAGCTTTTCTTTATAGCATTTCGAAAAGTCTTCCTCCCGTTTCTTGGTAAATTGTTCACTACTTTCTTTCATACGACGCCTGAACTGAAATTTTTTCTCGGATAAGCTTAAGTTTCATCATTATTCCTTAGACTTCTGCTACTTTTAACCTGCCTTAGTCTTTGGAATCGCCAAAACGGGAAAAAAGTGGGTTTTGAAAAAAATCGGTTTGTTTCTTCCAAACTGGAGCTACGTACAAGAAGCGGGTGATTAAAATACATTCACCGTGGTTTACCGGAAAAGGTAGACTCAATTTTGCTTCTTGAAAGTCAAAAAGAGCATTTTTCTGTAAATTGTGTGTATCGTGTGCATGCACTGCGGCGCTATCGCACATACCGTGTTTAAAGTAATTTTCGCGAAATTCAAAATCATCTCTGAATTTCCGAAATTCAGTTATGTTTCTCACTCTGATGAGAAATCGATTCGTCTCATGACCCATTGAACATTCGCTTTTAATATTCCCTGATGTTTGCGCTTGTTTCTCATGACGTTACGTGGGGACGGCGGAGGTTTTGATCACGCCTCTTTCATTTTTTGCATTTTCTACCAATAAAAACGCCGTAAGTAGCCTTACACAAAATTTAGCAAAGAATCTGCAAAGTTAAGTCATCGTTTATTTATCGATAAACCGTTCACACTACTTTCTGAAATGTGATGTTTACTTGAAAAAGCTCACAAATTTCATTATTTTTGTCTATTGCTGAAATTTGAAAAACTCCGCATCCTTCGTACTTTGAAAGTTTCTCTTCCAAAAACGCTACTTTATCTATGTTTCTTTTTGATATTAAAATATGATTTTCGATCATCTCCTAAAGAGTACCTGGTTAACAGCAACGCCATCCGCGCCCCTGGCGACGTCTCTGTCGTGTTCGGCGACACAGACTTCCGTTTGTTTGGGCGTCATCATGAGGTTTGGCATCGCTTGGAGGCATATCCGTCCGTCCTGACAACATTTTCGTTTCTCTTCTCCAAAGTAGGATTGAAAAGTATATTTTAGTTGAGGCAGCAAAGATGTAAGGTTATTTTCTTTCTAATCCTCTAGTTTTGTTTTGAATAGTTTCTTCTTTTACGAACTGGCATGACGGTCCACCGTTGGAAGCGGTCTCGGGCCGGATCCCGATGCATCATCATGAGTCGGTGGCCGGCCTTCTCCAGGACGTCCAGGACCATCCTCTCGTCGCCTTTCGCTCTCATGTTCATTCCGACGTTCACAATGCATCCATCTTTGCACAGTTTCCACAGTTGATTCCCGCTACTGAAATCGAGTACTAATCAGATTTTTTTTTTGATAAAAAAATTTTGAAAATTTGGAGTTTACGAGCTGAACAAACGGGAGTGTCGATCTTTTAATTTCATATATTTTCGAATCTGTAAACGCGGGTTAAATCTCAAAACTTCGAAGTCGCTTCAAAGTCGCCTTTTTTTCTAGACCTTTTAAGGAGGTTTAAAAAAAAGACGGTAAAAAGGTGGAAAAAAAAAATTCCGAGAAACTTTGACACCTTTTTAGGGACTTGAAAAGGAGCTTTAGGATTTTCTTTTAAAGGCCTTTTTAAGGTCGTTTGGACTTTCCCTGTGAAGAAATATTTGAAATCGCCAAAACTGCGCCAAGAGAACCCATTCCAGAAAAAAAAAGTACTCGAACTTTGGTAACGCGAACCGGAAGTGTCGGGGCATTTCTAGTGACCACTTTAGTAGCGTCAGAACTTTCAAGGGATCCCTAGAATAACTCAGAATCGTCCGGAGCGCTTCCGGGTATCGTTACCGAGGTTCGAGTAAAATGGCATATAATATTTCCCACAGATCAAGTTTGCTGAAAAAAGCCTACTGGTCGAAAAATCAAACTTTTGTTTTCAAAAAAGTCATCTTTCTCGAAGATTAGCTTTTCTCTCACAAAAAATCGGTTCAACAGAAAATAAAATTAGTCTGAAAATTTCAGACGCAGTAGATCAAAAAGTCACAGGAATTTTAGCTTTAATAAAAGGAAAAATATCAAAAAATTGAAGTTTTCATGGCGTCATTCAATAGTTCCTTAACCTCATTCTGAATAATATCAATAATCAAGTTTTCTTGCTCTATTGCATCCAAAAAACGAAATTGGACCCACTTCCCATCGGTTCGATTCTGCTTGTTGAGCATCACTTTTCCCTTTTGCATCGTCTCAAGAACCAACTCGCATTTGTCAGTTTCCTTAGCCATTTTCGCGCTGAAACAAATTGAGTTTAACTGTAACTAGATGGAGTTAGAACTTTTTGAAAGACTGGGTGAGCTGAATGAATGAATAATTCTCATAAACCAGAGGCTCTCGAGCGCCAGGTACAAGGATGTCATAGGCTTTGCTCCGGTTCTCATAAACCTGAAAAAAAAGTGATAAAGTATGAGAAACAACGGTGAATTTTCTCATGAAACGACCAAAGAGAAAACAAATTAATGAAATTTCAAACAACATTCAGCCTAGAAAAGATTCATGGCGCAGAAAAAGTCTGCGCCTAATTTTCAATCAGTAACAATAAATTTCCAAAAATATGAGCATGTATAGAAAAAAATTAAAAACTGAACCAGAATTCCAGATCACTAGGAAATAATCTTAATTTTTTGAAAAATTAAAGTAAAATTTGCAAAATTTAAAAAAATTCGCAAAGTTAGTGATGGAGCACATTCTAATCAGGCTTTTGCTCATTTTTTCAAAAATATCTCTTCTTTTAAACAAAAATATGGCAAACCGCGTTTTCATTTTAGCTTCTTCTGAAAAAACAGTCCATCTTTTCCAGGTTCAATTTTTAATTTCTGTTCCAAAGTTTCAAACCGACCCATAGACCAAATTTTCCATGGGCCTACGCAGCCGTTTTTTCAAAAAATTGTTTCGAAACTAATTTTTTGCGATTTTCATCCTCGAAGCTTTATTTTTGGCCGCAGTTAGACAGTTTTCGCTCTTCTACAATATATTTGAGAAGTAAAATTGATTTATTTCACGAAAAAACCCCTAATAATCTGCAGAACGACCTATTTTAGTCTGTAGAGATCGTCTCAGGCGTAGTTGAAATGGAAGCAATTTTTGCAATTTTGAAGCTCCAGACTGTTTTTTGGCGCTCACACATTTTCCGCTCTTCTAGCATTCATTGAAAAGGTTTAAATCCCCTTTTTTCGCAAAAAAAAAAAACCCCTCAAATGACCTGCAAAACGACCCGTTTCAGCCCGTAGAGATCGTCCCAGGCGTAGTCGACATGGCTCCGCGCCTTGCAAATCGTTCTCAAATGCTGGCTGGCCGGCGTCGTGCACTGCTGTTGATACAGAATGGGCACCTTCAAAATCCACAAATTGTCTTCTTTCTCATTTGCAAGCCAACATCCGTCCGATTGTCGATTCGAATCGGGGCAGGATAATAATCAGCATCAGTGAAGGTGATGTTGAAAACGGCGCTGCTGAGGATGATTTCCACTCGGATGAACCTCGGTGTCTCATCGGAATCTCTGAACTCAGACGTAAAACATTTTCGAAACTAAAAAAAAACATGATTCGTAGAACAAATTTTTGAAGTAATAACTTTTTTTTATGAGAGCCTTGTCGAATTATTCAGATCTTGAGCTTCAAAAACCAATGTCAGAAGTGGATTTATAGAAAAAAAATCTAATAAAGTCAGATGAAAATTTTGAACGATAGAAACTGAAATTGTTCAACTTTCTTTCTTTTTATTGGCTTATAACTATCAATTTGCAAAAAAATTCAATAATACACTCATTTTTTTATGAAATCTTCAAGGTCACAGATTCGACTCCTTCCCAGAGCGAACAATTTTTTTGCCAACTTTTTGAGATTTACCATATATTTACTAATATAAATCATATCAATATTCAAAAATTTCTAAAATTATTATTGAAAAAGATTTTTCATTAAAAAAAAAACATAGATTCGCTTCGGCGAAGAGTCAAACACTGGAGAACCGAAGACCTTGAAATCTTTTTCAACTTCTATAAAAAATGAGAAAAATTTGTATACGAACCTACAGAAAACAGAACCTCGCCAAAAAAAATGCATTAAAATCTCACTTTGAAACAGGAGTCCTTCTTACATAACATTAGAAGTGAAAATTTCACAACTTTTCGTTTTTTCAACTCTATATTCCGTTCAGATTTTGAACTTCAAGCTCAATGACGTCATTCGAAGACGCTCTGTGGATGGCTCGCTCTCTGATTGGTTTACCGCGCCATTATGGGGCGGAGCTTGAGCGACGACTTGACATTCAAAATCTCAACAGGATATATTCTTACAAGGATTTCGATTTTTGGTGTGACTGTAAAAAACGCCCTAGAACCTTTTTCCGGCTAAATTTTCAAAGTTCCAACTTCTAGAAACCGTTTTTTAGGTGCCTTTACCACGAAAAACACTTTTTACCTCATGGTAACATGGTAGGATCCGATTCGATCAATGAGGAAGGGACAACTCCAGTGTTTCACATCGGCCCGTCGAACACACAACTTTCTTCTTTCGGCGAAATTCTCGTTCCAAGTCAACGAGGATTGAGCGGCCAGATGGGCGTGTTCTTTTGGTTTCTGGGAATAGAAAATATTCTTCTGAAATACTACTGCTTTTTTTTCAAAGCTTCCTAAGGCGTTTAAAGGCTCATATCATTCAAAAATTGTAAAGGTATTGAGACGAAACGTTTTCCTGAAGTTTATAGAGCCAAAAAGTACTTCTGAGCGATCGCAAAATGACTTTTTGGAACTTTTAAAGGATCAAAAATCAATTTGGAATTCAGAAAATTACAATATTATAAAAAAAGTAATGACTCGAATGACCTTGATCGGTGTCATGATTTTTTTGTCAACAAAAAAATGCCTTTCTGTGCGTTTAAAGGAGCATAACCCAGACTCGATCTGTAATCTGGATATTACCCTGCGCCTTTAATAAACTGAACAAAATACAAGTAATGAAGTGAAAACGAACATCAATGAGGTCATGATGGCAGACCATGAGGGAAAAAGACGACTGATTTTGCAGGACGAATCGGGAAGTGATCAAAACGACCTGAATTCATCTTTTGAGTGTGCACTGAACAGAAAAACTCATCAAAATTAGTACATAAAAAAATGACATGGAAGTCTAGTGAACTGGGTTTCTGCGTGAATTGTGATACATCCAAAAGTAGAAAATAAGTTTTTTATGACAATTTTCAAAAGCAGAGCCTGAGTCTCGTTTCATTTAATGTTTAGAAATTTTAATTTAGTTATTCCTTGGATAGAGTATTACCGAAGTTCAGACGGTTCAAAAAAGTGAATTTTAAACCGTGTTTTGCCTTTTTGTAGAATTCGATCCTAACCGATTACGCTACCTTTTGAACCCTCTGAAACCAAAAATTCGGAGAAAAACTTAAAATCAGTGAGTAGTATTTATAATATTTTGAAACTTTTCCCTTCAATTTTTTTTCTTCTGGATGCTCTTCCCCTCCCTACTTCAAAAATTGAATCAACATCCAACCTGCGTGTCTTTGTACCGACCAGTTCCAGCTCGAACTTCCACTCCAACGTTATAATAAAGAGTCGGCAAGGTTTTGTGTTCCACTCGAAGTTTAAGAGCTTGAACTCCGGGAGCCAGGAAGAATTTCTCGCTGAGTATCGGAGTATAGCCGGGTTCTCTCACAAACTCGTTGCCAAGCCGTACGCGGCATCTGCAAATTTATGGAGCGTATTTTTGAAAATTTCTGGTTTTTTTTCTATTTGCCGGTTTTACTCAGATCTGAAAAAATTATGAAGCTTCCCCCAATTTTTTCCTGAAAAAAAAAGCCATATTCCTAATTTTTTTTTATTTCTTTTAGAACTTTACATGGGCATACATTTTAAACCCTGTATCTCAATAATGAACAATGAACTAAAGTCACTTCTACCTCCTGACGTTAAAATTCCTTTATTTCTGAAAGTTTCTCGGGTCCAACTTTCCTCCTGAATATTTTAAGGTCCATACTTTCCCACGCCTGTTCAACTTCAAAAAATCGACCAAAACTAACGCCTTGGGGCAATTTTCGTCGGCGAGGCTGAACATCAGGGGATTCTTGTCCTTGGCTCGTTCATGTTCTGGCATTTGGCCAGCAGCGTCGACACGAGAGGCGTCTTGCTGAACGACCAATGGCAATCCTGAGAAAAAAGGAAAATTGAGTATAAAATATTGCTCATTTTTTAGTCAGGAAGTTCTTTGATGTATCAAATGAAGATATTCTGAGAGTCTGGACTTGTCTAATCTCTATTTTTCGATAAAGAACACCTTAAAGACGGAAAACCCTATAAAACGCCGTTTTCTTTAGATTTCGAGCCTTGCTTTTCGAAAATAAGCAAGTTCAGCAGATTGAAGCTTTCAGGATCTCTTTTTACTACTTTTAAGATTTTTGGCAGGCTTTCAAAACTGAAAAGTTTGAGCGATGACTTCAAAATGTTCCAAAAATCTACAATCCCCGCAAAAACTCGCACCGGACTTGTTGACGATCCAGTAGGGGACCCAGAAGGCGACGAAAATCGAGTGTCCGATGCCGAGTCGGACATGGGCGTACATATCCAGGGGCCGATGTTTCGAGTCGCTTAGTCGGATCGGCAACAATAATCCTTCGTTGATTTGGCTTTTCTGGATGGTGACAGGCTGGACCGTGGTCAATCGGTCCGTCGCCACGTTCAGCGACACTTCCTTGGTTATGTCGACCTGGAAAATAGGATAAAACCTCTTTAAAGGGAATATGTAGTTATTTTTAAATTTAAAAAAAAAGGTTCAAAATAGCCTATTTCGAAACAAAACTTCTTAAAGAGCCCTCCCGACCTTCTTGAAGCCCTAAACACAACAAAACGTCCTAAAGAGCCCTAACGGCCGTCTAGAAGTCCTAAAGAGCCCAAACGACCTCATTGAAGCCCCAAAAAGCCTTAACGACCTTCTTGAAGCCCTAAACACAACAAAACGTCCTAAAGAGCCCTAACGGCCGTCTAGAAGTCCTAAAGAGCCCAAACGACCTCATTGAAGCCCCAAAAAGCCTTAACGACCTTCTTGAAGCCCTAAACACAACAAAACGTCCTAAAGAGCCCTAACGGCCGTCTAGAAGTCCTAAAGAGCCCTAACGACCTCATTGAAGCCCCAAAAGCCCTAACGACCTTCTTGAAGCCCTAACGACCTTCTTGAAGCCCTAAAAAGTTTAAATGACCTTTTTGAAGCCCTAAAGAGCTCTAACGACCTCCTTGAAGCCCTCAAGAGCCCTGAAGACCTTCTCAAAACCCTAAACAGCCCTACCGACTTTCAAGACGATTAATCATTATGAGAAAGAATTTTTTTTTAACTACTAGGTTCCCAAAAATAAATCAATCCAGAAGCCAATTCACCGTTGTGATCATCAAAGACTTTCCGGCGGCTATGGCAAATGTGCTATCCTGAATGATGACCTCCATGTCGATGGGTAGGAGATTCTAAACTCATCTTTCATTTTTCTGAGCCTTCTGGGACACAATAATAACCTGTAAAGTAAGCGGGGCTACAATATGGACCGAATGGCCGGGAATCGACTCATATTCTTGTTCTGGGTAGTACTCCCGTCGTACTGCCGTGCAAAGCCTGAATTTTATGTGAAAGACTGGAGATATTTTCCTCATTATTCAGAAAAAAACGAACCAATAAAAACTATTCTGAATATTGGAGTGAGTACGAAGTCGTTGGGTCTGGTTCACGACTTCGCCCGGCGTCCTCACTTTCACCCAAGAGATTTTCGCCTAAATTCAACAGTAAATATAACTTACCTTTATGAATCATTTTTTCTATTTGTGACTCTACAACTCTACAAGGGTGTTCGTTCTTTCACCGAATTGCTGTTTCTCTGCTAAGCAAAAAAAAAAAATCAGATAGAATCTGCAAGGTGGAAGGTGTAAGAAAGAGTTCTGAATAAATTTGCAAAATTTCCAAAACGCCAATGTTGATTTACGATGGCATATCCTTTCCAAACCTGTTCAGCGACATGGACATGACCAACAGGATAGACTGAAAGTTGTGCGTGGGCGAATTCCAACGGGATCGAGACACATCCGGAGGGTTCAATCGTCATCAGTTCTCCCTCTGAAACACAAATGTCTCGGTGGGACCTGAAAAAAAGGGCGGGGGGACTTGGCAAAAAACGAGGAGACGTTTTCAAGGTGCGCGCTGGACGAGGCTAGTCCGATCTTATAAAAAAACATATCAAACATTCATGTATAAAAAAAAAAAAAATTAATTTTGTAAAGCTCAATTGATTGATAGTGATTCAAATGGGGGGCGGGGGGTTGGCTGTTTCGCGATTCATGCTCATCCTATGTATGCTCTGAAAAAGCTTATATACTGACGAAGTCGCCTGTTTCGTTTTCTTTTTTTACCGAAAAACCATGCAAAGTTCGCTGAAATCTTCGCTCAATAATCTTTTCTTTTGGATCTTTTTGAAACATCTCGAATCGGAAGGCCAAAAAAAAATTTATAAAAGCGATAAATGTATATTGTGTATTATATTACACTACACTAGGAATGTCCTAAATGTATTAGAAGTGTTTCTAGAAAAGATAGAAAAAGGTTCGATCAATCAGCCTATATTGTCCCTTTTTACAGCCTTTTCCAACCTTTTGTAGGTTTCAAAGTCTCGGCGAAATTGAGAGATTTGATAAAGGGCTTGAAATGGAGTTCCTTATATGTTTTTATTTTCACTTGAAACGACCCCTTTTCCATATTTTCTTGAACCCTCCGTATCGATTGAAAGCGGTTTGATAAAGGAAATGAAACGGAACTCTCATAGCTCCCTTTTCACGCCCGTTTGGGGTACTTTTGTTCTTGCAAGTGTAATACAACTTGTAGGATTCTGAAGCTTACTTGTTCCTTCAGTCAGGACTGCGATAGGATGGGGCAAGTCGTTGGTTACGTCGAGCGAAGAACGGATCGTCACCAACTTCTTTCCATCCTTCTCCATCGTCACGGCTATCAAAAGTCGCGCATTTCGAAGCTCCGGCTGCAAATTGTCATTTTTTTTTCTATCTGTCGAGTTGCTCAAGTTTTCCAATTCATGAACATAAAAAAAAAACAAATCAGCTTTGAAAAATTTTGAAAATACACAACTCCATCCAAATTGCTCCGATTCAGGTCAAACCAACTTTTTGAGATTTGGGAGCCTAAGCTCTTCCCTATAACTTTAGATTTGGAGCACAAAAAGCGTTTTGAGCCCAAAAATAAATTTTGAATTTTCCAAGCCAAAAGTTTCAAAATTCATAACTCTCTTCAAGATGCCCAAATCAAGCCAAACCAGCTGCTAAAATTTCTGAGCGTAAATTTGGATATGAAACACGAAAAGCTTTTTGAGCCAGAAAAATGCGCTTCTAGTTTGCAACGTTTAGAAAGTTAAAAAATCCATGACTTCTTTAAAAATGCTTCGATTTGAGTGAAACCAAGTGTTTCGAGCTTCTGATCTTACAGTACTGGCCATAAAGATATTTCAAAGTGGTTATTTGAGCATAACTTCTCTGAAAGTGGCTCAAATGACTTGAAACTTTGCAAAAATTTCAAATAGCTACGCAGTAACTTTTTCCCAAAAAAAAAACTCATTTGCTCAAGTCAGACCGGATTTGGGAGCAAAAAACCAAAAATCGTGAAAGTCAAGATTTTTCTCTTGAGATTCGAAAAATCATATCTTCAAAGAAACTTCGTTTTCGAACCAGAAACTTTTTTCCCCAGTAAAAAAAGTCTTCGGCTTTCCAAAAAACCTAATCAGCCCCTCACCAACCCGATAGTAAGAGCGTAGTGACTTTTTCTTCGAAAGGCCCTTGCGTTTTGAAGCCTCCTCATTCAAATGGACTATACGAGGTCATTTTTGTTTGAGAACACCCTGTATCATGTTGAAAAATTTTGAAACACCCTCAAAAATAGTTTTACACTGATTTCTTCAGCTTTCTCACTTTATCTGCTCTCCAGAACTCACTAACTTCACTAGGACCGATTTTGAAATCTCTGATTTGAAGCGGTTATGCTCCTTTTTCAAAATCAGAACATTCTCGATTTCTCATTTCAGATTTCAGAGCTTCTTCAGAACTTTGATGAATAAAAATAAAAGAAGACCCACTGTGTTTTGCTTACTTATTCAAAAGATATAGTGAGTTATAATGAGTTTCTTAAAGTTCTCAAAACTTCGTTCCAGCAAGTGTTGCTTAGAGAGCTCCAAATCTTGTGGAAGATGATAAAAACCCTTTTTTTCATATTTTTAAATGTTTTAGATCATGAGATAAATTTGTAACTCCTTTTTCTAGCTCTCAGATCGAAGATAGGCACTGTAAAAAGTTTCTTTAAACTTTATGGGAAAATAAGTTTTTGGTCTTGTGAAACTAATGCTTCAGCAAAAAAATTAGCAGTCTTCAGGAAGTAGGAGACTGCAATTTGGCCATTATTTATTCTCGAGTTCACGATTGAAAAGCGATTGATCCGACAAAAACTGCTTTGAATGTCCGTAAGTCCAGAAAAACTTTTCGAATCAGAGGTTTCAAAATCGGTCCTAGTGAAGTTAGTGAGTTCTGGAGAGCAGATAAAGTGAGAAAGCTGAAGAAATCAATGTAAAACTATTTTTGAGGGTGTTTCAAAGTTTTTCAACATGATACAGGGTGTTCTCAAACAAAAATGACCTCGTATAGTCCATTTGAATGAGGAGGCTTCAAAACGCAAGGGCCTTTCGAAGAAAAAGTCACTACGCTCTTACTATCGGGTTGGTGAGGGGCTGATTAGGTTTTTCGGAAAGCCGAAGACTTGTTTTACTGGGGAAAAAAGTTTCTGATTCGAAAACGAAGTTTCTTTGAAGATAAGATTTTTCGAATGTCAAGAGAAAAATCTTGATTCTCACGATTTTTGGTTTTTTGCTCCCAAATCCGGTCTGACTTGAGCAAATGAGTTCTTTTTTTGGGAAAAAGTTACTGCGTAGCTATTTGAAATTTTTGCAAAGTTTCAAGTCATTTGAGCCACTTTCAGAGAAGTTATGCTCGAATAACCACTTTGAAATACCTTTATGGCCAGTACTGTATCTTTCCAATCGAACCTTGAGAGCCTTGATGATCCGGAAATATGTGCCGCAGGCGTCGACGTTGACCGGCGAGATTTCATCCCAGCCGGCGACCCTCACGATCAATTGTCGTGGCGGTTCTCGTTCCAGGTGCTACAAGAAGAGGAGATTTCGATAAATCGAGGGGCACAAGTTAAACAATAAGATATTACTGGAAGACTTGGAAAGGTTCTCTTTGTGGTGAAATGAAATAAAATTGAGGAGATCACACAATTTGGTTATAAATTACTGAAAACTTCTGATTTTAATCTTTAATCCCTTTTCGACAGCTCTTTCATGTATTTTTCCTTGAAGGATACAGTAACCCAAGCCGTACCGAGTAGAGCAACCGGGTCGGGAATTCGAAAGTCTTCTCGGCGCCTCTCGGAACGTCGGTCCATCTGATCGCGGCCCTTCTTTGCTCGTTTCGAGCGTTGATGACGTCATCAACCGCTGTCGTGAATGCCAAATCTCGACCAGTTTCGTTTCTCATAACGTACGGTAGATGATCAGACCGGGTTCGAACACAGTTGTTTCTGAAAAGAGATGGGGAAATATAACATTTTCGCAAAAATTTCAGAAAATCGTCTTTCGAATGGGGTTTTAAAACTAAAGTTTTAAAACTAAATTTTTATACAGAAAAAAACCCAGTTTCAAATGGGAAATTGCTAAGTTCCACCTGTCTTCAAAGAGATTTATTCCATACTGATGAAACCCTGAAAAAAAGAGAATTTTTGAAAAAGTTTCTGTTAAAAAAACTCCTTCTGTATGAAAAACATTCGAATATTGCTTATCTCACTACTGGCCTCAAAATAGTTTGGCTGGATGAACAATTTTTGAAGCGCAATTTTCCCCTTGAACACAAGTCTTGATACCTGAAATCATCCCGTTCGAAAGAAGCTCTAATGGCCGGCCATCGGCTGCTGAACTGCATCGCTTGTTGGACCAATTGCTCCGTTATATTGATATCCAAGGCGCTTTTCGTTTCTGTCAAAATGGAATTATACTCGGAACTATAGGTGAACAAAAAAAATTTTCAGAAATCAGAGGTGTTCGAAACGTCAATGCCAGACTTTTGGGCTTCCAGTTTTTGAACAAACGGTCCACTTGAAGTTATGCAAAAGCTCCTACTTTCCAAACAAATATGAGTTCAAAGCAAGAAAAAAAATTTGCTTTATTAAGAACATTGTTTTTCGAACTTCTTCAGAAATCCTCATAAAATGCGCATCATGAAAGCTTCTGATTGAAACAAACTTGAAATATCTGGCTTTTTTGCGGTTAATAGGTTACGGTAAGCAATTGTTTTGATATCTCTGAGTAGTTGATCTAAACTCAAAAAAAAAAAATTCAGCCTCCTCTCAAATGAAATTTTTTTTCCTGCCGTAAAACTCACCGGTAACGAGCTCAATAGTGTGATTTCGGTCTTTGACATGAGACAGGAATCTCAAAATGCGCCATTTCTCGATGAGGGGCTCCCAGCCGAAGACTTTCTGGTTGAAGTAGTCAGCCGAGAAAGTCAGAGACGATTTCAGCCGATCGCCGACTTTTTCTACCGACAAGTCTGAAAAGAGGCTCCGTTAAAAAAAAAATTTATTCTGAAAAATTTATACTTTCAAACTGATGACCGAGGGCAATTTTAAAAATCGTCAGGTTAAAACGGTAATTTTTTGAGAAGTTAGGCCTTATTATGTATCGTTTCAAAACATTTTTTTCTCATTTCCGATTTTTTTATTTCCGTAAAAAAACAACGTGGAGAAGGTCTATTCTCAGCAGATCTTAAATTTCACACTAAATCTTGCTTTTAAAAAAATTTTTTTTCAAAAAAATTTTTTTGTATTTTTTAAAAGTAAAAAAAATTGAACCGAGTCAATTTTTTTGTAATGAATAGATCAAAAATCATATTATTGGAAGAAAAATCAAAAAATTAACGTCCTAATACTCGTGAAGGCCTTGTTTCACAAATGCAGAAAACGGCCTTCATTTCCAAAAAAGTACCGTCCGAACTTTCATAATTGCCTGCCCAAGCTCAGTCGATAATAAATAAAGTTACAAATTTTTGAATTTTCTGCTAAACGTCTCACTTGAAACGGAGAACCGAAGGAGCGGAATAGTGCTGCCCTGGAAATCGTCGAGAATCCACAAATCGGCGTGTTCCGTCTTCACCGCCAACTTCCCGATATTCACAGCTGCAAAAGCCTTTTATTTCCATCTCGAAATCGAAAAATATTACATTTCGGCGGTCCTTTCGGCACAATAATCGGTATGAGCGATTTTCCGAGGCTTTCGTTAACGTATTTCTCATAACCGGTCATAACAGCTTTCAGTACCCGTGCGTCTTTGTACGACATTTTGCCGATCATCTTCCGGAATTCGATCTGAACTCGTAGCTTGATAAAACTTGGATGAAGAAAGTATCAGGGTTACATAAAATCAAACTTTAAGCTGAAACAAAATTAATGAAAAAAGCCCCAAATCCCAAAAAAACTGAAAAAAATAATGAAATTTCTCCCACGAATTTTACCTCCATCAAAATGTCAGTGTTGTCGCCGTTCTGAAGATGCGAATTTTTTTATTTTTCAAGTTTTCAGAGTGAAAAAAAGTGAAGAATGAATTTGAATTTTTTTTACTAGAAAGGCAAACTTTCTCAAAATTCCCCTTTTTTTAAAAGTATTTCAAGAAGTCCTAAATTTACACTTTGAAAAATCATCTTTTTTAGAGGCGGAGGTGCATGCGTGGGCTAGAAGCAACTTTTTCACTTCCACACCCCACACCGCATTATTATGGCTTCAAATAAAATTTTTGAAATAAATATAGAATTTTCATAAAGCATATAAACGTCATACATGGGATATTCTCTGTGGGACCTCAAAAAGGGGATAGAACTTGGCAGAAAAACGAGAAAGGGGGGCGGGGGGGGGGCAGCAAAAACCGTGAAAAAACTTTAAGGGTGCGCGCTGGGCGGCGCTAGTCCAATCTTATAAAAAAAAAAAAATCAAAAATGAAATTTTTCGAGTTCAATTGATTGGCAGAAGTCATTTTTTTTTTAGTTAAAAGTGATCGCCAGTAACGCTCATCCCATGTATGATGAACGTTATTCCGAGAATTTTTTTTACCGCTCCCGGAGCCTCGAGAGGGCGCCAAATCAGTATCAATAAGCGTCTTTTTCAATTTAATTTCGATATATAATCGACCCCTACAATCTGACCAAGCTTCAGGCCGTTTTGTTCAGTCTGACGAAAAATCGAGTTTATCCTCGAAACAAATAATTTCTGAAACCGTCTATTTTCAGCTCAAAATGGGAGGTTCGTTGAACTGTTAACCCATCGATCTACATAGCGTAAGCAGAGAACATAATAAGTTGTTTGCGATATTCTCACCTCAAGAGCATGTTTCGAAACGGGAAGTTGCATTCCAGTTGAAAGCATCACATTGGGGCTTCTCGGCGCCGTGTCGACTGACGCGGCGGAAAGTGTCGAGGGGAATCTGCGCTCCACGGACAATCCGATGGCTATCGAAAAATCATTCGAGCACTGGTTTCTCGTCTCTTTTTCGTGTTGCATCGAGCACCAGGAAACCGTCATTGTCTAGGAAATTTAGAAGATTTTCTCAATAATCCCACCTGAAATTCTTTGGGAAAATCGAAAATACTTTGAAATTTGTAAAGAAGGGGTGAATAAACTTAATGTGAAAAAAGGTTTTTTCTTATATTTTCTTCCATAAGAGCCTAATTTACACATAAAAATTCTCGAAAGCTTTTCATGAACCAATACATTTTGGACGATCCCTCAAGTGATTTTACTGCCTCTTAAGTGCTCACTTGAAAGTAAAAAAATCGTCCCGCAATCAATAAAAAAAATTAATAAACTTGATAGATTCATGCAGAAATAATTCTGAAAAGTTATTTTTTTCCACTAATTATAATTTCGACAGTATTTTTCAGTGGTAGAACAGTATCATTCTAAAAAAAAATATTTTTTTTCTTATTGGGAAAATTCAAAAGAAGCATTACTCCGCATTGAAAAAAATATAGTTTTATGTACCATTTTCATTGCTACAAAAATTAATATTTTGAAAAAAAGAACCTGAATCTCCAAATTGGCCGAAATCTCCCCGAAAGCGTCGTTTGTGTTGAGCACGGCTGTGGTCGAAGCGACCAACGCGAAAAGTATTTTTCAGCCGCTGGATTTTCCAACAAATATAGATCCGAGTCCCTAAATTGGCAAGGACCCTTTTTTCTCATCCTATTTGATTCGGAAAAAAGATAAGAATGACTTGATTCAAAAAAATAAAACAGCTCTTTTTTTTAAACATGAAGGCAACATAGATTTCAAGGAAATAGGCTTGGTTTACAAAATTCATCATAGAATTTGAGAAAATAGACTCGAAAAACCACCTCAACGTGATTTTGACATTGAAAGTCTGTTCACCGGAGACGGTCGGCTGATTGCTCATGCTTCTCTCCACGACACTCCCGTCTCTGGACGTCAATATTCCAGAAGAGACTCGTTTTGGAGGCTCGTCGCTGTCTTAAAACATTCCTTTTTTCAAAAAAATAAATAAAAAGTGAGAAAGTTGAAATGAAAAAAGCGAAAAATTGTCAAAGAAGTTACGAAAATTGTCAAGAATCCTGTGAAAGATTGGAAAAGAAGCTATGAAAAATTGACAAAAGCTGCAAAAATCTTTCAAAAAAGCTAAGAGAAATTGACAAAAATCCTGTTGAAAAATTGAAAACCTTGCGAAAAAAATTGACATAAAACTACGAAAAATTGTCTAAAAGCTGCGAAATCTTTCAAAAAAATGTTTAGCCAAAATTTGCCAAAGCTATTGAAAATTTTTTTCTTCAAAATTCAAATCAAAACTTTCCAAAACGTACACTTTGGGACAAAATCCGTGAACAAAAGGACGAATTCCTTGGCGTCGTTGAGCCAATCCGGAGCCAATATCACCTTCGCGTTACAGAGGATCAAAGTCAGAACGGGCGGCTCGTCTTTTTTCATCATAATATGAGCCTCGGACATGAGGGAGCTGGAATTTGGTCTGAATATAGTTATATTTATCGCTCGGGTCCTGAGAATCGAGTCTCACGATGCTGGTTTCGGGTCTCGATGTTGAAGGATTTTCGGGAACAAGTTTCGTTTCCCGTTGCCCAGTAGACCTCAAACGACTTATTTTTTTTTCATTCAGCTACGGTTCATTTTTTCAGATTTTCAATACTGAAAAGTAGTAAAACGTCGATTAACAAATTTTAAAAAATTATGAAAAAAATGCAACTCCAGATAATTTTTTTTAACGGCATGTGTCAGAAAACTCGTAAGAAACAGCCACTTTCTAAAAAAAACGGAACAATAGAGCCTGGAAAAAAAGAGCCGTTCGAGCCTGGTGGAAGTATGCTCCATGGCTAACTGTCTTTTTTTCTCTTATTTATTGTAATAAATATCACAAAGCTTTAAAACTGAGCTATAAGAAACTAAAAAAAGCCTAAAAAAACAATTTTTTTGCCAATTTATTTTGGGGAATTTCGTAAGACAACCATAAATGGGCAGACTATTTCAAATGGCCGCCGACTCCTGTTCCCAAGTTTTTCTGAATTAAAGGTTATAATATCTTCTTGAGACGAAAAGTTGTGTTATCGATTTACACTGAAACTACCTCCCTGAGGTGGAAATTCATTACATTCCTGTTCTTCCATAAAATTTAGAAGCCAGCCCCTCCTCCCGGCCTGACTATGTTCTGTACTTGCCCATCCATAAAGCCAACTCTTCTCCCGGACTAGCTGATTTCTATACTTGCTCACGAATGCTCACCATGGCGCATGTCGATGAGTTCGGTCCTTTCGCAGATCAGGTCCAGCTCGCTTTGGCCGTCGACGAAGACGTCGAAAGAAACGCGCGACGATTCAAACTGTACACTGGCGAATGGAGACCACTGTTCCGAGAACATTTCCTTCGCTGATCCGAGCCGTTTCGGCACCTTTCAAATCAGTTCTGTATTTTTCGGTGAAACTTTGGAAAACTTGAAGGTCCAGCTCGACGTTGTCAAACAGTAGCCGGAAAGCGAGAGTGGAATACTTGTTCTCGGTCGTAATTTCCTGTAAAAATGCAGTGAGATGTATGAAATCTCAACTTTTCAGGCTTACACATCCGGCAGCAGGTCTTTGGAGGATTTCGAGGGGAACTGTTTCCGGGGGTGGAATCAGAGGATCGGCAAAGTTTTTCTCCAAAACGCCTCGCATTAGGACATAGAAATCCGTAGTCATTCTCCAGCTCAGCTTCGACACCATCGTGATGATGGTCAGCAACGGAACTGGAAGAAAACATCTGTTTTTTTTTTCTCTTAGAAAGTTATTTTATAATTTTGAATTCCTTCAATTATCCAAAAAAAAATAGCTTCAGTTTTTCTTATATGCCTCCAGTAGTCCCTTCCGAATTCGATGGGAAAAATGAGAATATTCGGAACAGTTTCTCAAAATTGATACATACCAGCCGACGTATGATGAAGCAGGAATATATACGCCACTTTTACAAGAATAAAAAAAACCCCTTGTCAGTAGGAACGTCGGAGGAACATCACAATTCAAACTTGAAGCTTTTTTCCTATTAAAAAAGAGTTGAAAATGACCATTATGAGACTGGGCGCTGTCGAGATTCCGGAGGAACTTGGTGACGAGGTCGAAGCGTTTGGAGAAGATGTTCTGGGGGCAGACGGCGAAGAAGAAGGTCGAGAACGCGTCGGCGCCGACGGTCCGCCAGGCGACTTTCTCTGATTGCGACTTTTTGCGTTGTGCCGCCGTGACGACGATGCTCGGCAGCCGTTTCGCCTCGAAGGCTTGCATGTTGGTCAGGACGAAGTCCACGTAGTCCAGCAAACAATCGATGTTTTCGTCTGAAAGCTCTGGTGTCAAACGTGAGGTATATGCTCAGAAAACTCGACTTATAACATTAGCTTAGTCATCTACAAGGTGTAAAAAGTTTTTCATTTTTTTGATTAAGGCTATAAATTTTTTAACCAAATTTTCATGAAACGAAGATTGAGGCCCGATAAATTTCCCATTGATAAAAAGATAATTTATCTGAACTTCAATTTATTCAAAAAGGGGGCGGATCTGGGTGTGAATATATCTTAGCCTTTGCAATATATTGCGTTCTCGCAAGAGGACCTGCTTCGGAATATTCTGAAGTTCCGTGGGGTCAGTGATTTTTTTTTATTCACATAATTTTCGTTCAAAACCCACCATATCCATAATTGGTCTCGATGGAGTACTTGTCGAAAATCTCGGCTCTCAAGTCACTCAGCCTTCGGAACTTGTTGGTGACGCGAAGGCCGTCGGATTGCCACAAAATGGCGTCGTCGCTGGTCTGATTCATCGGCATGACGATTGTCGTCGTGCAGGCGACGTCGACGTCGAGAAGCACTCGGGAACGAATCCCGTCTATCACCTGATTATCATTCATTATTTAAAAAATTAGTAAGTTTTGAAATCAAGCTTTTCAATAGAGTTAATTTTTTGATGTGCGCCCGACTCAAAATGACTTGCGCGTGTGAGCTCTGCCAATTGAATCTACATCGCGGTTTTCCATCTCATTTTTTCATTCATGTCGATTTCTCCCTGATAAGAAATATTCTTACCGTGACTTTCTTGCTCTTGGCGACCAAGTCTTGCAGCTCGTTGAACTGCATCCAAAAATCCATCAAACCGCAGAAGAATCTTGAAAAATACTCCTTTTTTCTTACACCAAAAGAAGTTAGAATCACCGATGTGTATGTACATAATAAAATCGCATTGTCTGAGGTACATGGAACTTGAATTTGAGGTCGCATTCCCTGTTGGGATCTTCGCCGAGGTATCTACAAGTCAGGATGTACTCTAGTCAAGTTGTTGTGAGAACTTGATGATATGAATCTTGGCGCGGCGTTCAGGAGGCAGCTGCTGCGGTCGAGGCAGGGGCTTCCGATGAGCAGAAGACGCCGCGGAGACGACGTCAGTGACGTCGCTGTCGACCAGGACAAGTCTCTCCGGGTACATCTCCGAGTAGAGCGGCGTCCTGTCGTCGACCCTCATCCCGTCCATTGATAAAGTCATCGACAGGGTCTCCAGAAGCTCGTTCAAAACCACCTATAACGTACAATCTGAAAGATAATGTTTTTTTCTGAAAGTTTACATCAGATTCAAGTTCGAGTCCATCGATGGTCATGAACCCAAGACGAGTATCATTTCTAGGGAATGGCATTCCGATCCGACAAGACTTGGCCCGAATCACACTTGCCACGGAAAATGGCGGCGGTTTCCGAGCCAGCAGATCTTCTGTTGATGGAACGTTTTCTGTAAAATCCAGAGTGTGATTTCAAACGGGCGGGTTTAAGATCTTCGCAACGGAGTGGTCCGAAAAAAAAAATTATTCCGTAAACTTTCATAAACTCCTTCGGGGATTTTGGATGCTCAACTTGCTTCAGAAGTGGAGTGCTCTAGTTGTATTTTCGATCTTTTCTTCTAGTCCAAATAGGCTCGAAGTTGAAATCACCTCGTCTTAGTATTCCGGCTTGAGTTTTTGCAAAAATTCACTTGTTCAAACCTCTAGAGTTGCTTGAAATTTGTTAAGGATCACTAAAGACAAATAGAAAGATCCACAAACAATTTTCGAAGTTTGTATCACAACTTCTTTTTGAATTGCTTTTGGGACAAAATCAGCTTATTATTGTTCCATGAAAAACCAGTTTCTTCCGTAAAAAAACTGAAGCAGATTGCAAAATATTAACTTACTTGTCAAAAATTCAAATTTTTTTTTTTTGATTCGGGAAATTATTTTTTATTTTTTGAACTTCATACTTTATAGAAACTTTATGATTAAAAAATATTTTAACAACTTCTCCAACGCAAAAGTCACTGAAACCTCTCATCAAAACAATCACCACTAATCTTTTAATTTTGACCTACTCAAGATGAAAAACTACGCAAAATCTACGTTTTAATAATATCACTACAACTCTACTTGTTCATAAATCTTCGCCAAATTTCAAGCCAAGACCAGTTTTTATTTTCGCTGCGGCCTACGTCAATCCTGTTTTTTTTAGTCTCATCATCTTGTACTAACACTCTTCGATTACAAAAAAAAAACATGCAAAAGGATTCCAAAGCTCATTCTTTTTGATGCTATAAATAATAACTTTACTTTCAGAAGAGTTTTTTTAATATTCTATAATGAAAGAAGAATTGATGTAGGTCGCTTGAAATGAATGGGAATCTTGCCAGATTTTACTCATTTGAAAATTTTAAAATAGAAAACCCGTGAACCCCTTCATTTCCTAACATAAAAGGTCACTTTAGTGGGAAATTTTCAATTTTCCCGCTCGAAGAATTTTCAAAGGTAAACTGCATGCTACATGAAGACCATGACGGACCATTTTTTTGTAGGAATATTTTTTACAGCTCGATCTTCTGATGAAATCTGGCTCAAAACCAGTTCTTTTTTTTTCTAAAATCTATTAAAAAAATTTTTTTCACCACGAATTTCTCGTCTTGAGAGTTATGATGAAATTTTGATAATGTCTCAAAAGTTTCACTTTTTGTCTCGACACCTTTTTTAAAAATTGGAAACAGTCTTCAAAGCAAGTCAAGAAAAACTGACCGGCCGGAACCGGTTGGTCGACTTCTTCGACGCCAAGGAGTCCGGTCATCTCCAAGAGAGCCGTCCAAGTTCTTCGATTTATTTGAAGCTCGACGTCATCCATGTCCATCTCCACCGTGCAATTTCGCTAGAAATATTCTATTTTCTTAATTCAGAATTTCTAAAAAGTTTCAGGAGCTCCGGAAGTACCTCTGTACTGATTTTCCATCAAGTTCAACAACCTTATGCACATTCCTTATTAGTTTCAGTTTAACTCACAAACTTTTTGTTTTTTTTTTCCGTTCCAAAAACCGTGAAAAAGCTAAAAAGTTTGATATAATTCGCTCCATTGATAAACTAAAGAGAACTGGCTCATTATCGGTACTCTACTTCTGCTGATTTTCCTTCAAATTAATTTGAAAACTACTCCGAGGCGCTCCGGGCGTTTCTGAGCTGTTCTAGGGATCACTAAAGAGTTTTGACCCTTTTAAAGTTGCCCCTAGAAAAGCTCACAAAGCTCTTTTTTCCCAAGCTTCAAAAATTCTCAGTACCTTTTCAATTTATTATTTTCTTTTGAAACATCGCCCAAATAGAAAAAAAGAATCATTTTCGTCTGCCTCATAAATCAACAATGAAAAACCAGCTATTTGCTCGCTCGGAAATTTTCAATTACATAATTAAAATATGCCCGAATTCGCGTGTGGCGAAATTGGTGCATATTTTTCTTGTGCTGTTGGTCGAAAATGGACGGGTTTCTTCAAAATTGCTCGCTTTGCCTTTTTTCATTTAAACTAAAGGCGCAATTATTTTTTAACAAAAAAGTAGGCTAGACTTGAAAAAAACACAGGTAGGTATCAATCTGCGACGCAACAGTCGTACATGAAAATTTGAATCGTCACAGGGTCGGAAGTGAAAATTGGGCGGTTGAAAAAAAAGCCGTGAAAAAGCCAAAAAGTTTGATATTATTCGCTCTATTGATACAACTAAAAAAATAATAAGCTCCTTATCGATTTTTTTAATATTTAGATTTTGTTACATTTTTCGAAAAAAAGCGGCTGATTTTTTTCTGAACAACTACTTTTTTTGAACAGCTAAACAAACAAAATTCTTATAGAAAGTGATAAAAAAACGAATTTCGAATGAAAAAAATGATAATTTTTTTCAAACTTATTTTCTCATAACTCTTGATCGACTTCGAATTTCTGAAGACCTAAAATAACGATGCAGTCCAAATTTAAACTAAAAAATTGCTGATTAAAGTCTCAATCTTCTCAAAAATTCCAAGACTCCACGAGATATTCTCAACCAAAAAAAAAACACCCACACACAACAAAGTTGGAGTCTGACTCAAGAAGTTGACACAAACAATGGCTAAAAAAGCACATTAAATCAAGTTGAAAACATCAAAACTCAGTGGACAAAAAGGAGGGTCCATTGGGAGACGGACGTGAACCCTTTCCAAATCTTAAGTATTCTAAAGAAACGGTTATGGAAAAGGAATTCGTCACACTTTTTAGCCGAACAATTGAACATCAGAATTGAGAATTAGGACGTCCGTCGTTATAGTATCCGGAGTTTTGAGCCGCATTTTAAATCGAGTGCCCGATCATTGGCCCTCTTTCCATATATAGAATAGCTTATGGGCTATTAAAAACACTTGAACGAGGCCTACAAGTTCCGGGATTGCCGATTGTTGCAAAATATTTTTTCTTCCGCTTTTCAATAAACGTCATTCACAAAGATCGCCAATTTTGAGAGTAGTTTGAAACTTCAAAAGGCATAATTATTACAAATTTCTTTTGAAAAGCTACATGGACCTTTGACTAATGAAAAATTTTTCAAGTTGGACAGAAAGAATCGTCTTAGAAATTCAAGAAATGTAGTTTTTTTCATATAGAATATTTATGAACCAACTGAAGAACTGCAATGAATTTCTAATCCCGATTTTTCTAACTAATTTCGATCTTCGTACTTTTTTCTTAAATATTCTTTGGCTTTGAAAGATTATAAATCTTTAAAAGTATCTCCAGAATCTCGACTGTCCAGCTGTAAAGTTCTCCCTTACCATTGCATTATTTGATGACAATGCTCAAATATGACCGCAAAAATATCTTTTCTAGTTGTCCGTCAAGACTATCTGACCTTCCTAGGCTGTTCATTATTCTTCTTATTCCTGAACGGAGGCAGGAAAAACTCCTTTTTTTCTAGACAACGACGATCTTCTCAGACCTGTCAGACCCCAGATAAGCCGAATCAACCAAACATTCGTAGATCTTCCAAATCTCTCTTAAAATCCACTGCACAGCCAAAAGTGTGCCCAAATGGTCTTCAAGTCTAGTCATGCCTGCTAGAAAGATCCTTATACTTTTTAAAAATTCAATTTTCTAAAAAAGAAGGCGTACAGACTCAGCTTGTAACTGTAAAACCGTGAATATTTATCTCAAAAACTTCCAATAAACCTCCGATGCTGATTCTAACTAACTAGTCTTTGAATTTTGTTTCTAATCGTTCCTCCTAATCAGGTATAGCCATTATTTCTTTCCAGCATTGGCTAAAGACCTAAAAACCATCCCGAGGGCTAAAACCTGCCCCTGTACCACCTTGAAAATGCCACCTAACTTCTCGACTCTACTGCCAAAGTTAGTTACAACTAGCTGATCGTCGAACCTAGTCAAATACACATAATCCCATTGTTTGAAGAGAAAATGCCTAAGGCACCGCTTTTGGGGCCTGAAACTATCATTTTAGCAGATTTTTGTTCTATCCGAACTGCTCGACTTGACTCCTAAAGTACTAACTGATCCTCACGTCAAGTCATATGATCATAACTAAATTATTTGGAGAGAAACTGAAGTCTCGAACAAAGCTTCCAGGACATGAAACTACTATTGTGGCGTCTGTAATTCTCTCCTAAACCCACTACTCAACCGCCAAACTTGGTTATAACTAACCGATCCTCATGCCTAGTCATATCCTGATTACCGTTCACCTCAACTCAATCCAAAAGTCATCATGCCTAATGACGCAAATCCAGAGCAACGGCAATTTCCGGCAAACGTCGTTCAATCCAACACGTGATGCTCCAACAAAAAAGTGGGCGTGGCGACGGGGCTCCGCCCACCGGAGGCCGTCGAGCATCGTTCCACGGCCACCGCTTCAATCACTTCTGCGCGCGTCACCGTCTCCGAACGACCGCCATCTTCTCACAGAAAAAAGCCCCCCAAATAAATGCATCGCTCAGTGTTCGCCGTCATTGTTGCCGTTCTGTCCGTCCTGCTCATCTCAGCGACCCAGGTAACTTTTCTTTGAAAGAACCAGTCAAGCTTTGGAGTTGAGTCATGACAAACACATAGGCGATTCGAAAACTTTCAAGTCTTGTACAAGAATGGTTAATTTAAAACGCTCTTATTTAATCAACAAATAGATTTTTAAAAAAGCGCTCTTAAGACTAGGAAACCGAGTCAATCTCCTCAGTTCTTCAAAATAGTAGATTTAAGAAATTCAGTCGAAGGAAACTTCATAAAACTGTTTTTCACAAACCTAGAACCATCATAGAAAATGATTACTCTTCTAAAATAGTGATGAGGAGAAATTCAAGAATCACTATTTTATTTTACAATTTTCAGTATATTTCGAAAATCAATAGATTTCGACAAAAGAGGATCTTCAAATTTTGATGATTTTTTTTAATCGAAAATAACAATGAAATAAATTTTAGTGAAAGTCTAGACAAGCGCGGAAGCCAGTAAAGTGTTTTTCAACAAAAAATTAGCAAGTAATCTCAGAAAGTGTGAAAAATCAAAAATCCAAAAATGTTTCTTTAAAGACATGAGAACGTAAATAGAGTTCGATAGACATTCTCAGAACGTCTGGAAAGTCTTTCATAAGTTTATTAAATTCAAAAGTAGTCTAGAAACTTTTTTCAAGATTATCTAACAGGAAAAAGTGGTAAAAGCAGTTCTCCCACACGATAGCTGAGGTAGTTCATAATTTAAGAATATACTGAAAAATGAGACAAACTAAAGACTTTGCAAAATTATATGAAAACATTCTTCAGATCTCAAAATCATTTTCTGACTTTTTGGCGGCCTGAGAGTATGTTCAAGCAAAATAACAGCTTTAGAAAAAACCAAGATAAATATTCCCATGACTTCCAAAATTCAGAGACTTCTAAGCTTCAGAAAAAACTTTGGATGAGTCTGGCTTGGCTGATTTTTCAAATAGTGACTTCTTTCTATGGCTATCTTATATAGTTTCTATCCAGATTGAGAAGGATTCTGAAAAAGTGCAGAAAAACGGTTTGAACTTGTTCTCTAGCTTCAGAAAAAATAAACACAGCTCTAGAAAAACTTCCCAAAGACCACCTTCAAGCTTCAGAACTGTTTCTAACAAGCCTAAATCGTCTACAGCTCTAGCGGAAATGTTGCAGGTCGAAGCACAAGAAGGTCACCCGATCATGATGGACCGTCGGGAAGCGGCGCCGTTCGGCGACATCCTCACCGAGCTCAAGGGCAAGGGTCTCGGCGGCAGAATGAGGTACATTTCTTCCCTTGCAACTTGAAAAAGTCCAAAAATTGTTGCAGATTCGGCAAGAGATCGTTTTCGCCGATGCGTTACGCCTACGAGCCGCTGGAGATGCGCGACCTCTATCCCATCCAATAATCGCCTTCTTCAAAAACTCCCCTTCATAGTTTTCCTTTCCAACCAACTCAAATGTGATATATGAAAAGCCATAAACTGTGAAATTTACATGTCCGCTTGCGCCAAACCAAATCTTAATCGGGATGATAAATAAAACGCTTCTGTTGCTTCTGAAATGACTTGTGTAAAGCCAAAAGTCGAGCCTACGACCCGAAAAAAAGACTTGGAATGTTTGTATTGTTGATTTTTTCTGAAGACTTGGATACAAATGAAAGTGTTTTGTACTCTCGGATTGGCGTCATTTCCAAGTCTCACACACCCTCGTCACATTGTTCACTAGGTCAAAACGTTTAACGTCAAATCTTCGAGAAGAGTACAAACATAAAAGCAGGGCTAGAAATAATGATAGCTTTTTGTCTAGAGTTAAACTACTTCCAATTAAAGAAAATAATTCCGCAGTATGATGAAACTAACTTTTTTGTAATATCTTTCGATTTGTTGAGGTTTTTTCAAAACTATATAATTTCAGAGTTATTGCTAATTCTCTGCTTTGATTCTACTCTATTCTTTGAAACTCTTTTTATAATTTTTTTAAATAAATTGAAACTCCCTAATCAGATTTTAACTTTCAAAAAGTGAAGAAAGACTATTGATCACCATCAAAAAGGCGACTTTCTATGTAATATTGATTGTTATTGATTAACTGGTGAAACTGGAAACTCAAAAATGTTTTTTTTAAAAACATAAACCGAAGTCAATTACTTTTCAAGCTAGCAAACTTGAAATTCAATTTTCCGAACAAAAAATAAATCTGAAGTACAAATTCAAGTTTTCAAATCTTTTTGCAAAAGAATTTTAAGATTGGAACTACTTTTTTTCAAAAAAACAGAGATTTTCTTCATTTTCTCTTATTATTTTAGTCTTTGAAATTGAAAATTTCGTGAATATCTCAAGGAAAAGAGTTATTTTTTTCTGACATATTCCAACCCTGCAATGTCCTGCGTCTCCAGAGTCTTATACAGAAAAAAATTAAACTTTTTTTAACAGGTCGATATTAAAAAAGACTCCTACAATGACTCATAACTACTGAAAGTCACTAAAAACTCGCAAAAACTAACATATTTTTGCGATTGAACGACAGAACTCCGTTTTCCGGTCATATCTACCGTAGAATATCCGATGACATCCGTCATCAGGCCGGCAAATTGAAAAATCTTGCTTTCGGCGGAAGGCCACCTCATTCCAGACAGGATTTCCGTACCGTAGTGCCGCCAAATCAACGCTCACTGATAACCAAACAACTCCAAAAATAACAAAACGCGTAGGCTGAAGGAAGAGAATGGAATAGAATCCAGGAATAAACCTTCAGTCATAGTCTGCAAAACTAAACGCTTCAGAAAAATAGAATGTAGGTGGAAAGAAACCCGTTTTCAAAGTATGTGAAGCTTCTTGGTCAATTATTTATTTCTTAGCTTTTCAATGGTCCGAGAAAATCTGAATTATCATCTCTCATGGTTAGGTTCAACGAGAATGTTCGCCCAAGTGCGTCCGACTTGAAACGACTTGCGCTTTTTGTAGCGGAAATAATGAGAAGATGCTGGATTTCAAGACGATTTTCAAACATTTACTAACCGCAACTTTATGAGCCATTCCAAGAGCAGATTCCACTGACTTTCATCCAAATATTTCAACCGAAATCCAATTTTTTATTTTTCTAAAAACTTGTTCCAATAACAGCCTAGTTGATCCTATTGAAAATGAAAAATCCAGACAAAAAACATTCCAATGGTAGTTTGACAAGAAAATTCTCCTAACAGTTACCATTTTCAACAGAAAACCAATATAAGCCGCTTCAACACGTTTCCCCAAAAAGAGGTATAATAAACGTCCAATTCCGCTTGTCCTCGCAGCCATTCTTCAGCCATTCGGTGGAAATTGAGGACATATACGTCTCAAGAAAACGGCTGGTAATAAACATGAATCTTCAGCTCGGGTCCATGTCAAAAGCCTACCAAATTCCTCAAAATATTCCAGGGAATTGAAGGTAACTGATAATAAAGCTAAAAATCCTTTTTTTTTCTCTCAAAAAAGATTTCAAAAAAAATTCAAATAAACTCTCTAGATATTCAAATTCTTAAAATTTTACTACCAGACCAAATTGAAGCTGAATATTAGTTTTTCTAAAGAAATCAGATTTTGAGTTTTTCAAGATACGTTGCTTTCAAAGATCTGACAAGGGAAGTCGTTTTAGTGTGAAGTTTGGAATATTCTAAAAATTTGTCAAACAATCTTTAAAGGTCCATATTAAACCTCGACATAATCCCTACCTATGCCAACGTCTAATTTTGGAGATACGAATTTTCAAAGTTGTGAAGTATGGCTTTCTGGTCTTATTTTGTTTTAACCCAAATTTGGAAGCATCCTTACTTAGCAACTTCAAGTTTCCACGGTCAGCGACTATGATGAACCTTGGAAAAGACCTTCAGAAGGGGTTTGGACAAATGAATGAAAAAAAAAACCTAAACTTCACACTAAAATGACCTCTTTCTTAACGATAAATCTTTTGAAAACTTGCCTTTTACCGTAAAATCGGTCATACTCTACAGAGTTCCACATAGCCTTTGATTTTCTATTGAAAGAAAATCCAGATTTTTGCAAAAACTCCCAGCTTATTCAACGTGGGATAACCACTCCAATCCAGGTTTTCAAACTAAACTTTTTTCTGGAAATTCAGGTCACAGGAATCTTCCTCTAGACATTCAGAGTTTTTTTGAACATATTTTAAGTATTTGAAGTAACTCAACTCTTCAATCGTGAAAAATATGATTGTAGATAAATAAGCCACTTTCGAGCTATTTTTCGCGTGTCGAGCGGTATACTTGAAAATGGGCAGAAGTTCCTGGTTTTGGAGAAAAAAAATGATTCAAAGTTGGAAAGAAAAAGTTAAAAGCGTGCTTTGCAGTAAAGTTGCTCTATGGAGAAGTCGCACATTTTTTTTCTCGGATCTCGGTAGCGTCCCGGATGCTTCTGAGCAATTCTTAAGAGTCGTGGTCACTAAAATGCTCCGAAACTTCCGGGGCATGTCCGGTTTGCATTACTGTGGACCGAGTTTCTGAACTTCCTTGTTACCTTGGCATATTTGGTCTCGAAGGCGACATGCTGCCGATCGACGAGGAGGATCGTGATGGCGACTTCAGGCTTGTCTGTTGGATTGGTCCGACTGACGGCCGAAGTAATCGAGAGGGGTGAGGTCACCTGACTGTCGAGGGTCGACGTCAACGAGTTTGTGCGCAGTGGAATATCTTCAAGCAGAAGGTTTTTTTGGATTTTGCTATTTTTATAGTGAATTCGTTGCGACTTGAAAGACGAGATAGACATGAAAGATTGCTTTTTTTTGTCCGAAAACTCGTGATCGCAATCTTGAAAAAATGAAGATTATTTTTTACTTTCATTCAACCGACTGACATTTCGAAACCATAGAAAATTAAAAAATTGTCCATAAAACTATCAAAAAAAGGGAAAATTCCCGTTTGACGTCGAGATCCCCCCCAAAAGCCGCGTCGCGTACGCAACACGACGTTTTTATTTATATCGCCTTTCAGTTTTCCTCCATTGAGAAAGAGACTTCAGAAAACTTATCATTTCTAAAATGTTTTTTTTTCGGAAGTATCCCTCAGAGAAGAATTGACTATTCAGTCAGTTTGCCTCGCCTTTATATCTTCATATACCTTGGCCGCATTGGGAATGTCTCAACACACAACGGCCACAAAGCTGTTGATAGAAAGGTCCTCCCGACCACATAACGATTTGCGCTGGTTTTGATCAGAGTCAGCAACACTTACAAGGAAGGTCATTTTCCTTTTTGGTTGGGAATTCACTGAAAACTGGCCTTAACACCCCTTGATATACCAGAAATACATTCTGAAGTTTCAACCTGCAAAACATCCTATTTTTCCAGAAATAAGGGTATGAAGCAGCCAATTTTCAGAGAAATCCTAACGGTAAAGTAGAATGGCCTTCATTGTTAGAGCGCAAAGCTTGATGTTCTAACTCGCGTCTCTACGCTTTGAGCCATTCCAAATGCGACCAGAATCTTTAAAATCATACCCGTCTCTCCAGATCCCCAAAAACTATTTGGAGCAGGGCGAAAGAGATAAATATAATAATTATTGAAAAAAATAAATAAATAAAAAGGTCTCCAATAAATCTATAAACTGTAGTTCCCGCCCACAAAGTCATTTTCTACTATCAAAATTAAAAATGACCGAAAATGGGCAGAGAAAGTTGAATTTTCAGCCTCAATGAGTAATTTTGTACATGTTTGCTCCTTTGAAAATGTGATTACTCGGACCACTGAAGCCAAAATCACAGGCTTTTTTTGGGGATCAAACTTCTCGGGAAGAGAGTCCTTCATTTTCTTTTCGGAAAAAATTTGATAGTTTAAAGACTTTTTTTTTGCCTTCTTGCACCGTATTTTTTCTTCCTTTCACTATACAATTTTCAAAAGTATTTTCAATCATTCGAAACTTTTTCTCACTCATTTTGTAAAATTGGATATCATTTGGCCATATCATTATTTTTGAGCTAATAACCTCGAAATAATCGTTAAGAAATTTAAAAATAAAAATTATATTATCCTTCTTGTATAAAAAAATTCAGCCAAAAAAACAGGAAAAATTCCGCTTTTTAAGTTTCGTACATTTTCTCGGAAATAGCCGCCCGCAAAGTTCAAATTCAATCTGTTTCAAGGAAATTTGAGCTTCAACTTTGCGGCTTTTTTCCCTGAAACACACGACTTTCGGGACTCAAAATTCCACACCAATTTTCAGAAATAAAAATCAGAAAGTAATGAAATGATTTTCTCCAGAATCGGAACACCGAGTTTGATTATCATAACTAAATCAAATGATTAAAAATATCGAAACTTTCCCCTCCTTAATCATGAAGAATTTCCGTTCATTAGTTTTAAAATTGGTCCATCGAGAAAAGGGTTTTAATTATCGATTGAAAGAAAATAGACTAAACTTTGAAAATTTTTGTTGTGAATATCGATTTTATAATCTATCAACCCTCTGTTCACTATACCCTTTTTCCGATTTTGTTTTTTTTTCCATTCTATTTTCCTTGAAGTTCAACATGCACAATTAAGAAATTTTCGATTTTCGTCTGTCGAGTTTATGAACTGAAACAGTGAAGCGTTCTAAAACCTTTTTTCAGTTTCTCATCTCACTTTTTTGTTTCCTTATTATTTTGACATTAGACTTCGGTTTCAAACTTGAAAAGCTACCTTGAGCCTGCAAGAACTTGTCGAGATACGATTCGGAAGGCACCGACGACGACGCCACATGTCCTTCAGAATCATTCGTTTTCTGAGAACTTCTCTCGTTTTTCTGAAGGTCTGGGCAAGATGTCGACAACGACGAGGTCTTCTGAAAACGTTATTGGTATTGAAATGCATTTTTTTTTGAGTGAAAAACATCTGATATCAAAGTTTGCCTAACACGCCTGTGAAAAATAATAAAAACACAAAAAAGTTGGAATTTCAATACCTTAGATAGAAAAACTATGAAAAAAACTTCTAATCATCAATATTTACAAAAAAATACCCGATTAACTATTTCGGCCACCTCACCAGGTAAAAACCAATAGTCAAAACTGTAAAAAAATTGTCGAATTGTAATCCTAAAAACTTTTTCTATCAAATTTTTCCCTCATTAAACATGTTTAGTAACCTTTATAGGTCAAAAAAAGCATGCTAAAAAATTTTTCGAGATTTTTTTCCTAAAAAATCTCGTTTTTCATCAAAATTTTTCCAAATATTACCTTGAAACCCTTACCAAATTTCGCAAAAATCCAAAAACCTGATTAACAGTAGAATGAGCCGACGTGGATAGAAGCGGATGAACGGTATTTTCCAGCAAATCCGCCAGATTCACATGTCCGACGTGCACTTGGATCTACATGCTCACAGTTGAACAGGAATTGAGGCGGAGAAAAACCTTGGAAACGTGTTTCTCCTTGGAAATAACTCCAAAATTAACACGTTCGATATTGAAACAGGCGATCGCTTCGCCAGGATCCCATTTTGCAAGAGGCCTTAGTGACCGGTCAGTCCACCCGCAGCTGTGAACCGTCATTCTTACCTGAAACAGAAGAGTCTTGGAATCTCCAAAGCATCAAATTTTAAAATCCTATAAAGTCTGGGGGCTAAACTACAGATATTCTTCAATCTTTCAGAAACAACTCAAAAACGAACACTCATGTACACAATCCGCTATGAATTGCCATAAAGAGTCGAAAATACGCAAAAAAGGCTTAAAAAATTCTTTTTTCGAAGTTTTTTGTGGCAGATTTCTCAAGAAATTTTTTCTTTGCTCATAAAATTCATAAAAAAACACTTTCGAGTTTTTGCTCGTGTTGCACCTAATGGAGCTTAGAAACCCGTTTATATTTTCGATTTTAAAAATTGAAAAACCGGATTCAATACACTCGGAAAGTTTTTTGGACGTAAAAAATATATCAACTACGTTTCTAACCGTTATTTTTCAATTTCAAATATCCTCCAATTACAAAAAAATCAATAAATAACCAACCCAGGGAACTTCCAAATTGACGACAACATGAGAATCGATAATGGATAGTTCTGGAGTCGTTCCAGGGTTCGGGATAGGATCTTCTACAGCCACCGTCACGATCGTTGAGCCGGCGCTGTTTTTCGAGTTCTGTAGGATTCATTTTCTATATATCAATGATTTTTGATCAAAAATTGTGTTTTTTTTTTTCAACTTTATCGATGATTATTTTCCTGCATTCGCATGTAAAATGACTCTCTTTTCAGAACTTGGCAAGTTGCATTTTCAATGTAGCCGACTGTTAGACTTTTGATGCCGGCGCGCGAAAGTCGCTTTTTGGTCGGGTAAACTTTGATAGAATCCCAATAACTATCTCGGACTTCAGTAACGGAACCGGACATGCTCCGGAAGTTTCTGAGCCATTCTAGGGATCACTTAAGAAGGCTGACGCTACTGAAGAGGCCCCTAAAAATGCCGCAACTCGTCTGATTCGAGTTACCAATGTCCGAAATACCTTGAGTCATTGCACGAGTAAAAAAAAAAGTTTCCTGCCTAATTTTCCATTAATTCATTTTAAATGATCTTCAAGATTTAAAAAAAAAGATTCGAGGCTTTCCTTGATGGAATCAAGATTGAAAACTTGAGATTCAGTTCTATTTTTCCTGTTGAGATACATTTTCCATAACATTTTCGTTTTATTTAATTATTTTTCATATCAAACTTCATCAATCATACTCTGAAAAAACCAAAAAACCAAAACTCACGACAGTATAAATGAAAGGATCATCAGCAAAAAGGTTGGCGACGCCTTCAAGAGCCCCTTCTTCGTATTGAACAGCAACAGGCCGAAGTCGACAATTCACCACGTGATGAACTATCAATCTGGGCGACTTTCGACTATAGTGCATGCTGGAATCAAGAAAAAACATATTTTGAAGCCAGAATCGCTTGAACCTGAACATCGGAAGCTTGGAATCATCTCTACCGTCGTCAAATCGTCCAACCGCCAACAAAACCTTTGTTTTCTCCGTGTTACCGGACAGAAGACTATCCGGATTATCTTTGTTCTGAAAATCAGGCTTTGTGATATAAAACGAATTCTCCGGATTCTCTTTTTTCTGAGGCTCCAACTATAAAAATAAATTTTTAAAAATCCTGTGATTTTTCCCATGAAGAAAAACAAAACAATTTACCTCATCTCATTTTTTCAGTCTCATAACAATTAGACTTTCTTGCCTAACGGATGTAAAACGATTTCTTTAAAATGCATCCGACCAGAATTTAATTACGCGCAGGGCTATCGGAAAGCGTAAACTTCCAAAACAGGCTTTGGGCCATCCTACATAAGGTTTTCACCAGGGGAGTTCGAGTTAAAGGTTTTTTTTTCAAAATAGACTTATTTTCAGTGAAAACATACATGGGTCAAACAACAATTTTTGTGACGTCATCACGTATTCCTTGAAAAAATACGTACTCCTCTGCTGGAACCTTTCGATGTTGTTAACTGACTTTTAGAGTTGAGATTAGTGATGATTTTTAGCTCGAAAACTGCGTATTTTCAGGAATTCAGCCATTATTTCGGTTTTTGAACATTTTTGAAGAGGTGCGAAAAGTTGAAAACCATCAGAAACTTATTAAAAATTGGAGAAATTGAGCGTTAGAAGAAACTTTCGAAAATTTTCATGTCTTATTGACAGGAGTTCCTCAAAAAAAACTGTTCAAAATCGATTCTTAAAGCCGATTGCAGTTCGTTTCTGCAGCTATTGCCGCGTATCCTTGATGGGTAATATGACAGACAGAAACGAACAGCAGAAGAAGGAAGACCGGTGCGAAGACGTTGGACACTCATGTCGTGGACGGTCAGATCGACTCCCAGGGAATGTTCCCGCGGGCTGACGTCCAACTTCGCGTTGACGCTTCTCAACTGCAGCGCCAGAACCCGTTGCTGCTCCACCGAGTTGCACGACTTGAAATTGTTCAATTTTCTTTATAAGCGAGCTTTTTCAGCCTCGATTGAGCTTTTGATCTTGTTTTTTCGAGTTTCGACGCCTTGTAGGTTGCAAACTACACACAAACAAGTGCAAAAAGCGTCAATTTTTTTTTTGGTCTCGGTAACAGCCCTCAAGTACCCTCAAGTTCCCTCAAAAATTCAACCAGAGCCGCAAATTTTTTACTGTTAACTTCGTACCACAGAATCGACGAATCGAAGAGTTAAATAATCCAATCGAAGGGCGATCTCCGCCAGCAGAGAATCGCGTCTGAGAAGCGTCGAATCGTCCCAAGACTCGTGCAAAACGTCCAAAATTTCGTCTTCCATCTCCTGGAAATAAAGATCTTTGGATTCAAGTGGAATTCTGGGTTATTAAAAACATTTTTCTCACTTCTTGTATTGTTAAAAAATTATTGTAGGCAGAATATTTTAATCAAGAACCAGAAGAATCTCTCTACACTAAATGCAGATCAGAACTTGAACTGTGAAAAAAGGATCGATTTTGCAAACCTCTAAAACATTAAAAAAAAAATCTAAGAACCACAGACATCTCGCAAAAAAAAAAACTAAAAAATCCAACCTTTTGATCAAAAATCGACGTAAAGTGAGAAAATGGGATAAAAAAATGTGTAAAAAAATTTCAAAAAATCTATGAACCTAAGAGCTATAAAAAAAAGGTTTAAAATCCAACCTTTTGGAATAAAAATCGATGAAAAATGAGATAAAACCTATGATCAACCCTTTTTAACCATTCAAAAAGAATTTCCTTTTTTAAAAAAAAATACTATATATAATTTTCTTATCAAATTTCGAGATCAGAAATAGTACATAATCGTTCCGTGAAACATAACAAATAAAATTATCAATTACTGAAAGTCTACTTAAAAATTCCATTACTTGAAAAAAAATTCAATGAAAAATCCTAAAATGATAAATAATTTCCAAACCTTCATATTGATGTGCGAGGGCATTTTTCTCAGTTCCGAGACGTCGATTTTTCCAAAATCGAAAGCGTTCTCGTCCTTTTTTTCATCTGAACTTTTTCGACTTCTTTTTTGATCTGAAAAAGATCAAACCAAGTGGTTGCTGACTGAAAAACCCAGTAATCCAATTGTAGAGACCTCCGCTAGCGGCAGGGACGTCAGGCAGAGACACGTCTTCTATCAACACCTCAAAATTCGGAAAAATGATACGAAAAACTCCAAATTATCCAACAAATTATTAAAATATGCCTTTCGAATTAAAATTTTTCCAGCAGAAGAAGCAGTGGGTTTTCAAAAATTATCAAATTTTGAGATAAAAAAGTTTATATTGCTTCAAAATAATTTTATCTTTTCAAACTTATCAAAAAATGGCAAAATCACTTTTGAACCCATTTTTAACCGGTCACATACCTTTAATGAACATTTACACACCGTAAACTTTATGACATAAAACCTTTCGAAACCAATAAAATAAATCTTTGTTAATGGATATGATAATCTTTTAGGATGCACGTGGTAAAAAAAAGTAAAAAAAAATGCAGTTTACCTCCTGGAAACTCATTTACGCTGTGTAAAAGTTCATCTATTCGAAAACTATCATTGAGTTGAAAAAAAAATGAAAAACCTCATCAGGCGGCGGAGGTTCGATCGTCTCGAACTGTTCATCTTCCATGCCGGGACTGGGCTTTCTGGACGTTTCAATACCCATTTCCTGTTCTTTATCCCGAACCAAACGTCGGAAGACCATCTCCCGGAACAGATGTAGCTCCTGGAGCGCGAGAAAAAAATATAGTTCAATTTTTATATTTTTTTCGTTTTAAAAACGTCGGTGTATTAGATTTTTTTGATCAGTGTTCAAAAAAAGAGTTTTTGATTTCAAATGGAATAATTTAATAAAAAAACAAAAAGTTATCAGTAAAATTTTTTTCTTTTTTTCGACTTCAGATTTGCCGTAGTGAATCGATTAAAATTGAGATGAACCCTTAAATTTCCCATTAATACGAAAGTACGGTATATGGAAAAAAACCTTTTTAAAAAAATTGATTTTTGAAACGTAGAATTTTATGGTTAATTTTTCTCTGACAAGGGATCTCATTTCACTTTGCGGTTGGGAATTTCTTGAAAATTGGCCGAAACATTCTTTGACGAACCAGAAAACTATCCTGAAATTTTAGCCTGTACATCTCCCGGGTTTTTGAGAAATGAGGGTCCAAAGCCCCTATTTTAACGGATTTCGAGTGTTTTCTTCGACTTCGAGGTATTCTTTCTCGAAAACTAGGAATTTGTGCAGGTTGAAACTTTCAGGATCTTTTTTGGTACCTCAAGGGGTATCCTGGCCAATTTTCAGGTAAATCCCAACCGCATAGTAAAATTACCTTTCTTGTGAGGGCATTCTTTAGAGGTGCTTTTGAGCTTTGCCCAAGTTTTTAAACACTTTTTCAACTCTTTAAAAATGACCGATTCTATAAAAAGTCATTAAAAGGGCGCTAGGAAGGTCTTTTAAGGGCCTATTGAAGGTGTTTTCGAATGTTTTCTGTTTTTTTCTGTTGATTTTTTGGGATAGCAATGTTACTTCTTCCGTGTATATCTATGTTCCCCTTCGTATCACAAGATAGACAACTAACATGATAAGAAAACTGGGCATCGCGTTCAATTTGCTTCATAGTAGTTCGGTCGTCCAGGGACATGGAATTCGCGGTGGTTTGAGTAGCCGAAAATCCGGCGGCGCTCGGATCCGCGACGGCATCGCTTCAAATTGAAGATATTTCCGGCTCCTTCTTTTCCCGTAGAAAAGGTCTTACACCAAATTTGACAAAACTTCGTTTCAAGACCTTTCTTTTTGTAATTTTGTGCAAAAGAGCACTTTTATTACGGTAGCCTTTTCTCAACTGTGCTTTCAAAAAGCTACTTTCTAAATCTGCGCCAGCTTGTCCCGATTTTCATTCACCTCTTAGCTACAGAACCTGCGGTTTGTATCTGCTCATGCATGCCCCGAGACAGACCCCGCGCTTCGACGGGAAGGGTTCTGTAGGCCGTAGAATAGTAAAAATCGTTACAAGCTGGCGCGGAATGGGCTATATAGTAAAGTCTCATTTCGAAAGCGCAGCTGGGATAAAACTACCGTAACAATCGGTTTTCTTGAACTTTTGTTCTACAAAACTGCAAAAAAACAAAGGTCTCGAAGCGAAGATTGGTCAAATTTGGTATACGAACTTTTTACAGAAAAAATGAACGGGAAAAGCTCGCTATACAATCTTTTTTCTCAAGAAAAAATAAAAACTTCAATTTTTGAAAATCTTACAAGATGAAAAATTTGAATACCAGACGAAACTGGATGTAGTTCTGACAAAACTGAGAAACTCCGATTAAAGAACGTTTTCCTCATGTTTCCCCACTACTCTACCTTGCGTTCGGATTACTGATGAGGCCGAGAAGACGTCGCCGGTAGGCTCGACAGTAGGAATTGAGGAATTTGGCGCGGCCGGCGGCAAAATCCCAAGTGCTGCTGACGTTGGTCCGTCGAGTTTCTTCCGTTATTCGGCCGTAGGCGAATTGCCACCATTCTTTCGCACTGAAACTCTCATCATTTCTTTTTTTCTTAAAATTGAAAAAAATCAACAAGAAAAACGAAAAAAATACAACTAGCAGTTTTTTTCTGAGACCTCCGGATTCAGAACAAGGGGAAAAAAAGATCTCGCAATAGATCTTATATTCAAGACAGTTTGAAAAAAATTTTTAAATTACCGCGTTTTTCTTGAAAATGTAATTAACTATAAAGCGTCTCACCTCGAAAAAAAGATCGACTTTTTTAATCCTTAAACTACGTTCCCGTCGAGTTTAAATGAACTACAGCGATCAAAAAAAGTTTTATCTTGTAAAAACATTATCAAGACCTTTATTTTCAGCGCAACCTCAAACTTATACGTTATAACTTAACAGCAAAAACGTGGAAAAATGAATATTTTCCAGATTGGAATGTGTCTATCACAAACTTTTCAGCTGTCACGAAATATGTCTTCAAAAAAGAAAAAAAAACTCCCAGCAACTTTTTTTACAACTTATTTTTTTCTTTTTTTGAAGGAAGTGACAATCAAAAATAAACTGACAATGTTTATAGATTTTCGAACTTTCTACAAAAATGGCCTTTCTTATAAGCATACATGGGAAAGTCTCGGTAGGACCTGAAAAAAAGGGGAGGGGACTTGGCGCGAGAAAAAAAGAGGGGGGAGGGTTGATGAAAACCGTAAAAAAAGTTTCAGAGTGCGAGCTGGACTACGCTGGTTCGATCTTATGACGAAAAAAATTCAAAAATTAGTTTTGTAAAGTCCAATTGATTGGCAGAAGCGATTTTTTTTTTAGTTAAACATTTTTTTTGAGCTATTTTTTTTGAAGACCTGGCTTCCGCCAGTTATGCTCATCCCATGGATGCTTATAAGAAGCAACTTCGTTTTTTTTAAATTTATTTGCAAAGTTGGCGGCCCATTTTCAAAATGTGGAGTCTCTATTTAACTGACTTAAAAACTGTTTTTTGGGAATAAGAAAATGAAGTTGAACTGTAATATGAGATAAAATTGAAAAGTGCTGACTTTCCGCCGACGTGTGTCAAAGGCCTCCATTTCCGATGGACCCGGGCCCGTTCAAATCTCGCCCATTCGCGGTTCAAAGCTCGTAATTCGGTCATTTGCCTTCGCGTCAGCTCGCAATTGATGATTTCCGGTCGTAGGAAAAACTGAACACTTATTTTTTCATTCTCACTCCTCCACAAGGTAAAAAAAAGAGACTTGCTAGGTTCAAATTGCCCTCACAAGTAATTTACCCCTTGGGGTTCAAAAAATGAACTGAATATAATTTTTTTCAAGTTCGATTTTTGATCTCAGTCAATCAGGATAAGCTCCGAAATTTTAAATATCCTCGACAAAAAAATAAAAAAATGTCCAGCGGTTTATCGAATTGAAAAAAATATTTTTGAAACCTCTTCCCATGCAACTTTATTATGAAGGAAACTTCTTCAAAAGTAAAAAAATTTCAAAAAAATTATTAATTTTAACTTTTCAAAAGTATTAGTGATTTTTTTACAATTTTATATACTTCAATTACTGTTGAACCAGTTGATATACTGATGCCGTGTTCAAAGTAATTTCCGCGAAATTCAAAATAGCTGTCAGAGAAAGGAAAAGATCACTAAATTTTGGAGAGTCAGAGATCATTTTGCATTTCGCGGAAATTACTTTGAACACGGCATGAAGAAAAAACATCGATTTTGAATTTTTAGGCCCTTCTGAAAGCTATTTTTCAAAGGAGCACTGAGCAAAAAATTTGAAAAAATTTACATACTTTTCTTTTATTAAATGAATGAAAAATTTCTAGGATCGAATTTCAAAAAAAATATTAGAGCGACTATTTTCATTTTTCCAAAAAAAAAATCCATTAAAACTTCGAACTTCAATAGTAAACTTATCAAGAAAGAAACCGGTTTCGATCGTTTTATATAAATCTTGGTGAAACTGCAAAAAATTATTCGTGGTTCCATAGAAATAGAAAAAAAGATATTTAAAAAAACCTTGAACCGAGGAATTTTCTGTTTTAGCGGGAATTTGCTGGAATTTTTCTCCATTCGGAGCTCAGAATTGCAAGGTTCGATGATGTAGGCGTTGTCGGTGGTTTCAGGGGCCAGAATCGCCTGAAAATATCGCAAAATTAGAAAAAAAATGCAGAAAAATATTTTTGCGTCAATTTCATCCCAAAATCCATTTTATTTTATATTTTTTTTCGCACAAAAAAACATCATAAAAATATCCTCAAAAAAATCGTTGCAAAAAAATAAAAAAACACAGAAATATTGTCTTCAAATATCACATTCGATTCAAAAAAAGTTGAAAATTGAAAAAACCCCTAGAGATCTCAAAAAAACACAAAAAGTAGCAAAAATCTATTTATCAGAGACGATTTTTTTGAATTTCTCAAAAATTTCAAATCACAAATCTCACAAAACTATAAAAGTTTAAACGATTGCAAAAAAGTCAAAAAAACATTTTTTTTTTTCTCTTTCAAATAGCCACCACTGTCTCATAGCTTGTTGGAAGAATAATAAATCTTTATTTTCAAAACCAACCCGAATTTTCTTCGGACTATCGTAATCTTCGGACATTTTCGTGTTGGAATTCCAATAAATGCTGAAACCGGAAAGTTCCAACTTCTTGAAGACGTTGACGCCATCACGCGATTCAACGAATCCGGGCTTCTGAAAAAAATATATAGATTTATTTTCAGACGAGTACGAGAAAAACCCACGGAAATGAAGAGGATTATATAATTACATCAGTTTTTTTCTTTTTTTTTTCTTTTATCATCATTTTTCATCAAAGGATTCTCAACTTTTTCTCAATCATTGTCTAATGAAGAAAAACATTATTTTTCGCTCATATCCCTTTCCCGTTACAGGAATCTCATCACATTTTCAAAAATATAGACGAAATTTTTTTTTAATTCTTTTTTGTTTCAAGAAAACATAGGAATATTCACCCAATGAGCATTTGTCGTCTGCATGGTCATTTTCTGAATTCTGATGCCGACGTTGAAAGGAACGCCGCCGGTCAACGTCGAATCGTCTTCATAGCGGATGTGGACGTTGTTCAGGATAAGCTGAGACGAAAAATAAACGAAAATCAGTGTAAAATGATGTGAAAAAACCAAATTAATGCCAGAAATCAGTTAAAAGAAAAGTTACAGTAAAATCCATTTTTATCAAATCCAGCTTTTGGCGGCCAAAAATGTGACCCTAGGCCGTTAAGAACGAAAAAAAAGATAACGTGAATAAAAGTTTTCGAAGATCAATGGAAAATGATGAAAAACCAGCGCAAAAATCGGAAAAAGGAACATCTTCAAAAAATTATATTGCGATCCATGTTTTAAACAAAATTTGGATGCCAAAAATCCGACTCTAGGCCGTTCCAAAAAAAGAAAAAAATGTGGATTATACACAAAAATTCAAGAAAGTCGATGGAAAAATTATGTCGAATCATTTCAAGAATCCAAACAATCCAACTTTTTGATCCAGTTTCAAGCAACTGAGAACTCAAGCACTAAAAATCGCAGAGAGTTGTTATTTAAATTATAACATTGAAACAGGGAGCAATTATTTTTTTATGAAATTGAAAAATTCAATTATTTCGTTTGAATTTTTCAAATTCGCATTAATTAAAAAAATGTGAAAAATTTTTCTTTAACATAATCAAAAAAATGATGGAAAATCAAGTTTCTTTGGAGGTTTTTTTTTCCAATAAGCTTCTGTATTCACTTTTCCTACACACATATTCCAACAACTTTGAAATCTCAAGAGAAAGAGCCTCATTGGCTTTTTATTCAGATCTTAAGCTTGATAACGTCGGAAACTTGCTTTGATTTTGTCGCGAAAAAAATATTTTTTTAAATAAGGTTTTTTTCGAATGAAACACATCAAAAGGAAACTTTTTTTCTATGGAGAAAAATATGTGTCAATAAATATTCAAAGGAAAAACCTGTATATTATTGAGAACCGTAGATATTAAAGAAGCGCCCCACCAAGAATCCTGCGATTCTTGAGCCGGAATACCGAGCAAATCGAGCAAAGCCGTCTGGAAAATCATATTTTAGCAAGAAATTTTGAGATCGGTTAGACTAAGAATTTAAAAAAAAGAGAGAAAAATTTACAAGAGAACCATAATTCTTTCTGAAAAGCTAAAAAGATACTTTGAAAAAGAATATTTCAACTTCAATTTCCTGCACAAAAAAACTGCTGGTCCCTAATTAATTCAGGAAAAAAAGGCAAAAAAATTGAAAACGCAAAAAAATCAACCAAGAAAGTGTTGATTTGAGATTTCGCTAAAAAAATAAAACTTTTATTTAAAAAAAAAAATAGCCCTCTTTCGAAAAAATAAAAAATACTGACAGAAATTTCACCAGTGTATTCAAAATTATATTAAAACTTTAACTTGAAATAAAATTCGGTAAAAATTATTCGAAAAGTTCAAGAAAACCTTATGTCTCTGCTCCAAATCGCCCAACATTTGTTCTTTCCGTTGCTGCTCAACTTGTTCGACGGCTTCAACATCGTATCGTTTATCAGCCGATGGAGGCCCAACAATCACGAGAACATCACAGAGCTTGAAAAAATAGAAATTTCAAAAAACTATAGAAAACTCACTTTCAAGGTCCAGGGCTCACTCCGCAACCGAGTGATCGGCACGGAAAGAGTCAGCCTTCCTAAAAGTCCGGACCGAACTTCCAGGGGTAAATCGAGCTTCCTCAACGCCGATTTCTTCAAAGGCACATTTTCCAACTCTACTTGTCCTAAAAATCGCCAAAATAAACAAACACTCCCAAAACCTTCCCGGTTACCTGATAATAAAGCAACGGATAACTGATCAGTGTTCAGATTTTCGAGATACTCGCCGATATAATTATTCAAAACCCACGCCACGACATTTTCTAGCATGGTGGCTGAAAAAAGACATGATAATAAGGAATTAAAATACGCTGGCGGACCTGTGAATGGGAATTTTTCTCACCGAATTATCATGGGAATGAGAATGGCGCTCTGAAATTAAATTATCTCATTCGAATCAGCCTAAAATAGAAAAAAAAAGCTAGAAACTTTCGGAAAAAGAAGGAAATTAGTGGAAGGAACAATTGCCACGTTTTGCCTCGTTTCGAGGAGACGCAGAGAAACGTAAAGCAGTGCTGACTTAATTTGCGTCATATGTTTTAAAATTCGAGAAAAAAAGGCTAATAACTTGAAAATCGCTTAAAAATTGATTCAAACAAACAAAATGGTATAATCCTTGTGAAAATAAGTAAAGGGCTCACAAAACCATAGTCTGCTCCATTGTACTTTTGGAAAATCCAACTTTGCGCACTTTAAAAACACAAATAGCTGAAATCTTTCTACATAGGTAAAACTGAAAAGTTCCTTTGAGGATCCTCAAAGGATCCTGAGAGGGAGATAAAAAGCTTCCTCTAAAAGCTCCTAAAATGATGTAAAAAAGCTTTTGAGCACCTTTTTCATAGCCTCAGAGGATCCTTTTTGAATCCTCTCGGATCTTTTTAGTTGCTTTCCAGCATCCTTTTTGTCAGAGGATGTGAAAAAGACGCAAAAAAGAATTGAAATGATGTAAAAAAGATCTACTGGGGACCCTTTCAAGGTCTTTTTTTGAGAAAAGCTTTTGGGGAGCTTTTCAGTTTTGCCCGAGTACAAATTAAACTTGAATTTATTTTTCTTCTTTTGAAAAGTTTGGTGATATTCTCGTTGATAAAAGTTTCCTCATATAGAAAATACTACAATCTACACATATTATCAAATTTGACGAAGAAATTGCTTAGAACGTTGAAAAAAACCTTGAACTACTTTTATCATGAAAAATCATGATTATTTTTTTAACAGAATTAATGATTGAAATCGTTAGTTTCAAGACTTATTTTTTTGGAATACATTTTTTTCTACTTTTTTTAGCAAAAAAATATAAAGTAATTGCACGAAAAAAATAACGAAAAAAATGAAGGAAAAACAACATTTTCGATTTCCCGGGTTCTGTCGGGATCCCTTTGCTAAAAAAATGTTTCATACGTGGTTGCACATAATGCACATTCTTTCAATTTTTCACGCGCAGAATTTTTTTAAATACGGTTTTAATAGACTTCATGTTATTATTTAGCTGATTCTTTACAATCTTAGAGCTTCAAAATAAACTATAAAGCGTTTTGAAACCGCTGTGAAATTTTTCTTCGTAATAATTCGCCTTTTTTACTCTTTTTTGAACGATGTTGCAAAAAAAAGGTCCTTGAACTGCATTTTGTTCTCTGTTTGTCGTACTTTCTGCTGAAATTTGACGTAAACAACTTTTCTCTTTCTCGCTCTCTCTGTTTCTCTTCCCGCTCTGAACGCCTGTTCCGATTTTTCTTTCATTTTTGGTGGTTTATTTGAAAGAGAACAGTTTTTTTTAGATGCGGCGAGTTAACGAAGTTATCTCATACGCTAAGGCGATGAAATCATTCCGTTTGGAAAAGACGAAAGCCGCTTGCCCATTCTCTTCGGATACTCCTAAAGAGGAGGCTCCAACGGATCCAAAACCATTCAAAGACATCCCTGGACCGTCAGCGATGCCCATTTTTGGTAGTCAAACTAACCTTAAGAATAATTTTGTTGGTTTGTAGGCTTCATCGAAGTTAAAATTCAATCTAGGATGTTTCAGATGACACGACAGTACAAAATTACTTTGATGCGCTTGTAAAAATGAACCAAAAATATGGGCCGATTGTGAAGGAGAGCTTGGGTTATGGACGGGGCGATGTTGTACATATTTTTGACCCTGGTTATTTATCTAGTTTCGAAAATAATATTCGAAAATTGAAATTCAGAAGACGCCAAGGAAGTTTTCAACAATGACGGGAAAACGCCTCATATTGTTCCTTTGCAAGAGACAACGATGAAATATCGAGAAATGCGTGGGATGAACCCCGGGCTTGGCAATTTGTCAGTTCCAAAAATTTTTCTGAAAATTCAGGCGGTTTTTTTTAATCGATACTTTTTGATGGGACAAAAAGAAGAAAATTTACGGTCAAGTTTGAGTTTGAAAATTTCATATTTTTGTTGAAATTTAAATAATTAGTCATTTTATGGTTTATAATAAAGTTTGAGAAAAAAATTGACGTAAAAGTGGCCCTTTTATAAAAGTGAAAAATTTTCATGCCGTGTTCGAAGTAATTCCAATTTTCTCTGACTCTCCAAAATTTAGTTATCTTTTTTCTTTCTCTGACGGCTATTTTGGATTTCGCGGAATCACTTTTAACACGGCTTTGTCAACCACTTTAAACATTTTAATAATTTCAAACAACATCCGTTTTCCTAATATTTGTTTGTAGAAACGGCGATGAATGGTATCGTTTGCGATCCTCCGTCCAAAAAGGCAATGATGCGACCGCAGGACGTTCAAAAGTTAATTTTGAAAAAAAGTTTTTTTTAAATTTAATTTAATATTTTTTTCAGTTACCTGCCCTTTACAAATCAGGTGTGCGGAAATTTAATCGATCACATAAAAGAGCAGCCGGATTCCAATGGAGAAGTTGATATGCGAAAAATCGCCGGCAGGTAAATTTCTGGCTCAAAACTTTTCAAATTGAACGTTTTTTATCATCGCGCTCGTTTCAAAGTGTATATTTTTTTCCGAAATTTGGTCAAAAAAATCAAAAAAATATTGGCTTAGTTTCTAGTCATTTTTTTCGGTTTTTTTATGAAATTTCAGCAAATTCAAAGGTGTTATTATTGAAAAAAAGTAGAATTTTATCAGCAAAATTTTGATTAAATCACTTCTTAATAATCTCTCATCATTTATTTCCAAAAAAATTGAATGCTTTCGGGTCAATATTTCAATCTAAAATTGATTTTTTCTTCCTGAAGAAAATAATTTTTCATATATTGAGCCTCAAAACAAGCTTTTCCTAACCATAATTTAAAAATTTTAAACTTCAATCTCAACTTTTTTTGAACCAAGCTTGGAGATATTGAGCTTCAAAGTAATATTAAACGGTCCTTTCAACTTTTGAGCTTCAACTTAGTTTTTTAAGAACCAATTTTTCAATTATTAGGCTTCAAAGCGAGCTTTTCCTAACCAAAATCCAACATTTTTAACTTTGATTTCAGTTTTTTTTTGAAACTGTACTTCCAAATCTTGATCTTCAAGCCATTTATAATAAAAACCAAGCTTTCAAATATGATAAAACATCAAAAAACGCTTTATTGAAAGGTTTATTTCAATGACTCTACTTGCTTTTTTTTTGGATGGTCAATGGAATCAGCCGGAATGATAGTCTTCGAAAAACGGCTCGGCGCTATGTCGGACAACGTCGAATGGGCCGACCGGCTGATCGAAATCAACCGGAAAATCTTCCAACTCACGGCCAAAATGAAGTTCGGCCTTCCGCTCTTTCGGTTCATGCCGACGCCCACCTGGAAGCAGATTGTCGAGCTCGAGGACTTGTTTTACACGTTTGAAATGCTTTTGATGAAAGAAAAGCGGCGTTTTCTTTTTAGTGAGGCCAACAAACTAATGGATGAAGCCATCGAGAAGCTTTCTTCTAAAAGAGATGAGTGAGTTTTGCTCTGAAGGCTTTCGGACTTCAAAGTTTTTTTATAAGAAACTCCAGAACGGTTCCTAAAAGGGCCCTTGTAGGCTCCCCTCTGAGGATCACTCTACCTAACCCTTTAGGGGCCACTCAGAGTTGCCAAGTGGCCCTTATAGAGGACATGCTAGTCGATTATCGTCATTAGAAGAAGTATTTCCATGAAAAAAATCAACAAATTAGTTTTTTTGAATGAAAAAAATATCAAGTTTTTTTCTTCATAAGAGTCACACCCTAAACCATTATAGGGGCCACTTAAATTTTACTCCTGTAGGGGACACTTTTTTATCCCACCCAGGGAGTATTTTTCCCCGTAAACCTATAGGAACTCCTAAGTTATTCAATATTTTCCACTTTTCTGACCGACGTTTTTTTTTTGAAAATCTTAAAAATTCGAGCTCTGAAACTGTTAGAAGTTCAAGATATAGCAATTTACACACATGCTCATAAAAAAGCCTAAACAGGTAGAGGATTTGAAATTGAAAACTGAGTTAGAAACAAAAATTATGAAAAAGTTGATATATTGCTGACTTTTGAAAATCTTCCAAAGCCCATAATAATGTCGCAAAATCGATATTAATGTCGAAAAATCCAGATCCGAGATGCTTTTCGCGAGTTATTTGATCAACCGGCCGGAACTCGACAAAAAAGACGTCAAAGTCATTCTTTTATCCCTGTTTTCCGACGGTCTTAGCACGGTATTCTGATGAAAATACTGTATAATTTCCAATTTTTCACGCTTCTCAGACAGCTCCGATGCTCGTCTACAACTTGTTCAACATCGCCAAACACGAAGATATTCAAGAAAGACTCAGAGCCGAAATCAACAGTGTCGTGAAGCCTTGGGAAGGTTCGAAATTCAAAAAAAAAAATCGAAAAAAAAAATTATTTTCCTTCAGAAATCACCCCGGCGATCCTACAGAAGCTACCCTTTTTACGCGCTTGTATCAAGGTCTCAAAAAAGAATGAATTTTAAAAAATCGGAAAATTCTAGGAGACGTTCCGGTTGTTCCCCCTGACCACAGAAATCTCGAGAATCCCCCAAAGGGACCTGATTATTCGCAATTTCAAGATTCCCGCGGGAACCCCGATCGACATCAACACCAGCATTTTGTTGAGGTTTGTTGATGGCTCGGGCGAATCCTGGGAAGGTGTTGGGAACAGGGTTGCACGAAAGAGATTTGCGGAAGAGAACTTGAATTGAAATTTCTGCGGGGTTGAATTTTTTTCATCGTAACAAAGTTGATGGTAGTGAATCTAGACGTGTATGGAAGATAAATAACAAAAAAACATTATTTTAATTAAGCTCTCATCGTTTAGAAACATCCGAAAATAGCAGTTCCTTCCGTGTTCAGTCTTCCGTAAAGCTGTTTTTGGACTTTTTCTAAATAATGGTATCTTTTATAAAAATAAGTTTTCGATATTTATCTTCTGAATGCACATAACTTCACAATTATCAACTTTTCTCCGATAAAAAAACCTTCTCTTTCAAAAATTTCGATTCAACTGCAGTTCCGCAAATCTCTTCCGTGCAACCCTGGTTGGGAAGGTAACCATCAGGAGGTTGGAAGTTGCATGGAAGCTAGAAGGTTTCGGGAAAGTCTTTAAAAGGTGTTCGGAAGGTAGATGGAAGGTATTTGGAACGTGAAAAAGGAAAATGCCAGCCAGAAGCCTGCTGGAAGGCTTTTTTCCAAGTATAAGGTGTCAGGAAGCTATATGGAAGGCGTTCGGCCACTTGCAGGAGAGCTTCCAAACACCTTTTGAAGAACCGAAAGCAGAAGCTTCCCAACTTTCACCTGTGTGGAATAGTGTTCTAAAATTTGACCGTTCGACCAATTAGACCGTTCAACTGATTCGACCGTTCAGTTTTTCGAACGGTCATAACATGTCATTTTTCTGACCGTTCGTTTGACCGACCAGTTTCTGAAATTTACAAAACCGAACGACCATTTCAAGAGTGACATTTCGAACGGTCAAAAAATGACCGACCATTTTTGAAGTGACATTTCGAACGTTCGAAAAATGACCGACCATTTTAAGAGTAACATTTCGAACGGTCAAAAAATGACCGACCATTTTTGAAGTGACATTTCGAACGGTCAAAAGTCAACATGTCACTCTGAAATGACATGTTGAAATGTTGAAACTCCAACCGTTCGACCAATGACCATTTATTATGACATGTTGAAAAAATATTGGTCGAACGGTTGGTCGAACGGTCAATTTTCGAAACTATAGTGTGGAACAATTTTTTCCCTTGCTAATGGTTTTTGTGGAAATCAAGAAACAGAGACGTTATTCAAATTGATGAGGCTTTTTTAAATAATTTTTCTCGGAGAAACGTCCTTTTTTCCAATCCCAGAGTATTCCAGTTCAAAGTTATCCTGAAACTTCTCCTGACTCTTTTTTGTCCGACTTTTTTGAATTTAAAAACCTTGAAGGTTGTCTGAAATGTTTAACGACCAGATTGAGTTTGAAATTGATCTTAAAACTTCTTCCAAACTCGTCTTTTTCGAATTATAATTGAGATGGATTGTTAAAGGTTTTCTGAAATACTCTTGTAACATCTCCAAGACCCTTTCTTTTCGATTTTTAAAATCTTAACGGGTTCAAAAATTCTTGAAGGTCTCCTGAACTGTTTTTGTAAAATCTCCAAGACCTTTTCTTTCCAATTTTCTGAGTTCTAACTGAATTCAAGTTCCTGGAAGGTCTCATGTACAGTTTTTGTAACATCTCCAAGACCTTTGCTTTTCAATTTTTCAATTTTTTTAGAACTAAAAAATCCTTGAGGATCGCCTGAATTTTTCAACGGCACAAGTTTCAATCTTCTTCTTCTTCTTCTTCTTCTTCTTCTTCTTACGCCTTTGTACCGCTTGAGCGGCGTCGGCGCCCAAAGTCGATTAGCCGAGGTCCTATCCTGATATCAGTGGACTGGCTCCAGTGACATATCCGTCCTTGTGTGTGACGGCTGGGGATTTTGACAAGTTTCAATATAATCCTTAAACTACCCCTAGACTGTTTCTTTACTTTTTTGGGACTTTCAACTGAATTCAAGTTCCTGAAAGGTCCTTTGAAATACTTTTGTAACATCGGCATTGCTGAGACCGTTTCTGTTCAATTTATCCGAGTTTTATTAGAAATAAAAAAATCCTTGAAGGTCTCCTGAAATATTTTTGTAACACCTCCAAGACCCTTTCATTTCAAATTTCCGAAAAATCAAAAAAATCCTTGAAGGTCTCCTGAAATGTTCAACGACCCGCTCAAGTTCAAGCCGACGCGTTGGTTGAGAGAAAGCGGCAAACACGACCAGGCCCATCCATTTGCTCTATTACCTTTCGGTTTCGGGCCAAGGATGTGTGCAGGTGGACATAATTTTGAAGCTTCAAAAACGAAAAAAAGATTATCAATATTAAAAGTTGTCAATTTTCTAGAATTCAGTTCCTTCCCCCATTGCTATATTATTGGTTAAACTTTTAACTTTTAAAACTCTCCATTTTTTACCTTTTTTTTCGAAACTAAATTGGTTAAAAAATGCGTTCTCAATTTTATAAATTAATGACGTAACAGAGGTTTTGACACCACTTTAGTGATCACTTAATGGCTGAGGACCGCCCGGTTAATAAAACTGAGCGTTCAAACAATATACGGCTGGTCTGAGCCATCGGAAAAAGTCCCGACACGAAAAAAAAAGAAATAGTGCATTGTTGGTGGAGGGCGCAGACAGGCCACGCCCCTTGACGCCATGAATCGACTACATTGAAATTCCTACAGTACAATTTTTTCAGGTTTTATAATCCAAATTTGTCTGGATTTCCGAAAATTTATTCATGTAGCACAGCATTTGAATAATTTTTTTTTATAATGACTTTTCTGGTGATTTTTTTTTAGAGTTTTCGTGGTCCCTGTTGTATTGATTTATATAAAACCTCTTCAGGTCGTCGATTCGCTGAACAAGATCTCCAAGTGGCCCTGGCACGGATCGTTTCCGTGTTCGTCCTGGAACACCGACATTCGGCCATCAAACAAATCTACGAGACCCTGATGATGCCGCAGGGAAACTGCCATTTCAAATTGACTCCCGTTGACACCTTTTTCTGAAAATCATTGCTTTTTATGTATATTTCTGTGTGATTTCAGTATTAGTGACAAAAGATAGACTGCTTCTTGAATAAGCTTAAGCTTCTGTGTTTGAAAGTTCTCGGCCCGAAGCTTGCTTGAAGATGCGCCCGACTAAAAACGACTTCCGCTTGTATGTATCATATTTTTTCGAGTCCTTTTTTTTTAACATTGATTACCTAATCTTGTCCTGTTGTATTCCTCGGGTATCCTAATGTATTTTCTCGGTTCATGAATTTTAATTAGCTTCTTTTTTTTTCTCAAAAATAGCATATTTATAAAGAAGGAAAACAAGTCACTAACAAAAAAATCCCATCCTGTAGTGACACAAGACGATGCGAAAATAATAAAGTTAAAGAATGACAAGAAAAAATGTAACAGGCAATATAATAGATGAACTAGCGCAGCTATAATATAATCGTGCCGATTTCTTGAGCAATTTGTAAGTGGAGGAAAAATTATGAAAGGAAAGAATAACCCGGCGCCCGGTCCAACAACTGTTGAGCGTTGGGTTTATACATTGATTCACAAGAAATTCTGGGGGTTTTTTCAAAAGAGCAAGTACATATTCAAGTGGCCTGCGCCTTTAATAAAAAATGCGATTTGTTATGAAAAGACTATAGTTTCAGTTAGAAAGAGGAGATCACAATTGGAGTTTGTCTTCGAGCTCGCGGAGCAGGTCGAGCTGATCGTTTCGCTCGACGCTGACGTCACTCGACCTTTCAGATGACGTCAATGAGTCATCTTCGAATGACGTCACTGTCATCCGCTGTTGCCGGGTGTCCTGGAAATGAGGAACGTTTTACTTCTATTAGAATTGTTTTTTAAAATGCAAAAGTCTTGAATGACCTAGAATAACACTGAAAACGGCTCTTCGCTTTGAAACCTTTGTGGTAATTAATCCGTGCTCCTTTAAACATCCAAATTAGATTTTAAAAACCCTGATACTTCTATATTTATGATCTTGTCAAGACCATTGTCTAAAAGTTTACCGATTCTATGAATTTGGTAAAAATCATCAAGTGAAATATAACAAACCTCGGGTAGAACTTCATCGATATGGTGCTGGGTCATGGAAAAATGCGACGGATTTCGGCTGCTGCACCAAAAACTCCGTGGATTATTGGCCTTGAAAAGAGCAATTTAACATTAAAAAAATTACTTTTCTTTAAAAATTTATATGAACTAAGTCTAGCTTATAGAGGCTTCATAACAATTTTTCGATTTTCCAAAAAAAAAAAATTATTTTTCTCATTTTCAGAATTCTTGATCAGGCTGGAAGACAAAAAAAAATAAATAAAAAACGAAAGTGAGAGATCAACAGAGGTCTGAAGAGACGCCAGAGAAAGAAAGTCGTATATTTCTCTGGAGTCTCTTCAGGTCGTCGCTGTTCTGTTTTGGGAATTATTGCAAAACTGATAGGTATAATTTTTTTTTTTTTGGGGTGTCTCTCGAGTGTCTGCGTCTCTCTGTTCTCTCGCCGGCGAGGTCAGAGAATTATTAAAATAGAATGTCAAAATGAGAGGGTCGCTGAGACACGAGGATTCAAAGAAAAACTAAGAGAATGGAACGAGCTCTACTGAACTTTTCCCTAAAAAAAAAACTTTTCAACCCATTCTGAAACTGTGAAAACTGGTTAAAGTGCGTAATCTCCTGAAATCCTCACGTTTTGCGACTGAGACGAGCTCCACGCTGTTGACCGCGTCTGTTGTTCAGAAGACGTCGTCCGGGCAGAGGACGTCTTCCGGCGGGACGTCGTCGTGGCCGTTGGCAAGCCACGCAGAAGATTCTGACGGGCTCGTTGGCGACGACGTTGTTCCTTAATTCATCGTCTTAGTCTTCAACTTTGATCAAGATGAGAAAGACTTAGGAACGCTATAGTGGTCCCTATAGGGGAAAAAATCAGGTGGTCCATATAGGAGACACTTTAGGAACCCCAGGGCATCTACAGGGACTACTCTGTAGTTCCTAAGAAAAAGATATATAAGATATATTAGTGGGGGACCGGAAAATGAGGAAAAGCTACAGTTTCATGCAAAATTGCGGCCTTTTTTTTTCAAAGGTGATCTAAAAATGAAAAAAAAAAGATACCTATAGTGAAGACTAGGCCAGGCAGGACACTGTCCATTCCGAATGGCAAACGCCGTCGACGGGTTGAACTCGCAATGGCCGTTGAGCGGATTGTAGTGGGCAATCTTCAAATGATTAATCAATCGATCAATATTTATTTTTTGTTTTAGTTTTAGGTTCTGCTGAGTATGTGAATAGACGTGATTGAGAAATAGATCACGTGGAAGATTAGACCACTATATAAGGGTCTAATTCCACTGATCATCAATTTCATAATCTCATCTCCAAGAGTCGATAAAGCATTCTTCGTGCAAATCTTCGAAGCTAGAGAGCACCGTTAGACCAGAGGGCATTTAGAGAAGAAAAGAAACTCTTCCCTCTCATTTTCAAACGCTCTCTAGCTTTCGAAGATTCGAAAGTAGGTTCTGGCGGACTATAAGTCCAAACGTGTAGTTGATCAAGGTAAAAACATGGTCTTCAGTTCGTCCTAGTTCTTCTGTGCCTTGAAGAGCTCAGAATGTAGCTGATGTTTTGGCTGGAGCTCGCAACCTTCTCTAGTTGGAAGCCTCGGAATGAGAGCAAGGGAAAGACGTTACAAAGACCTTTTCAATATGTTCCCCTAAATTATTCAAAGAGTGAACTCACAGCGCAGTTGAATTCGTGACAGGTGCGGGCGCACTGGTCGACGGTGACAGCGACGGCGAAATGGGTGAAAGTGAGGCGGGAAGGACCGCTGATCGGCGTCGAGATGTAGAAGATCGACGCGCGGCATTCTGAATTTTAGAAGTTTCTTCGAATGTTTAATTTTATGTCACCCTTGCCAATCTCTCGAGTCTGGTAAAATGGATTGAAAAAACCAAACATTTTTTCCCACATTATCTTAATTTATAGTCAATCCGAGGAACTCTTTTTCCAGTAAGGCCATCGAGAATCCGGGAAAAACACCAACGTCCAGTTCGCAGACTTCCGCCGGGGCCAGCAAACGGCGGGCGTGGAGCCGGGGTCGTTGGGGCGAATGTCGGTCGGGTGAAGGTCTCTCTGAATAAAATCAGGATGAATATTCAACTGTACGTCTTGAATAGCCCGTTCGCCGCGACTTGAAAGATTCCGAGTGTCTGAGTCTCTCTGCTCTCTCACCGGTGAGGTCAAAGGAGCTTGAAAAACGAGGAGGGCGGAGAGAAGTCCCGCATTTTCAATTCGCGAGTACCGGAGTATAAATACATACTGTGGTCGGAAGGGTTGCTGGGGCTGGAATGGCTGTTGGGGCTGGAAGGGCGTCCCGACGGGCCGGAAAACTGGCGGCTGAGTTGGCGGCGGTGGTGGAGGCCGCGTGGCGATGGGTCGGAATGGCTGTTGAGGAATGACTCGAGGCGGCGCTGTTGGTGGCGGCGGCCGGTTGAACTGCGGCTGGAACGGCTGGATCGGTTGGATTGGCTGAATCGGCTGGATTGGCCGTTGAGTTTGCGGCTGAGGAGGCAGTTGTGGTGGCAGAGTCGCTTGCGTTTGGCTGAAAGTAATGTACATTGAAAATTATGAATCCTCTCTAGCTTCAACTTGAACTTTTCAATCCCAAAAAGGATTCTATGAAAAGGACCCCTCCGAATCAACAGATCGAGCTGATTTTGACACTATTTAATGTGTCTTATAGGACGTAAAACATATCAAAAGCTTTCAGAGAAACATTTTGAGGTGAGTTTTGAGAAAGTCATCATAAATCTAGCAAGCGAAAACTCTTTCTCTCATTCCAGAGCTGTATAAAAGACTTTTTAGAAAAGTTCTAGGTGTAAAAGCTGACAAGAAAGGAGCGGCAGTGGTGGTGGGCGTGGTGACGATAAAGGGAATGGTTCGGATGGTCGTCGGTGGTGGTCTGGAAAAATAACTGTCAAAGTCGGGCCGCTAAGTTTTTTGGGAACTGTTCCTTGAAAGAAGGAAAAAGTTCCACTATGCTCCTTTTATCAGCCTAGATCCTTCTTTAATTCTTTTTTCAAGCCTCAAAAATTCTGATGAAATTGAAAGGCTTAAAGAAGGGCGCAAAACGGAGCCTTTTTGCGCCTTTTTATCAACCTATATTGACCCTTTTTGCACCTTTTGAGGAGCCTTCAAAATCCTGACAAAATCGAGACACTTTAAAAAGGCGCAAAGAGGAGCCTTTTTTACGCCCCTTTTCACCCTATTTCGACCCTTTTTTCACTCTTTCTTTAGCCTTCAAAATTCCGTCAAAATTAAGAAGCCCGATGAAGGGCTCAAAATAGGATTCTTTCAGATGCCTTTTTCCGCTTTCATTGACGATTTTTGAGCCTTTGAAACCCTGGCAAAACTGTGCGGCTTGATGAAAGGCTTAAAATACACCCTTTCAGCTATATTTTTGCGCCCTATTGCCACCCTCTATAGACCCTTTTTAATCCTGCCAATTGAGAAGCTAGGCGAAGAGCCAAAAACGGGATTCTTACAGCTGCCTTTTTTCGCCCTTTTATCAACCTATATTGACCTTTTTTAGGCCTTCAAAATCCTGCCAACTGAGAAGTTAGATGAACGGCGCAAAACGGAGCCCTTTTAGCTCCCTTTTTGCGTCCTATAATGAATTTTTATTGACATTTTATTGATCCTTTGTAACCCCGGAAAAATTGAGCGGCTTGACGAAAGACTCAAAACGGTCAAAATTGACCTTTTTAGCTCCCTTTTTGCGCCCTTGATCAACCTATATTGACCCTTTTTGCACCCTTTTAAGACTCTCCAAAATTCTGCCGATTGAGAAGCTAGAAGAAGGGCGCAAAACGGAGCCCTTTTAACTCCCCTTTTGCTCCCGTTTTTGGTTCTTCCGACCAGAGTTGCAAATGAGGCGGGTTGGCTCATGGTGAACCTTTTCGCGAAGCAGTCCCATTGTCAAAAAAGCCATTCTTTTCCTTATTTTTCCACTAGCTTTTCCCCCATCATTTTCAACTAGACGGTCGGGTCAACCCGGGGCACCCAAAGGGTCCATTTTGCCAGTCTGTATCCTGTTCTGCCCGTGGAAAACTAAGAAGACGTGGTTTCAACTGACTGAGTGGGTCTGACCGTCGTCGTCACCGGCTTCCTGGTCGTCTTTTCGCCGCCCGGCCGGTATGGCTTCGGCACGAATAAGCTCTTCTCTGAAGGAAAAAATAAGAACGTTCAATTCTAATTTTTGAAACCGTTTTCAGTGGTGATGACGTTATTGTCGTCGTAGGCGCCGAAGAGATCTGCCGGCTCTACATTTTCAGCTGAAAATTGAATTTGTCTTATACAGATTCTCCAGCCCAAGGTTTCAAGTTGGAGAAGGAAATAAAAATACTTCACCTTGTTTATTGGAAACAAATTATCTTTTTCTTTCAAAAATCAAAAAAATTAAGATGAAAAGTAGAAAGAGCTATCTTTTTCTTCGAGACTCAAACTTCAAGTTCTCGCACAAATTCATGAAAAACTTCAAGAGGAAATAAAGAAACTCGAATTTTTGACAAACTTGTACAGGGTTCTAGCATTTCAAAACTGACTTTCTTCCCTAAAAAAATTAAGTATATATCATTCTGAAAGTTGTGAGTTAAAAAGATGAAAAAAAGATTATCCTTTTTTTTCTATTTCCGACATCTTCAAATCCTCCGACAGTTCATTAACCTTTTTAAGGAAGAAATTGAAGATTTGGAAGATGATTTTAACATTTTCAATCAAAGAAAAACTGGCATTCTTCCCTGAAAAAAATCAGGAAAAAAACTGACATATTTTTTTCTAGAAACTGTTTCATTTTTTGAGAGGTCAAATAAAAAAATGAAAAAAATATCTACGTTTCAAAAAGGATAATTCCCGTTCTCATTCTCCTTTTTCCTTTTTTCCTTTTTTCCTTTTTTCCTTTGTTTTTTTTTAATCATCTTCTTTGGCACTTGTTCAAATTTACAAAAAAACAAGCTTCCTTCAAAAAGAACATTTTCCAGTTCTCTCAAAGTTCCCACTTCCGAGAAACTTCCTCGGAGGAGGAAAAAACTAACGCTGAACGTCGGGCTCGCCGCCGTCGACCTCGTTGAAGAGTTCGCGTCGGACGCCGTCGATCGTGCCGACGTCTGGAATCTCCTCCTCGTTAGGCATTCATCAGATGCGTTCTCCGCGGTTCGCAAATCGTTTCCAATACGCTTATACATATATATGCAAACAATTCGCGCAACGAAACCGGAATATCGTCGAACAGTGAACGGATGAGATGTGAACAAGGACCGCCCCGGGGCCAAGGCTCAAGGACAACTTTTCTACGGCAAATTCTTTGGGCATTACGTCATTGTGTTCGTTTTTTTCTTGGGAAAAAGCTCGACGAAGTCGAAGTTTAGATTTGACATATTCAATTGTTTCACTAAAATTCTCTAGGGCTAAAAAAGGAGCATGAAAATAGGGTTTTTTTTTCAATTTTTTGCTATCTATTGCTGTTTTTGTGTTAAAAAAGGCTCAATAAATTTGAACATATACAATTGTTTACCAAACATTGTCCAAGGCTATAAAGGGAGCATGAAAGTGTGAATTTTTTTTTCCAATTTTTTTCTATGCAATTGTCTTTTTTTGTTATTCTTGTGGTAAAAAAAGTTCAAAGCGTTTTTGAAGTTCAAACTTTTTGTTTCCCAAAAATTATCAAAAAAACAAAAAGACGAAAATGTATTTGAATTATTCAGTTCGCCTGAAATACTATTAATTTATAGTCCCCTCGCGTTTTTTTCGAGGAATAAAAAAAGCTGCAGAGCTGCTTTTTTTAACCAAAAAGAAAAAAATTTAAACACTTTTTTTGAACATGAAATAAGGACAATTAACTATGAAAAACCCAGGATAAATAATCAATTTCACTACTTTTTGATGAAAAAAAAAAAAAATTCAATTTTTTTCTTTTTGCAGGCATTATCTATGGAGCGCAGTTAATCTTAATTTGAAAAAAATCTTCAAAACGGTGTCATCTCTTTTTTTAATTTCTGATTTTTCCTATAGATTATACCAAAAGAATTGCAACGAGAAGTTCTCTGCTTGGATTTTTAAAAAAACCCACAAATTTTGAACTTTTTCTCCATTGCCGCCGTCGGCTTCTGCAATCGCTCGTTCTTCAATTCTGAAAAAAATTCCTATTTTTTTAAGTTAAGAAATCGACAAACTTTTTTTCTCATCGATCTCATCGGCTGAAATCACCGCAATGAGCCCAAATAGGGCGACTATCGCCAGCCGCATTGGGTCCTGCGAAGAAAAAGAGGTTATGAAGAGGACAATTATCGAAAAAATTGGAAAACGAGGAGAGAAAGTGCATAAAATAGTGTATAGAAAAAGTCTTGAGAATAAAGTCAAGATATGAGACTTGAAAATGACGATTTAAAAATAAAAAAAGGAAAATCTGAAAGTTAAAGTTATAAGCAAGACACCGGGTGGCTGAATTCCAATGATTTCTAGAAGCTTAAAAATAAATTTTCAGGAGGCCAGAATCCTGAATAAAATAAAAAAAAAGAAAAAAAACCCTCCAATTTGATTTAAAAATAAATTTGTTCCTTCAAAAAAAAAACCTTCCATTTCATGTCAAAAAAAAAATTTTTTTTCCAAAAAAAACAGGATTTCATCTTTGTTTGCTTGATTTTCAAATTTCCAAAGATTTGAGACTTTAGAATTTCAAACGAAAACTTCAAAAATTCAAGGCAAAATGAAGGATTGAAGAGATCAAAGCACATGGAACAAGGTTTGAGAATTGGGAAGTCAGGAGAAAAAGCAACAAGACCAAGTCTGGCATCGTCCAGGATGGAAAAACACTTGGCTTGTGTCAAGTTTCCTTCGCCACCAATGCAACCGTCACGCAATCGCCGAAAAAGTGCTGGAATGCCGACGACGGGGCGGACAAGTTCAGCAGATTCAGACCTTTGATAAATCGTGATGAGTCGAAAACAATTGGATTCTGAATCAGAAGATCAAGTCGCCAGCGTTGGAAAAGTATTGAGCCGTGTTTTTTCTGCTCCAAAGTATACTTAGGCTTCCTTTTTTTTTTGATTTTTCAATTTTTGCTCTAACTATTTTTCTTACTTTATCTGCATTTCATGTTGTTCTATGTATCCGAGTGAAATGAATATTTCAAAACCTAATAGTATTGCCTAGTTTTTTCTGTTTTGTTTACAAAAAAATGAAAAGAACTTTTAGAATACCGAAGATTCAGACCCTGTTAGATCTAATGTATGTGATGAATTTCATGTCGTCTGTTTATGCATGTAAGGATCAAATTAATAAAATTGAAAAAGAAATATTTCATGAAAAATTATCAGTGTTTCTGTATGTTTCAGAGTAGCTCAATGAAAAAATAAGAAACACTTTTTGAAATCTGGATCCTCTAAACTTTTAAAAGCCTCTCATGTTTTTAAATGCAGATATTTGATACAGGGAAAAAAATATGATTAATCGAAAAGATCGGATTCAGATTCAGAAGACCAAATCGGAAGCTCATATCAGTTTTTTTGAAAAAAACATATCAGTTTTTCAAAGTCGAGAAGAGACGTGAAAAAAATCTATTTAAATTTAAATAGAAGAATAAAGTTTTTTTATAAAAAAATATGATTGAAAAAAATCGACCTGGAAATAAAGCCACATGAAAAAGCTAAATAACCGTGAACTTTCAAAAAGCTTTTGAGGGATTTTTCAAAAAAAGTTTTTTTAGCGAAAGACTACTCAAAAAAACATAAAAATTTTTCTATTTTTTTACAACGATTTGCGCCAACTTTGAGAAAATATACTTACCCAAGTCATATTCCAAAGTTACAAAATGAAACGATACGTAAATAAGTGCATCAATTGCCTCCGAGAACATCATGAAAAAAAGGGAAGATTCGAAAAAAGTATTTCACTGCAGAATGTTTTTCCACATCAAGTTGTCCTTCCGATTAAAATGAAGTTTCATTGACCTTTTTTCTAATTTCAGTGCAATCCACCTTTGATTGTGAAGGAATGTCTATTTTTAAAAAATGTCCAAAGCCATCACTCATCAAATAATGAAAATTAGAGAATCAAAAACAATACATTTTTTAAACTACAAATTTCTTTTTTGATGGGTTTCAGTGAAAAATTCGAAGTTCACAGGTTGAACTTATTATATGAAACACAAAAAGGCAAAAAAGACTTTCATACTTTTCTCAAACGGTTCACTATTTTAAAAAAATCAATTTTAGAGCATGATTGAACGAAAAAATTATTGATTTTGAAGATTTTCCAACAGTCTGATTTATCTCATGATAATCTAAGCAGATGTGAATTTTTGATGAAAAATAATCCTTTCAATAATTTTGGGGGATCGATTTGAAAAATGCTGACGTGTGAGATTTTCGAAATTTCTATGAAAAAGTGTCTCGAAATCTCGAAGTTCGTAAAGAAATCGGAACAAAGTTATTTTTCAAAAGACTTTTTGATATCCTCTAAGAAATCTTTTCCATCAAAATTCATCACGGTTTCCCTTTCCATTGAACCTTAAAAGGGGCTGTAAAATGGTTGCGGCGAAGATTTATGAAGGAAAAGGCGACCAGTGCCATATATTTCAATTGCGAAGAGGTTTTTGGGCAGCCATCGGCGATATCAGTGATGGCGGGATGTCGGGGGGACAACCCGTTTTCAACCCACGCAACTTATCTCTTTTTCGCCCTTTTCGCTCTTCGTGTGGAGGGGAACGAGTTGATTTGGATCGTGATAATGGCAAGAAAAAGGAAAAAGGAACAAAAAAAACTTCAGAATATTCAAAATTCATCGATTCATCTATCATCTCAGTTTGATCCGAAATAATGGCTCATGGTCGCAATCGGAATGACTTGTATACGCAACCGACCTAAAGTGACTTGGGCATAAATGAAATTTTATTTTCAAATCTCATCTGGACAACATCCCCGACAATGAATTATTCATCAGCATCCCTAGACGGCTACTATGATCTCAAAAATCTCAATATGCATATACGTGTAATTTATCAACTGTGATATCTAATTTATTCCCTATCCGGTGAAGTCACTCGTGAGGGTGACCTAAAACCGGTTCTTAACCTTATTTATTCTTTTCACTTTGTGGATGAGTAAATTATTATTATTATCAAATTGGCTCCAGAAGCAAGCTAAACCGCATCGCGACCGCGACGCTTCAAGCCATTCAACTTGCTGATTATTTATTCAATTCGATCCGGAAAAAGTAAGGATTGCTTTGGAAACAAGCAGTATTGAAGATTTATGGAAGAAAAAATCAAATTTCATTTTAATGTCGAAGTTAAAAAGAATGTGTGAAACGTACAACAATACAGCATGTTGACTTCAAATTCAATTTAAAAAAATTTCAAGTTGTAAAAAAATATAAGAAGGAGTAAAGAAGAACCATTGAAAGAAGTTATTCAAAGATTTAAATTTAAAAAAACAACTTGAAAAATAGTTTTCTCTATACATCCTGAGAAGGTTGATAACTTCAACTCAACAAAAAAATCAGAATTAAAAAAACTGATTAATTAAAAAAATAAGAGCTTCTGAACGTTATACAGAAGTAATTTTATTGGAACGCCTGAAAATTTAATTAATTTTGAAGAAAAAATAAAGAAAACTGTTAAAAAAAATGAAACCTCTGAAATTTTCCGGAAAAAAAGTAAAGTCCCAAAAGGCTTTACTTAATGAAAAGCTTAAAAAACTGGGATGTATTAGTAAAATAATACAAGAGATATATTGATCTTCTTTTCTAAAAACCTGACCAAGAAAAAAAAAAGATGCGAAAAGCTTGGAGACACGCGCAACGCGATAATGAAGCGATTGATGAGGTGAAATGACTGAAACAAGCTGGATGGATGACGTCCGTCCGTCAGGGGCATTTATCACAAGAAGAAGGAGAAGAAGCAAAAGAAGACGTCGGTCGTCGCCTTGGCCGGTGTTGCCAAAAATGAACGAGGCGACGCCAGAAAACCGAACTGGATTTCGTGCCGCTCATCGCTGCACGCCCACAAAACTTCCGTATTGCGGGACGGTGACATGCCAAGTCTTCAAATTGCCCTTGTCCACCACCGCGACTTAATTGGAAAGTTACAAAAAAGAGAAAATAATAACTCGGGTTGGAACTTTCTCAACGGCGTTCCAAGGAAGCGAAAGTCTTCAAAAAAGGAAAGTTCCGATAAGAATGCAATGAGAGGAGGAGCTTTTTTTCGACAGGGTATCATGTGAAAATTTCTGAGCAGAAATGATTTCGTTTTTCAAAAATCACGCAGAATCTTGAGTAAAACTCTAGAAAATTAACTTTTAAGCAACTACTCGGAATTCGAAATAGAGAGTTAAAAATCTCAAAAAAGCTCTTTTTTTCTTTGGACCCTTCATTCCTTAGGTAAACCTCCCTGGATCTCTCTACGTCTTTTAGCTATACCGTAACTTCCGATTGATAAAAAAAATTCAAGTTTTAATAATCTTTTCTCCAATAATTTTCAGTCTAACTAGGGAATCACTTGTACTCGGTCACGGGTTTCGAGTTCAAACTTCAGTGGTTTATGGACACAAATCAGAATACTTGAAAACAAGAGAAATATCTGCAAAACCCGATAGAGAACTGAGAAAAATTCAGTAGAAAATGTGAAAATAAGGCCTGAAAATTTTCAGAATACTGATTTTTACCTTATTTATATTTTAATACAATCGCCTTGAATGATCCGGCTATATACACCCTAAAAAACTTTTTTCCAGTCAAAAGAAAGAGGAAAGCAAAAATTTGATAATTTTCAAGCCTAAACTGTTCATAAACGCTTTTTCTCAGAAGCCTGTGAGTGAAAATGGAGTCGACACCAGATCTGTAGAAAAATGACCTCCGTTATTTGAAAATAAATGGAAACGTATAGTTCCTTACTTTCTAGTCATAGAGAATAAAAACTCTTTTCTAAAACTTTAGAGATTAGAGGCTCATTTAAAAAATTTTTTTCAAGGAATAAGCACATCCAAATCTTATTTTATATAGTCAATTTTAGAACTACGGGTTTTCAAATTTGAAAAAAGTTTCCCGGAAGGTTTTATTTGAACTAAAGCTCCAAAGTTTGAAAAAATTTACAAAAAAAAGAGGTGAAAACGTTGTTTTAAGCGTATTAGCTTTAATAAAAGATCTGTTTCGAAAATAATTTTTCTTCTGGATCCAGGAGTTTCTAAATCAAGTTTCAGCCAAGTTTCATCGATAAAAACATCCCTAGAGCTCAAAACTGATCGAAAATCACAAAAAATCCACCTACAATTCTCAAAAGGGCTTTCAAAAACGAGGTGATCCCGTTCGAAGGCGTCAAACCAGTCCTGCTAAGTTATTCAGAACAATCTGCCAATCGCTGAGAATGGCCTTGCGCCTTGGAAATTCTTTTCGGACGCGACAAATGGCCATCTCCTCCGTCCGACCACAATTTTTTCTGTTTTTTTTTTTTGCTGTTTCGAATCAAAATGCGGAAGGCAGCTAGCTGATTGGTTAACGAGTGTGTAGTTACGTCGTTTCCAAAAAGAAAAAAACTTCCGCCGCCCAAGGGCGTTTTTTTCGTCCACACAACACTTTCTTTTCTTCTTGCAACGGGAATTCTTTCGCTTTTCTTGATTGAAAGTTCGTGTTATCCGGCTTATTGTGTTCCAAATCAATCAGAGAGAAACGAGTACAAGGAAGTTGATAGTCTTCAAAAGAAACCATCAAAGGTCGAAATGAAAGTACGTTGTTATTCAAAGATTTTCGCAAGTTGTCGATCGAGAATAGAAGTCTGGAACTCAAAAAATCCATTAGTTGAAGAAAACCTGACTTTTGTTGAATGTAAAGTTACAACGAAGCTTCAGTCGCCAAACTGTGAGTCAATCAAAAAATCTTGATAAAAAGGGTTCTGTTATTACTCATCAAGTAAAAGTCAGAAAAATTTGACGCGGTTAATTTTTCAAAATTACTAAATAATCTTTCATCCGTGAAGATTCTTTTAGCAGGAAAAAAATTATGAAAAAGCGTGATTATTATCATAACTGATTCACGGTTGGCTTGATATATCGAAAAAAAAACCTGACACGATAATACAATAGATAGCCACGCCCCCTCAGCGTCCCAAGTTAGCCGTGAATCGGCTATAATTGAAACTTTGAGGAACTTTAAAAAACGAGGAATTTGACAAAAAAAGATTTAAAAAAAGAATGAAAAAAATGATCACAAAAATCTTTCTTATTCTTTTCGAAAAAGGGTTTTAATCACAAATTTGATCCGATTATTTACGATTTTCAAAAAAATCATTTTTTTCTGTAAATATTTTGAGATCGGATATATTCATATAATGGAGTTTCGAAAAAAAAATTTTCCAATCTCCAAGTAATTCCAATTTACTTCGCGTTAAATCGCAAACCGCTACTCCCTGACGTCATCCCTATGACATCATCTTCATTTGCAAAAATTCGCACACGCAGCCATATCATTTTATTCATTTTTTTACGTTCCAATTTATAAAAATTAGGTTCGACGTGAAAAATTTTTTTCCGGTCACATGAGAAACAGAAAGATATCACACTTGAAAAATCCCCCTTTGATTGGAAACTTTTTTTATTCTTCTATTTTTCTTATTTTTTTAGAAACCTTTTTAAAGGTTTGGAATAATCCGAAGCGTCGAGGCCCACGCTTACGCACAGTATGCTCATTTAAAATTTTTTCTTTTTTTTTTTGGAAAACACATTTTATGCCGTGTTCAATTTGATTCCGCGAAACGCAATATACCCGTTAGAGAAAGGAAAAAATCACTAAATTTTGGAGAGTCAGAGATCATTATGCATTTCGCGGAATCAAATTGAACACGGCATTACAGATTTTTTCGCTACGCGTATCAAGTTTGCAAATCGTTTAGAGCTACCCGATAGTGTTATTAGTGTTCACGTTTCGAAACTAAATGCCTTTTATGTCAGGTATTCATTTATTTGACGAATTTTTCACTGTGGCTCAGTTTTTTCGAAGCGAGCCACAGTCGGCTTCGCGCTATGCGCGCTCCGCCTCCGTGTGAAGCCTTAAAACTAAGCCTATTTTCTTAAGTAATGCATGAACCTGTAGACGCATTTTTAATGCAAAGGCGCAAATCAGGTTTTTCCCATTCTTCAATTTTTTCAATTTCAATTTCAATTCAATTTATTCAGTCTTCAGAGTAAGATGAAGAAAATCTCTGCTGAATCATGGTATAACCGAAGAGTTAGTCGTCGGCGCGGGTTACGGTCCACAATCGTTGTCCAATACGTCCCGGAGTGACAGCTAGCGTTGGGAAACAATGTGGGACCGCGGGTAGTACCAGCGAATAAACTGCTTCACCATAATGGAACAGTACGGAGCCCAGCTTGTCCAGGGCTGACGGGCGTCGGAATATCATCCCATGCGAGAGCGGCAATGAGACCGACCACTCGACGTGATGAAATGAGATAATAATAATCTGCTGAATCATGTTCACGTAAATAAAATGAATATATAGCCAAATATTTCGATTACGCTTATTTCTTGTGTTACGAATGATGTCATGAAATGATGTCAGGGAGTAGCGGTTTGCGATTTAACGAAAACTTTCCAATTTTTGGTTGTTGACTAACATGAAAATTGAATTTTTTTTGACGCCTGAACTCGAAATAGAACTGAATTTTTTCTAATCAAAAGAGGGTCGCTTCGCGATCGCACTCGTCACATTTTTGAAATGGTGACTCAATAGATTCACAGGCAAATCGGGAGTGTACCATCACGTGTCCACGAGTATACCCCTCGAAAGAGATCGAGGGTATCCAATAATTATTCCATTAAGAGACCTTCTTCACAACTTTCAACTCTTTCTGAGGTGTACCGGAGATGCTTCCAGTTCATCGCATTTGCTCAAAAACCTCAGAGGTATACTCTTGGTACCAGACTTCAGACTCTTCGATATACATCTGGTAGTATCGCGATACCCTTTCCCGATCCGCTTGTGTAGGGGGCGCAAAGCCCCGCCCCTTCACGCCACCAAAATGACGATTTTTTTGTTGCAAAAACGGTTTTGAGGCGTTTATACTAGCTAAAGTCCCACTTTAAAAAAATTAACTGTTTCTCTTAATCTATGTAATCGACAACGCTCTACAAGACTGAATATTTTTTTAAAAACTATGTATTTTTTTCAAAAAAATAAGCGAAAAAAAGTAAGATTTAACACGAAAAAAACTGACAAGTTTCACAAAAATCGTCGCGTTTCAGAAAAACCAAATGAGGAACGCTTCTAAATTTTGAGTATGTTATATATTAACACTTTCTTTATTTTTCGAGGGAAAATTTAAAAAAATCTAACGACGCGAAAAAAAAATCGAAGCTTGTAAAGTGACACCAAACTTTGAAGCTGAAATGCGAAAAAATTTCAGCGACATGGTATACTTTTTATTTGATTTGAAAACTAACAGTGTGTCCAAAAATAAAAATTCAGAATGAAAATAATTATTGGGACAGCGAATTAAATTATATTTGAGTTTTACCAAAACCACCTTTTTTTCGCCTGCCTCGTTGTCGCATGAGAGAATAGGATCGCGTCTATATTTTTTTGATCAGGTTATTAAGCGTTCAAAAACTCTATCAATAAAAAAATTATGAAAAAAATCTAACGACGCGAAAAAAATAACGGCTTTGAAAAACCTCGAAAAAAATGACAACTTTTTTTGAAATTTTGGAAGAATTCGTGCAAGCATTCGTAGCTGTGTTCGCGTCAAACACACCGATGCGCCATTTTAAATGTTGCAGGAGCCGTTTTTTTGGAGTCAAATTGCACATTTTCCTGTTTTATTTCGAAATAACATTATTTTTTTCATTTTTTTCTTTTTTTCCCAAAACCAAATGATAATAATTTTTTTCTGATTAGAAAAAAAGAAAAAAATAAGCTGAAAAATTCCTTCTGACCTTTTTTTCTAAGTAGTTTTTTTGATATTTTATCAAAAAAATTCTTATGAGGATTGTACAAAAAGATTCATACCAAAACATGAAGCTCAGTTCGGACAACCTCTCAGAACAGAAAAATTGATTCGAAAAACGGTTCAGAAATGCGCAAAAAAACATTTAAAAAGAAAGCGTGCGGCAGCGGGTAAACCGTGAGATTTTGCCTCCAGTTGTACGCCGCGCGCGCTAGTTTTCTGGCCATAACTTTTTTCTTAGTGGACCTTTTTTCAAAAACTAAACGGATTATGAAAATGGACAGTCTCCTCTATCGAACAGTGTGAAAAACATATTTTTTGAATCGTTCTGAAGAAATGGCTTGCGGACCCTACGCTTGTGTCATGCCGAACAACAAAAATAACAGCCTTCTAAGAATCTTCCGCTATAACAAGATAGGAACTCTAGAAGATATCAACAAACACGAACATAAAAAGCAAATAAAGTAAGAAAAGAAAAAAAAAACAGGAGCGTGAGGGGAAGGAATTTTTAGCGTCCGCAGCTTCGCGGATATAGCTTCACTCACACCAACAGAAAGCAGAAAACAAGAATCGGGGTCGATCCGAGAATTCGGCAGACCCAAAACGTTAAACCATCGAGATTGTGTGTGTCTGTGAGAATTGCGTCAAACTGCAATCGGATCAGGCTTCTTCGCCTGATCAAGTTAGGTATTAAATCGGAGGCTAAAAAGAATGTTATGCTTTCGAGGCTTGTTCTTCGGCGAGAAGCCGAAAACTACGATCCGGAGAGTATCCCGCCAAAGACAATAAAAATTAGAGCTTGATGGATAATCCCTGCAAGTCAAGAAGAAGCACTAGGAACTTTTAAAAAAAAGTTATATATTCGTTATGGTGAAGTTGCGAAAAAATTGAATTTCAATCTGGAAGTTGAAGAACTATAAAACCTACAGGCGCTCAAAAACTTGAAAACTGGAACATTTTTAAAAAGTATTTAAAAAAAGCCGTTAGTGTAAATCATCAGAAAGCGCTCAGCAGAGTTGAAAAAAAGCAACAACAAAGAAATTACCTGGGGAAACGGAACCTTCTAGAGAACAGAAAAACTATCTTGTTGCAGGCCAACTTGTTCCGAAATGTTACTTCGGTCCAATTATTGGCCGTTGTTCCGACAGACGGACTTCAAAGCGGCGAAGAAGATCTTTCCACCGGGGAGCGCCCATAATTCCTCCGCTGATTGCTTGTGAATGACCGAAAGGCACATCTTACTGTGATGGATGGATAGCGATTCTAATTGTAAAAGTTGGACGAAGACGATTTTTTGGTAGAACAAAACGGAGAAACTACAGGAAAAGAGCTAACTCACAAAAACTTGCCTAAAGGTTGAAGGCATGGAAAAATGGCAGATGCGTTATCGATACCATGCCTCGCACCATATATCACAGGCAAGCTTTTGCGAAAAAACTTTATCAGAAAATCAAAAACGCGAATAGAATGAAAATCAAAGTAATAAAATTTGAAAAAGTTTGAAAATTAAACACTAAGAATAACTGACGAGATAAACGCGAGGTCGGTGGCGGTACATTGACGAACTCGCAAAAATGTCGCTTTTTTCTAGGCGCGCTCTCGCATTTCTCTCGGCGCGACCTCGCATTTTTCTTGGCGCCATCTCGCATTTATCTCGCATTTCGGAAATTTTCAAATTGCGAGAGAAATGCGAGCTCGCGCCTAGAAAAATGCGAGCTCGCGTCCAGAAAAATGCGAGACCGGCGCGAGAAAAAAAGCGAGATGTTTGCGAGCTCGTCAATGTACCGCCAGTGTCTCGCGTTTATCTCGGCAGTTATTCTTAGTGAAATTCCCCTCGTTACTAAATCTCACCTTTGATGCAGAAATACAACTCGCTCGACTACCGTAACGGGAAAAAATCTCTCTTGTTAGGCCATGAAATTAAATTGAGTGTATTAAATTTCATTGTTTATTTTGAGCTTTTTTAATGTGATAGTTATAAACGTGCAAACAGGAAAAGAATTATCAAATGATGACATCTCTCTATATTCAGCTTTTTTCTTCAAATTCTACACAAAAAGCTTCTCCGTTCGAAGACCGAAAACCGAGTCGAAAAAAATTGGAGAGAAAATGAGGCAGAAATAATTACATGAATGAATGTGAAGTGCGACGACGGTGTGGTCTATCCGACGTCGGAGAGGGTAGAAATTGTGAGAAGTTTCAAATTATATCCCCGCCTCCTCTAGTTCTGGACCTCAGCTTTGAAGCTTACATGTGTATTAATAAACACTTTCGTTGTAAGATAAGGAAAAAATTTGAGATTGAAAAAGCAACAAGTGCTGGTTTATTCAGGCATCTGGAAAAATAGATGAAAAGATAACGCGCGGATGGAAAAGCATATGCAAAAACGAGGCAACGATTTGCAACAAATCAAGGATCAACATTAAGAAAATCTCATACGATGATAATAAAAAAAACTAAAATAAATTGAAAATAAATCCCACTTTCGTTTTATATGATTGCTAAGGGTGTGGCCGCGGTAACCGCGAAATTTAAAATTTGATTTAAAAATAAGAATATCGGTTTTTTTTTTCTTTTTTTTTTCTATTCAAACGTAAAATAGTTTATTTAAATAAATATTTATCAAAAAATTAAAATAGAGGTGTTTTTTTCTTAATCTTGAGACTTTTTTTCGTTTTTTTATGATTTTTTTCAATTATAATAATCGTTTCTTTTTCACTTTTTTTCTTTAATTCCGCTATTTACCTTGATTAATTCCGCTATTTATCTTGATTTTTTTCTTGTAGATAGGCTGGAAAAAGCTATTTTTGGATGGGTTTTGGTTTCGTTTCAACTGTTCCGGTATGTGCTTCTTTAAATTTTCTAAATATTGAAATTATATTTGACATTTTTCTCTTTACTGCTTTCAATTTGTTTTTTTTTTGGGAATTGTTTTATTTTTTTCAAAGTGTCGCCTGTCCTTCCAGCACCTTTCCCAAAGCTTTATTTTTACTTTAAGGTTGTTAAAATTTAAAAAAATCGATTTTTTTATTTATCACAAACTGATCAATGTCGTTTTGAAGCTCATAAAAAAATTTTTTTTTGCCAAAATTCAGCCCAATCAATGAAAAAAATATATTCATTTCCAAGTTTTCTAGATCAACTATGTGTATTTTCGTTGTAAAAAAGTGATAAGCGTCCAATTTCTATTGATGATGAGAAAAGGGATAAAAAACCGTGTTCCGGCGACGGCGAACAGAAGAAAAACTTGCGAAAACTCGAATCGGGCCGCGTATCAATGGATCCGCCTCGGGGCAGGCCAAAGCCATTGTCGTTTGTTGTACAAATGATCCGAAACGCTGGATTTCGACCATCCGTGAACTGATATTGCCAAGCTTTTGTTGCGATTTCAACTTCTGGATGAGATATTATGACCAGAAGTGCTGGATTTTCGAACAGGAGCTAGAATGTATTTTTTTTTAGGAATGATACGAGATCTCTTTTTGAAGGTTTTGACTCAGGAAAAATTATCTTTTCTTTTTTTGAGAATATTTCTAGTTTATCAATGATTATTCTTCACGAAAATCAAGCCATTACTGATAAAAAAGTTTTTGATTGGAAAAAGTGTTTTTGAATAATTTACAACAGTATTTCCATTCTTTCTGGGGAACGGATTTCAAGACGAAATATTTTTTGAATTTTTGAAGCGAGTCATTTTTGAGAAGCTTCTCGAAGCAATATTGTCAATTTTGAAGCCCTGATATGATAAATTTTTGAAAACTCACGGTTCTTTTGCGATGCCTTTCCGGAAAATCCTGTCATTATGTTGGCTAAAACTAAAAAGGTGAATTCTCGATTTTTGAGTTGATTTCAAGCCTAAGCCGTGTTCAAAGCGACTCGGTGAATTTCAAAATGATTTTTCTTTTAGGTGATTTTTTTTTTTCGAATGCTGCGATACGTCCGCGGCGCTTCCAGTTCGCGATACCTTTAGGAACTCCAGAGTAATCCCTATAAGGGCAACCTTAGAGACCCTCCAAGGGTCTCCTCTAGGGATCACTTCATCAACCCCTATAAGGGTTACTAAAGCTTGGCTCAAAGCACACACAACAAGGTCCGAGTGTTCTTTTTTTTCTCAAAAAGAATCCCCGAATCAACTTCTTGAGAAAAGAGCTCATTTAGAAGTGTAAAAAGAGCCGGATTCTGAGCATTCTTGAGATCACGGAAGAATGCTTACGCTACTAAAGTGGTCACTAGGAATGCATCGAAAAAAAAGTCTGAGTAACTTTTATTTTTCTCAAAATGAATTCCCAAATCAACTTCTTGATAAATAAGCTTATTCGGAAGTTTAAACAGAGCCCGATTCGGAGCATTCTAGGGATCACTTAAGAGTTATGACGCAACTGAAGTGGTCACTAGAAATGCCATGACACGTCGGCAGCGCTTGGTCCGAAACTTATTATATTTTTTCAACGGTTCTCGAAAAAAATCCTCGAATCAACTCCTTGAGAAAAGAGCTCGTTTGAAAGTGTAAAAAGAGCCCAATACTGAGCAATTATAATGATCCCTTGACAAACTGACGCTACTAAAGTGGGCACTACAAATGCACCGATAACAAGGTCCTTTTTCTTGCAATATTCCTCAAAAAGAAACCCCGAGTCAACTTCTTGAGAGAAGAGCTCATTTGGAAGTGTAAAAAGAGCCCGACAGCGATTGTCTCGCGCACGAGATTTAGGTGATGCGCGGCACAAGCTGCTCAACTAGTGGACCGTCGGCGTCTCTCGATTCGCCACGCTGTCTCGCCGCTTCCGTCTGTCATGTTCCGTTGTCCGCTGGTGTCGCTCATACATTAGCGGTGCCGTGTTTCGCCGACACAGAAGTCTATTAAAGGAGCATGCGAGAAGACCATTTAAGGAGCACAGCTTGCCGAGGTCATTAAGGGTATCAGCTGGTTGGTTGCATGTGGCGGCGTCGGTCAAGGAGCTCCCAGGAAGCTATTGTTTTCCACGGCGCCGGCGGTCCTCCCTTTTCCCGACACCCTCTTGCGCAACCCCGACCGTTTGCGCGAGGAATTATGGCCGCTTACGGTAAGAGTAATCGGAAATGGTTGTTAAGTGGGTTCAGGACAGGAGAACTTGAAGAATCGAGCTTCACTTTGTGGATTTTTCAAGAACTGGCCAGAAAATTCTTTGATCTACCGAATAAATTTTCTGAATCTCCCACCTTCCAAGTTTTTGAGAACGAACACTTCAGAGTCCAAGAAAATCCCCAAACCCCTAAAAATTCGGGCTCCGATTCTTTATTTTTTCGAAAACTGGTCATTTTTGCAGATTGAAACTTTCAGAATTCACTTTTGTTGTATCAAGGAATATTCTGGTCAACACTAAGCTGAAAAAAATGATCTTTTTTTCTAGAAGTAGACCTTTTTCCAGAAAACATGGACAAACTGGTTCAAAATAAGTAATAATAAACTTTTAAAAATAATTTCAACGAAAATACGACAACTTCATTAAAATCTTACCTGGAAATTTTTTGGCAAAAATGAAATTCTTCAAAAGGAATCGAACCTTGATCATTGTCACCGAAGCGGAAGGCACTAGCCACTACACTATCAAGCAAACTGGAGTTGGGGGCGAGTACGCGAGCCAGATTTCCGTGTACCACTGATTTAGTGGGCAAAAAAATGAAAACAGTTCCCAAGTAAGAGAAAAGATCACTTTATTTTTAGCTTTTTGAAGTCTCTTTGCCAGTTCCTGTCTTTAATGTTAGTTTCACATGTATTCTTTAATTTTTATTTCCTTCTCATTTTTCAAAAATTAAGAAGTTCAAGACTCCTTCAGCCAAGATCTGAAGTGGAAAAAACATGAAATTTCTTTGTAGAATTCTTTAAAACTTCCCTATACCTTCTAGAAGCACTTACTCCCTACTTTCCGAACTCATCCCAAGCCGCCCAACTCGGCAAACAAACAACCTCAAAAAGGAAGTTTGCTCGGGCGTAACTTCCTAGGAGGTGGTGCCGACGACAGGCGCCGCTGCCCGACTTCCTGCAGCGACAGTCGTTTTAGCACCTCTAGGTAAACAAGTCGGGGACATCTTGAACTGTAAAGGGTTGTAGAAAGGTACAGTAATACTCATGAGCTTGTTCTTAGGATATTCGTAATTTTAGAGGTTTTTCAGAAATGTAGAACCTAAAAAAACTTCTCCTGGTTTTTCAAGCTGCAGATCTCTTCAAATTGCATATTTTGAAAGATTTTTTTTTTTGAATACTTCAACTCATCTCGTCTTCAACTGGAAGTCATACATCAAAATAGCACTATAGCAGCTTTTGAGAAAGTTCGTCCGACCTCTAAACGACTTGCGCATCATGGAAAAAAAAAACCTAAAATTTGATCAAAATGAGTTCCAACCGCTAGGATTACTAAGCTAGTACTATCATTGAAAAATGATCGTAATATTTTTGGAATGAAATTTTTTTAATTTGATAATTTGAAACAGTAATTTTCAGTAAGATTTCAAAAATTCACTTTTCAAATCTAAAAAAAGATCTCCTTTTTTTAATTTTGGAGAAAAAAATGAAAGCTTTGGCTTTTTTTCTCTTTGAATACAGATCCTGAAATCTTCAAAATAGGCAAAAAAACTGATTTTTTTTTTTGCCTCATGAACTGTGAGGTTCAAAAAATTATTGAAAACAATTTTCCGGATAAAATATTTTTTTCAAATTTTTGGAAGACTTGAAATTATCTCTATGGTCCTTACACTCTTACACTTTGAGGGTTCATAACTTTTTTCACAGAGCTCTTCGGCCGTTTTTGAGACTAGATTTGAGATCAGCAGGAAAAGCTACATCTAGAAAACTTGGTCTCATTGAGAGGTCCCACTGCGACCGGAGACCATTCCCTGGTTACGCGATTTAAAAAAAGTTTAAAAAAAGTTAGGTTATTAGTTGGCCCCTTTTTTTCTTTTTGTTTCCAAATTTCGAAGAAGGTTCCAAGATCAAATGATTTTTTTCTCATTTTTCTTTTTTTCAAGCTTCAAAAAATCAAATGATTTTTTCTCATTTTTCCCTTTTCAAGCTTCAACCTCGACTTTCCAGAACCAGGAAATGAAATTCATCAATCATTTGGTGTTCATGTTGAACTAATGCGATTCCGTGCCCTTCACAGCCCAATTTGTAGCATCGTGGTGGGAGAAAAGGAAAGACGAAAAACACCTGCCAGCGGAGAAAAGCGGAAATATTTACCCGCAATTTGATGGTTAATCACGCTGTCGTTCGTATGGTGCACCGTTTAAGTAATGGCCTACCAAGAAGACAGCCAGGATTTCGGAAGGAAAGCAAATTTGAGACGTTTTTGAGCTTCTCAACAGAAAAAGTCGTGTTAAAAGTGATTTCGCGACGTTCGAAATAGCCGTCAGAAAATGAAAAAGATAACTAAATTTTGGAGAGGCAGAGAAAGTTTTGAAACTACTTTAAACACATTATTTTCCATTCAATCGGCGTGGTTTTTGAAATTTTTTTAAAAAAATGATTTTTTTGGTATTTTCATAATTTTTCCCAAATATCCTTTGAAGGTCCTGCTTAGATAAAATCTCCTCTTGTCGCGAAATTTCGAACGTCGCGAAATCACTTTTAACACGACTTTTTCTGTTGAAAATCTCCTATTGCTTAGATAAAATCTCCTCGCAAATTTTTTTTTGAGGCTCCAACTTTCTCAAATTTGCATTCAACAACAAATCAAGCATTTTATTAATGGTCAGTCGTTTAAAAAAATTCATTTCTTCAAAATAATAAATTGCTTTTTTTGAAAACTTCAAGCACCATAGATACAGCGAAAATTTCTATACTAATGTTAATGTGAAAAAAAAAACCTTACATTTTTTCGTCCTAAGATTTTTCAAAACCGAGAACAACACCCGAGGAGCAATGTAGCCGAATTCGGTGAAGCGAGGAGCTTGAGATGGCCGATTGGCTGGACACGCCCACCCGCCGGAGCCGGTGGCGATGGCAAGTGGGCTCAGGCCACGCCCACCTCGCCGGACGGCTCGACGATCGTGTCGAAAAGGAAGGAAGAAGGAAACGGATGCGCATGGAAGTCGTCTCCGCAGCCGCCGCCGCAGCGTCACTCGCCAAGCCTCCGAACGGCCGCGCCAATGTCGCCAACGTCGCCGGCGTCGGAGCCGCCAAACCCGACGTCGTCAACTTCCCCTTCTTCGTGAGTGCCTTCTGATAATTAGTCGTCGCATCCGTCGGCCCCCGGATGTCGGTCATTTTGCCTGAAAAGCCGAGACTCCCTTTCACTTGGTCTTCGCCGAGTTCTTTCTCACAAGTTGATTAGGCTGAACTTCTAGGTCTTCCTGTCATTTTATTTTTGTCTATCTCGCGTTTACGTAAACCTTAGGAGTCCTTCTTTGAGTTTTAAGGTTTTTTCAGGGCTGAACTTCGATGTTTTCTAGATCTATTTCATGTCTCAAATGAGCTTTGGAGACTTGCTTTGAGTTTAGCCGAGTTCCCGATACTTTTCAGGATTCAGTGACTGGCCCTCTAGAGCTTCGGTGTAACATATTTTCGTTTAAAATGAACTTCTAGAATTTTCTCTTTGAATGAAGGTCCAGGTTTTTCTCAGGATCGATTTGCTTAGGCATAACTTCTAGGTCTTCCAAGTGTTCTGTTGATTGTTTTTTCGTTTCAAATGAAGTTCTAGAAGCCTTGTAAACTGAATCAAATAGTCTCCTATCTCTCTCTAAAATTTCTATAAACTCCTGAGAGCGTGAAGCTTCTACTTTTGGTTCAGTCAAGGTCCGAATGTTTTTTTAATGATGAAAAACGTTATGCTGGGCTTCAAGGTCTTATTTTTTTAAGCTTCTTGATATTTTTTGAGCTTCTTTGAACTTTTATGAATGTATCGTTGAGTATGAGAGTCTTCATGAATTTTTCAGAATTTTGATGGAATTTACATATTTTCCGGAATAATCTTTGCTTAATTTTCTTCGGATGTTCCTTTTTCAGGTTGAGGATGGTGTACTGATTTTATTGATCTTACCAGCGATTAGAAAATTTTTGGGTAGAGATGTAGGTTTTTTTAAGTTTTAGGTGTTTTACGGAGCTTTGGATGCCTCTGATTTAAAGTTCCATGTACTCTTTTATATTATTAAAACATTTCGATAATTTTTCCTCCAAAATATTTGTTCAGAATGGGATCCCGAGCGGCCCAACTCATCGGCACATGTTCTATGAGCCGCCGCCCAAGCAAACACAGCAGCAACACGGTGAGACCGCGACTTTTTTTGAACTATACTTTAAAACATAATAATTGTTCTGGGAAGCTTCTAGGTCATAGGATTTCGAAAAAGGTCAAAAACTGGTTAGAAATCTGGAAAATGTAGATTTTTTTAAATCTAGTGTTTCTAGATTACTGTACCTTTTCAATTCATGAAATATCAATCATCTGAAAAATGATATTAAAGTTTCATAAAGCCCAAATTCATAAGGAAAAATGATGAAACGCTGAAAAAAAACTGAAAAGAAAAATTCGATTGTCCATGGAGCGCAAAAGTTGGTTTATAATGAGGCTATTTTTGAGGCAGTTTTATCAAAATGGAAAATGACTTAAAAAGGAATGCACAGTGGGAAAAAATAATTATTGAACAGAACAACTAAAAAAAATCAAACTGCATTTTTATCCATAGACCGCGGAACTTGCTTTCTCATGAGGCTCTTTTTTCTCATTTTCTAAGGAATGAGCCCTAGATTTCCAACAATATTTACAGTTTAAGTTAAAAAACTCTGAAATTCATCAAAAAATGCGGAAAAGATTAGCATATCTTGCCTATTTTCAAACAGTTTTCTCGATTTTTCCGGAAAAGTCACAAAATACTGATGATGAGCTGCAGTCAGTGATATAGTCAAGTTGAGGAATGACAAAAAATAAAAAAAGAGAGAAGAATGGCCTGGCGACACCTCAAGAAGCTGCAAATCGCATTTGATCTCGCGCCTTTTATGCAGGCCCCTGATTCGGTAACCGAATTTCCACGGGCCCCGGGCGCCGTCCCAACCGCGCTCGTTTTCATTGTATTTCCAGCTCAAAGGCCTCCGGCTTCCTCTTTTTATTGTACAGAGCAGAAGTTTTTGGTTTTTTTTTTCTAATATCCAGTTTCTCTAATTTAAAAAACCTAGAGTTTTGTCGTTCCTTTAGAAAAATAGCCCTGTACCCTTTATTTATTGTAAAAATCAAAGTCTTGGGTTTTTCGAAATTTTTAAAATTCAACTAGAGGTGCCAGGATTACTTCCTAAAATAGCCATAATAAGTCTGAGCTTCTGCGCTCCATGGAAAATTCGAAAAAATTTATAAATTCGTTGTCACTGTTAACGCAAACTAAACGTGTCGTGATCCCTTAAGTGATCATTCAGCGGTGTCAACCTAAGTGATCACTAGAGTGGCTGAACTTCCCGTTTGCTCTGCCAATGTCTGAGATTCCTTACAAATTTGAATAGACTTATCGGTTACTTCAAAAAATCCCTGAACTGAAAACCATCCGTATTTTAAAACAGCCCGTCTTCAGACCCCTTTCTCGGCATGAATTTATCGGTGAACGAGAAGGAGTCGTCGCCATTCGCCTCGTCCGTCACGCCGAACAGCTCAAACAGTGGTAAAGACCAGGTGAGCATCTTAACCTGATGACGTCATTTTGAACTCGATTAATGCTATTTTCCACCTTTTGGAATGGAAAAATCATTGCTGAAATTGGCGTGACGTCATCAGAATACCTAATGATTCAAAACTTTTTTCAAGTTCTGTGAATAAATTTTGTTCGGTCAAGGTTATTTTCTCAGTTTTCTTGACACCATTTTCCGTTTAATTGATGATTTTTGGACTTTACTTTTTGATTCAGCCAAGTCGATAAATAATCACAAAAATCTCCTTTCCTGGATTCATTTTTTCTAAAAATTAGAAAATTTCAGAACGCCCAGCAGCAACAGCAACGCGACGGGTTCTACGAAAACGGCAACGATTCTTCAAAAAAATCAAGGCAAATTATTTTTTTATTTTTTTGGTAGGGCTACGGTAAGAACTTTGTACGCTCTCGGCGTGTATTTTGTCCTTCTTGGGAAAAAAATTTGAAAAAAATGTTTTTTTAAAAAGCTTTTTTTTTAATCACTTTCAAATGTCATTCTTTTTATTGTCATTAAAGTTACGGTAAGAGTTTTGTACGCATTTGGCGTGTATTCTGTCCTTCTTGGGAAAAAAAATACGGAGATAATTTTAAAAGCTTTTTTTAAAAATGTCTTGAACGCTCTATATTTTATTTTCTTTTGAATCTTCGTTTTTAGATGTGTTCAGCCTGTCGATGCACGCTTTCGCTCCGTCTCAAAAACAAGATGAACAGGTTTTTATTGATTTTTTTTCTTGTATTTTTTCAAAGTTTCTTTTCAGATTCAAGCGCAGTTCAACACCCTCAGCTCCTACTATTCTGGCCTGAAACTGTCGAATGCTTCAACTTTTCCCCCGCCAGGTACGGTATCTTTCTACTGTATTTTTAAAAGGGCTCAAGTTACTGTGATCATAATGTAGACCTTTGAAGATTTGAATTGGCAAAAAATGTGCTAAAAAAGGTTGAAGAGGAAAAAAAGTCCAGTTTTGAGATTTCTCATTGTCATATTTTTCCCTGGGTGCCGTACTTACGGTAGAACAATAAACTGTAGCTACTCCATACTCTGAGTCATTTTTGCTTCCGAAATTTAGCCTTGAAACTGAAAAATCAGATTTTTTTTTATTGATTAATGAACTACCGAACCTACCTACTGTAGGTCAGTCACAAAAAAACTTGAAAGCGGCTGGGAATTGAAAATATTTTGGCGCCTGCCGCTGAAATTTCCGTTCAATTTCCTGTTTCGCGACACCCGGGGCCCTTGTGATAGGTATATTATCTTCTGTTTCGAGGTGAAGATAATCATTTGCTCAGTGACGTTAAAGATTTTTGGGGAGTGGATTGAAAAATAAAAATGAATAATTCAACTTTTGCGTTGAAAAAAATAGACAGGAAAAAAAGGGAGAATAGTTATTTTACGTAATTTTTTTGACTGCCTTTTTTTATTCAAGTAGTTCAAAAAAAGATTTTGTTAAAATCTCAATTTACACTTAATAAGGCTTTGAGTGGTCACTTAAGGGGAGCCAAGAATGTTTCAAATGAACCAGTAAAATGGACGGAAATATTTGAAAAAGGTTTTTTCTTCTTTGATTTTCCTGGTCTTTCTGCTGTTTTTTCAAATATTTTTCGAATTCGTTCATTTTTACTGTAATTTCTCGTCTCATTAATCTCAAAGTGGTCCCTTAAGAGGAGCCTAGAGATTTCTTAATGGAAAAAGGCCCGATTCTTTTCCAAGTTTTTGAAAAAAATTTTTCAAACCCCAAAAGAATTTAAACTCAGATCACTTAAGATTCGTTCAGTATATCTACTAGTAATATCTTCCGACAAAAGTTTGCAAAAAGCTGCCGTGGGACGAAAAACAAATCAAAAGTTACCGTACGCCACACGTCGCCGTAGCGCGCACTCATCCATCAAGCGATACTTTAATTGTTCTTTCGAAGCGGGCCATTATCCGTCCCCCGGCGGTTATTATGCGGTAAACGGCGTGGCTCAAAGACTCGGAGCGGGTTGTGCAATAGAAGGAGTCTGTTTGTTGCGTACTAAACACCTGCCAGCCGACTGACCGTAATCCCTTTTGGGTTTTCACGCAAACACGGCGGATTAGGATGGCCTCCTTTTATGCGGCGGGCCCGTCTTGAAGCTCATGTTTCGTCGGGTGGCATCCACACTCGCATATCCGATGACTTACTCCTTTTGGCTCCTCTTGACTTTCATTGTTTTATAGAGGTCTCACGAGGGGATTGTTACTGGTTTCGTTTTTTGCTGAGAAGAAATGGATAGAACAACTACACCACGTTCAAGGGTTCTCTTTAGGAGCTACTGCCTGAAGAATTTTTCTAAATGAATGACGTCACGGCTTTTATGAAAATTCGATCCAAATAAAATCAAAGAAAATTAGGTAATTCAAGTGGCTACTTGAGGGGCTGATCGAAGTTTTCAAAAATACTTACGTAACAGTTTTTTTCTTTGGATATAACTCAAACCTTCCTAGGAACTCTAGAGTGGCCCCTATAGGGGTAAAGGGAGAAAAACAGCTCTATAGGTAGGGACCGCAAGCCATTTCTTCAGAACGATTCAAAAAATATGTTTTTCACATTGTTCGATAGAGGAGACTGTCCATTTTCATAATCCGTTTAGTGTTTGAAAAAAGCTCCACTAAGAAAAAAGTTATGGCCAAAAAACTAGCGCGCGCGGCGTACAACTGGAGGCAAAATCTCACGGTTTACCCGCTGCCGCACGCTTTCTTTTTAAATGTTTTTGCGCATTTCTGAACCGTTTTCGAATCAATTTTCTGTTCTGAGAGGTTGTCCGAACTGAGCTTCATGTTTTTGGTATGAATCTTTTTGTACAATCCTCATAAGAATTTTTTTGATAAAATATCAAAAAAACTACTTAGAAAAAAAGGTCAGAAGGAATTTTTCAGCTTATTTTTTTCTTTTTTTCTAATCAGAAAAAAATTATTATCATTCGATTTGGAAAAAAAGAAAAAAATGAAAAAAATAATGTTATTTCGAAATAAAACAGGAAAAAGTGCCATTTGACTCCGAAAAACGGCTCCTGCGACATTTAAAAGGACGCATCGGTGTGTTTGACGCAAACACTGCTACGGACACTTGCACGAATTCTTCCAAAATTTCAAAAAAAAAATTGCCATTTTTTCGAGGTTTTCAAAGCCGTTATTTTTTTCGCGTCGATCGATTTTTTTCATAATTTTTTTCATTGATAGAGTTTTTGAACGCTTAATAACCTGATCAAAAAAATATAGACGCGATCCTATTCTCTCATGCGTCAACGAGGGCAGACGAAAAAAAGGAGGTTTTGGTAAAACTCAAATATAATTTAATTCGCTGTCCCAATAATTATTTTTCATTCTGAATTTTTTTATTTTTTTGGACACACTGTTAGTTTTCAAATCAAATAAAAAGTATACCATGTCGCTGAAATTTTTTTCGCATTTCAGCTTCAAAGTTTGGTGTCACTTTACAAGCTTTAATATTTTTTTCGCGTCGGTAGATTTTTTTTATTTTCACTCAAAAAATAAAGAAAGTGTTAATGTATAACATACTTAAAATTTAGAAGCGTTCCTCACTTGGTTTTCTGAAACGCGACGATTTTGTGAAACTTGTCAGTTTTTTTCGTGTTAAATCTTACTTTTTCGCTTATTTTTGAAAAAAACATAGTTTTAAAAATATTCAGTCTTGTAGAGCGTTGTCGATTACATAGATTAACAGAAACAGTTCATTTTTAAAGTGGGACTTTAGCTAGTATAAACGCCTCAAAACCGTTTTTGCAACAAAAAAATCGTCATTTTGGTGGCGTGAAGGGGCGAGGGCTTTGCGCCCCCTATCTATAGGGACCGAAAAAGTGGTCTCTATAGGGGTAAAATCAAAGTGGTCCTTATAGGGTTCTTTCAACTTTTTTTAAAAAACGCATATATATTTAATGCATAAGTCATCAAAATAATCGATAGCATGTCCCCTATAGGGGCGACTAACTATAACCCCTATCAGGACCACTTTTGCAAGCTTTAGTAACTCCTGAAGGGGTTGGTGAAGTGATCCCTAGAGGTGACGCTCTAAGGGTCTCTAAGGTTGCCCCTATAGGGATTACTCTGGAGTTCCTGAGGGTATCGCAAACCGCAAGCGCCCGGGACGTGTCCGAGCATTCTTAGAGAATTGCTCAGAAACGCCCAGAGCGGGTCCGAGTAGTTTTTAAAAGAGCAAGTCAAGGGACCGCTTGAGAAGCACTGACTGGAGTGTTACTTCTAGGAAATTTCAGCAGAAAAACCTAAGTGATCACTTGAGGTACTGAGATTCTTAGGTGAGCATTTTTTGTCATATTCGGCGAGGACCTTCTCCTCAAACAACAAGAACCCGTCTGTCGTGTCGGTTTTGTCTTGCGGTGCATAGTTAGTGGCGCTTGACAGCGGCAGCGGAACACACGATTTCCGGCCGGAGACCCTCTGATTGTCTTCTTCTTCTTCTCGAGCTCCTCCTCCCTCTTGGCGACTGTCGCAACCTTATAGAAGAAGCCGCGAAAAGAAGGAGGAGGAGGAGGTCAATTGGGGTTACGCGTGGTGGCGCCTCAATTAACAAGTACGACACAGCCTGAAAAATGAAGAAGAATGCTCCCTGCCAGGTGCCGCTCATTTTTAATTGGCAATTATGCGCTGCTGCACAGCTTCTCTACTTTTTTTTCTAAGAACGTCTTGTTCAATTTTTCAAAATTTGAACTTTCGACGCAGAAAATGGAGAAAAGGGAGTTTTTCGATCTTTTAAGGTATAAAGCAGAGAAAACGGGATTTATCTGGATTCGAATCAAATAATTTTTTTAGAAAAAATTAAGAGATCAAAAAATCGGCAAAAAAAGCGGAGAATTAGTTTGAACTGAATTCAGGACGTTCACTAAAAAAAATAAAATCTTGAAATTAAGATTTTTTTGAAAAAAATAACAGGGGTCTTTTTTTCAGTTCAAATAGTATTATAGCTGAAAAAAAGGAGATAAGAATAACATTTCCAGGATTTTTTTCGAGGAATCGACGACTTTTTTTAATAGTCCTGTTGGAAGGTTTCTTCACAAAAATCACAAAAGTTGAAATATGAAAATTCTTTTTAAAAATTATTTTAACAGTATTCAAAAACTCTGGCCTAACCAATTTTCTGTCCTTAATTGGAAGTAAAGCAGTGAAATTTGGGATTTCGATGACCCTTCTTGAATTTTTTTTAGGAAAACAAGACAAGTTCAAAGTTAGTAAAAGGATATCCCCCCTCAAAAACCACCGATCGAAAAATGAAGTACTGCCCCAGTAGTGCCAGGACACACATTTAAACAAAATAGTCCAACTATAAATTATTCACTGTAGACTGAAGACCTCAGAATCAAGAAGAATCGAATCAGAAGACGTGCTCGTAATAAATTTATGTGGTTGCTTGTGCTTTTGAAATTTTTTTACGAACAAAAAAACAAGTTTAAAAAAAGTAGTGAGATGACCCCCTCCCGGGAAAAAATCCGACCCAAAAAAATTCAGTACTATACCTACTACTCGCGTAGCGTCAGGACACACATTAAAATAAACTTTTCCAGATAGAAATTATTCACTGTAGACTGAAGACCTCAGAATCAAGAAGAATCGAATCAGAAGACGTGTTCGTAATGAATGTATGCATATTCAAGCGGAAGCACTTGATTAACTTATTGACCTATTCGAGTAACTCAATCAGTTCGAGTCAATTCGGCTAATCTCCCGTAATTGCTAGCTTCTCCCAGGGATAAGACACACAGTTTGGTGACCTTAAACGTTGCCCACCTGTTGTTGGGTGTTTTTTACCTGTTTCACCTGTCTTTTCTAAATGTCTTGGGTCGTTGGAGAGAAATACGTTGGGTTTCGAGACAAATCACTGTGCCACCGTGTTAATGGGCTAATTGCCGGGTGGAGCCTTGACGAACCAATTGGGCCCTAATCGGCTTCCAGCGTGTTTGTACACGCTTTTTGAAGCTTTGGGGGATTCTCGATAGGCCTTTTTTTATTTTTAGTTGCCAAAACGGTTTTTTTGAGTGAAGGATACAGTAAGAAAAAGCTTCGATAACATAGTATTTTTTTCATAAAGTTATATACTTTTTTGAGAAAAAAAGCAAGATTCAAACTCTGCCTAACCCCCCTGCCATTTTTTTGATTCCAAGAAATTAGAATGACTTTCAGACCTGAAGGCTTCAAGCTTAAAAAGTCATTTTAACTCCTTAGAATTTAATTTTTCATTTCAAGGTCTTTTTCGTTTTTTTCAAGCTTTTCATCAAAGTTTTTCAAGGAAATCAAGTGACATTTTGGAAAAAAATAGGTCTTGAGAAGGAAAAAAAGTATAAAATTATTGTTCAAAAAAACCGGAGGATTCGGCCCTTTTTTTCCTTCTGAACGACGGTTTTTTTGAGATCATTCAGGCTTTTTTTCCCAACATTTGTAGACTTTTTTCTCAAATTTTTGATACCGAGGTTAAAATTTTCATATCAAAAGTGTGTTGTAAAGCGGTAACAGACAAGGTTTTCTGTTTTTAAGCCGATTTTAAAAGTTTCATTTTTCTGGAATACGGTAGACGATGCTTTGTTGCGGACGGCGACCCATTGAATTGGCTCAATTAGCTCGTTTTCGCGTGTGCTTTTCGTCTTTCTTCCCACTATTTGGCTGAATTTCAAAACAAAGAATTGTGGATTGCGTGACGAAGATTTTTGGGCTTTGAGAGGGGAAATGAAGAGGATTTTCGTTGATTTGTTGTTATGATTTCAAAAATCACCGGAATGAATTTTTTTTTAAATTTAAATCAAGGCTTATCTCAGTATAACTGGATGAAAAAGGAGGACCTACAGTATCCTTTTCAACCTCGTCCAACTTTCGTGGTGGGACCTCATTTTAAATTTTGAGGGAAGCATTTGGTCCCGTTTAGCAGAAATTTGAAGAAAAATAAATAAAAAGTGTCAAATCTCCTCTAGTGACCGCTCCCATGAGTTTTGCTTCAGTTTCCTTTTTTTCCTTGAAAGAAAAATGTTCTATCTTTTCCATTGACTGAACAGGAAACACTGTGAAAAAATAATGAAGATTTAAAAGTCAGAAGCTTTTTTCCAGATCCCTATCAAATCTTGGGTCCAACCAGCCGCAGTTTGGCGCATTCCGGCAGCGGTCAGACGCAGTTGTGGCAGTTTTTGTTGGAACTGCTGTCGGATAACCGGAACTCGGAGGTCATCACCTGGGAAGGCACCAACGGAGAGTTCAAACTCGTCGATCCGGATGAGGTCGCCAGGTTTGTGTCAAGTTTTTGGAAAAGAAGCTCGAGAAAGGAAAAGAAGCTCGAGAAAGTGAGAGTCTTAGGTGAAGCTGTAAAAAAAGATTAGTTGAAGTTTTCTAGCAGTCCTGAAACTTGAGAAAAATACATTTAAATCGAAAAAGAAGCTTTAAAAATTTCATTTATTGCATACCTGAAATTTCAGAAAAACAGTTTCTTGAATCAAGAAAAAAAGGTTGAAATTTTTTTCAAAAATTTTCAGGTGAATTCGCGAAAAAAATCCAAGTCTTCAAGTAGCTCCAGAAACATTATTTTTCAACCTTTTTTGTTTTTTTTTTTTCACAAAATTTTCATCTGTAAGAGCCTAGGAAAAAAAGCAAAATTTGCAAGAAATCAAAAATTTGACTGTGAACAAATATTTTTTCGCCCAAAAAATCAAAATTGAATCGAACTGATCTCGAGATTATATTTCTAGTGTTCTTGGTTGACAAATTGTACAAGTCTCAACCGTTTCAGAAAATGGGGCGAACGGAAATCCAAGCCCAACATGAACTACGACAAAATGTCGCGAGCCCTTCGATACTACTATGATAAGAATATCATGGCGAAGGTCCATGGGAAACGATACGCCTACAAGTTCGATTTCCAAGGTGAGAATTTGAAGAATAGGAAAAAGGCAATGGATATGATATAATTCAAGGGAAAACTGTCCTCTAACGGAAATAATCACATAGAAAAAATAATTAAAGATTGAAAATTACACTCGCATGATGTCTGAAGCTTCCTGAAGGCATTTTTTGCTTCTTTTAACTTTTCCCACCCTTTCTTGAGCCTTGAAAAACCTAGCAATGTTTAGAGGGTTGAAAATAAGCGCAAAACGGGAACCTTTTATCAACCTTTTTGCTACCTTTTTTTCTCTCAAACAAATGTTCCAGGAATCGCCGCCGCCCTCCAGCCCCAAGCCACGTCCTCCCCTCAGGACTACTTCAGTACCCAGGCTGTCAATCGGTTACAGCAGGACTTTGGCTGGACGGCCGCCAATTATCGTTCCCTCATTCCTACCGGTTTCAATGTGAGTAGATAATCCATTTTTCTCGGCTTGAAATGGTCGGATTACGGTTGCGCTTTCGCGCAAATTCAAAAATTTCAAATTGGCGCCAAAAATCTTTGTATACGCTTTGCAATTGAAATGCAAATGCCGCATGGTTATCTCGTCAAATTTTTCTTCGAATTTTCAACCAAAACAAAACATTTAATTTTTTTTCTGTTTCAGGCCAACCCTACCATCTTCAATCCTTCGATGGGTTACGGTGGTTTTGGAGCCGGTAACGCCGCCGCCGCCGCAGCTGCACTCCCGGGAGCTCGAGCATTTCCGCTCTATCGATAATTTCCCAAACATGTACATAACTTTATCGGAATGAGTGATTGGGTTGTATTGCAGGATCATGGAAATGTAGCCGAGAAGAAAAAAATTGAGAAGGTCTTTTGAAAATACAAGGCCCTGTAGGAACCACTCCAAGATATTTAATCGATCAAACGCGTCAGAAATTATGAGTTTTTGGGAAATTTGAAAAAAAAGGTTAACATGTATGCTTTTTCCTAGTGATAGTCAACTAAACGAAAGTCTAAAAAGCCCAAATTTCGATTTTTGAAGCAAGTTTGCTCTACGGATAAAACTTGATCTACTTTTTTTTCCAATACTTCTCGGCTCAGTTTCCCTGAATCTCCATTTTTGCTCATCTCTGCTCATTCCTCTCTTCAATATTATTATTTTCCTATTGACTTTTACCTGCGGGCAATTAATTAAATAATCAAGGTGGGACTTTGATTCCACGTCCTCCCATAAATTATGATCTCTTCAGTCGAAAAACGGGAACGACTATATTTATTATTCTCTTTTTCAATTATTGTTGCTTCCTTTGCAAAGAACGAAGAAAAGCTTGCGTTACCTCAAGATCCCCCTGAATAGTCCATTACAGATCTCAAGAATAAAAAAATTTATCAGTTATACATATTTATATATAGCAGAAAAAGAGCATCACATTTTCGGAAGGGGTAATATAATTAGCGTCTAACGTGGGGAAATATAATACTGACCAATTTGGTTGGTTTGTGGCACGAGGTTGCTATATACAAACAGTTATTGGGGGGGAGCAATACCGATTTTTCATTTCTCACATTTCTTAAAACAGAAAGGCAACAAAACGACTGAATAACTGGTTTGAGGAGTTGGAGATACATGAGTGGTTGGAAATATTTTTCACTGAGCAATTTTTCGTCTTTGGGGGTTAAGGATGGTCCAAGGCGTTTGTGAGGGGGGAGGAGGAGGTTCTATTTCGATTCTAGACGTCTCTGAAAGAAAAAATTTGCTGTACTTTCTTTTAAAAAACTTCGGTTCGAAATGGCTTACTCTAAATTGATTTAGAAGGTCACACCTCTAGCTCCAACCTCATTGAAAAATTGTTGAGACACAAAAATCTTCGTAACCAAATTCATACTAAAAAGGTGGTTATTTTAATTTATGGTTCAGAATTTCCTGTAAATCGCCCAAATTACTCTTTGATCAACCATATCCGTATCCAGATAAGTCCCAATCTTTGAAAATTCCTATTCCACGAGGAAAAAGGGCCTCCAAGTTCAGGAAAACCATCAAAACCCGCTAAAAAAAAGACCATTTTCACCCTTTGAGCCCGGATTTCTTGAAAACCAGGAAGTTGGGACCATGGATCTTTATCTGGTACATCAAGTAATTTAACCAAAATTCAGGAATTTATGAACCCCAAAGTAAGGTGACCTCCCTTATGAAATCAAACTTGGCTTCAGCGGTAATGAACCATTTTTGAGATACGAAAGTTCTCTTGGATCAACTTCATACTAAAATCTAACCGATGCGGTTTTCTTCAAGTCAATTCAAAGTTTCTTCAAAGAGAGGTTTAATCTGAATCTTGATTAAACTCGTTAATAATTCTAACTGAGATACTTTCGGATCGCAGTCAAACTAAAATCCTATTAATTAAAATTTTCTCGAGCTAGAATCTGATTCGAAGTCGCCTCAAGGTTACAGACAGGGTTTTCAGCCTTAATTTGGAAGAAAAGAACATTCTAGAAGCTAAAGTCATTCTAGTAATATCTGGCTTGATGAAACTTCAAATTCTAACAATAATTCTTTCGAACCGCAGCTAAAATCCGATCGATTCAACTTTTCTCGAGGTAATCTAACTCAAAGTAACATAAAGACCTTGAGCGCAGCTATTATCCTAGCCTTGAAATCTAACAACTTCAAAGTCAAGCCGGAATGCTCTCGAGCCAAAGAAAACAAAACTAACGACGTCTCCAAGTGATTGTCCATGATGAACTTGAGCAGCTCCTGCTGCTTGAGGTTGGATTTCTCGCTGCCGGGCGACGGCGTCAGCGAAGGCGGCGGGATTTCTGGAGGCGGCGGCGTCGTTCCATTGGTCATCTGAAAGGTTCATAAAGCTCGAGTTCTGAATTTTCTATACCTCAGCCGTCGGCAAGTCCATTCCAATGGTCAGAGTCGTCTGCGGTTCGGAAGTCGTTTCGTTGACAGCCACAGTTGAGATGTGGGAGGTCTTCAGCTGAAGGTCCGAAGTTGAAGATTGTGAGAGATTTCCAGGAATTACAGTGATGGTGGTGCCGTCGGCGGTAGTGTCAGCAGTTGATGAGGCTGTAGAGATGCCTGACGTCGAGCTTCCGAAAGATTCTGAGCTCGCCGCCGTCGACGCTTGTGAGTGCCGCCTCGAGTGCTGAATCTTTGATTCCTTTTTTTTCGAGCTAATCCACACAAAGTTCATTATAACCGAGGAATTCTTCTAGATGAATTTTATGAACGATTTTCTATTCTAATCAAAATCCCAAATTAATGCTTCATGCCAGAATCTTCAAAAAACAGCCGATAAATGATTAAGTCCGATGAAGCAAACATGTAAGTTTGAGTAATTATACCTCAAGCCGAGCGCTGATCTTCCGACTGCTGCCGGCCACTGCCGAGCTCACATTCCAGGAGAATCTCTTCAGGATTCCTCCGGACAGCACCGAGCCTTTCGGCTTCAGGACGTCGATCCCATCGGCCGTGTGATATCTGCAACTGAGTTTTGTTGAATGGAGAAAATCCAACTGTTCAACACCTACGTAAAACCTATCTTGGATCTGAACACTTAAACGCTCTTCTTAACCATTCCTAAGAAAAACGATCGAGATAAAAACGAGAACGCTGGCGGTACACTGACGAGCTATAGCCTGTGTACCACGACTTGGAATTTAACCTAACGACATTCCGCTGTGCCGCTGCGCGCTTTTGCGAAACTTGGTCGCGCTTTTAATTTTTTTTTCCTTTTGTTAAGGTACTCTACTTTCATGTGCTCCCACAGCAATAAAAGTCAATTGAAAGCGTGACCTAGATTCAAAAGACGCTTCGCGAACGCACGCAGCGTAACAGCGGAGTGTCGTTCCGTGAAACTTCAAGTCGTGGCACACAGACTATAACAAGCATGTCGCTCAGCTTCCGCGCAAATCTCGCATTTTGGAAATTTTCAGATTATTTTGAATACGTGAGAAATGAGACACGCGCGAAGACTTCATTTTCGCGATATCGTCATTGTACCGCGATCTACTTTGATTTTCTAGCGCGCCAGACTAGGCAGTTATCCTCAGATGCTAAAATCACACATTTACAGGGGGTCTTTCAGGGCTTCGATAAAATTATTTCACTTTTATTACTCTTATTGAAATTTGTTTGATATGTGAGGATTTTTCCTTTTTTTCAAATCTAACCATCTCTGCTACTTTTTCCAATGGCTTCAAATCAGAATGAAGTAGATTATCCTCAACCTTTTCTCGAAGCGACGACCGGACGCCGGCGGTTGATCGCAGTCGTCGGAAGTGACGAGAAGCGTCGGCGAGTCGCGACACGGCATCGCGTTCTCTTCAGTCGCGTGGGTCGGCGTTCCTTCGCCGCTGTCGGTCTTGCGGATCGAGGGCGGCGGGCTCGGACTTCGTGACCTTGTCGTGATTCCTTCGATGTCAGGTCCTGACGAGTTTGACCGCGACCTTGGCCGTTCTGAAAAATAATCCTGTTTTTTTATCCATATTGTGGGGCTGGTCACGTTTGTAGGAACTCGGATTAAATATGGCAAAGTTATCTTAACATGAAAAAACAGCAAACAGATGGAAGGCTAGAGGGAAAGGCTTCCCTTGTAAAACGACTTTTCCAGGCTCTTACCCATCTCGGCGCCCAGTGACAGGTGAAGATCCACGCTGCTCTTGCTGGTGGACAAAGCGTTGGCGTTGGCGCTGGCAACGCTGAGTTTCTGTCTGGTCAGCGACCGAGTCGAGCCGTCGAGCCGTTCCGGATGCCGGTCGAGCTGTTCAGTGGACGAAACCGTTGATCCGCATCGCATGTCTGAAACTCTTCCAGTGTAAAGGCAAAACTAGTGAGACAAATTGCAAAAGCAGAAACATCCCCCCGGCTGAACTTTTTGGTGAAACTTTGCTGAAGTATAATTTTGGACTTCCTGATTGCAGAACAAGCAGAAAATTTTCAGCAATAAATCTTTTTTTCGAGTTATGAAGTTTCAAAGTCTGCAAAATACGCAAAATGTCAAAAAGCACTAATTCAAGTTTTTGAAGTGTCCTAACTCGAAAAACGAGATCTATTGCGAGAAATTTTCTTTCTGTTCTGGAATTAGTTGGTCCTGAAGTACACTTCAGCAGAGCTTCATCAAAAATTTTGACCGGGGGGTGAAAAAAACGAAACGTTCCCTAGCTAGGAATGAAAGAAAAAAAGTTGTCAAATGTCAAATTTTATGATTTTTTTAATAAAAATAAAAAAAGTCAAGACGCTTTTTCTCCTTTTTTTTAAACTTGAAAATGGAAAACTTTCTATATAACCCAAGTTCATAAATTTCACAACCAAAAATTCTTTCAAATCTCCATTTTTTTTTTTTGAACAATTTTATGGGAAGCTGTTGAAAAATGTCTGTGACAAAACTTTTTTCGTTCAAATTCTCATACTTTTTGTGCACTTTGAACCTTGAAGTCCTCATAAAGCCCCTTTAAAATGAAAAAAAAAAGGAAACGAACATGCTAAATGGGCATGAGCGGCCATCGACTGCGAGTCCATGCTGCTGCTCTTCCGATGGACAACACTTGGCGGCGGTTGAGCTCCAGGGAAGCTCCTGGAAAAGGTCCATTATCCTCAATTACAAATTCAACAGTCAAAAAGAATTTATATAAATCTACTAAAAGTTCAAGATTTTCGGTAAGATACCATTCTCGATGGTAGCCATTTCCATTGAACATGGCCCCTCTGGCGTAGTCGATGCCGTTGGAAGCCGTCACGTCGGTTTGTCCTGACCAAACCTTGGCGTACAGCTCGTTGAGCTCCTCGCGCGCTTTTTGGATCATCTCCAACCACCTGAAACTTTGAAAATTTTCTATTCTTAATTGAAAACCTATCGATGCAAATTTTGACCTAATGAATACAATTTGTTATTGATTAAATGATCAATTTTTTTTTGGAAGTGTTTAGATTTTGAATTTCAAGTACAATGACGTCATTGGAAGAAGTTCTCTGTTTGGCTTATCACTTTTAGGGACGGAGTTTGAGCTAAAACTTGTCAATAAAAATTTGAACGAACTCTTCTTTTGCAAGCTATCCTACTCAAAACACTATTTTTCAGACATCTTGCTGACTTTTTAAATAAAGTTCATGACAAAGCGAAATTGACTCAAAAGGTGCTTCGAAATGGTTACCATACCTTTTGGTTTCCTCATAACTCGACGTGTGCATCATACACAGTGCACTGGGAATGTTGAACTCGTTGATGCTGACCACGTAGAAACCAACTGGAAAAGTCATACATTTCCCGGAAATCCGACGGAATTCAAACTTGACGCTTCTGTGAGAGGATGGTAGATGAGTCGGTTGATGTGGATCGGCGGCCGGATTATTTTGTACCGATCTTTTTTGCCTTGCGACCGTCGACACAACAGGAACATGTCGGTGAACAGAAAACAGTGCACATCCGTCTGGAAATTAAAATTTTTTATGTTAAAAAAAACTTGAGGTAGGCAGCAGAACAAAGTATTTTGATTACTATAAAATGTACTCTAAAAACCTGAATTAAAAAATAAGAACTAAGAAAAAAGAGGGACAAAATATTTCTCGACCAAATTAAAATCATTGTGCTCGATGAAACGGCGAGTAATGATCACTAATATATTTATAAAGGTTCAGAAACATAATTCAAACAAGTTTCTGAAGATGCCCTACCCTAGACTTTTGAAGCCATTTTTTGGGTCCGCGCTACAAAATAAAGGCGAAATCGCTTCTAAACCTAGCCGAAAATCGGCGCATTATAAAAAATTGCTCTTGGATTTTATACTTTTATGAAAGACAACTAGGATTTTCCATTTTTCGAACTCACTTTCGAGCCAGTCCGGCTCTCCTTCATTCTCAAGTCGCCTCGGTAGACAAGAGCTCGGTAGCGCGCGGTTTCCGGCGGCATCAAAGGCATCGGATCGCAGAGGTTCAACACACAGCGAGTGCCGAATAACTGCAAATAAATTGATCAGATAGATATGAATTTTGGATCTGAAAAAGTAGTATATAATGCAGTTTTCGTTTGAAATATATACAAGGCCGAAGACTTGTTTTACAAGGAAAAAAAGTCGCTGAAACGACGTTTCTTCGAAAATATGATTTTTTGAATCTCAAGAGAAAAATTTTCCTTTTCACGAATTTCGGTTTTTGCTCACAAATCTGGTCTGATTCGAGCAAATTATTTCTGTTTTTGGAAATAAGGTACTGCAGAGCTGTTTGAAATCTGTGCAAAGTTTCAAGTCATTTGAGTCACTTTTAGAGAAGTTATGCTCGAATAACCACTTTGAAATATATTTCTGGCCAATACTGTATCAAGTATCAAAGAATTTAAAAATCAAAATTTTAGAAAAATATTAATTATTGAAAAATATTAAATCAGTGGCGAAAAAGAGAAGATACCAGAGAACCTTGTGTGCGATATGTGCGACCCGTGTCTGTACATGCGCCTTCAATTAAGCCAAGAAAAACTTCCATTATATTAAAGGCGCATGCACAGAGACAGGTCGCGAAAAAAGGTCCTGTAGCTCGAAAAAAAAGTTTCAAGTTCAATTATCATCCAGCAAAAATGATTTACGAGAAACAAGCCGTCACAAAAAGTGCAGATTTTTCAAAATTTTTTAAAGAGTCGATTCACAACTAGCTTGAGTCTCAAAAAGGCGTGGTCTATCTGCTCTCCCCACCAACCAGTCACTCTCTCTTTTCTCATCGTCTCAAGACCCTTTTTTGATGGCAAAAACTAATATTCCTATTCCGAGAACGAACCCTCTCGCACTCCTCGCCGTCGACGCATTCATAGCCCTCGAAGAGTCTCATCACGTCCTTCATCTGCTGCAACGAGTCGTTGTTGTTCAGCTCGGCGTTGAGCTTCTTCGTCGCCTTCTCCGCGTTGTCGATCATCAACATCAGCAACTCCTTCTCCTGCATGTCCGTCGTCACTTTCAGCACCGCCTGAAACATTTTCATGGAAAATTCTGATAAGGTTAGTTAAAAACCTTGAGCAGCAAATTGTATCGTGTCAATCGCTGCATCGGCTTTGGCAACGTGTCGAGGAGTTTTTGACGGTCGAGGTTTTCTTGAGATTCGGCCCACTGAAAAAAGACTCATTTGATAAATAGAAGCGTATTTTTTAAGCTTTTCGTTGAGTTTTCGATTTTTGAACATGTTTCACTTCGGACACTGTTCGAAACCGCGTTGGTTACAGTAAAAATATATTTTCGGAACTCTTTCAGATCAAACTTGCGATTTTGCGCCACAAGGAGCTAAGAAATGGTGATTATTGAATGGAAAAAAAAAAAAAGTCATGATTTTTTTGAAAATTTGATATGATTACCAGTCGGAAATTTAAAAAAATTTCGGAAAAAGTTCTCTAAAATCGCAATGGCTGATTTTTCTCATCTTTTTTTTCAATAGAGCGCAGAAGCTTTTTTTTAAACATCTGAAAAATCCTCAACCAAAGACTTAAATTATCAGTGGAGCGCCAACTTTCCAGAAGTTTTTTTCTGACTCATTTTTTCCTTCCCTCCTTTTATAGGCTATATAGTCGATTCACGGCTAGCTTGGGACACAAATGGGCGTGGCCTGTCAGCGCTCTCCACCGAGCCAGCACTGTCCCTTTTCGTGTCAGAACCCTTTTTTTCGAACCAGCCGTGAACCAGCTATACTTGATTTTCAAAGTTTTACATTGACAAAATCGCGGAAGAGCTCGTTCTCCTTGGTCTTCTTCTGCATGTAGGCGTGGCACTCGCTGTAGTTCATGTTGAAGTTGATGTAACTCTTGGACCAGTCGATGATGTGCATGAAGCCGTCGCTCAGCATCCTGACGTCGAGCGGCGCTCCAGAAGCTCTGAAAACATTTTTGAACCACTTTTGGAAAAATCATCGATACCTCGAGCTTCTGAGCATCGGCTCAATGGCGGCCTTCCAAAAGCTCTCCATATTCACGTTGAGAAGTTCAGAATAGTTTCGGAACGTCGAGTTCGGGTCGACGTCTCTGGAATATTTCAAATAGTTGATGAATATTCACGAGGTCGAGACAAACCTCAAAAATCCGAGATGTTGAACCTCACCAAGGTAGAACGCTAGGTCGTCCATGTAGCGAAGTAACTGCAAGAATTTCAAGTTTCCTTCCCTTTTTATCAGTTTTATTAAGAAAAATCCGAAAAAACCGTTTGTTTGAAGCTTTTTTCAGTTCTGAACTTAACCCTTCAAATTTACATCTCAAAACAACAGAAATTATTTTGGAATGACCGAAAAGTTCTATTAATGCTTCCTCTAGTTTCGAAACTATTTCCAAACAAAGGAGAAGCTCAGGAAAAGAAAAAAAAAACGCCTTTTCGTTTTCTGCATTTTTTCTGTTTTCAGGTCGCAGTGAGACCAGGTTTTCTAGATGCAAATTTACACGGTGATTCTGAGCCTGTTCTCAAAATCTGTCAAAAAAGTCTTTGAAAAAGGTCAGGGACTCTCAAAAGTCAAAAACAAGAGAGACAAGAACTATAGATTCCCCAAAAAAGGGTTATTTTATGAGTCCCTTACTTTTTTCACAGATGTGTCTGGCAACTTTTGAGACCAGATTTGGAATCACCGTTAAAAAAACAACATCTAGAAAACCTGGTACTCAGAGAAACCATTCCCTGGTCAGTGCCCTACGATGCTTAGCAGATATTTATTTTTATTTCTGACGGAGCTTTAAAAAATCGTATCTACGCTCAAAAACTTTTCTGAAAAAAAAGTTACCAGTTTTCAGCTACTACACGGATAAGATCTATGTGCCCTCCAAAAAAGAGCTTCAAGACACCGAAATTTTTGACGTTTGAAGGTCCAAAACTTTTTTCACAGACCTCCGCGGCAGCTTTTAAGACCAGATTTGGAATCAGCGTGAAAAACCCTGCACCTAGTAAACTTGGTCGCATTCTGTAGTCCCACTGCGACCCTGGCGATAGATCTGTTCTAGAACTACTACCAAATCTAGAAGTTTGGACCTGATCTACAATATTCCCCTCAGATAATTTCCTTGTCAAGGTATCCCCACTCACCCGAATGTATCTGTACTCTGTGACGACGAGCTCCCAGATGGCTTCCTGCTGTTCCGTGGCTTTTCGTGTGAGCTCCTGCGGCTCGCGAACAATCTGCCGCCAGTCCTTTTCCAGCTCCCACATGCCGCTCTCCCGTCGGTCGTGCTCTTCTTTCAGCGCGTTCAGTCGGTTGATCATCTCGTTGCGCTCCTAGAAACAGAAATTTATTTATTTCTGATCAATTTCTCCGTTTTCATGAGTTTTTTTTCCGAATTTCAAGCTAACCAAAGTCTGAAAGAGCCTTATAGTTAGGGCTCAACTAGATGCAAGTTTCTAACCTAGAAAAGAATCGAAATACTGCTAAAAATGAAAGTTTCATAGCTGTGAGGTATATAGGCTCGTATGGATCCCGAAAAACCAATGTTAATTCAAAAAATTGATCAAAAACTCAATTTTTTGAGGTTCTCAGTGCTGATTTGGGCCAGAAAGCAGCTTTTACTTGGCTCACTTTGACAGTCCGTATCTATTTTTTTCATGGGCCTTCTTGATTGATTTTCAATCCAGATTCGTTATTAACGTCAAAAAAACGTTTTGTAAACTTATTTTCCTTTAAAAGTTCTACTCTGAGCTGGACAAGCTGACGTCAGAAAAGTTACAAAAGGTTTTTTTTATCACAACTTTTTTTAATGGAATCCAACCTTTGTCACTTTATAGAGTTGTGATGGCTGTTTTTTGGAACATTATGACTGAACTTCAGACCGCAGGAAAAATAAACGCAGCTTAGAAAGTTTCAGGAATTTCATACAAGGAAATTGTGAGCAAAAACTTTCTCGTTAATTTTTAGACGGTGCTCTTTTCTACTTTGAGAAGCGTAGTGCAGCAAAATAAGACATTTAAAAAAAAAAATCCCGCAGTATTTTACTGATACCTTTCCAAAGAAGAGGGATATCCTGGAAGAAGTGACGGATCGAGCGCGACGAGTGCCGCCGTCGTCCGGCGGCAGCGGTTGCTCGGAGCACGACGGTTCGTCCAGGTGCGAGATGTCTCTGAACCTTTACTCGTCAAATTCTTGTTTTTTTTTTTGATCGTACGTCGGCTGATTTCCACCCCGGGGTGCGGCCTACACCCCGAAAAGTGCGGCCCACCCCCAGAAAGTTGGAATGGAGTCCAGCGATGTATGTTTTAATGGAGGGGGAACAACTAGAATCTTCGTTTTAACACGAATGATTACTGTACTTTATCAGTGGATACTGGTCTGTCAAACCACTCTCATTTGATGTTTAAAGGCGCATGGACAATATCAAAAAGGTCCCAAGAAGAATAGTCCTTTTCTGGGTTATGTCTTTCGAAAAATTGAAAATTTACGTCGAAATGATCAAGCTCAATGTAACAAAATTTAAAAAAAGCCGACACAAAAAATAAAAATTAAACCGTTCATGGTGGAACTTTATTGAAAAGTATTCCGGACATCAAAAAATTTTCAGCAAAAGTGAAAATCATTGTAATAAGGCTACGTAAAAATAAACTTTTTTTTCAAAAATTTCCCAGCCAGTGGCTATTTCTCACCTCAAGGAGCTGTCGTTGCTGCGGCTGTCGGCGTCGTCGCTGCCGTTGAGCCGATGATCGGCGGCCTGTTGCCTTGATTTCGACAGCTGAAAACCAAGTATCAAATCGAAGAAGAATCCGGAAGTTGAATGGAAAAAGATAAAGAAATTTTAATCAGATCACGCGGCCGTTCCTGGTAATGAAAAATAGACAGCCTAGAGCACGACCCAACGTTTTACTTCTTGGACATTCGAAAAAAAAAGAGATACAAGAGAATTTACTCAGAAGGAAGGTCATTTAACTTTGCGGGATTTTCTTGAAAACCGGCCAGGATACTCCTTGAGGTATCAAAAGAAGTTGCTGAAAGTCTCAACCTGCACAAACTCCTAGTTTTTGAAAAAGAACACCTCGAAGTCAAAGAAAACTCTCCAAATAGACCAAATTGGGGCTTTGGGCCCTCATTTCTTTGAAACCTGGAAGTTGTGCAGGCTGAAACTTTCACGATTTTTTTTTGGTACCTCAAAGAGTATCCTGACCAATTTTCAAGAAATTCCCAACCGCAGTGAGAGATGACCTCTCTCGTCAGAAAAATATCAGCCATAACATTTTGTTTCTAAATGACTTTTTCAAAAGTTGAAAAATGAAATCATCATTAACTGTACCTGCGTAATCATGGAAAATTGAAGGGTTTCTCTCGATTTTTATCGATTCCCTACGACAAATCTCGAAAATGTACAAAAGGATTCAGAGACTTTTGAAAAGGTGATGCTTCGTAAGAGGCCAGACCGCGTGATGGCGGCTACAAATTCGTTGGCGAGAAAGCCTCGTTTCAATGGGCCTTTAATTACGCACGTCGTTACCTCCGAACACATAGTAACAGGTAATGCGAGGAATTTTCGGATCCGAGATAATCACCGGCTCGTTAATCTCTGGCTCAAACGTGAAAATCGATATTTTGCCTGGGGAGAATTTTCGGAATGCGATAAAAATGTAGGCTATACTTGAATCGTGTCAAAAAATTACGCTCCATTGACAAGAGGTCCAGTTGAAATCGGAGTCAAAAAAAATATTTGTGAACCTTTGAGCCTAGAAATTTCAATTTCGGCGAAAAAAAGCCAAGAAAACGCGCTCTACGGCCAAATCAAATTTTTTGTCCATTTTCATACTTGGGTTTCGGTAATCAAAACTGGACGCTTCGAAGCTGTTCTAGGGATCACTTAAGAGGTCTGGCATTACTAAAGTGGTCGCTAGAAACTCTCGGACAGGTCTGGTTCACGTTACCAAGGTCCGAGTAATTTTTCGAAGGGTTGAAAATTTTCAGAAAGTACAAACTCGACAGAAATCGGGGAAAAAAATCCCTTGGAAACTGTCTAACCTGTCTGCGTCTCTTTCTCTCTACACAGCGGTCATAGAACCATTATAATAGAACATAAAACGAGAGATCCGCTGAGAAAATGGAACCGACAGTTTTTCTTGACTTTCTTATCAATAGAGCGCAGATACTGAATTTATTCTGAAAAAATTTACAGTTGAAAATTCAAAACCATCTTTTCCCATTCTATTATCAATTGGAGAGTAATCTATACACCTGAAAAAGATGAAAACGGAAAAACCAACAAATTTGGAGTTGGCGAACGAAGACTTCCGAGAAACAGCCTCGGCGCTCATTTTTCTGAGGGGTCGTTCGTTTCCCTCGTCCATACTGTGAGCCGTCCGATTCTGACGGCCAACTCGCATCGCACCCCGCCCTGAAATCAATCCATCAGTAAAAATATATATTGAAGCTTCACCTAAGTTCCAATAAGACTCGAAAAAATCTGACCTGTCTGCGCCCCCTTGATCTCTCCGTGATCTCACCAGTTAGAGAGAATAGAGAGCAGACAAGTCAGCATCTCTCAAATGTTTGTGAATGATTTTTTCATGTGGAAAAAATTCCCAGATGTTCATAGAAGGCATGAAACAGTATATTCGCTGCTGACTTCAAAGAAAGAATCCGAAAAAAAAATTACAACTGGAAAAATTTCGAACTTTCCAGCTAAAAATACGTTTCTGTATCGTTTCAAAGTCATTTTTTCGGAACGAAATATGCTGATCATCTCTCTGTCTTTCTAGAAGTTCCCAAGATATGAAAGAAGCTACAAGTCTATAAATTTCTGCACGTCAGTCAAAAAATTCGTAAATCGCTCCCATGGCTTCTAAATAAATATACGTTTCCAAGGAAGAATATAACTTTCTAATAATGAAAACTCGATACTATTTGATCAGAGCTCTATTAAAAACTAGAAAGATTTATTGGTTTTCCTATGAAATAATTGAAAAAAAGGTCCATAATTTTTTTGTGACTTTTTAGGGGTGTGAATGTGATTCCAAAAGATGAAGAAACAAGAAGGATTGTAATAAAGGCAGAAAAATCATAACTAGTTTGAAAAAACTCTGTCTTGTATTAAATATAACTAGACTTTTCAAAAAATCTAGAAAATCGAGAAAACTTGAAAAATCTACAATAAGCTCCAGAACTAAGCGACTGCTGTAGAATCAAGCCAATGAATAAAGAAAAGAACAAAAACTATTCCAAGCCTCAAAACTTCTCCTTTCTTAAGGAACCAAACTAAAAGCGCTTCGTAAAAAAGGAGCCAATTTCGAGGCAAATTTCCACCTACGCTGCCCCAAAAACGGAGTCAACAACAAAATGAAGAGCAGAGAATAACTCCCGGGGAGAAAAAAAGTTGCCATTTTGTCTGGCCGAGAGCAGTAATTGATGCAAAAAGGAGAAGAAAAAGGTCTGCAGTCGAAAAAAAAAAACGTCCTGCAATTTGAATATTTGAATGGAATGGCGGAGAAAAGGCGCAAATTGACTCGAGTTTATTTCTTTCACTCGAAAAGATATTGAGCTGTTGTTCTTGAGATCTGGTTTGTAGATGATCATCGGAATTTCGAAACCAAAAGAATTTTTTTGTTGAAACTTTTTTAAGATCAGACATGTAGATGATCATCATTAGCTTCTTGTTCGCTTGAGTTTTTAATTCTATTTTTAGGAGCATCCTATGTTTTTACTATCAAATTTTTTCTAGAAATTTAGATGGGAGATAAAACCACTTCACTTTATTGGATCAAAACTTGTAAAATAGAAAATGAAAATTAGGCTCTCACTGTTACTAGTTTTCAATTGAGAGACGGATAACTGTGAAAAAAAATATCGAAAAATGCTTATAAACCTAAATATTTTGCTTTGGATCATAGCGAAAACTTTTTCGTTAGACTTTCTTGAAGAAAAATAAAAATAGCCTTGAAGAGCCAGGGAATGTACGCTCTACGGCTAAAATAGCAATTTCTCCTAAATCTCCAAAGAATAGTGTTCATCGGAAAGGCTGAAACTTCCGAGGCCACTCATTTTTAAAAAGTCAGATCTTGGAAGGCTTAAGCTTCAGCTTGACCGCGGCGCGTCGAGCCATTCCAAACGCGGCCAGAATTAACAGGGAATTCATGACTTTTGGATCGTTTTTGAGAAGGATGTTCTAGGGAGCTTTCTAAATAGAAACAAAATTGGAAGACCCAACATCAATCAAGTCGAGTATTATTCATTAGGGGTTCAAAAACCGGCGCCAAACTTACAAAGTTCGATGACCGACAACTGATCGGTGGCCCGGAAAGGCGATTCGCAGCGATCCATCGAGAGTTTTGGAATGGAATAAAATAAAGATGAAAAATGGGAAGAATGGTGAGAGAAGCGGCGCCTTGTTGGACGGAAAAAAAGGGTAATGATTTGCTCGGTCCTTTCTATCAGAGAGACTCACTCACTCACTCGAAAACACACACACAACACACACTTCATGGGAACTCTCCCAGGCTACAATAATTCCAGGCCGGAATCGCCCAGACACAACAAAATACCTCGAGATTTTGAGCTGGAATCTAATGGAAAAGGTGATATTTTCCCATGGAAGAAGTGAAAAATCCGAGTTCTTTTTGAGCATTACTTCATTCCAGAGCTTTTAAGAATGAATTCCCAAAAAGAGGGTCAAAAATTAAAGCTTCAATTAAATTTCCTCACCCTTCATTTTTTTAAATAATAAAAAAATCTGATACTGAGAACATACACTGATAAAAATCCCATCTTGCCATTTTCAAAATTTTAAAAAACAGTTTATCTTGAAAAGGCAAATGCGCTCTACGGCTAATCATAATTGAAAAAAAGTGATACTTTCCCATGGTAGAAGTGAAAAAAATCCAAGTTCTTTCTGCCCAATACTCTATTCCAGAGCTTTAAAGAATGAATTCCAAAAAATAGCACCAAAATCAAATATTTGAATGGTTCAGTATGCCAAAAAATATCCATTATTGATTTAAATTTCCCCCCTTTTTCCAATTATTCAAAAAATCTGATATTGAGAACATACACTGAAAAAAAAAACACATCTTGCCATTTTCAAAATTTAAAAATCAGTTCTATCCGGGAAAAGGGCAAATGCGCTCCATGGCTAAACATAACTTTATTTTTCTTTTTGAAATTTATCGAGAACTCAAGTACTTTCAGTGGAAGATTTTGAATTTTTCTGCGAAATTTACCCTCAAACCAGACAAATTTTGCCTTCAGCGGCTATTTTTTAGATAAATTTGCCATGGAGCGCAAGAGACTCATGTTAAAAGGCTGTTTTTCAATAATTTAGCCTCGGAGAGCAAAACTACGTCTGAGAAGGCTGTCTTCAAAAAATAAGCAATAGAACTCAAAATTCTAGCCTGCCACGGCTATTTTTGGGCTAGTTTAGCCTTGGAGCGCAAGTTATCCTTTCAAAACGGCTTTCATGGAAATCAGTCTGGAAGCGCAAAAAATCGCCTAGCGTGACTTTTCAACCGAAAAATTTTCAAATCCCTCAAGAAAAAAAAAGGAAACTCAGAAGAATCAATGAAATTAAGTGTTAGAAAAACGAGAGGATGTGTCGGCCACCGCAGTTAATTGCTGCTCTGAGGCGTATCTCAAGTTTTTTGACTTGCCGAATGTAACATTTCTATCTTTTTGGCTTGTGCGGGGACGGCCCTTAAGCCCGATTCGGCCTGGCCTTAGGGAGGGCTGAATCAAAATAGGTCGGCGCAGAGATCAGACTTTTTTACGTTAAAAAAAAATTACATTTTTGGTTCTGTTTTCACTTGAAAATCAACATAAACTAGTATTCAAAAAGTAAAAAAACAGTTTGATTGAAATTTTGAGTAGTGGTGAAGAACGTTTTGATCAAGTTTAGGAATTTTTATCGGAAGCATGGCTTGGCCTAACTCCACTCTGGCGAATAATGAGGTTCAAGCCCGGGTCAGCCCGGGACAGGTCGCCCAGCCTGCTCGAACGAAAAATGACAACTCACAAACTAATTCCTTCTCAAAGAATTCTCCAAAATCCATTATACCTTTTCAAAAACCCACGTCCGTCAGCCCGACATAAGCCCGACTGTGCCCGGTCTTAAGGGAGCCTGAACCAAAAAAGGCCGTCCGAAAGAGCATCCTTTTTTCTTCGAGTCAGATGTGAAGCGGTTTTACGACAAAAATCTCATTTTTAGTCGTTTTTATCATTTAAAATACAGCTGAAACGGTGATTTGATTGATAAAAAACTTTTGATGAGCAATTTTGATCAATTTTAGGAATCTGGCCTGGCCTAACTTCACCCTGGCTCCTGCTCCAAAAAATGAGATTCACAGCCCGGGTCAGCCCGGGCCAGGGCGCCCAGCCTCCTCCGAACTAAAAATGACATCTCGCACACTAATCCCTTTTCAAAAATCCATTACGCCTTTTCCCAGAAGTCCAAAAAACCCCAACTCTGTTCTTTATCCAATCAAAATGCTCACAAATAACGTCACAGTATAATTCATCACAAGACCCTACAAATCTGCAGAAAAAGCCCTAGTCGAGTGTTACAAAAGCCTTTTTTTGCAGTCGAATTTGTAATCTCAAAGTTCTAGGTTTTGCTTTGTAGTAACAACATCTGTGCCCACGTCTTTGATGAAAATTCAAAGATAAGGAAGTCTTATTATTATTATTTTTTGCATGGAGAAGCCGAAGGGGAAAAATAATAATAGGAGCTTGAAAAAGAATTCAATGAAGCTCGAATCTGGAAGAAAAGGACCAAAAACACTTATGGAGGTCTTGAAAAGACATTCTAGCCGACTGGAATAAAAAAAGTTATTTTTTTATGAATTCTTTTTGAGCAGATTGTCACAGGATAAGGAAGGTCATTTTACACAAAAATTTGTCGAAAATTTTTAAATATTCTTGTTTACAAATATTTGATGACAGAACCTTCAAAAAAACGTCTCAAATTTCGGAAAAAAAGGCGTCTCAGGGTTTCCAAATAACATGGTTACCGTTAAAACAGTTTTATTTGATTTCAAAGTGTCCTTTTTCGGAAATTACAGTTTTGCAGATTGCGTTTTCCGGATCTTTCTCTAGTAAATCAAAGAACTTTTTGAAAAATTATAAAATAAAAAAAGTAAAAAAACCCCCCGAAAAAAATTTTTCAAACCGAATTTGCAAGAAATTATGAAAAATATCAAGTTGGAAGTCATCAATTCAAAAAAAAAATAAAAATGTACTCAGAAAGAAATTTTTGATATCGGACAGATCATTGAATCTCCAAGAAAACTACTTGAAAATGTCTAAAAAATAAAAATCAATCAATCGATTCCAAATTTTGTCTCAAGGACCAAAAAATCCACCTAAGCCTTTAAAAAAATCATCCCCGTTCATCAAATTTGCTCCGAAAATCCAAAGATGAAAGAAATTTTATCAAAAATCAACTCTAACAGTAAAAAAAGTAATGTAGTGATAGAGAAATTCAAATCAACTAGAAAATGAATCGAAAAAACTTGACATATGACTCGGAGAGAACGTCGTGGGAAGGGGTGGAGGATATATATGAATCAAAACAAATTAGACGGGAGCTTCCGTTTGAAGAGTCACCTCGAATTTGCGTCAAAACCTCGAGATGTGATTTTCGGACCCGCCGGTCGGCTCCCACGGGCATTGGGTTGACCTTTTTTGGCGGAAAACCTTGGTTCGTCAAATTATATCGGGTTGGTCGGTTAGAAAAGTGGTTGTAGTTCAATTCAATAGGAAATCATGATAGAATAAATAAATATAATAATTATTTTCGAATTTCGATATGCAACCAAAGTTCAAAGGGGGAATGAATTTTCGTTTTGAATCCTAACTCAAAAAAATAAAATATGTTTCAATTTACAAAAAAAGAACTATACAGTGAACTTGAAACAAATTAATTCTTCAAAAAGCAATTTTTCTTATTGGAGAACCTTCATATTTAAAAAAATTTTTACAAAAAAGAAGAATCGAAGGTTTCAAAAAAAGAAAAAAATGGATTATTTTGAAATTTTTTTAGAAAGATTACTTGTCCTCTACGAATTTCTGGGCAAGGATTGGTATATTTTAGAAAGGAAAAAGATGGTTTTAAAAAAACCGGTCTTGAAATGGCGAAAGAAAAAGAACAAAACTGAAAAATTTTTTTAAATCAAAAAAATTTCAGTTCATAATGTTGAACCGAAATCTATGAGATCAGCATTCTAAGATACCCAAATTGAAAAAAATAAAAATTTACACGCTTATAGCAACCACCTAAAGAGAATTTTTTGCAAAATGATTTTTCACATTTTTTTTTTTGCTTTATCATTGAAAAATTTTTTCAAAGGTCAAAAAAAGAATCAAGAAAAAAAGCGAATTTCATCTTTATATCATAAAAAAGGCCCATAACTAAAATTTGCTCCAATTAATCAAGAAAAAAGCAGAAAAAAGGAACTTGGCGAGAAAAAAAGGTTCGTTTCTCCGTATGTCTCGGGTGTTACTATATAATTTGTGTGTTCCCACGGAATTTGAGCCGAAAGTCTCCTTTTTTTTCTTCTTCTTCTTCGTCTTTTCTACCCCTCCAACGATAAATAATTACTTCCTACCTTCTCCTCATCCAGTTCAGTTCTTTGAAGATTATTCGGAAAAAAACAAGAGGATTATTAAATTTACGGGTTGAATGAAGATAGAGAACGATAAAAAAATAAACTAATATAATTATGAAAAATGCTTATTTTAATTAGATAATAACTTGAGAAACACTAGAAATTTTTTTCATCAAAAAAAAAAATGAAAATAGAAGCTGCAATGACTCATCATCCCTATGTACGTCACAAAAAGTCTGCGGATTAGGCTCAATTTTTTTTCACCCATAAACAAAAATTTTGCGGAAAACAGATGAAAAACCAAAAACTCCAAAGGAAAAAAAATGAAAAAAAAATGAAAAATGAGCCAATGGATTAATTGGAAAATGCGCTCTGTTGAGAAATTTTGAAATTACTTTTTTTTAGAGAGCTAACTGTACAGTATTCCAGAAAAACTTTGAAAAAAATAAATTTGTAAAAAGCATATTTTTGTTCTGTAGAGCGCACGTGTAGTCACAAAAAAATTTTTAAATATGTATTTTTTTGGCCCTTTTCGAGATTATCCATCTAAGCTGGGATTTTGGAACATTTCGACTCAGTAGAAACCAATCCATACTTTGCTTTATGATAGAATCTATGAAAAAATCGGAAATTTTTTGGTGTCTTCCCCTGATTTTTCTTTTTTTCTTGATCAAAAAAATTCTGAAAAAAATTTTTTTGTTTTGCATTTCCTTCACAGAATCAGATGAAATCGAAGAATTTCAGGATTATTAAAAAAATACACTATTGACCTTCTATAAAAAAGAACAAAATTTGATCGGATTACGAAAAAAAAAATCAGTGAATTTCTGTAATTATTCACTTCGTGGATCAAACTGCACTATGGTAAAAAATTTATACCATCTCAAAGGGACATATAACATTTTCTGCTCATTTTTTGGTTCTTACTGGCAATGTGAAGACACTGCCATCTCAGAAAGTGACTGAAAGGGGACAGAGCGATTTTCGAAACACCAAAAACTATATTTTGCAAAAAGTATATTTTCCTTTTTTGACTTAACTGTTTTATAGTTATTAGAAACTGATAGGACGATCGAAAAAAATGGATGGAGCAATTTTCGATACACCAAAAAAAAACTTTTGCAAAACTTTGGGCTCAAGCTGATAATCTATAGTTACTAACATCTCAGAAAGTGACAAGGCAAACAAAAAAGTATTTTTTGCTAATTTTTCGGTTCCTACTGGTAATCTATCCAGACTACCATCTCAGGAAACTACCACAAGATCATCGAAAAAAAGATCAAACTTTGGGCGGAGAGAGTGTTGATGCGGGCGGCCGTCGTCATGGCCGAACGTTTCGAAACAGTTGGGTTTGGACCGGCCGAGGCAAAAACGGCGAGGCGACAGCAAGGGGGGAAAAAACCACCGGCGCGGCTTCTTCTTCCCCTCGAGAAGCGACGTAAATGGGCGGCAGAGCGGCCGTTAATCCTCTCTCGCCAACACCTCGGAAAGCAGTTTCGGCCAAGCGGTCACTCCGAATTATGCCACTGAGTATATCCTTATATCCTTGATCTTCTTGGAGGATTGGAGGTGACATCAGAGCCGTTCTATTTGAGCAAAAATGGGCTTTGAAATGATTCAAAGGCTGGCTCAAAATACTTTATCCAGAGCCGTTCTACATAGAAAAAACCATTTCAGCTGGTTTTCTTTGTTTAATGTGCTCTTCTTTCAAGAAAACATGAAAATTCAACCTCAACCCTAGGTTGCTGCAAATCCAGGCGGCTATATATCATTCTTTGCTCCGAAAAAATGAATTAGTTATCACTCCGAATTATGCCACTGAGTATATCCTTATATCCTTGATCTTCTTTGAGGATTGAGGATGGCATCAGAGCCGTTCTATGGAAAGGGAATGAGCTTAAAATAAGCAAAAAATGGGCTTTTCCTCAGGTGCAATTCTATTAGAGCAAAAATGAGCTTTGAAACATTTTAAAAATTGAATCTAAGAAACTATCAGCAATAGCCCTCCTATCGGAGCTTAATTAGGCCTCGAAAAATTCAAATTTTGACCTTGAAAAAAAAATTCTGAGCATTCTATTGGAAGAAAAATATGCCGTGATGCTAGGTTTCTGTATTATTTTCGAACTACTCTCTTGTTTCTTGAATTTTTTCTTCCAAAAAAAAAAAATATGATCTCAGACCGGAATTGTTAAAAATTCAAACGGCTATATAATATTCTAGTTCCGATAAAATAGATAAGTAATCCCTCCAAATTATGCCAGTGAATATATATATCTTTATATTCTTTATATCATTTAGATAGAGCTCAAAAACAAAAATGGACTTTAAAATCATCAAAAAATAGGCTTGAAGTAACTTTTTTCAAGAGGAAAATGAGTCACGAGGCTTAGTTTTTGTGATTTTTCAGACTATTTTGGTCTCCTGCGCTCTTTTTCCAATACAACTCGAAACTTATAATAAAATTACTGTGAAAACCTTGATATGAACTGAAAAATTGAACCTCAGACAAGTTTTTTAGAGCTCAGACGGCTATAAAATATTCTGGGTTCGAAAAATTCATGAGCCGTTTTCTGGTTTCAAAATGAGCCGAAATTTTTTTGAACAATTGCATCCAGTAAATTCATTCTAATGGGAGTCTCATTGAGGAAAACATGTTCTGCATAAAGATCAAATAATTTTTTTCACCAATTTACGACACATTTTCGAAAATTCCTACAGAATGAAATTCTCATAAGCTTAATTATTTCCCTGTAATCAGATTAATTAAATCCTTCGAAGAAACTTTCAGGAATAGAAGAAAATTTGCCCACTTTCACAGTCAAACGAAAATCGAAAGTAAAATACATATTAATCTTTTTTTTTTCCGAAAAAGTATTGGAAGCCCTACGAAAAAGCTTTTTTAATCATCTTCAGAGTACATATGTTCTTTAAAACTGATTTTCCGTTTGAAAAAAAAAGCCTAAATATGCAATCGAAAAAGAAATTCAATAAAAGGAACGCGACCTCTTCAAGTCTTCAAAAACACTTATTTTTCAATAAAAAGTATTCGAACTTTTTTCAAGCCTTTTCGCTTTTTTTATTCCTTTTTTTCAAGTACCTCGCCTGGCGGAAAAACAACCTTTTTCGAAGCAGGGGAAAAAAATCCAAATAAACCTATAAAGTCTAAATAGTTTTCTCTACTTTTTTTCAGTATAGTTTTTTTGATGAAGTTTTAAAAAAATTATTTTGAAAAAGGTCGATTTTTTTAACTGAAAAAAATGAACAAAAACAAACATTTCTCGAGAGTATTTTTCGAAAGGAAAAAAACGAAAAAAAGTCGCTAAATTATTTAAAAAAACTAGGAATTAAAGACAAGATAAACTAAGAAAAAAATGATACCAGTTAGCAAAAGAAAAAAAGGTGCAAAAACGCAAAAAAATACACAGAAATCTCAAAAACAAAAAAAGATTTCAATCTTCCTCCCAGAATTGATATCAGAAAAAAATCAACAGAAAAAAATGCTAAAAAGCTGCAAAAAAATGGACAACAAGAGGATATTAATTTTCTTTTTCATCGCAAAATTTAATTCAAAAAAATCTCAATCTTCATTTCAAAATTGACATGAAAAATCCTCTTTTTATGTCGAAATTAACTCAGAAAACTTTGAAGATGAAAAAAATGCTACAAGCTGCAAAAAATAGACAAAAAGAGGATGTTCATTTACTTTTGATTTCAAAATTAGTTTACGAATCTCACCCTTCTTCTCAAAAATGACATAAAAATTTCACTTTTCGTCTCACGTGGTCATCATGGTCAGAGTTAACACAGAAAAACTTTTGAGATTAAAAAAATGCTACGATCTGCAGAAAATACACAAACATAAGGTTCTTTTTTTCTCACTAGTCCTCTAAAAATGTTCAAAATCCGCCGTGCGTCACAGAATAACGAAGCCCCAGAAGCCTACTACAAACGTTCAGCAGTTAATCCGTCGAATATCATTATGAATATGTTTCTTTCACAAAAATCACCAGGATTTTGTATAAAATCTTCACTCCAAGCTCTCTTTCTGAGGCTACTACCTAGAGAACGGTCTTCGAGCTCCAGTCACAACATCAGCTACATTCTGAGCACGTCAAGGTGCAACTGAACGGACTACGCGCAGAAGAACGATGCGAAGGACCGTAAGACCATGCTTTCAACTTGATCAACTACACGTTAGGACTTCTAGTTTGCCAAAGGCGGTTGTTCGTTATAGCTTTTAAAGTTCTCGGTCACCGCCTAGTTGATTATATCTGACTAGAAAAAAAAAATGAATTGATGATTCGACAGGACAGGATCGATATTATACGTAAATAAGAAGGAAAAAAGATGAGACCCCGACAAAAAACGCACCTCGAACGATGATCTTGCTCCCGGCAAGGTATCGCGCCTCGGAGTTCTCGGGAATCGCCGTTGAACTGTTCTCCAAGAAGAACTCGACCTCGTTCACCGTACAGCCGCGTGCTCGCAGGGGTCCTAGAATATTGTCAAATGATTCTTGAAGTTTTTTGATCTCCTCGAGAGATTTTATTTTTGAAAAAAGGATAGTAACGCGGTCGAGTAACGGTCACAATTTCGCCACTTTTTGAAGTTTTTTGTCTCGAAGTTTTGCTAAGTTTGTAAATCGAAGATTGGCTGATAAAAAAGCTGTATTTATCGCAAGTAACATAAAATTATGAAAGGATAAAAAAAAGGTTTGGTTTTTCGGAAAACCTCCAAACTTCAGTTGATTCCCCCTAGAAAATCGAAAAAAAAACTTATAGTTACTAGAGTTGCTTGGTTGCTTCAATTAGACATGTAAAAATTTTTAATTTATTCAAAATTACCTGTCTTTTCGAAAAGTCCTTGAATTCTAATAGACTATTTTATATATAGGAAGTTTCGCAAAAAGTAAAAATTTCGCTCAACTTTTTCTAATTTCATGTCAAAAACTAGATCCAGAAACTTACAACGACCGGTTCTTTTAAGTGCCCATTTATAGAGGAACCAAGACATAAACCTATTTTTTTTCTGAAGGACCAATTAAATTTGAGATAAAATCAACTGCGAATCTTCGAGAAACTGTAAACAGATTCAGACAACAGAACCAGTTACTCATAACACAGTTTTTTTTTTTTCAATTTCTTAAATTCCTAAAATAGCCTTATATGATCATTATCCTCTTTGGAGCGCACATGTTCCATGGAAATGGCTATTTTTTTATCCTTTTTAATAACATTTTTTTCGAAATTTTTTTTATGATAAAAAAATAGTACACAAGCCTTCAAAAGGCCAGAAAAACGCATGAAAAATATTCAAAATCAAGCTTCAAAAACCACAAAAAAAGTCTGAAATTTCTTAACAAAAATGTTTCCTTGGAGCGCACATGCCCAAAAAGATGCAGCTCTTTTTTCCTTCATCTCAGATTTTCGAACTCTTTTTTTCAGTTTCAACCGTTGAATAAGTTTTAGAAAACTTGTTGAAGTGGTTCAACAAAGTGTTGTCTTTGGAGCGCAAATGTTCTTTTCATTATTGGCAATTTTTGTGGTTTTTTTTTTGTTGAGAGAAAGAAAGAACCTTCAAAGGCTTCGAAAAGACGCATGCGGCTTTCAAAAGGCACCTTTTCCAACGTCTCATCGATGTCCTGTAACTGAGAAAATCTTTATGAAAAGCTCAAAAAGGTTTTTGAAAGATAAGAGAAAAAACCAACTTTGAAATGAGCAACAAAATAGCCAATTGGAGAATCAATGTCGACGGCGTGGATTCGGTTCTGTAAAGACATTTCTTAAAATTAAAAAAAATATTTTTTTTTCTTCACTGAAAGATCTTCTGATGGAGCTGATCAATTTTAATGATTTTTAATGATTTTTAATCCAAAAGTCCCTGACTTAGAAACTCTGAGAATAAACTCTCCGAAAATAATTAAAAAAATATAATTCTCAGCCTTAAAATAAAAAAGGTCGAGAAACTGGGAAAATTTTTAGTGGCCACTATAGGGTTTTGAAGTTTCCGTGGCCACTATAGTAGTCAAATTAAAGGCCACTTAAGGGGTTTAAAATTAGTGACCACTATAGAGGTCTAAGTGCTACTACTAGACCACTAAAAATTTTAGTGGACACTTTAGGGGTCAATGCATCAATATAACTGATCCAATCTGTTTGTTTTAAAATTATCAGAGTTGCTGGAAGAAATACTGGATGAAAAAGTACTAAAGTGGCCGCTAAATAGAGAACCTCTATATTGGCCACTAAAACGGATAATAGTGGCCACTATAGAGGTGGGTTTAGTGTCCTCTCCAAGTAGTTCTTGGCGAGCCTCTATAGTGGCCAATATAAATTTTCCCAGAAGTATAAATTTTGTGGAATAATCTACAGAGTGGCCTAATATTTACTTTTTTCATTTCATTACAGGTTCGAGCTTCGTTTCGGAAATAGATCATCAAAAAAGGAAAAATACACTTTCAAAAAAAAATCTCAGTGGAGCGCAGAAAGCCAACCGTGTGAGGCTATTTTTTCCCGATATTTCCTAACATCTCCTTCAAAGCCCATTTCGAGACCCACTGCGAAGTTGCAACACCAATAAATGCAAGATTTCTCTTCTGCCCACTGACCTAATTCAATTTTGTTGTTTCTCTCCTGGGCCTAATAATAACGAATTTCCCAAACTGAGAGAGAAGAGAGAGAAATAGATAGGAGTTGCGCAAATTCACCAAATCATGACCCGAGTTGGAAAACAAAACAAGACGTTTCAGATCAGATGTTTCGAATCAAGTCAGCAAAAAAGACGGGAAATGATAAATATATGGTTTTTCGATTTGATGGGATGATTTTATTCATTAAATTCATCAGTAATCTAAAAAATCTTTTTTTTTTTCAGATTTATCATTTTCAGTCTTTTTTGTTGACTTGAAAACATGAAAATAATAGAGTAATGAAGAAAAAACAAAAGTCCTAAGAAAATTAATCATTGGTCGCGCGAAGAATGGCTCAACGTGGTTTATTAGAAGCGCGCCCGACCTGAAACGACTTGCGCCAAGAGATATAGGTTTTGAGCCATTCTACGTGCGTTTTTTCTCTTTTCCTGCTAAGACCTTTGATTTCGATGAAGTGGACCGCGACCGGTTCAGAAACCGTCCAGGCTCACGGTCCCGTTGAAACGACGCATGTTTTCTCACTGCTTTCATTTCATTTGTCTGAACTTTTAGCACGAAATAAAATAGAATAAATATCCAACTTTCGATAAAAAAAAAACAACAAAAAAAAACCTAGGAACCCGAAAAAGGAGAGGAATTCATCATTATGCATTATAGAGATAGAAGGAATTTTCAAGCTTTTTTGGAATTTATGGACCCATTTGAAGCCCATATTTTCAAATTTACATCACCGAAAAAGCTCAAAAATGATATTTTTTGAAAAAAAAGGATTTCATTTAAGGCTATTTTGGTGGACAAAAATGACCGTTTCAAAATGAAAAAATCGCAAGTTTCAATAAAAATGTGTGGTAAAACTCCAAAAAAATAAAGTTGAAAAATTTTGAAAAAAATCGAAGAAAAATTCCATTAAAAAAATCACTCAAAAAAATCAGAAATCGGTCAATTGCAAAAATTTTTTTACAAGAAGAAATTCAATGAAAAGTCAGTTTTCAGCTGCACGTTAGCCAAGAAAAACTGAAAAAAAATCGATATTTTCCAAAATTTTCAAATCGATCGATGCCATAATTCAGTCAAAGTATCATTGAGAAAAGTGGTGGACTCAATTTTTTCAAGTTCTGTTTTTTTTAGAAAGTCGAGGAAAAATCAAAGAAAAGTTGCAGCGAAACTAAGAAAAAACACAGAAATGGATGGGAATTTTTAAAACAACCCTTTGAAAAACAGATCAAACCGAGAAATGACCCGGAAAGGGGTGCTACTTTTTTTCTCTCAATCTGTTTCCAACTCAAGTTAGAAAAAAGAAAGAGAGAGAAAGGGAACGATACGATCAGTTAATTGATAATAGTTGATTTGGGGGGAGAGAAGGACCAAAATTTTTACACAGCCTTTTTTTTCTCGTCAAGTTCCTCTGTCTGGGTTCGTATTTTATATAATTGGCTGGATTTTTCACAATATTATTGTTTTGGTTTATTTTTGTGTTCTGTAGGGTTGTGGTGGCGTGTAAGGAAAAACTCAAGGATTTTGTAATTTTCGGAAAAAAAAAACGGTCTTGAAACGATTAGCTTTTTTATAAGGTACCCTACGCAGAAAACTGTTGGATCCCCTTAAGAAAGTGAAGTGAAAAATTCCGATTTTTTTTTTTTTTCATGATCATATTTTCAGATTAAAGGCGCAGGGCGGAGACTAAAAAAATTTTTTTTCCTGATCAGTTTTTTTCTGCTCATCTTTAAAGCTTCAAAAGAAATATTGTTTTTTTGAGATTCAGAAGAAAAAATCTACTTTTTTTGTACCTTTTCAGCACTAAATTTTTTTAAACTTTTGATGAGAAACAGAAAAATTTTTTTTGAAACTAATCGATAAACTCAGAACTCCGCGGAAAGGTCCAGAAAAAAATTCCAAAAAAAGTGAGAACCCAAAAAAATTGAGCATAACGCCCATCTATGTACCATTGTCTTCCATGTTCTAAATTAAATTTTTTTCTCTCGAAATTCCCCCAAACTTTGGCCTGAAAAACGTTCCGAAAAAAACCATCTGGTTGAAATGACACTTGAGGCGTTTAAAACAAAATAAAAAAACATTCAAAAACAGCTGTTTTTTTAGGAGTGAAAAATTGAACTGGAAATTGTGTGGTTTTTTTCTAGTTTTCTCTCAAAAATGGAAAGTTCAAAAGTCTTAAGCGAGTTTTTTAGTTGGAATAAAAATGGGTGAAGAAATTTTTTTTCCGAAAACAGCTCATCGAAAAGAAGAGCCTTAAAACATAGCTTGAAGAAAGAAAATTTAAAAAATCTTAAAAAATCCATAAACTTGGAAATTAAAGTGAAAAAACAGCTTCATTTCAAATTTCGATTATCAAAAAACTGGAATAATCAGATTTCCATCAAGAAAGATTGAGAAAAGCCGAAAAAAGTTTAAAATTTCAAGGAAAAAAAAAATAAAACGAAAAAGAGACATTTTGTACTTTTCACAAGGCCAAAAGCATGGGAAAAAATCGATACCTCAGATTTATCTTCCAAAGATTCTCATTTTCCAGAAAAAAAAGTTGTACAAAAGACCCAAAAATGTCCAAACTTCCAATCAAAGAAAAAAACGGTCTCCGTATACTTTTCCAAGGTTCCATCCAATGCCACCAAGCCAAGCAAAGCGGTAAAAAAAAGCCGAAAAGTGGAAAGAAGATGGAACGAAAGGTTGGCGTCGAAACTGCGGAACGATCTTCGTCAGACAAGAAAGGAGAAAAAAAAATGGAGATGAAGATGAAGAGAATCGACTTCTAAAGGACAGAGGACGAAGGTCAATATCCGCGCATTTCACGGTTTTTCATTCGTTTTCTTGATTTGGAACAGGGAATCGTGTTCACATAAATCAAATATGATAGAAAAAAACTTTTTGATTTTCATTTTGGAAAAATCAAGTTTAGTGATTTCGAAGAAAGATCTGATAAGATTTGGATTTTCAAAAAAATAGTTTTTTTGTACCTATTTTTTTCAACTTTTTAGTTCTGATATTTACCCTTAGTGCCTTTCAAACTGTCAAAAAAAAAATTCAAAGCTCAGTATTTCAATCTCACGAATCCTAGTAACGAAGCCTTATCAAGGCCTAACTTTAATTTTGAAAAACTGAAATTTAAGTGAAAAAAATTTATATCATTAGAACCAAAGAAAAAAACCGTTTCATTATTGAAAAAAATCCTAAATTTAAACTTTCCTTGAAAAAACGGAAAATCAACCAAAAAACTGAGTTAAAAATTGAGATTTTCAGGTAAAAACCAGAATTTTTCGAGCTTAATGAAGACAGCAATATGGGAAAAGGCTCATGAAATGATTCAAGCTCAAAAATGATCAATTTTTGTCCTCCTATTGAACAAAATTCAACTTAAAAAAATCTTTTTTTAAAGTTAAGTTCTATTTTTACTCGACATGATTGCATTGAAAAGCGTATAAAAAATACTAAATTGAATAAATTTCAAATCCAAAGTAAAATAAATAATATATTATCCAATAAACTCTCCAAAAACCTAGCCAAAGCAAAAAAAAAGTAGGTTCACCGGTAATATGCCCATTTTTCACGAGTTTCACCCGGGCCGACGTAATTGGGGATGAATAAGTCCTTCAGTAAAAACTCACTCGAAGACGTCCACTTACAAATGTTTTTGACCCGGATTTTTCCGAGTTACTCGATGGATTTTTCCGGCCAATTTGGCTACACAAGGCCGTGTCGTTTCAATGAGAGAGAAAAAAGTTTGTGTAAAAAAAGTTGGGTGGCTGAAAGTTGAAATTTAAAAAAAAACTATTTCTTCTTTTTTTCTTTTCTTTTCTTCTTTCTTTTCAGTCATTCCAAAAAAAGGTTATGTTCTTTGAAAAATTCATGAAAAATCGTAAAAAAATTTGGGGGGCTTCTGAATGAGACTAGGTCTTCTAGATGTAGTTTTTTTCACGCTGATTCCAAATCTGGTCTCAAAAAGTTGCCCAATAAATCTGTGAAAAAAAGTTAGGAACTCTCAAAGTGAGTTATATTAAATTTGTACAAAAAAATAGGAAACTTTTTGATTCTTTCTGTTCAAAATGATGACTTTTTTTAGACTAAACTTTGAAAAAAAGGTTAAATAATCTCTTTTTTAATTAAAAAATCTTGTTCGACCCTATCATCTTGCCAAAAATTTAACCGAGAATTTTCGAGAGTTATGAGACTAGGACAACTTTTAGTGGCCACCATAGGGTTTTGACGTTTTAGTGACCACTATAGTAGTCAATTTAGAAGCCACTTAAGGGGCTAAAATATAGTGGACACTATAGAGGTCTAAGTGCTACTAGTAGACCACTAAAAATTTTAGTGGCCACTTTAGGTCTTAATGGATCAACATAACTGGTCCAATCTGTTTGTTTTAAAATTATCAGAGTTACTGGAAGGAATACTGGATGAAAAATTACTGAAGTGGTCACTAAATAGAGAACCTCTATAATGGCCAATAAACGGAAAATGGTGGCCACTATAAAGGTGGGTTTAGTGGCCACTTTAGTGTCATCTCCAATTAGTCCTTGGCGAGCCTCTATAGTGGCCACTAAAAATTTTTCCCCAGAATATTCTTTTTTTCAACTTAAACTAAACTTCATTCGTTTCCAGTTTTATAAAATCGTAAAAATCTATTATAAAGTGGCAAATCCCAAGAATTTTCATCCCCTGACCTTTCTTCCAGATTCTCCTCTAATTTACTCCTTCAATCAAGTTTCTCCGGGCTGTTTTTTCTTCTCCAGTTTTATTCAACCCATCCGTTCCAGTTCCTTTTCCCGATTTAACTTTTAGACAATTTTCGGGGCGATAAAATCGCATCCCACTTTAGAAAAAAAAAAGAGTAAAAAATTCGTTTCGACGGGGGTGTTGATGTGTTTTGCAGTGAGAGAGAGGTTATATGGCCGTATTTCATCTGGAACACAAGCCGGGAACACAAAAAAAAAATAACCCATTTTGCCCGAGGGCCTCTCTCTGAATTAATATTTAATGTCTCGTGATCGATCGCTGTTTTGAAGTTCGCCGGGGAAAAATTATGAGAGTTCTGGAGCTATTTTTCTTGCTTTTAATGAACTTCAGAGGATCAGAGCTTTTTTTCTTGAGCCTGCAAAAATGCGCAATTTTGAAAAAATGAAAGCTCAAAGTTTTGAAAATAGCCCATTTTTGCGGTTTTCTCTAACTTCAGGTGTCTTTTCTGGAAAACTGGGAAGTTTTGAAAGTCGAGATTTTCAGAAAAGTCATTTAATATCTCAAGAAGCCTTCTTTCAAGAAATTTTCAACTAAAAAGTGAAATAACCTCCTAGCAAATAAATAATTTTATTCTAAACGTTCAGCGGGCTCGTGAAGATTAGGCTACGTAGGAATTATCATTTCTTTTCGAAAAATTGATTTTTCCTTCGTAAATCGGGAGAAACATCCAGGGGCCATTTTAAAGGCCGAGTTTTCCAAAAATCAAAGTCAGGACCAACTCCTGGGTTCAAAACTTGACTTTTTAGTCCATTTTTCGGGACTTCACTGCGCCCTCCTCATCTCTCGACGTCACTCTCATGTTTACGTGCTATTTCAATGTTTCTCTGACCTCGCCGGTGAGGGAACAGAGAGACGCAGACACGCGAAAACTGTCAGCGTGGACTATATTTCGCTCAACACTAATCCCTGGGTTTGAAACTAATTTTTCTAGTTTTTTGAAATTTTCTAAAGGCAACCCTTCATTAGGTACTTTAATTCCAGAAGTTTGGTTCCACAGTTGAAGTCGAAAAAAGTGGAGATTTTCAAGTACCTCGGCCCAGTCGACGAGGGAGGGACGTCGTCGGTCGCGTTGATGACCGACGCTGCTCATCGGAAGCGAGACGGCCGCCTGCGGGATCGACGGCAACGACGGACGTCGGAGCGGTCGGTACGGTAGCTCGCCGCCGAGGTTACTGTAAAACGAACTCTTATCAGCATAATAATGACCAACTGACAGGGGAGGAAATTTCAATTTTCTCAAAATTGGCCAGAAAACTCCTTGATTTACCAGATGAACACCCTGAAAGTCTCAACCTTCAAAACTTCCTAGTTCTTAGAAAAAATTCACCTCTAAGTCGAAGAAAACCTTTAAAATTCGTTATAACAGGCCTTTGAGTCCTTATTTCACAAAAACTAATAAGTTGTCCAAATTGAAACTTCCAGAATCTTCCACTGGTACATCAAGGAGTATTCTGGCCAATTTCAGGAAATTCCAAAACGCAAAGGGAAAGGGCTTCCTTGTGCGGTACAGAAGAATGAAATAAACGAATAAACGATAAAAATTGGCCAAGATGGAATGAAACAACAAAAATTTCTCCCGCAATTGGCAGAAAAATGGTTCATGACCGTTGGAGCGCACTTTCAAAAGATACGGCTAAATTTTCGACGCTCATTTTCCGGTGGCTTTTCACGGCTTTTTTTGCGCGGTTATTTCAAAACATGCTTTTTCTTTTCTTGAAACATTCTGACATGCCTCTTCCCTCTTCTCACTAATCGTTGAAGGAATTGAAATAGTAAGTAAACGAAAAAGGGAAGCTGAATGATCAAGAGAGCACAGACAGGTCAGACAGTTTCAAGAAATGAGAAATGAGTTTTATTGATTCATCTCTGTGTTATTTTAAAGATAGGCGTGAGTTTGGTGATACTTAACGAAATATTTTTGAGAAGACAGGCCAATTTCGGAAAAAAGGTTCGTAATTTTCACAAAAATCGATGAAAAGATAAATCCACGTTGAAAAGCTCAAAGTTCAGAGAAAAAGAAGTTTTGAGAAAAATATCCTCATAATGAGGTCTGAGTCTCAAAAAATAATTTTTTCCAAAAAATTTCAGTTTTTCATTGAATAAAAAATTCCTCGTTGAATAAGTTCTGTAAAAAAGAAAAGTTGTCTCCGTTGCAGATTTTTCATTGGAAGAGTATGAGTGAGAAAAAAAAAGAAAAAGAAAGGAATAAGATTTGCAAGGTGATACTTAATGATCTATTCATGGTTTCTTTTTTTTTGTTGGAACATGTCTATTATGGAATGTTATATTCACTGAGGTGCTTATATTAGAACGAAAAAAATGAGAACAAATATATTGAATAACACAAAAAGGCTGAGATAGAACAGGACGAAGAAAAGCTTTAAAAGGGCTGGAACAAGATCTTTCAGAACCTTTTTAAAATCAAAGCAGTTTAAAAAAGAAATCAAAACCAAGTCTTGATTTTTTTTTAGAACTTTCTTTTTTTTAGAACGTACCATTGAAAAACACAGGTCTTCGCAATTATTCCTAAAAATCCATTCTGAAAAGAAAAATCGCCAAAACTGATCGTCCAAACTTTTGACGAATCAAGATCAAAGATCAGGGTTATCCAAAAAAAAAAAGTTGGAAGAAAGTGCTGAGGATCAAAATTATTCTAACAAGCGCTCTTATCCTAAAGGCTTATTCAAAATGAGGAAAAAAAGCATAAAAGATAAATAATAAGGAAAAACCCTCGAAGAAGGAGGTGAATGTACTATGATCACAATTATGGAAACAAACTGATTTCCTGTTTCTGAGCACCAAAATCGGTGCTCAAAGAATGAAAAGCAGAAAATTTTAGAAATAAGAGGTTCTGGAAGCTGAATTAATAGAGGGTGGATAAACAGCGATCAAAAAAAAGTCTTTGTAACTTTCTGAGAGTCAAAAACGACAATGACAGATCAGAAAACGGTTTCAAAGCTATCTTTGCACAAATATTTCTGAAGAAAGATGAATGGACGATGGATCAAAATCGGCCTTTCTGATGGAATTTTCTCCAACTAAAGACCTGAAACGCTGACAAACGTGTACCAAAACCCAGACCGATATAAGAAAGCCGAAATTTTCAAAATACAAGGGTACTACTTGAAAGAGGGGTGAATGGACTATGATCAGGTTGTCGGAAAAAAATTCTACTTTCTGACAACCTTACTTTGAAAAGTGATCTGCAGGGTTATACTTGGAACGCTACCATCTTGAAAAAAGGGAATAAATGGTGGATCGAAATCGGCGTTTCTGACAAGATTTTCTTGAAAAAAAAGCCTCACTTCTTTGGAAAAAACATAATTTTCCTTAGAAGAGAAGTGACTGGACTATGGATCAAAATCGGCCTTTCTGATGGAATTTTCTCAAACCAAACCCTCAATAACTTGAAAAAAAGCTGTTCTCCCTAAAAGAGAAGTGAATGAACTATGGACGGAAATTGGCGTTTCCGACGGAATTTTCTCGAAAAAAAAACCTTCAAAAAATTGAAAAAAAGCTTATTTTTTACCTGAAAGAGAAGTGACTGGACTATGGATCAAAATCGGCGTTTTGACGAGTTTTTCTCAAACCAAACCCTCAATAATTTGAAAAAAAGCTATTCTCACTAGAAAAGAAGTGAATGAACTATGGATCAAAACGGAATTTTCTCGAACCCTGGACCGCTCACAAACACCTGCACACCACTCCTTGGTTACCTGCTCGACTGATTCCGGCGGAACATGGCGCGACGTCGTTTCGTAAGACAATCGAGGAGCCGGGAGGCAATCGGCTCGCCTTGGCCGTTGCTAATCGCATAGGCATTGATCTGGGCGGCATCGTCGCCGTCGACGCCGTCCTCCTCGAGGATGACGCCCCGACGCGTCGCCGACGACAGCAAGTACGTCGTCGTCGTCGTCGTCGTCGCCTTGGAGAGTTCAGTTGAAACTGGGCGGGGCGGAGCATGTTCAAGGAATCAAGAGGCAAAAGGGGGCGGAGGCGCTTCTCAATTCCGCCCCGGCTGCTGTTGGAGGAGGACGGCGAAAAATAAAAAACACTCATCGGACGCTGGTCCAACGAGCTAATTAGTTCTTCTCGACTTTCTGTTCTTTTTTCTCCTTCGTTTGAGTAAGGCCTTTGGTCGGTAGAAAGCCTTATTTTTAAATGTCTTAGGGATTCATATTCGAGAATGATCCCAGTCCAATCTCTTCAAGAAGCTTCATGAAACGTTTCTGACCTTTTCTGTCCTTTAGTGAACTCGTTGGTCTTCAGAAAATAAAGTCCATGTTTTCCACGAGTTAGTCCATTCATATTTTCTTCGAGGAACTTTTTAAAACGCCAGCTCCCAAAATTTTCTCTCTGACTTTCTCCTTTTTCCAACAGGTGATGAGAATATTGGCTTAGGAAAGTCCGGCATTTATGATCCACTACCTTTCCTTCAGGTAAGCTTAGTCCGAATATAATTTAGAAGCTCTTTTTTTGTTCTTTCTTGTCTTTTTAATTTTTCGTGATAAATTTTTTTCGATCCCATAAGAAATCGATTCGACCTCAAACTTTTTGATACACAGCCTATTCAAATCTGATTTTTTTCGGAAAAACTGATCAAAAATAATCTTGAAGCGGTTCTTTAAATCTGGGGGTCCTTCAAAAAGTTTGTAATTTTTATGAAGTTCTTGGGTCTCTTATTCATAATCCAGTCCATACTTTGAGTCAAATTAACCCATATTTAAAAAATGACGTCTTCTATTACAAAGATCAGGTCATCCGGAATTTTCCTTTTAGACTTCCTTGGCCTTTTTGGGAAGGTCCTCGGCTCCTTGGGGATTTCCTCGGTTCATATTCGTAATTATAGTCCTTTTAGCTTTTTCAAAGAATAAAGTCCACTGAAATATTGTCTACTATCTTCAAAATTTTCTTTGAGCGGAAAAATTTGAATTTTTTGGAAAGATAGTCTAGTAAGAACAACCTATTAGAAGAGTCGTTTAAAAAAATTAGGATTCCTTTACTTTTTCTTATATTAAAAAACAGGAGATTTTTTGATGCAAGCTAAAATTTCTCAGGTAAGCAGGTGAATAATATTCATTCCTATGAAAAAAAAAATAGATCTTTGATTTTGTTTTCCACAGGTTCTCTGGTTCTTGAAACAAAAACTTATAGGGTCATTTAATTGTTGCCCCGAGAATCGGTGTCATTTCCTCTTTCCGCTCATTTTCGAGTACCATTGTCGATAGAAAAAACCTCGTTTCGAGAAAAATTCAAGGTAATTTGGGACGACGAAATTGCTACTCACTTTCAAGGACTATTATGGTGGGAACGAAAATATTTCGAAGGTGGGAAGTTTAGTTAGATGTGCAGGTGTCTGATTCGAGCCATTTCAGAACTTTAAAAAAAACCAACTTTTTAGACAAAGTTTATCCATGAATATTAGTTTTAATGGTTCAAAAGGGGCTAAAATCGAGGGTTACTTTTGAAAATGGTTCTATTGAAGCTGAATTATGAACTTTCCGAGTTTACTTTTTTTAAAAAAAGGTTTCATAAATTTCACTAGATACAATTAAAAATTTGAGCCTTTTTGTTTTAAATTTACAAAAACTGGGAAGATTAAAAAATAAGTTCTTTAGAGCGCACTTGCAGAGTTTCACAACCTTCCTCCTGCTTCAAATTCCATTTTCCCCCTACAAATCGCAATTATTTCTCCAAATCCTCATATTGGACTAAGAAAAGTGTGTAGCCTCATATTTGCAGAAAGAAAAACAGCTTTTTTCGCAAGTTTTCCAGGCGCCCAAAAAGCGGCCTTTCCTCATTTTCTCTTCTCCGCTTTTTCTTCCTCTTTGCGTTCCATGTCCTTGGAAAACTTTTTGGTGAATAGGCATATAATTTCAGCGTGGCGTTGGACGGCCGCAAAAAACTGAAACACAAGAAGAAGAAGGGGTTCGTCGTCAAAAATATCTATATTCTGAAGGGAAAAAGGACGCGCGGGGGATAAAAGCTAAGCTATGGGGGATCCAATATCCAAGTTCTTCATCATCGTCATCATCAAACACCCTTTTGGCTTCGGAAAAACGGCAAGGAGAGGCGAGTTTTTGGATCACAAGTCCGAAGGCTTGACTTTTAGGTTTCTAAATTAATTCGTTTGCTGCAAGAAAGCTACAAATCGTCATTTTTGGGCGGGAAAAAAGGCAAGGAGAGGCGATTTTTTGAGATCGAATAACCGAATTTTTATTCACTCTATTACTGAAGAGTATACTTCGAAAAATACTCAAAATTTAAAAAACTAATTTTTTTAGATTTCCACAAAACAACTTATTTTCTTCAAAGACTAAAAATCCATTCTTAAGCTTCAGACTCGAAAAAAATTTCTAAACTTGGAAATTATCAATATATAAATGTTTATATACTGGGAAATTTGTTATTGGTCGCTATAGAGGCTCGCCAAGGACTACTAGGAGAGGACACTAAAGTGCCCACTAAACCTCTATAGTGTCCATTATTTTATGTTTTAGTGGGCACTATAGAGGTTCTCTATTTAGTGACCACTTCAGTAGTTTTTCATCCAGTATTCCTTCCAGCAACTCTGATAATTTTAAAACAAACAGATTGGATCAGTTATATTGATGCATTGACCCCTAAAGTGGCCACTAAAATGTTTAGTGGCCTAGTAGTAGCACTTACACCTCTATAGCGGCCACTAATTTTCAACTACTTAAGTGGCCACTTGTTTGACTACTATAGTGGCCACTAAAACGTCAAAACCCTGTAGTGGCCACTAAAAATTTTCCCAGTATTTTTGAAAAAGATCTTGAACCTTCTTACAGACAGTGAAAACCTACAAATTATAATTTCCTTTACAGAAAAAAAAAACAACCAATTATTCCCCACTCCATAACTCTTCTGTACGAAATGCTCGAATAAAACCTTCCCGAGGGACATTTTCTTCCTTTTTTAGAAGATACTATGTTTTCTCATTTCTCCTTCTTTTTTCTTGGTTCAGAGATGATCTCTAAGATTGACGGCGAACCGAGAAAAAAAAAAGCAGAGAAGAGAAAAAAGGAATTCTTCCCAGGAGGAAAAGTTGCTTTGTGCTTTAAAACGTCCCAAAAATGTTCCATTTTTTTTTTACGAATTGATTTCTGGTGTTGAAAAAGAAGGTTCCAGACAAGAAAACAGGGTTTTAAATTGTTGAGTCATAGTTTTTACAGCCACAAAGGTATTGGGACAAAAGAGAAAAATCAAAAAAAGTTGAGAAAAATTGAAAAAGACCAAAAATCATAATTGGGAAGGTCATGAAGTTATGAAGTTTCTCAAGAAATCGTTAAAATCAAAGGTTCAAGCCGCCGAAAGCTATAAAAATTGAAAGCACATGTGCGCTCTATTAAAGAGATTCGGAGAGGAATTCGGATTTCATCAATAAAATCGAGATCAATGGATGGAACAAAATATGTTAAAAATTCGGAAATTTGCTGCAAACGGATTTTTGAGACCAGATTTTCAAATAACCTTTTCAGGAAAATAAAATAAGTTTCACTTCAAAAAGCATTCCACGAAGCCTGTCAGGCTATTAAAGGCGCAGGGTGGAATCGAAAAAAAATGGTTTTTTTCAAGATTTACCATGAGCCTTCAAGTCCGAGACACTTTCAAAGGGATTTTGAAACCTAAAAAGGGCACCAAAAAAGTTCTAACTAGTGAAATAAATAAGCTTTTCGCGTTGAATAATTCATGAGTTTTCTGCATCTGCTCCTTTAAACTTTAAAGGTTCATGAACTTTGAATCGAAAAAGCTTCTGTGAGTGATCGACGAACTCGGAATTTTCAGAAAACTTCAGGAAAATATTGATTTTTTTGGTGAAAAGTTAAAAATAGTGGAATTCTTGAGAATGATCCTACCTTGAAATAGGGCGCATAAAGACCGCCACAACTCTTTCTCTGACACACACTATTTCGTCGTTATCTAGAAGCGAGAAAACGACGAAATAGTGTGTGTCAGAGAAACAGTTGTGGCTTATGCTCCCCATGTCAAAATAACTATGAAACAGTTTCTGAAACGACGGACAAAGTACAGAGAAGGAAACGAGGTTAACCGATGTGGGGAAGGAGATGGAACAAATCTATGTGAATATTTGAGCGATTTTGGCCCAAGGTGAGAGAGAAAATTCGTCTCGCGGGCGCCGTTCAGAAAAATTCCGCACACAGGAAGATCCATATCTCCACCGGTCTCTTCTCTACGCTTCCCGAAAATTTCGCCCCGCGCACCGTGTCCGTGGATCGTTTTGGAAACGCCAGAATGACGCGGTCGCCCTCCCATTCAACTCGACCATCCGTATGCGTAGATCAAGTCGAGAAAGAAAAGGACGTTTCGAAACGGCCGACATTCAGGTCAAAACCATTTCTCGGGATCCGACCTAGGAACAAAAGTCCAAGTCCGATTTGGTGCTTCTTTTTCAGCTTTTAAAGCCATAGAGGTCGATTTTATGAATTCAGTTATCTACCAGATTTCAATCAATCTATCTACAAATAGGAAAAAACGTCCAAGTTTGATTTAAAGCTTTTACTCAAGGAGCTGGGCTTCAGAGCTTCTAACCCAGGTGATATAGATTTCAGAGCTTAATACAAAGTTTTCAGGCATCTACGATCGTTCCAGTCAACTTATCTACAGATAGGTGCAAAATTCCAAGTGCAATTTGAAGCTTCTACTTAAGAGACTGGAATTTTGAGACCTAAAAAATTCTAACCATTATCAGGAAACGTCATTCCATTAATCTACAAATAGGAACAAAATTCCAAGTCCAAACCCAGTTCAAAGCTTCTACTTAAGGAGCAAACCAGGTAAGCCTTAGAGCTTCTGACCAAGTTGGCCTAGATTTGAAATATTCCAACTAAGTTTCCGGGTAACTAGAGTTTCAGGCGATCTATCTACAACAAAGATGAAAAGTCCAAGTCCAAGTTTGATTCATAGCTTCTACCTCAGCTTTTGAAGCATTGAGGTCAATTTTAAGATTAAAGCAAGACTTCAATGCTCTAAAAAAGATCTCAGGCTTCTGCCGTTTTTCCAATCAATCCATCTAAAGCTAGGCATACAATTTCAAGTTCAAGTCCGATTCAAAGCTTCTGTTTAACGTTTTGAGCCTAATCTTACGCTTTCAAAAACTCAAGATCAACTTTTTTTTTTGGATTGAAATAGAACCAAACTTTTAATCATCTACCGTTGTTCCAGTCAACCTATCTACAACTGGAAACAAAATTCCAAGTCCAAGATCGAGTCAAAGCTTCTACCTCAGCTTAAAAAATATCAAATTCAAGATTTATGAAAGATTCAAATCAAAAAAATAAAAAGTTGATCTTACTCAAAACTTCAAAACAGTCCTGGTCACTTCCAGTGGAGAGCCTGGATTCGTAAGTTCAGAAAAAAAGAAGTCAAACAGTTTCAAAACAGTTTCTCATGAACTTTTACGGGTCGAAAAGTTGCTTAACCCGTGGTTTCGCAGTAGGTAGCGGACTGGAAAGGCTTAGAATCGACCTACACGAGCAATTATGCGAACAACGGGTGAGTCTGTGCGTTTGGGCCAAAATCGAGGGCAAAACCGGACTTGACTATATTTTTTTTTTTTGCGGTTCGCTTAAATTCTCCCAATAGCCCCGTTCCGCCAATGTTTCGTTTTCAGCAGTGAATGGGAAATTCGCGAAAATCGTTGAAAATCGGACCTTTTGATGAATTTATCAATGGAGCGCCATTTCTTATCGGCAAAAATTTCCAAATTCTAGCAGTTCAACTTCAAAAGTTGCATGCACCATAGAACAATTAAATCTAAAAAGGCGTAAAAAAGCTTCCTTTTTTATGAAATTGAAAAAAAAAACACTTTAATATTTTCGCTTCTGGAATCGAAAGTTGAAAAAGAAAGCTGAATGAGAAGCTGAAAAAGCAGAATCAGAAAAAAAAAGTTAGTGAATAGATTTCAAGTCAGAAAGAACCGTACTGGTCAATAAAAGACTTGGAGCGGAACCGAACCCTTGACCTCGACAGCTACAGTCGGAGCTCTTAACCACTCGACCATACGTGATCTGTGCTTTCAAAGGCTAAAGGTTCGCCGCCTTCTGGCTCTTGGACGATGATAACTGGTCAAAAAAGAGAAAAAAAGAGAAAAAAAAAAGTTAGATGTGCAGGTGCAATACCTGAGAAAGTTCGTGATAAAAGAAACACATCACAGATGGCGAGAATATGAAGCATTCTATAATAATTACGTAGATATAAGAAAATAAATTAAAAAGAAAGTTAGATTCGTAGGAGCTACAGTAGACAAAAGTCTTCGAAAGTCGTACCATGAAGATTTCTATACACTATTGATGCCCGAAGGCGTTCCATAAGGCCAAACCTATAAAAAGGAAAAATCTAGGTGATAAGATAACGAAATCGAGCTGGCAGGTCAACTAGTACTGATAAATATCTTTGAACTTTTGCCGCTTCTGGAGGAGATAGAGCTGTACTTGTACGATTGAGGGTGGCTCAATAGAAATTTAGATTGATACTTTGTGCCCGACTTCAAAGCTACTCTCGCCAGACGACATAAGTGAACACTAAAGTGATAAAAGTTCGATTCACAGTGATCCAAGAAGCCATGGTAAGACGGAACTCAAGAGAAAAAAACCATTTTTTTTTTTGAAATTTATCGCGACCGAACTAAAACGACTTACGCTGAGCAACAGAGCTATTAGAGAAAAATTGATGAACCGCCACTATTTTTAGATAAAAAAAAACCGCTCCAGACTTAAAATTGAACCACTGAAATTTTTCAAACCGCGCCCGATTTTAAAACGGCTTGCGCAACTGAAAAAAAGTTTGAACAACATTTTGAAAATTCTGACTTCATTTTGAAGAAAAACTCGTCCAAAACCTTGAAAACGGTTTTTTTTTTTCTTTCAAACAAAGAGAACAAAACGGTCTTTTCAGGAATTTTCAATGCATTGGGTCGGTAAAAGGTTTGATCGTTAGCTTTCTCAAAAGAATGATGATAAATATTTTCTTTAAGTGGAATTCCAGAGAAGATTCCTGGGAATCAGCGGGAAAAGACAGAAAAATAGAGTGGACGACCGATCACCATTATATAAGTAAAAACGAAGGAAATTTGAAAATTTTTTTTCCTACCGAAAATTATACTCAAATTTTTCCTAGGTTTTCGAAATCAGAGCCAAAATTCAAAAAAACTAAAAATCCTACTCAAAAAAAAAATCTTAGGACACTTTTTCCGACAAAATTTTTTTCTGGGCTCTCAAAAACTCCAACATAATCAGAACCAGAAAAATCTGGTCACTGTAACACAAACTATGAAACACGATATACATGTACCCATGGATCGGATTTTTCGAAATATTTCGAAAAGCTTTCAGATGGCCGTAAAACCACGTATTATTTGCTCTGCCGGACGTTTTTTTTTTCTTTTTACGTGTGCGCGGCAAGAACAGGTATCACCACGGATTCAAACAAAATGAAACGAAAATCGGCGTGGAAAAAGGATTTTGAAGAGTTTCTTTTGGAATTTCGAAGAAAAAGGATTGAAGAATTTCATCTAGACTTTTTATTCAGAAAGCATTTCGAGACTTTCTTATGGATTTTTTGGGAGCATTTTGAAGACTTTTTTGAACCAATCAAAAAAAATTGAAAAATTTCCTTTTGAGAACGAAAATTCTGATTTTCCGTTAGAAAATTTCTCTTAATCTCCCTATTTCAGTTTAGGTCTTTCTTTTATCTTTTTTGGGAAGTATTTTCAGCCAAATGATCTTCAGCTGAATGAAAAAAACTAAAAAAATTTGAACTAATATTTTTTTCAGCTTCTGGAAATAATAGAAAAAGTGAGAAAGGAAAAAATCTTGAATTTAAAAAAGTGTTCTCCAAAGAGTTTTTTTAAAATCTTCCTTTTCAATTTGAATACAAGAAGTAAGAGAAGCAATATTTAATGAAATTGAGAACTTAAATCGGAGGCCAGAGAAAAGCGTCAAAAAATATGATCGAAAAAGGGTTTTCAAAATGTTTTGCAACTACACGTAGGCATGATAAATTCAATAAAAATGCGTAAAAATGTGTGAAAACCGAAGAAAAAGAGAAAAATGATCAGGAATGATGGAGAGGAAAAGGTCAACAAAAAAAGGTAGATCAAAACAAAGTTCGGATGAGGTGAGTTCAATTTTAAGTCATTTTTTGGTCCTTTTTAGGAAGTTTGGAATTCCTTGTTTATGAATCTATTTCAACAAGATTGATAAGATTTTTATGGCTCTGTCTCTTTTTGACTAGATTTGACTAGAAAATACAGGAAAGGAAATCTACGAAAGCGGAAAAGTCCAAAGATATAAAAGAGATTTTGAAGTTAAAACCACAGAACTGAACACCTCCAAAGCCTAGAGAACAAAGCTGTTTGAAGAAAAAACTCAAAACAAAGAAGAATCTTTAAACTTCCTGCCTCTTTGTTTGGAATCGTTCATTTGGAAGCCTTTTACTAAAAATAGCAAATCAGAACCATAAAAGGTAATGAGATCTGGCGAAAAGATTGCGCAGGCGAATTTCGAGGCAGTAAAGTAAAGAGGAATGTTCGGAATTCATACAGAGAGTTATTTTCGAATAAGGATGGGTTGGAAAAAAGTAAGGGCAGGTAAATGAAGTAGGAAATTCATAAAAAGCTGAAAAATAAGAAAAAAAAAAATTAAAGGGGCGTAGACCACGAGTCAGACAAGGTTTCGATGCGAAAATCAGCTTCTTTTTGACTTAAATTTAGATAAAAATTTAGTATCCATAATTTGATGACTTGAACATTTACAGAAAGTTCTTTTTATGATGAGAGGGAAACAGGCAGAAAAACTTTTTCATTTTTTTTTATTCAAAGGTTTCTTATAACTTCTGTTTTTAATCTCTTCAATCGGAGAACTTATATCAAAGTATTTTTTCCCTGAGCTTTGGATAAAGTTATACAAGCTATAAAGCAGTTATTTGAAAGTCTCTGTGATAATTTAGGACCATAAAATAATTTAAAAGCGATCCCTAGCTTAGCCAGGACGGAAAAAAGGGAACACAGGGAAAGTCGGTGGATAAGAAAAATTTTTCAGACTTTATCCTGGTTTTTTCCTGAAGCTGTTCTGGAGATCATGGAAATATTCCTTTCCCTTAAATGAAACACGTGAAAATAGGATCTAGTCCAAACAGGACCGGAAAACCCAGGCAAAGTCGGGTGAGAAAAAGAAGTTCAAACGATTCCGTGGTATTTTTGTTCTCAAGCCTTTTTCTTCAAATAAAAAAAAAGTAAAACCAAGCCTAGTTCAACTAGAAACAGTTCAACCAAGCGCTCAAAAGGAACGAAAAAAAAGAGAAAATCCAGCGAAAGTCGGGTGAGAAAAGGGCAAGACAGAAGGAAAATGAGTGGCGGCAACTTCCTAGACGTTGCCGTAAGTGATGAGACCGGTCGTCGACGTCGTCAGAATCGAGGAAAGCGCAGGAGAAGGGGAAGGAGGTACCCAAACCGTAATTAGACAACGACGTCTTTTCGAGTGGCCTCGGAATTGCTTCGGATGGCGTTTGGCAGAAGCTGGGAAGAAGTTCGGATCCTCATTGGCTGCTGCTGCTGCCAACGAGTGGGACTCCGACCGGTTCGACACTTCGTTAACTATTTGATCAACTACAGGGAGGCTTGAGAGGAGAAGATACGAATCAAGAAAAGTTGGAAAAGGTCATTTGGTGATCAAAAATTCACAAAGTTAACGTTTTTTTTTAAGAAAATTTTTTATTTTCCGGTTGAACTTTCCATGAAACTTCGCTGAGTGTACTTTAGGACCTCCTGATTTCAAAACAAGAAAAAGTGTTTCTCAATAGATTTCTTTTTCGAGTTAAGATGCTTCAAAAGCTTGAAACAGTGCTTTTTCGTCATAAATTGCGTACTTTGAAGCTCCATAACTCGAAAATAAGATCTATTGCAAGACATTTTTGCTTGTTCTGTAGTAAGCAAATCCCTAGTAAGCAAATTTGAGCCGAAATAGAACCGGAGTAAGTATTTTTACGAGAAAAAAATATTTTTCAAACTTTTTCTGAAAATTGAAAAGATCGTCTTGATCTTTAAAAAAACCTTTCCTAATAAGATTTTTGCATACTTCCGCACTCACAGATCATACCAGAAAAATCTAAAAAAATGAAGATTTTGATCATTAAGATTGAATTTTACTTTTTCACAGTAGGGCTGCTGACTAGAGGAGAGAACAAAAAAGTGAAAAAAAGGAAAGTTTAACAGATTAAGAGAAAAACTAAATTTTATTTTTAAAGAATTGAAGTTCGAAAAATTAACCAGATTCACTATCTCTTCAAACAAAACTTCAAAAAATAATTTTTTGTAGATTCCAAAAAGTCATATTAGAGAAAAAGTGCTTGTTTTCGGCAAAAATAAAGAAGAGTTTGACGTCTTTCGAGTCACGCCAAAAGCGAAAAAAGATGATTTACAAGGTATCCAATTAAGGGTCGCTTCAATGTTGCTCTTTTCCGCTGAATAGAATGTTATTAGGGAGGAAAACAAGTAAGAAAATCATGAAAAACATAAAAAAAAGTGTCAATAAATATATGCCGTGCAAAATCCAAGATACGTTTCGAGGAACTATTTTGTTGATTTTTTGACAAGATACAAATGTTTCTCTCAGGTTTTTCCGGAAAATGTGCTTGTAATAAGCATTTTTAGCATGATACATAAGTGAGAGATTTTTTTAGAACTATTTTTTGAAGTCCTTTTGAAATCTAAGAAGATTGGAACAAGAAAATAAAAAATAATGGCATTTTTTAGTCCAGAAAAAATCAGAACTAATTTCAGATTCAAGGTTGCCGTAAAGCGTTGCGTTATATGGTTAAAGTGAAAGAATTTGGGATTTTGGCGTCGCTGAATTATGATTAGAAGTGCGCCGCGTTGTACGCGTCAAAGATCGAGGCCAAGTATGCGGCGGCGTGAGAAGAAAGGAGGTTGAAGGCGCGCCAGCCGGCGGAAGACTGTCTTTTCGACGGCTGGCAGCTGCCTTTTGAGCTACTCGGTAAGTTAGGAGTGATCACTTAAAGTTTGGAAGTTGGCAAAAAAGCTGCCAGGTAAAGTGAAGCCTTCAAATAATCACTTTAGTATTTTTTCAAAATTATTCTGAATAAAATATCTCTGACAGCTGGCAGCTGCCGCTTAAGTGAACTCATTGACTGCTTGAGATTTTAAAGTTCGTCTTTCGAAGGTTGGCATTTGCCAGTATCACTCAGGTGAAGTGACCAAGCAGCCGCTCTAGGTAATCTTTCTCCGGCTTGTTTGAGAACGATGGCTGGTACATAAGGAGGCGTTTGAGCGACTAACCATATCTAGAGTGACCACTTTAGGGTCGAAAGCCTGTATATTCTATTGCTGGCAGCTGTTAGTGGTCCCTCAAGTGCCCTTTGACCTACAGAGCTAGTCTGAAGTGATCGCTTAAGGGTTGAATAATCGTCTATTCGCCGGCTGGCAGCTACTAATGGTCTCTGGAGTAAATTCCGTAAAATAGGCTATTGAGCGAGTCTGGAGTGAGCACTTAAGAGTTGAAAGTTCGCTTATTCAACGACTGTCAGGAAGTTCACTGTTGTCTTCAGTATTTGGTTTTTTTGATAGCAATCTTTCCTGAGTGTTTTCTGAAGTGAAGTTCAAGCTTCTCAGGAAAGCTTAAGTGATCAATCTGGAGTCTACCAAGGATCAGATTTACAGCTCAATTCCGTCAAATTTCAACTCCATTCAGAGACCAGAGAAACAGAGACATTCCATCGTCTTCGGCTACTCGCGTCGGCGGAAATACATGTTAATAATTAGGAACGGAACGAGGAGAAACGCCGCGGGAAACCTGGCCGAACGGTCTTCTCGGATAAACAACAACAACACGCGCGAAATGTGTCAGAGATGGCCACGGCGGCGGCCTCAAAACTTATGGGTCTCAATATACCTAACTAGGCATGTTATCAGGTACCTTTTCAAACGAGATGTGATTAAATTAAAGGCAAAAATTTTCAAAAAACGTATTTTAGGTCGAGTTAAGCTTACTGTGCGGATTCTGAAAATACGCTTGAAGTTTCATAAAAGCGTCGAAACTTCGAGAAACTTCATTTCCGGAAACGCTCAGGAAAGCTAGCCGTCGAAAAAAACCGATCACTCAAGTGATCCCTGAGCTTTGTGACTTCTCGCGGATTTTAATTGAGAAGCTTAAAATTATTGAATGAGAATCTTGTGAATCTATTTAGAATTTTTAAGCTTTTCGGAAAAAAAATGTTCGAGATTAATAAGCTGAGGTTCTGGAGAATGGTACTCTTATCGAAAAGGTAAGGTTGAAAAATTCAAACTCTCCTCAAAAAAAAAATTGGAAGTTCTCTGAGAACTTTATCGTTTTCAAAGCCTCTTTCAACAATAGGAAGTCAAATCTTGACGACTTGAAACACATCGGCCGCAGTGGGAATGGCTTCGCGACCGGAAAAAAAAAAACATAAAAAACTCGAAACCGCGGCGCGACCGCGACACAACTGAGTCATTCCAAATGCGACTGGAATGTTTCAAATCTTCCTGAATAGACAGAAAAATCCAGAAAGATCTCTTCATAGCAAATTTTTGCTTGAAATGTTTCCAAAAACATCTCAAAAATATTGACCAACAAATAAAGTGTGGCGCCCCCCATTCAAGGTTGCCTCATTGAGCAGAATAGGATTCGGGTTGTGGAGATGGTTTCGCCAGAAAATCCGAAACAAAAGCACCAAGGTCAGGACAAGAGGAGACCCGTTTGAGGACACCACTCCGGATTACGCGGCACTAAGAAGCGCCTTGAGTGAAAAAAATAATTAGTCTTTCAACATTTTCAGGCTTATAAAGAAAAATATTATTTTCAAAAATCCTCTTTCTTTCAAGAAAAAAATTTTTTTCCTGGATTCTTTGGTTTTTATTGTGTAAAAATGTAAATCCCAAAAGGGTTATCAAGATTTAAAAACAGAAAAAAATGATCAAATTTGATCCTGATATAAAAACATTTAAAGTTAAATTTAAATTTTGAATTTTTTTCCAGAGGCTTGATGCAAATTTGGAAAAACGAGAAAGTCCGTAAATATAAAGAGTGTAAATTTTTTTCGAGTATGAGACCAAGGGTCTAGGGTACCTAAAGCTTAAAATTTCAAAAAAATTGCATTTTTTTATATATATTTCTGTAAAAATTTACTCAAGAATGACATTTCTCAAGTCCAAAAAAAGAAGTGAAAGCCTTCTCCAAACCAAAAAATTTTTCAGAATAATCAAAATCCGAGAACCAAAAATCCGACGGCGCACAAAAGTTCAAGAGAGGAAGAAGAAAACAGGCAAAAAATAGAATTGAGAAGCGGCTGGTAATTGGATAGTGGATTGTTGGGACCAACAGGCTGGACCAAAGCGGGCGAAACACGACAGGGTGCAGGTAAAAGGCGGAGGAGGAGGAACGGTTGTTTTTGGAGTGCGAACGAGTCGGTCGGAAAGAGTGCGTGGAAGGTGGGAGAGGCCCAGACACTGCACAATGGACCGACTTGGAGTTTGTTTGCGGCGGTCAGCACGGCCAAGGCGGCGGCGGCGGCTCTTCGCGGTTCCTGCTCCCTGCCGATACCGGGGTCAATCAACTCCTGGTGGCAGAACCATATCATCTGATAGAGTTGTAGATTCAGCTCAGTCTTCAGAGAAGCTCCTCTGCTGGATCATGGAATAATTAAAGTGTTGTTTGTTGGTTCTTGGAACTGTCGTTGATCAAGAGCGACTTGTAGAGCTTGACGTCTTTTTTGAGAGAGTAGTAAACGGGTTTTGAGCGTTCCGATGATCAGCTTCTTCTCCATGTAGAAGCAGTACGGCACCCAGCTTGTTAAGAGCTGCCGGACGTCGGATTAAATCCCAGGCGAGCGGAAATGAAGAACGACCGCTCGGGATGTAGAAATGAGATAATGAGCTCACAGCATCAGATACTTTTGTAGGTGAAGATTAAATCATCTGATACACTTGAAGCTAAAGTTTGAATCTTCTCATACATTTTTAGATTAAGTTTGTACCATCTGATGATTTTCAGATGAAGCTTCTATCTTCTCATACTTTTGTGGATGAAGCTTTTAACTTCTGACACTTCGAATAGATCTTTTCCTACTTCTGTAGATGATAATATTATCTTCTGACACTTTTATACACTTTTAGATAAAGCTTATATCCTCCGATAAGTTTGTAGATAAATCTGGATCAGCTTATCTGACTGGAACTGAAAAAAATCAATCCAAATTTTTCATTCGCATAGGCATCACTCATAGTCCCCTCGTAATGCCGTAAAAAATTTTTAGACCAAATACAAACAAATTTCCCCCAAAAATGGATCAGCAACCTATCATCAACTACAGTCTAGAATAAGCTAGATTTCAAAATTCAGTTCAATTTTCTCCTTTAAAGTCCAGTCAAAAATGACAATTCTCAAAATCATAAAACCATCTAGCAACAGTTATAGCACTTTTAAATGTCTCATTGTCCGAATATATCCTCCATTCAAAATGAGATTTTTTATGACCGCAATTTGGAAGGCCTGGACATCATAACAATGATCATTGAGCAGTGTGAAAGGAAAGCCGCTTCAGAAATCGAATAAATCCGACGGTCAATGAAACTGCCATTTTTAAAAGTCCGAAGGTTTTGTGACAAAGGAAATAATAGAGAAAAGGGAAAGTTTTTTGGTATCCATGGAGCGCGAAAGTTATGTAACAAGCTTAAGAAAGCTGACAGTTATTTATTAGATGCTTATGAATCCACGGGACTAATGCAAATTTTTCAAGTGGGCCCTAAAGAGGTATAAAAACTACTTGAAAGATCACTAAAAGGCTTAGGATCATCCAAAAGTCATGGAAAGCCATAGATGACTAACCATGGCAGAAATTGTAATTAGGAATCCGGAAAAGTTCCAAAAAAAAAAGTCTGAAAGTCTAGAAAAACTGTACCATTACAAAATATTGGTTTAAAAAATAAACAACTGGGAAAACGTTTAGTGGCCACTATAGAGGCTCGCCAAGGACTACTTGGAGAAGGCACTGAAGTGGCCACTAAACCCACCTCTATAGTGGCCACTATTTTCCGTTTTAGTGGCCACTTCAGTAGTTTTTCATCCAGTATTCCTTCCAGTAACTCTGATAATTTTAAAACAAACAGATTGGACCAGTTATGTTGATCCATTAACCCCTAAAGTGGCCACTAAAATTTTTAATGGTCTCGTAGTAGCACTAAGACTTCTATTGTGGCCACTAATTTTCAATCCCTTAAGTGGCCACTAATTTGACTACTATTGTGACCACTAAAACGTCAAAACCCTATAGTGGCCACTAAAAAATTCTTTCATAAATCAAGGCCTGAGAGCAATATTTCGCAATTTTGAAAGTTCACATCTTCTAGAATAAGAGTTCCTAGCGATCTCGAGAAATATTCAAAGAGTTTGGGAAAACTTATAGAATTATCCAAACTTCACATTTCCCTTTTGAGTTGAATTCAAAAAAGATCGATCAAAAGTGCAGGTTTACCTTTTCAAAGATAGGAGGAAAGGTTATTCAACGAAAAGGTGATAAAAAAGCCGTAAAACGGCCCAGGTTAGGCAGAAAAAAAGGAAAAGAGTGACGGGCAGGGCAACTTGTCAGTTTGTCAGTTTGCGTTGAAGGGTTGATGCGTGTGGCGATGTGTCAATAAAAGGCGAACCGTATTTGGAACGGGGTTATGGTCGGCCGAGTAGGCGCAAACAGTATAATAGCATGCTCCTTCTTGAGGAATCAACGGGTTGACTCAGGAATTTCAAAGTTATCCCTATAGGGTTAAGGGTCTGGCCCCTCAGCACCTAAAGCTTAAAGGGTCCCTATAAGGGTTCAGGGTCTGACCCTTAGCACCTAAAGCTTAAGGGGTCCCTATAGGGGTCGTACAATTTTATTAAAACAAGGTTAATCTTTTAAAGTTTTTTGCATGGAAACGCTACCTCGCATCGAGTTCATTAAATTTATCGACTAGAATGTCCCGTGTAGGGGCCACTTTTGGAAGCTTTAGGGGTACCTATAGGGGTTGGCAAAATGACCCCTAGAGGGGACTCTCCAAAAGCCCTATAAGGACCGCTCTAGAGTTCCTAAGTGAAGGCAGGATTTTCCGCAAAAAATAATATGTAAAGAAGAAAGCTTCTCATCAATTCGGGCTTTAAAAAGTCATTTAGAAAACAGTCAATTGAGGTCGTAAAAGAGAACATTAGAGATGTTCACCTCGAGGGCACGTACGTTGGGAGAAAAGTGTAATATTTAATCGAGCCGACGGGGAAAAAGCCGGGCCGGTCAGCCGCTTCTTTCGCCCCTCTGTATTCGGAAACCGGCATCTGATCTTGTTTCCTGTGTGCTGGACAAACTCCTACCATTGTCCATCCTATTGTTTTACTCACTCGGCCGCCATTCCACGTCAAAAACAACTCCTTCCGGATTTTGAGCCGTTTTTCGATTTCCAACGTCAAAAAGAATGAGTCAACGAGAAAGTTGGAGCTTTTTCCGTATTAACGTTAAAATAAAAACTTGAATTCACTTTAAATAAACTCACCTCAAAAATTGTTTTTTTATTTTAATTCTTCGAAAAAAACCGCATTTTAGAAGAAATATAGTATATTCCGGGCAAAAAAATCATGTTTTTTGAGCAAAACGCTTAAAAAAGCTACCGTGAACTCAGCTTTTCACGCTGTTTTATCGAGACTTTTCAAAAAAGAACTACAAAAAACAGGTCTCGAAACGAAAAATGATATACTGTATTTTTGACAGAGATAAAAACGTGACAAGCTGGCTCGAAATGTTCTTGCGGGGTTCAAAACTGACGCCCTGTTAGGAAAACTTCGGCGATTAAAAATTGGCCTTTTTAGTTCAAAATTATCCCGCGAAACACTCAAAAATAGAATTTTCAAAGCTTTAAAAAAAAGCTAGGTTCTAGAAAAAGATGGAGACTTTCACGCGCAAAATCGGTTTAATAATATCCAAAAGTTTTGAATTTCGCGCGTAATTTTGCGTAATTATTTCTAATCCGTGTTCGAATTACTGGGAAAATTTTTAGTGGCCACTAAAGGGGTAAAAAATTAATGGCCACGATAGAGGTCGAAGTTTGTACATTGGATAAAAAACTACTGAAGTGGTCACTAATCAGAGAACATCTACAGGGGCCACTAAAACGGAAAATAGTGACCACTATAGAGGTGGGTTTAGTGGCCACTTAAGTGTCCTCTCAAAGTAGTCCTTGGGGAGCCTCTATAGTGGCCACTAAAAATTTTCCAGTTTAATAATTTTTAAATCAATATTTTGTAATAGTACAGTTTCTCTTGGTTTTGAGATTTTTTTTTGGAAACTTTGGAGTGTCAGAGATAGTTGTGAATTTTGCGGAAGTTACTTCAAACACGGCATAAGCGGAAAAACGACAATTTTGTCGGAATTGGAAAGGAATGAGAAAAAGGCTCAAGATAAGCCAATATAGAAGCCCCGGAGCGCCCAGATGGTTCAGGGTACCGAAGAAATAAGGAGGCAAACCTTTTGGGACCCGACCGCCACCACATTTTACAAACGGCCGGCAGCTGCGGACATCGATCAAAAACGGTCCTGGCGGCCTTTTTTCGGGATTGTGTGAAACTGCGTGGTCATTCCACAAATACGGCACGATTCTCATGCGAATCACCATTCCTTATCAAATCGTGAGAAATGGATTCGATCATTTTTTACGAATTTTTCGGGAATACGGAATTAGATGAGCGCAAATAGTTAATTAGCATTTCAGGACAAATCTTTCCGTTTTTCGAGCGAACAAATTGTTTGAAAAATGCGACTATTCATTTTTCTTTCTCCTTGAAACTTTTTTACTCTCAGAACATAAAAAAAGACCTAGAAAATTTAATGAAACGGAAATTAACTTTCACTGATTTTTCGTACATGAATCAACTTTCCAAAAACATAATGATTCAAAATTATCGATTCAAAAATCGGATAATGAAGCACTTTCCCTAATTGAAAAAAACAACATATATTTCTCCTTTGAACTCGCGGAAACCAGCTGAAAAATGGTTCATCCAATTCAGGTTTGCCTTGAAAAATTTATCATAAGGCTTTAAAAAAAATCGTTGAACCGAAATTTCCAGCTAAAGTCCAATGGACTATCAAATAAACGTCCAGTTGTCCAGAAAATTGCAAATTCGAAAGAAAACTGTTAAAAACGTACAGCCTAACGGGGAGATGGTTGAAAACGACGAGAACCGCCGCTTTATGCGTCGTTCGCCTTTTTTTAAGACCACGCCGGTCCTCTATGACTAAACGGTCGATCGACCAAAAAGCATCCATCCATGTTCTTTCCATTTCTTCGTAAAAGTTGCAACATTTACGATTCGTAAATTCGGAGAACAGTTAATGAGTGCTTCAGCTTTAAAAACTAAGACAAGTAGCGAGAATTTTTTTAATTTTCAATCGCTTTTGATGGAAAGAAGTATCCATCCATGTTCTTCCCTTTCGTAAAAGAAGCAACATTTACGATTCGTAAATTTGAAACAGTAAACTAATGGGGAGCTTTAGAAACTAAGCGAATCGCGAGAAAATTTCCTGTTTCTAGAAGATTTCATAAAAAGTATTGGACTTTTTGGAAAAGTTTAAAAGAAAGATTTGATCCGTATCTCTAACAAAGGTTGCGGTGCACCCCGCGTCCAACTCTCGTTTCACCCCGTTTAGCTTTAAATGCCCATTAAGGTACTTTTTCCGTACACGATTTCGAAGTGGTTTGTTTCCCAATATCACCATTTTCCACCGTTTCATCCTAGGTTGTTTCGGTAGCTCAAAAAGAACTTTTCATTTCTGAGCGGTTGCCCCAGGGGTTCACCCCATTCAGGTCCAACGCGGGGTTCAGCGCAATCATCAACGAAAAGCTCACTTTTTTTGGGGTTCACTGCGGGGTACACCCCCATTTTTGTTAGAGATCCTTTGCCGAAATTTTGTAATTGTAAAATTTACGGACCGTAAATTTAGAACAGTGAATGATTGTAGAACTTTAAAAAGTTTTTTAGAGGCTTCAGAAACGAAAGTAAATCTCAAAAAATTCTAGTTTTAACGTTATTTTTTTCAATCTATAATTATTTCATAGTTTTCTCAAGCCACTACGCATCTAGGCAAGGTCCAAAGACCCGAAGAATAAATAAATTTTTTTCAGCAAGATTAAAGTTTCAAAATATTCAAGAAAAAAAGACTCACCATGTCGATTTTACGAAGTCACAAACTGTAGATGCTCAAAAACATCTGAAATCTTGAAAAATTCAACTTCTCTAACACCTTTTAAAGGATTCCATGCACTAAATAGTTTCAAAATTTTCAAAATAAAAAAAAACTTCAATCTTTATTGTTGCATCCAATCATTAATTAATTTCATAGTTAACAATGTTTACTAAAAGTTCACACTATTGACATTCAATATTTATAATAGAATACATTTAATAATAATGAATTGTAGGATTACTGGAAAACTTCACGGGCCGACGAAGTGTAGCCGTAGTTCTGAAACAAAGAAGATTTTTCTCGGAGAGGAAGCATTTTTGAAGTGAATCAAAAGAGTTTTAGTTTCATTGGGTTCTTTGTGAAATTTTAAAAGGTACTTGTGAAAAAGAAAACCTGAAAAAATATGGGAATTTCATAATTTCGGGAGTACATTAGCGCTCCAGGAAACTTAATTTTTCCTAGGACGTCGGTAACGAAAACCGGACGTTTCAGATTCTAGGAATCACTTAAAAGTGCTAAGACCACTAAAGTGGTTACTAGAAGTACCCCGACACTTCCGTTTTGTGTTATCAAGGTCCAAGTCCCAAAATGAACGATCCTCGGTCTTTTCTGAGCATTTTAGTGATCACTTCAGTCGCGTCAGCACTCAATAATCCCTAGAATTTTGCAGAAGTGTCTGCGGCGTGTTCGGTTTGTCTAACCGAGGTCCGATCGAGCCTAATTTTCCGGACTCGAAACTTCGAAGCTAGAGATCACTTGTAAACAAGAGAGGACATTTTCCTTTTTCATTTGTAAAACTGCGATATTCGCAAAAGTTTTGGGCATTTAGAGGGTAGAAACGGATTTTCCAGTCGATTTTTCCACGGAGCGCTCATGAAATTCACTCCTCAATTTGACTAAAATCGGGTTTCCATTCATTTTTTCCCCACATGCAATAATTAACAGTGCAAAAAACGTAAATAAACCCAGGATTTAGTGAGAACGATCCATTAAGTGCAGTTGTTAGGCGGTTCGGGTGGTGCTTAGACGTACAACTGAAGTATTAAAAATGTTATGTGCAATGATTTTTTGGGGGTTTATAAGAGAAAACTTCTCGCCTCGTGGTGGGACATGTTCTGGAAGTCGTTGAAGTGCTCGTGGCTACCGTAACCGTTCTGAAATTCAGAAAAATAATTAAAAAGCATAAGAAAAAGTGCAAAATTATCTCAAAAAAAATTTATCTCATAAGACATCCCTTTATTCTGAAGCTAAGAAATTTGGTCTCGCCCAGACCTGAGGAAAATCGAAGCTATTCATGGATAGTTCAGATCCGTGGCGGGTTCTTCGGAGCTCGTCTTCGCGTTCTCGCAAATTGCGAATGTCGGCCGAGATGAGCTGCTCTCCCACAGCGCCCATCATCGGGTTCTGAATGATATCTTTTTCAAATTTCAAAGTTTTCAGAAGAATGATTTCGTGTACAATCTTCACTCGAAGTTGCTCTCCATTCAAGGCTTTCAACTAGAGAACTGCCTGCGAGCTCGAGCTACAAAATCCGCCTTTCTGAGCTCTTCAAGGCGCAACTGGATAGACTACGCGCAGAAGAACGGGGCGAAGGACCGTAAGAGCATGCATTCAACTTGATCATTTACACGTTCGGACCTCTACTCCGCCAAAGACGGTTGATCGTCATAGCTTTGAAAGTTCTTGTTCACCGCCTAAGCAATCACAAATACGACTATGAATTGTCAATTGATTGAATAGACTTCTGAAAATCAGGGAAAAATCATAACTACAAGAGACTTCAAAATTGGTAGTGGTATTTGAACAATCGGCTAAGTTCTCTTAACTCACAACTGCCTACGAAAATTTGATCGAGGAAATTAAAAAGTGTTTAAAATTTGTGTTCAACCCTCTTCGAATGAGATATTTTCCAAAGCGAGAAAGCCGGAAACAAATTTCAGGAAAAATTTTTATTAGGAAAAACAAAACTTCTGTATTTAAGAATGAAAGATTACAAAAATTATAGATCGATAGGACCGTAAATAAGAGTAAATCAGAGAAACCCATTCTTAAAGTTTACAAAATATTCAAAGAAAGATGACTTTGATCAAACAAAAACTTTTTTTTTGAAACGCTTTTTCCCGTTTTTGTGTCATTTTTTGATGTTCCATACTGTCCGAAATAAAAAAACTTGATGCCAGACATTTTCATCAAGGTATGTGGTTTATATCGGTAAAAATCAGAACTTCAAAAAAATTATTGTTCACCCCCCTCCACCTTCTTAGACTCACCGCTCGAAAATCGTTCTTTTTAAATTTTCCGTTCGCTCGTGGGACTGGGGGTTGGGATTTGCGATTGTAGCGACCGTTTCTAGCAGAAGGGCTCGACATCTTCAAAAATGACATCTTCATGGAATTTCTGGATTTGTCAAACTCTCTGAGACTCGTCGTCAACGACGCGAAGCTCCACCGGAAGACCCTGGAGCTCGTCCATCTCCTGGAGAACTTCCGAGGGGATGCTGATGCCCAGGCCTGAACCATCAGCTTTTTTGTGAGATATTTTAGAATGAGAGATTGAAGAAGGCTAGAGGAGACTTCAGAGAACAAGGATGGTTCTGTCTGTCTGGGGTCTCTTCAGGCTCCTTGATCTCTCAATTTTTGAGAAAATTACCAGTGAGAATGTCCATGTTCTGCTTCATGTAAAGCATCAGGAGAACTTCTTGCTGTTCAATTGGATCGACTGCAGATTGAGGCGAGCCTTCAAAATATTTCTTTTATTGAAAATTTCGAGCTTTTTCTTGCTTTAGTGAACCTCAGAAACTTGAAAATCCGAGTTTGCTGATCAGATAATTATGAATTTTACATTGAACTGTCTTCAAGGAAAAGTAGCCCGATGAAGTTCAAAAAACAACATCTAAAACCTATAAAATGACATCTACCAAAAAAAAACCTTGCTGCTGAATGCGTCCGCCATGACCGTTGGCCGGCGCTTCGAATCGGCTAGAGTTGTGGGACGAGGGCGGCGAGTCGAGTACTGTGGGAACATGACGAGCTGGAGGAGCTGAAGACGTCGCCGCGGCGGCGTACATCTGCCGCAGCTGCACGTGGTCGCTCTTGGGGGGCAGCGGCGGCGCCGGCGTGTTCACCGAGCTGATCGAGTCTCGACGACCTTCAATTTCAGGCTTCAACTGAGAGGATTCATGAGTCGCTAACTGTTGGTCGCGCTGCGCCAGTCGCGACTCGCGACGTTCTCGAAGAAGTCGCGAGCGAGGCCGATGTTGGCGATGGACTCGCGGCTGACGGCCTGCTTGATCTTCTCCGTGTCATACCTATCATTGAATTTTTTAAAAGTCTCTCTTTTTATCTTGAAGAACCATGGTTTATAGTCGACCTGCATGACCAACGAGTCCAAGCTTTTGCCCTTATGAAGACGTCGTTCAGGTTCCTCAGCGATTTCGTGGATTTCACGCTGGAAGTTACCTTTCTTTGGACTTGCGAGGTCAAGAATCTTGAATAACTTCTTTTGGACAAGAGTGTGATGTCATCCGCCTTTGAATCGAGAAAAATTCAAAAATTGACGATTCTGGTTTCCTTTTTTGACTTTCAAAAAAATCCTGACACTCCTTCTTCCCCTTCTACCCTATCAAATGAAGACACCTTGACTTCTCTGGCTTCCCTCTCCGTCTCCTCCATCTTCCGAAGACGTTCTTCCGGAATCCTGCTGTCGGTTGGAATCCTGACAGGATTTGAAGCGACCAAACTGGCGCTAAGGGCGTCTGTCGACCGCCATTTCGGGAATCCGTAGGATCGTGGCTTCCGATGTTTCGCCTCGTCTTGCTGAACGTTTTCATCACAATTGAGGTGAATTATGGTCATGAGAGTTTAAATGTAGAAAATAGAAAAGAAAAAAGATGTGAAAATATTCAAACGCGGGTCTTCAAAATGTAAGACTGGAGAGATCCATCGTCAACATTTTCCCTCTTTGCTAAGGGTCATAAATGAATATTTGAGCTAAACAAGCGTAAACGAGTTGAGCAATCAAACTTGGAAAAATTTGAATCAAATTTTTAGTAAAAAAATGGGAATTTTAAGTTGTTCTAATTTAAAAAAATTTTTTTGAAAGCATCCTATGTTAATCTTAAACTCGCTCTAAAAAATTGACTTTTTCAAGTTTCTAGCCGAAAAATCACATCTCCCTTAAAAATGCTCGAAGTCAGGAAATAGGAGCCGAATGTGCTGAGCTTCTGAAGATAAAATATTTTTTTTTCAAAATTAGCAGCTGGAACAAGAAAATATCATCATCGACCTTTCAAAAAGCCGGTTTTTCAAGCTTCAAGCCAAAAAAAAAAAATCAAAACTCTGTTCAAATTGATCTGATCCAGATCAAACCAACTGTTGTAGGTAGCTGAGCATGAGCTCCTTCTAATGCTTTTTCAATTCTAAAAGGTCAACCAACCCGAGCACGCTGCTCGGCGGCGATGTTGCTCTCCCAGTAGCTGCGGACCGAGTTCGCCGAACGGCTCGGCCCATGGTTCGGCGTCTCCATCACACGGCCTTCCATCGCGCGTCCCGCCCAGCCTTCGAAGTCTGGAAACAGCTCGGATATGTCATGAGATTTTCAGAAAAAGCGTATGAACTCATATGAAAAAGATTTTTTTTGATCCCTAAAAAGGAGGTCATTTGATTTTGCGACTGGGATTTTCCTGAATTTTGGTCAGAAGTGCCAGAAGAAGATTCTGAAACTCTCATCCTGCCCAATTTCTAAAAATTTGAAAAATAAAAGCTCATAGCCTCCAAATATGCAAATTTATCGGATTTAGAGGGTTTTTTTGAACTAGGAGGTGTCAATTCTCGAAAAGTAGGAAGTTTTTCAGCTTTTGAAGTTCAGAATCTGCTTCTGACATATCAAGGAGCTTTGTGGCCGATTTTTAGAGGAATCCCAAAAAAAAAAATGACCTTCCTTGTGGCAATTTTTGACCAATAAATCTTTGAAAAATAGTAAGAAAGTCATTTTTTTACTTCAAGAAGTCTCAAAAAAAGCTTTTTAGGGTTGGTAAAATTTGGCAATAAACTAAAAAAATTTCTTCTCTTTTCCAGATTATAAAAAAACTAGTCATTGAGGAAGCAGAATATCTATCCGAATAACAAACAAATCAAAGTCTTCTCCAAAAAAATATGCTAAAAAAACATATCTGTGATTTATTTATGGAGAAAAATGAAAAACAGCTGTGGAACGGAAAGAGCCGCGACTGTACAACAGCACTGAAGCCGACTTCCGATTTGGACGCCCAAAGGGCGGAAAAATGACGGCTTGCGGCGGCTGTCAAAGCAACACCGGACTGTCCCAAGGAAAACTCCCTATTTTCAAGGGAAGCCGGCTAAAAATTGACTGTGTTTCGTATCGAAAGAATGTAGTTTGAACCTTGTTTAAATTTCTTGTTTCTTGGAATGAAAAAGTGCAGAAAATACTAGAAACCGTCATTTACGAGCACAAATCTGTTTGAGATTCGGTTTTGAGCTTTTTTTCCCTCATTTAGAGAAATAATTGTTTTCTGGAGTTTTGTTAAAGCTGAGATATATCGGTAATAAAAAATGGACTCATTTTATTGTCAAGGAAAGTTTTATTTTTTTGGTTGAATCTTTAGAATCTAAAAAAATGACAAGAATTAATTTATATAGGTTAAAGTTGAATCTATATAAGTTAATTCTTGTCAATTTCAAATTCTAAATATTCAGCCAACCGTTAAAGTTTTAAAATCAAAGTTTCTCACAGAAAAGATATTGCAAAAAGGTTAGTTTTTTTGAGAAAAATTATGTTGAAAAAAACCTCAAAAAAATGGAATAATCAGTTCAAATATCCGAGAAAAAAATCAATCGAAATACGCGAGACTTTCCAACGAAAAAAACTTATTATTTAAATCAAAAATAAAAAAATTCAAAATTCATCTAGAAAAATATAAGGAAATTTTTTTGATAAATTTTTTTGAAAAAAATACATAACCATCAATGTGAATCTATTCCATTATAAATTTATTCAGCTCAGAAAAAAAAAAATGGAGATTTGGCCCAAGTGGACAAAGGATCGAAAAAAAAGCACTACATTTACAAAAGTCGAGAAAAAAAGAAGAAAAAGAGGAAAGAAAAAGTAAAAAGGCGCGGTTTTGAAGAAAAAGAGAAGGAGGGAGAACGATCAGAAGCATGTTCCCTGTGTCAACACGTGGGGGGAATGCCGCCGCTGCCGCCTGCGCAAAACGGATTCCGGACCGTTTTTCGTTATTTCTTAGAGTTTAACACGGCAACAAGTTGTTTCCGGTCTGGGAGTTTTCGTCCCGCCCATCTTCTGTTTGTTCTTTTTGATCGAGGAACATTGTTCATCCTCTACTCGATGCATCATGCTGTCAAAAAGTTTAAAGGATCGCCATGGTCCTTCAAAAAAGGTCTTGGAACGATTTTGAAAGTTTCTACAGTTTTTTGAATCAAAATAAAACCGGAGAAGGTAGTTTGGAAGAAAAAAGTCTAGTGTTTTCAAACCTTTTTGAAAATTTAAAGGATCGTATTGGTCTTTAAAAAAAGGTCCTGAAGTTATTGAAATAGTTTCTACAGACCCCAACGCGATTTTCAGTCAAAAGAACCGCAGGCGATACAATGCGAAAAAAAATCGGATTTTCCAAGTTTTCTGATAATTTTTTTCAAAACAAACTGCTGACTTTTCAAACTTCTACTTCAAAAATAAATATTCCATTTTTTTTTTCAGAAGGTATTTCCGACAATATCAAGCTATAAGTGAGAGAAAGCTTGATCTTTGGAAATTCTTTCAAAATCCCAGGATAAGGAACCAAAGAATCTCATAAAAAACAGGTCCTTAAGAAAACAAACAAAAAACAGCTGGCTGCGGATTTGGCCCGAATTATATTCTATTTTCTCAATTTGAATGATTTTTTACCTCCGCTAGGATGACGGCTACGTCGTCGGACATCTTCAGAACTCGTTGTGGGTCTGATTTTCACTTCCGGCTGAAAATTAATTTCTTTAAAAAGAAAACATTCAACTGAAAAGTCTTTTTGAATGTTTCCGCTTCTTCCAAAAGTGTTTTCCGTAAATAAAATCATTTTTTTAATAGGAGATGTCACACAAATTAAAAAACGCCAAAATTTGGACAAACGCCAAAAAACGCGTCGCGACCGCCTTGCGAACAGCTGTCAAAGCTGCATTTGGATATTTCGTCACATTTTAAATTAGGTTAACCAAAAATCCCAACATTTGATAAATTGTCATTTTAAGTATATATTTCAGTTTAGAAACAGTAATGGTTAGAATCCCGTTTATAAAAACTTAGTGGTCATTGTTTCGAACAAATTCCAGCTTAGAATGGGCAACTTTACAATGTTGTACCTTATAAATGGTTTTAAAAAAAAATGGAAAGTCTAGAATCTTTGGGGGAAAAAAAAACGAACACATAAAAAAATTCTCTCCAGCAAAAATTAATTAATAACGGAAATAGGTTGAAATTTTACCTTATAACTAGATGGTTGAAAAACGTTGGAAAACGAGGCGGTCGATGAAATTATACGTTGTGGACCGGCAGACACATGAATAACCGTGTTAGAAGACGAATTTCGGGGCTCTACAGGTCGCGGACTTCTGAAAATTGATTAAATTCGGCTCATACGTTCGTTTTGAGAATAAAAATCAGTATTATAACTTTTCAAAAAATCAAAGGCTGAGAAATGGAAATAAATAGTGTTAACAATATCGTTATATCTGTGTCAAAAAATAAAAGAAATTTTGAGTAGAAAAACACAAAGAATGCCTTGATATATCTTATTCGCGGCTAACTTGAAACGCTAAGGGGGCGTGGCCTGTCTGCGCTCTCCACGAGCCAGGCACTGTCTCGTGCATTATCGTGTCAGGACCCCTTTTTTCTATGGCTCAAGTCAGCCGTGAATATAGAAGTGAAAAAACATTCTAAGTAAAAAAAAACTCCTCGCAGGGACGAAAAAGGCGAAATACTTGAAAATCGATTCAACAAAGATTAAAATTGGACTTTAGTTCGAAAATCTGTTATCCATGATTCGGCCCTTTTTCGTTTTGAACATAGATGAATCGGGAAGTCGATACAAATAGCTACCGGGTAGCAACTTTTGAAAAAGTCAATCGGCGTATGGTAATCGGTGGTCGTTTGTATGCGACCGGGTACCATCTTTATGGTACCTGGGTCGATGCAAGTAGCTACCTGACATTCGCGATTGCTACCGGAAAGTCTGGAATTGCTTCCCGGGTCGTTATTTTTTGTTTCAGCTTTGTCCAATAATACCATGGAAGGCTTGGGAAGGTGTAAAAAAAACACTGATGGTATATAAACGACCAATGTGGAAGCCAGTAGTCATTGCGAATTTCAGGTACCTACCCGGTAGCATCCCGATAACGATCAGGTACTAACCAGGTACCATAGAGATAGTACCCGGTGGCATACAAATGACCACCGATTACGATTCGCCGGTTGACTTGAGTTGCTACCCGGTACCTACTTGTATCTACCTCTCGATTCACCAGTGAAGGTGTGAAAAGGCAGAACTTTCTCTTAACATGTGAGCTGACAAGAAAAGATGTTGGATGGTGAGTGGCGTATAGATAATAGATCACGTGGAAGATAAAACCACTATATAAAGGTCTGTTCTCACAGACCCTCACGAAGAACCTTGCCCCTGCCGACCCCGACAACGACAGCGACACACCCGATGGGTCCGCGTCGCCCCGGACCAACCATGGCGCCTGCTCTCCTATTTCTACTTCCCTCTTGACGCGGACCCATCGGGTGTGTCGCTGTCGTTGTCGTGGCCGACAGGGGCGAGGTGCTTCGTGAGGGTCTGTGAGAACAGACCTTTATATAGTGGCTTCATCTTCCACGTGATCTATTATCTACATACACCACAGTGATATAAACAATTTTTCTCGGTTTATTTCATGTGCGAAGCGGATGCGATGCGTTTTGGCGCTAAATCAAAAAATGATCACTTTTAGAGACATTTTCTGCACTTATCTATTATAAAAATGCCAAAAAAACCTTCTTTGAGAGTATTCCAATGCAAAATAAATATTTTTATTCAATAGGAACTTTGCGAAGACTGAAATTACGAAAAATTTATAAAACGGCGCTAAAAAAACCCAACGCATATGAACTGCAGAAGCTGCTGTCGTAATAATTTCATTTTGTTCAAAGGAAAAGATAAAAATCAAAACTTCAAACCCAAGTGGGATGCGAGTGACGTGATGACTGTCCGAGTAGGAAGACGAACTTATGGAGGAAGAGTCTTCGCCGCGCGCCTTCTTCAAAGACGAATAGATTTCTTCCTATGATCATCTCCTTTTTTTTCTTCACAAATTCAAGAAAATCCAAGAAGTACGATCTTTGCTCAGCGGAGTATTCCGACATGATGAAATTTTGCGTTTAAATTTGGTAAACTTATTCGAGGATCTTGTTTTTGCTTTGAAATACTATTTGAAAAAGTCAAAAAAATCTATCAATCAGAAATTTTTTTCAATAAAATAAGTTCCGCGAAAGTCAAATCAACCGTCAGAGAGTGAAAAGACAACTAAATTTTGGAAAATCAGAGGAAGTTTTGATTTTGGCGAGGTTACTCTGAGGTCGGCATAAGATTTTCGTCTACATCAAGAAAAAATTCTTTAAAAAGAAATTTCCATTTTTTCTGCACATCTACAACAGAAGTAAGGTAGCCACCAGTGATGAGCGGAATTTCCGTTTCCGTCTTCCGTCCAGATTTCGGGTTCCGTTTCCGTTCCCGCCGACAGGCGGAAAAAAAAAACGTCTTCCGCTCATCACTGGTAGCCACAAAAACACATATCGAAGTTCAAAAAAAAAGTTCTGGAATGTTTCGGAATGCTCCGCTTCGCAAAAATCCTACGTCTTGAAAATATTTCGTACCGGCTCTTCATCAACCGATTTGATGGTCGGCTGGGCGTAGGAAACACAGAAAAGGCGGGGTCTTGGGTCGTTTTCTGGAAAAAAATTTATATATAATTTCTTCGTAAATGTTTCTGTTTCCTTCAATTACGACAAAACTGAGTTGTTTCAAAGTTTAATGTACTCCATTCAAAACTACCTATTCATTCACCCATATGCTCGCTGAACTTCTATTTGTTCTCTTCTTTTTTTTCAATTTTTTTTTTTCAGAACGTCCCGGATTGTCTTAACTGAATTTTTCGAGCCTATAAAGCCTCATAATTCTCACTTCTAACAGAATATTCTTTTTTTTTCTGCGCAACAATTATATTTTTTCACACCCTTCTATGCTTGATCAGACCTCCGTTTCCGAATTAAGGGTGAAAAACGGAAAAACCGGAAGTATCATCGGCCGAGAAGATGGTTCCACGATCGCGCGCGTTATGTTTTTTTCTCTTCATTTGTTGCAAGCTTTGAACCTCAACTTCTTTGAGCTTCAACTTTGGTTCTTACTGAATTTTGTAGTAAAAATTGAAAAATTCCAAAGGAGGTGAATACTTTAATTTTGAAGGTTCTGTTGAAAATCTATCAAGAAAGTTCACTTTCTTCTGAATTTTAAAAACGAATAGTTGCTGGAGTTTTTTTTAATACTAAAGGCACTTCCTAAATTTTTAAAACAAAAAAATTGATTCGATTACTTTTTTTCGGTACGAAGAAAAAAATCAAAGAAGGATGGCGCCTTTTCCGATTCTTTCCTGTCGCTAGAAAAAAATCTTTTTGGTTTCGACTTTTTTTCCGGCCATTTTCGTTTTTTTCCATAATTATGAAAAAAATTTCCTTTTTTTATGACTACACTTTATAATTACTATGAGGATATTCAAAGCTCGAAAATTATGGAAAAAGAATCCTAAAAGAATTCTTCGGAAATTTCTCTAGCAAGTTGGAAAATTCGGAAAAGTCGTCAGTGGTCCCTGAAAGGAACATCACCCTTGCCAGTCTAGAACCTGGTCATCTCGCCTTTCAAATCGAAAAAAACCGACTATAACAAAGATAATGATAGTGATACGAACCACCAAAGGCGGGATGGAATGGCAGAGGCATGATTGGGGAAGCGCCGAAGGGAGTACGGAAAAGGCGAGTGGCGCCGGCTTCTCCTCGGGCAGAAGAAAAAAAAACGGCGGAGGCGGGCGCCCCACGGAGCAACGACCGTGTGTGTCGCGGCGCGTGAAGTGCTCCTTCTCAGGAGGATGTTACAGGCTGGAAAGCCTGCCCCGGCCGCGGCTCTGCGAGAGCTTTTGGCGCTCTGCCGGAGGCAAACCGTTCGCCGCGCACTTCAGCTTCATCCCTCTCTTGAGTCCGCATTCCAGGTGGAAAAATTCTTGGTCAGTGGGCAGAATGGTTTGGACAGGTACATTATACATATTTTTTAGTACAGAAAAAGCTTTTTTTTTAATCTTTTTACTTTTGCTTTTCTTTTTTCTCTTGAGTCCGTATTCCAGGCGTATCTTTTTCATCCAAGTACAGGAAGAAAATTTTTTTCTTTTTCCAAAAAGACTTTTTCCAACAGGATATTCAGTTTTAAAAAAAAATGAAAAGTTTCTTCATTCATATATATACTAGTTTCAAATATTGAAAAAAGACGCGAATACCAGAAAAATGTTACTCAAAAGAACAAAGAACTTTAACCGGAACTGTTTTATTATTCTTTTTCCAATCTTCGCAAAACAGAAAATATCAAAACTATAGCTTAGTTTAATGTATTACTGAATAAAAGTCATCAAATAATGAAGAAGGCTTTTTTTTCCAATCGAAAGCAAAAAAAAACCCGTTTTAAAATCCAGAAAATTTTTTTCGATGCCTGTTCCACAGCTGCAATTTTTTTCGGTGAGAATGAAGTATATAGTAGAATTTTTTATAAAAAAATCTTTCTCGCAAACCATTGCAGATGTTCCTTCACAAAAAAATTTAATGTATTCTTTTTTTCATCAAGGAAATTAAATCAATCCTTTCAAGGTAAAAAACAAACCTTGATTGTGGATTTCTAACTTTTTTTCGAAAGTTTCGAAACGAAACAATCATAATTAATTAAAACCTAAAAATAAAAATCGAAAAATATTCCCAGGATAGTTGACAATTTCCTTTTCTTATTAAAGTACGGAAAAAAATGTTTTCCTCTGTTGAAAAACTTCCCTCTCTTTAATTTTCAAGCACAAAGAAACATATAATTAATTAATAAATTTATATTAGACAAAAATAAAAAACAGAGAAAAAGACGCTAGAACGAAGCAAAAAAAGCCTTTGAAAGCAAGTGAAGGCGGTAACAGAGTACATTGAAGAGTTATGCTTTTGGAAGCAAATGTGACAAGAAAATCACAAGAAATCTGAGAAATGCGCGGTATTAGCAGCGTTAAATAAGCGAAAAATGGGCTTCACACAGGAAGACAAGACGCGAAAATACATGGAAAAATGTCAAAATATCACTAAAGAACGTTTGGAAAATGTGCGGTGAAGAAAAGGACAAGAACCTATATAAATGAATGAGCTATTAAATTTGTGAAGGTTTCACCGTTTGATTGCAAATTGGTTGATTCAAATACTCGTTGCGGAAGTTCTTCGGGTAAGGGTCAATTTTTTCGTGTTCTCGCCAGAAATCTGTCGACGACCTCCACAAGCCGAAGAACGGTCTGTCGTCGTGCTGTAGCCCTCGTCACGCTGAACAGCCTGAAAATGCAAACTTAGTGTTTTTTTTAAGATACACAAAGGGTATTTTTTTTAGAAAATCACATAAAAAAACCAAAGAAAGTACGTTTTGTGGTGAAATGATTGTAAAACTTGTTTGAAAGCGTTAGAATTAAAAGTGAATTTTTTTGTGCTGTTTTCTGGTTCTTTTCGTTTTGAAACTAGAAATGGAATGAAAAAAATTGATAAATTTAGAATAATATCGAAAATAAATCTCACTTTCACATAGCTATTTTGTCCATTAGAAGATTTGGAGTAAACATTTTTTTTTTTGGGTTTTTGAAGGGATGAAAGTTGAGCTCAAAGGTTCGAAAAATTAAAAAAATTTTTAAACCTTCACGAAACAAATCGAAAGATATACAGCTCAAGTTTCAAAAACATTTATTTTTGCTGATATTCAAGTTTTTTGGTGAACGTTTTTAAAAAGCTATATTGAGTCATCAAAAAAAGGGTCCTGACACGATAATAAATGAGATAGTGCCTGGTTGATGGAGGCGCAGACATGCCCCTTGACGTCCTAAGTTAGCCGTGAATCGACTATACAAGATGTTAGGAAAAAATTTCAGATTCGATATTTTCCACTTCAAATCAAAGTCTATACAATTTCTACGAGCTAAATCACGAAAACAGATCAAAATATGCACCTCATTGAGAGTAATATCGCTCTCGGAGCCGACAGAAGCGGCGGCATTGTGGATCTCGGCGAGGATCTCGCCGGTCGACGTGCCGGCCGAACACCTCGGAGTCTCGATGGACAACGACGAGGTGTTGGTCCGGAAGTTCTTGGTCTCGTCCTCCTCGTCGTCCATCTCCGGGTTGCAGAAGGGCGGGTTGGTGAAGCTGAGGTGGAGCTGGCCGAGCTGCTGGGGCTGGAGGAGACTCATCTCAGAGGTCTGGGCCATCGTCTCGCCGGCGCCGTAGGCCGTGCTGTCCATGGCGCTGGTCGTCGGCGTGTTCGAGGAGGAGACGCCGCCGATGGGCGTCATGTAGGACATCCGCTGCGAGTGATGCACCGAGGATTGCATCGAGGGCGCGCCCGGCTGCATGCAGAACCCGAAGCTGTTCGGGTACATCCGCGCCGACTGCATGTCTCGCATTTGCTGCAAATATTTATTTTACAGTCATTATTGTTCGTAATGGTAACCTGACACTGTCAGGACACCGAAAAAAATGTGAAAAAAATTTGACAAAAAAATTCAAGGAAAAAAAGGACAATTTTTTTCGATGATTTTATATTTTATCTTTCTAATTTTTGATTCAAATTAATTTTCGAGGTTTTTCTGGTGTCCTACACAGCAAAAAAACGTGTGAAAAATTGAGAAAAAAATGTACAAAATCCAGACAATTTTTTTAAAGTTAGCTGTTGATTTTCCCGAAAAATTTTAAGATTTATCCTTTTCGCTATCAATCTTACTGATTTTTTGAGGCTTTCTGACGAACTCGACAGCAAAAAAAAACTTGATAAAAACCACAAAAAATAGAGGAATATTTTTAAAAATCTACTTTATTTTTGATTTTTAAGATTTTCTGATTTTTGAACTGATTTTTCAGATTTTCTGGCACCAAACTTCGCTTTTTTTCCAATTGAAACTCTTGCTGGAATGTTTAAAAGAGCAGAAGTCTCAATTTAGCAATTTCCAAAATCAACTTTGTTTCGTTCTCTCAATTTTAAGAGTTTTCTTATTCCACTCTAGGACTTGTTCCCCCCTCTTTTGAGAGACATTTCGAAAAAAAAAATGGAAAAATTGCCTTCAAAAACATCTATTCATTTCAAAATCAAAAAAAAAACCAACCGATTCCATCTCCTTGATCTTGCGCTTGTAACGTTCCTTGTCCTTGGTCAGCTTGTCGATTTGTCGGAAGAGGTCCTGAAACATTAAAATTTGATAAAAAATTCTTCTTTTGATTACTCCAATTGATACTTTGATTAGCTCTCATTTTAATCAATTAATATCCAAAACAAACCAATTGGAATTCGTTCTGACGCTCCCGCTCCTTCATCAGTTCCCGTACCCGTTGTTCTTCCTCAAGCCGTTTTTTCTCCGATTCTTTCCAAAGACGAACATATTGTTGGTGCGACTTTTCAACTATCTGAAATGACGAAAATAAACAACTTTTTTTAATTTTTTTTTTGACAAAAAAGAATGTTTTGGTGAAAAATTGAATTATTTTCTGCACTTTTTAGTTGAGATTTTTGAAAAAAGTATATAACTATATAGCTTCTAAAAAAATAATAATTTATGGATTTTTCACATATCCATCAAAAAAAGTGATGAAAAATGCATATAATTCTTGTTTTTTTATTCCAAAGTGGGTTCACTGAATATGAAAAATTGAAGACTTTTTTTGCCAATTTCAACAGCAAAAAAATTGAAATGGATTGACATAATTCTTCCTTTTTTTCCTTATTTCGAGGTCAAGAATTTTTTTGTGGGAGTTCTGGTGAAAAATGAAAAATATGAAGAATAAGAGAAGTTTCAAGTTAAAAAGATCAAGGGTAAGAATTTTCTACTCAAATGTTTTCAAAATTCTTTCTTTCTTCTCAAAAAGGTGAAAAAGAAAGATTTGGGCCGGATCTTGGAAAAAAATGAAAAGTTGAATTTTTTTCTATAGCTGATCTCGAAAAAAAGTGTCCTGACACGATAATAAAAGGGATAGTGCCTGGCTCGTGGAGAGCGCAGAGAGGCCACGCCCCCTTTGCGACTCAAGCTATACAGAGTTTTTCAGAATATCAGAAAAAATTTTTCCCAAAAAAAGGCAAGAACTGACCCGGATCTGCTGGTTGACGTCGAAGTCGTCGTTCTCGGAGTCGTCGAGCATGACGTCATAGTGGGAGTGACGGGGGCCCATCTGGCCGATGGGCGACGGATCGCCGCTGCCGTACTCGGAAGACTCGCGGATCGAGCGGCGGTAGTGCGGCTCGGCGTATCGCTGCGAACGTTGGCCGCCGACCATCGAGGCGGTTTCCCTGTAGTCGCGGTCGCCGCGTCGCGACTTCTGCTGCGGCACGTCGTCGCGCTTCCGCTTCTCCTTCTTGTTGTTGCCGTTCTTGTTGCCGCCGTGGTAAACGTCGATCTCGTACGAGCGATTCGAAGCTTCTGACTCTTCGCGGTAACTGGAAAATGCCAATATTATTCAGAAGTACATTGACTATTATGAGTCTTCGTAAGGAAAAAGTGAAGAAATTTTTTTTTCAAAAACTAGGAATTTTGAAGCATAAAGTGACTTATGAAAAAACTATTGCCTCTTAAGTGACTTGTTTAGGAGAAACTGATATTACGAGTCAAAAAAAGCCGATTCCCATTTTTCGAGCTTCTTTTCGTTTTTCGAAAATTGTTTTTGAAAAATCTTACCTTGCATCTTTTTCAATTGAAAAGTTTTTCTGAAAAAAGATTTCTTGAAGTTCCGTTTCTATTTTCTCTCAAAATCACTATAAATTCGACTTTCAAACGAAAATTGAGCCGAAAAACTTACTTTGAAACAAAATTCAAGTGGAAACTTCAGCAGCTGGCCATTTTTAGGTCATGAAGAACTTTATCAGAAAAAGATTTTATGAAAATCTATAGAAAAAAATCTAAAAAAACTCAATAAACGTGAACTTTCACGCGGAAAAATCTTCAACTTAATGTATTGTAGAATTGCAAATCCTTACCCAAGAGGACAACTTTGAGGTCCCTTGGGGAACTTCTTAGTGGAAGTCGTGTGATAAGCGGCCGTTGCGGGCAGGTCTCCATCGTCTGCGAATCTCGTCCAACGGCGGCCGGACCGTTTTGGCTCATGAAGCGAATGACGGCTCGTTCGGCCTCGCTCCTTCAAATTATTCATATGATTTATTTTATTTAATTATAGCTCCTTTCATTTCCAATAAAAACATTTATTTGATTCACAAATGACACTTGTAAAATTATTTGGGCTCTATTTCTATTCTACAAAAATTTTTACCATTTTATGTCCAAAGTTCTAAAAACTGCTAGCTAACGTCAACGAAAAAAAGGTCAATTTTTCTCAAAGCCCTGCGCCTTTAAATTGACCATAAAGGGTCTCGAATGGAATACTCACATTTTCTAAAAAAGCTCAAAATAAACATGAAACTCCTAAAAAAATATAAAAAGTAAACCTTTCAAAAAGAAAAATACAAATGTCTTTTTCAAAAAAAAATCAAATTTATAAAAATAAAAATATCACCGATTCCATTATCAATTAATTTCCTCAAATTTCAAACTTCTTTCAAGATTTTTTTGAACTTATAAACCTACTACAAAAATTGAAGCTTTTTTTCCTATTTCTTGTTATTTTGTTCACCTTTTCGTCAAAATCAGCTGAAATTACTCTATATGAAATAAAATCCACTCACAAACTCTTCCGGCGGCGGCGACTCATTCTCCTTGTTGGTGACCTTTTTGTGCCGGAAAAGATTTCGGAAAATGTTGGCCATTTTGACTGCAAAAAATTGTAACTAGTCACAATATAAGAGAAGTATGGACAAATATTGACTAAACGAAAAAAAAAAACGCGGGACGTTTAACTGCTTTTTTATATTCGAAATGGGACTAAAAGCTTGGAAAATGAGAAAAAGGAGATTTTCGTACAGATAGCTGTGAAAGGCTTACTGTATAGATTCGACGATAGACAACGCGAAGGAAAAATAACAAAGTCGGTCAGAGGGAAACTGAAGAGAAGCTTGAAAAAAAATCACAGATTTAAAAATGATAAAATCTGGTTTTTGGACTGAAAAAAAGCACGCTCATTTTGGAAGAAAGCATGAAAAAAATTTTCACAAATAATTCAATTTTTTTTTCAAACTTCTAATTTTTCAAATCAGTTCTAAAAACGTTCAAAATTCCCACTAAGAACTAAAACTAAAAAACAACAAATCCTATTTCAAATGAGCTACTAAGACGAAAATATGAAACTCTTGAAAAAAATCATTGATTCCTGTATAACTTTAAAGATAAAAGTATTCCAGTTAGTTTAAAAGAATTGTGAACCCTAAAAAGGATAAATTACATTATTTTGGAACTGTGAGAAGCATTGAAAGACCCGGGTCTTATAAATAAATAAACAAAGAATCGATACAAGTACAGCAAAAGAAGAGAACTTGGAAAAATGGAAGATAAAGTCAAAAGACAATAACTAAACAAGACAGGAGCCCCGAAAGACATGTAAAGTGATGAGACGACAGCGGATATCCTGTGTGGGCGATAAGAGGCGGGCGTTAGTCGGCACGGTGCCAACGACGCGGCCACCGTCCCTAATAAGGAATAGGTAGGGGCGGCGCGCCTTTTGGCGAGTTGAGAGGTGAGAGCACACCGTCGACGACCGCCCGAGCCCGTCGGTTCAAAGGCCCGCCGCCGTGCTTTTTTTGCCCTGAGCATGTTGCTCATCTGCCGATTATAATTAGCATAGCACTTCTTACGCTTCTCCAAGCGGCACAGGTGTTAATTGTTACAAATACGGCATGAGACCCAAGTGATCTATGAAAGGTTCTTGAAAGAAATCAGTCAAAAACTACTTGAAAGTAGTCAAAGGTCTAAAAAATAAGTTTCAGCTGCAAACATGCAAAAAAAAGTATCTTTTATTCGCTTTAATTTTCTAAATAGTAGTAGTAGTAGTATTTGTGATAAGAACAGTTGGATTTTATGAAAAAAATGTAGCTAAATTCGGTAAATTTTTTTCATTAATAAAAAAATAATCTTGAGAAAAGATTTTCTCTATGAAACCCAGCAAAAGTTATAAAATTTCATTTCAAATACATAAAAAAGCCGGATCTATAATTGAAAAATTCTGAGTGAATTAAAAAAATCACTTTTTGCAGTTTAGAGTACAAAAAAAGCTAGTTGTTCAAAAAAATCTTATTACTGAACAGAATTAACAATATACAAATATCGACGAAGAGACTCAAGAACCAACGACATTTACATTAAATATGCATCCTACAGATAAAATCATATGAAAAGAGGGGAAGCAAAAGAAAAAACTTTTTAATGAAAAAGGAAATGATAAATTTGAAAATCTGAACTTCCCGCCGGCTGCACACGACAAACGCGCTCCACTGCGAATTATTTTTTTTAATGCCGTGTTCAAAGTGATTCCGCGAAATTCAAAATAGCCGTCAGAGAAAGAGAAAGATAACTGAATTTTGGAGGGTCAGAGAACATTTCGCATTTCGCGGAAATTACTTTGAACACGGCATAAATTTTTTTTTCGATGGTATACCACTTTCAGCAACACTTTTTTCGTATACGACAAAATCTCAAGTCCGCAAATCTCGAGGACCGTAATCTTGTGTACGCAGATCTAAAGTCCCATAATCTTGGAAACCAAAATCTTGGAGACCAAAATCTTGGAAACCACAATCTTGGAAAGCAAAAATCTTCCTTTTTAGTCTTCTTTATTGCACTTTATCTACTTATATTCTCTTGTTTGGATCACCGAATACAACTTCTGATAAAATCTATTCGCAAAAACGTTGATTTTTACTTTCCAAGATTGTGGTTTCCAAGATTTTGGTCTCCAAGATTTTGGTTTCCAAGATTATGGGACTTTAGATCTGCGTACACAAGATTACGGTCCTCGAGATTTGCGGACTTGAGATTTTGTCGTACCATCTTTTTTTCTTTTTCGCTTTTTCCAACTTTCGCTAGCTATTAGTAATCGCTTGCGTCTTTTATGAAATAAGAGACACCTTTCAGGTCAGATGTGATGCAAAAAAGAGCAGTTCTTTTTTCCTTTGGCGGCACAGTTCTTGCGCAACAGCGGGTATTTTTTCGGGAGTCGAGGAGCAAACCGAGAGTATTCATGGCTACGACAGGTTTTATTTTATTGAAAAATATTTTAAAAAAAAGAACGTTTTTAAAGATGAGAAGGCGGCAAAAAAGAGTGAAAAGCTATAAAAAGAGGCTGAAGGTTCAAACTGCCGCCGCTATTTGTTTCTCACAGCGCAATTAACGCAGGACAGGAGGAACAACATCGGCGGCAGTAAGGTAAGGGCTTACACCTGTCGACGCAAATACAGGAGCGGCGGCATTTGTTCCAAAGGCCAAAAGAAAGCTGCTGCTTTACCTTTTCTTGTCGGCTCTCACAAATCAATCAAAAAAATTTTCGTGCTGGTCAAATAAACTGACTTGTTAACAGAAAAAGTCATTTGCGTCCAAAAGTCGAAGTGATCCTTCATTTTAAAGAGCAGAATATATTCTTGAACCGTCGGTGAAAAAAAAAAGTTGAAGCCGTTATTTCAAACGGAAGATGCGAAATTAATATATAGAACGTTTTTTTTTAAACTTCTGACCAGATTTTAATGAATTTGCTACCTTTGGGAACAATGGAGATAGGTTTTCAGTCAAATTTTATGGCAAAATTTTAAACCTCAGAACAAAAATTGTTTCAAATCCGCTCAAAATCGACAGAATTCAAACCGAAAAATGAAATATTTGCCCTTCCAACTGTCATCTGTCAGCGACACACTCAACCAGCTTAGGCAACTCGAAAAGGCAGATGTTTCAGAGGCCGAAATCCATTTATATGGTAGCGGCAAAAGGATTTTCGCTCCCGGGTGGGCTCGAACCACCAACCTTTCGGTTAACAGCCGAACGCGCTGCCTATTGCGCCACGGAAGCACGTGAGTGGTAAAAGAAGCCAAGAGCCTTATCTTATCACGTTTATAAGGCTTCTTGTCGTGATAAAGAAATGTGAAGAGCACGAAATTGAGATTGGAACTCCATTCACCACTTGGTCGTTGTTGAATTGTCTCAAGCAAACGGTGAATAAACTTTGAGAGCCAAAAGTTCGAAATGCAAAACTTCTGAAAACTTCAAAGAAGAATCCGACGAGGTTAATAGAAAGCGGAAAGAGCGGTTTCGACGCCGACAGAAGGCGTCCTGTCGGTCTGAGAACCGGCGAGAGACGATGGGAAAAGAAGAGGTCGCAGACACTGAGCGAGGTCAAGCGATCCCAGCGGTCAGCGGAGTCGCTTTGAAAAAAAAAGCAGAAAAAAGACGGAGATCCGATAACTATCTTTTTCGGAGTTGAAGTCTTAGGAATAACTTCTCTCAAATTGGTGGACTAACAAATATCGCTCAGAAAATTTTATGGAGCTTTTTTCACACCACCTGATATTAAACTTTTTGGCCGCATGAGAAATGGCTCAACGCGTCGCGGTTGCTCTGCGGTTCAAATTAAGATTTATTAATTTTTTTCTTGAATTTTGCATGAAGTTTTTTGGCCAGTCAAAAGTAACCGCTTTGCAGCCGAGCCATTCTCAGTGCGACCAATTTTTGAATTTGGAGCGATTTGAAAATGAAAATGAACAGTTGAAAGAAGTAAAATATTTTCGGAAGGTGGTTTGAGTATTTTAGTTCAAAAAGAAAAAAACATATTGGAAATGTGCTTTTTATGTTAAACTTATAATCCAAAAAAACATTTCTTGTAAGAATAATTATAACTTTTACCCGGTTTTTTTAAAAGTTTAAATTGACCCATTTCCGTCAGAAATGGATCAAAAATCACCAAGGAAATAAAAACTTTCGAAAAATTGAGAAGGTATGCGAGAAGGAATGTTAATTCATTTATTATAATGGTAATTCGACATCAGAAAAGGCGAAAAGTTGTGGTATATAATGACATATTGAGTAAGGGATGTTTATATGAGTTACGAGAGATAGGTCAAGTGTTTTGTGACCAAGTGGGCTCGATTAGGTCTATCAAGTGCCAAACAGACATCCAACTTGTTGAGGATGAAGAGTTTACTTGTAGAAACTTTGATATACGTAAATATTAAGTTTTGCTGGACAATGTATTTTTGGAGAAAATTATTTACCGAATCCCAATAAGTAGAAATGATGACATAACTTAATAAAGTTTGATACTTTCTAAAAGATTAAGGCTCAAAATATATGTTGCGAAAATTTTAATAAAAATTATATTTCAAGCTTTAGGCTTTTAGAAAAGAAAAAGTGAAATGAGTGAAGTTTTATACGATAATTCTCTCAGTTTTGTAGAGATTTTGAATCCAGAATTGCCTAATTCTTCAGAAAATAATTTTTCAGAGATCGATATGGCCATTTTTTGAGCCATTTTTGAATTTTTCTCGATCTTACGGCTCCAAATAAAAGAGAAATCAGGTGAACTTTCCAATTTTCACCAAAAATAACATGAAAAATAACGACTAATGCACTAAATTAGGCTTAAAAACCATATTTTAAGCTTCGAGACTCAAAATTTGGAATCAATATGAGGACTCAAAGCTATACCAACACATAATTTGATTCAGTATTTGAAAAAAGACAAAAATTTTCTATTTTTCCGAAATAATTTTTTTCTAAAAACCTCAAGGGTCCAATAGAAGCCACAAAAACGCTTTAGGCAAATGTCATTATAGGTCATGCCAAACTTTCAGCAACACTTTTCGAAAAAAAAAAAACTGAAACTTCCCAGACAAGCCAGACCAGAAATTCAAATTCGAAATGGCGCCAGTTTTCAAAAAGGTATGACAAGAGCGGGGGAAGGTGTAAGAAGTTGGAGGAGGAGGTGAAGGAGAAGAAAGAATCAAATGGATGAAAGGAAGGAGAAGGGGACGGTTTTTGCGCCGGCACTCAAATCAACTAAATAACAGCCGGACCGAAGGGGGGTGTCTTTCTTTTTGGCGGCGCGCGGCCTTTGATCCGCCGGCAGCGGCGATCGAGGCCCTTGCGCGCGAACATTTGAATTTTGAGGCACGCGACGCGACGGGCCGCCCGATACGCTTCCCTCCTTTTGAACGCCTTCGCACGGTTGATGAGCTCTCCAAAACACGGTTTCGCATCGAAAAAGGCGGAATGGTGGAAAAGACTTACGGTTTACTCAACTTGAAGTTTATCACCGATTAATAAAATTGTGTGGGAATGAAAAAAAAAGAAGAAAAGAAGTTCGCAATAAATGTTGGAAATGATATGAATCTAGGTACACTAGTAGTCTAGCTAGAGTGCACTTTTTTTTCAAAAGATTTTTTCGAGGTTTTACAAACTTATTTTATCTTAAACGGCTTTTTGAGTTATAACTTTTTCTGCCGACACCACTTGATTTATTTTTTCGTTTCTAAATATTCAGAATGCGTTTTTTAGAGAACCGTCGAGAGTTTTTTTTTCCTTCAAAAACCGTTTTGGGATTTCATACGAAAAATTCTCCTGAAAAACGACATTTCGTGAAATCGTTTTGCAAACGCGAGTTCATTCATGCTTCATTTTCATTAGGCTCGTACGGAGTGTATGTCGATCCTCAAAGTCATTGGGTGAGAACCCCCGATGAGTCTGGGACGAACGAGAAGGATACAGTGCTGATTGAAACTCATCAATTTATTGTTTTTTAACCGAATCTCATTCAAATATTTACCTGATGAACGCACCCTACAATTCTGTATATTTTCTGTATTTAGTACTCGCTCATTAATAAAATATTTTAAATTATTAAAAAAGATCAATTCTAATTTATCAAACAGGACGAAAGGTTTTTTGCAACCCTAAATTTTTAAACCCCTATAGGTACCCCTACGACACCGTTTTAGGGACCTCTATAAGAGGCGCGTAAGGGGCCCTCCTAGGGCCCTATGGAACCCCTTATAAGGATCCTTCAAAAGTTTCTCAGGTCATTTAAAAACTTTAATTGCATAACTTGAATAGGGAACTACGCGAATTCGTATTCACGGATCGAGTTCAAACTTTGGTGGTTTGAAGATCTAGGTAAGGGTACTTGAAAACAGACAAGATTATCTGCTCAACTCAATAAGGTACTGAGAAAAAGCTTCTTGAAATTGAGCAGTTTAGTCATGAAAGAAGAAGCATGAAACTCAGAGACCCTATAGGAACCACCTTAATTTTAGTCTTACAGAGACTGTTCTTTTTACCTAACCCCTACAGGGACCTTTCTGGCTTTCCTCAAATTGGTCATTTCAAGATTCACGACTCTATAAACTTTGCCATGATCCTGAGATAACATCAAACATGAAATTAATAAAATTGAAGTGAAGTCGTGGAACTGGCATTTAGTGTCGTGGATCTTTGCCAACTGGCAGCAATGGGTAACTTTGCGAACATCCATTTTTGTTCTTGCTTATTCCGCGTTAGCTTGTCAAGATTTTTCATTCTCCAAGCCACAGAACCCCTCCGGGAGCAATCCCTTCGACGCGCGCGACCTACTTCTGTGCATGCGCCTTTAATTGGATTTATTTCCAAACGATTTGCCATTCTCCAATCTACAATAATTTCGTGAAAACGGCTGGGGGAAAAGTCAAATGAAGTGGTCTATCTTGATAATTCGCAATAATCAAGACGGAGTATGAGAATAAAATCAATGAACACCGAAAAAACAAAACAAAAAAAAAATACACACTGCACCAAAAAGACGCCATCATTTTTTTTTGGCAAATGAGAGCATTTTCCAAGGCGAACGTTCGCATTACCATTTACCGCTTATTGAATACGAAAATGACATTCGCCGGTGAATGCATTTTCCTCGGTGAAAGTTTTTTGCATACGGCTTCAAAATATTTTGAATGTCAAACAGCTAACTCCACGTCCAAGGCTGCAATATCTTTCGCGTCAATGTTTCATGTACAGATGACGATGACCCTCTAATAAGGCTGCATTTTTGACTTTTTTTTATCTTTTAAATCAAAGAAGATCAACGATAAAACATCGACGCGAAAAGGTACTGTCTCAGCAGGGGCGGAGTTAGCTATTTGACTTTCAAAATCTGAACAAACTTTATTCATTTCCTGCGTTCCCTTGAATTCCTCAACCTAATTTTGAACGCAGAATTTATTTTAAAATTTTGCATTCGAAAATCTTTTTGAAAAATTTTTGGTCGAATCGTTCTATGATCATATGAACGCAAATTCGCAATATTTATTGGTCCTCATTTGATTTGAACCTTAATTCGAAGAGTTTGAAAAACAAAATATGACATGAATTATGAGAATTAATATTTTTCTCAGTCTTCCGGCCTTGGATGACATGGGGTTTTTTGTGTTGATTTCTCGAAATTTGCCTTTTCAGCGTGGAACAAAGCTCGTCTGAAAAGACAGCTTGTCGTCGTATGCGGAATCCTTTTTTGCGCGTTGTCAACCGCTTCCGCCCAATGTGAGTTTTTTTTTTCAATGAATTAAAGTACAGGGTGGCCCAAATGTATTGTCGCATATAAAAATAAAAGTAAACTTGTGCAGACACAATGGATTTTGATGGAGGATAAAGATGGAGGATTACGAGCTTACAGCTTTTGAGATGTTTACTTTCTTCCAAAACGTCAGCGAAAAATGACCTTCCTGAAGCTTTTTTACGTTTATGCTTCTAGATTTCCTTTGGGTAAGCCCACTGGATTGAAAGTTGGCATGAGAGATGATGAGAGGTTTCTAAAAATATTTATCACTTTAATTTATCTGTGTTACACTTCTGGCTCGATTACCATCAAGAAATCGTCGGCAGACCCACACGACATGATCGAACTTAAAAAAATCCTCATAAGTCAGCTTCCCAAACGTTTCGATTACTCATCTTTCGCAATATACACCTTTCATCAATGAGGCACATAAGGAAAAAAGAATTATAAAATTTTATTTTACGAGAGAGAAGAAATTTTTTTTCGCAACGGACTTTTTGAGCTGCGTGCCAGCAATGTCAATTTTTCGTCTGTGTCAGCCAGACAAAACTTGCTGCTATTTGTGTGTACCTCAGCCGATTTAGGTGAAATTTTCGGGAAACCTAGAAAAAGGGACTAGAATGCTACAACAGAAGTAACTTTCGTCCAAAACTTTTTTCACTTACTAAAATAACCTGTTTATTTTATGCGACAATACTTTTGGACCACCCTGTAATTTGAATGATGATTACAAGTTTTTGATAACACCTGGCAAATGACTACCTTAATTGATGTTTCTAGATAAATGTTGCCCGGGTTCGATGTGGTCTTATCCATCTGGGGATGCTGTTCCCCCTGGATGCGATGATTCTAAAGTCAGTTGCACGGAAGGCTCTGTTCACGTTGAACAACCTTCTACGGAATCAACAATAGTTCCGAATTTTTTGTCACGAGCTACAAAAACCGGAGCCATCATTATAATCGACAACGCGGGTGTAACATTAAGAATGCGCAAACTGAAAAAGATTGTTCACAAAGGACTAGGTACGACTTTTATTCAATAAAAATATTCAGTGTTTTAAAACCTTCGAAGACTATAGTCTGTGTACCACGATTTGGAATTTCACCGAACGATATTCCGCTGTTCCGCTGCGCGCCTTTGCGAACCTTTGTTTTTTCATTTTATTTAACAACTCGACCAACACGTGTTCCTAGTGAAACAGTCCATCTATCCGAAATGAGAACCATTTCAAAGCGAGACCGAGGCTCAGAAAGACGCTTCGCGACGCAGCGGAACAGCGGAATGTCGTTCGGTGAAATTTCAATTCGTGGCACACAGACTATATATGTAAAAAGAAAAGAGGATCCTCGAAGGTTCACGGCGTTCTTTTCAGTGGAAGAAAATGCAGACAAAAAAAAATACCAGGGGCGGGCGCCTTAAATCGTACGACTACCGTAGTTTTGATCTGTTCAGGACCCGTTTTTTTTTTCTAAATTTCTGCGTTCCATCCATTATTTGTTTTCCTGAAGCTAGGTTTTCAAGATTTCAAACGATTTATTTTGTTGTTTTGGTCTGATGTAATCGACTAGGCGGTACCGTATGTTCTTAAAACGAGTTTATCCCGTTTTCCAAAGATTTGAAGTGGTTTTCGACTGTTTTTGTGTTTCACCGCGGTGAACAAGAATTTTAAAAGCTATAACGAACAACCACTTTTGGGGAACTAGAAGTCCAAACGTGTACTCGAAAGAGTTGAAAGCATGGTCTTACGGTCCTTCGCCTCGTCCTTCTGCGCGTAGTCCATCCAGTTGCGCCTTGACGAGCTCAGAATGTAGCGGATGTTGAGCTGGAGCCCGGAGACCGTGCTCTAGGTGGAAGCCTCAGAATGAGAGCGATCACTTCGAGTGAAGATTTTACACGGAATATTTAAAAAAATGAAATGCTTCTCGAATATTCCTTATTACACTCTTTTTTTATATTTATACTTGCTTTTTTTCAATGGGAGCTGATTCACCTTCATAATATTTTTTAAATTTTCTAATCAGTAATTTAGAGTTTTCCCCTCTCAAAAAGGTTCCTCAATGTTTTTTTAACGTAAGTGAATGTTTTTTAACATCACTTTCTTCAAACTGGCAAGATTTCAAACATTTCAGGAACTGTTATCCTAAAACTGCGAATTCATAAATTGAATAAAAAAATTTCGAGTATGCGATAGTGCGTCTCGGTGTGTTTACACCCTAAGCATCATAATTTACGAGAAGTCTTACCACTAAATTTTAGCCATTCAAGAGGTTATAACCAGTAACGTTACTAACTCGATTACTATGGTGGCCACTAAAACGTCGAAACCCTAAAGTGGTCATTCAAAATGTTCTCAGCTTCTTCTACCTCGAGTTGCAAGCCAAAATCCGCGTCCCAACGCTTCACTCATGTTAGTTTTGCAGGTCCGGCTGTTCACTTAAAAAATTCCAAGTTGGTCGATGACGAATCATTTAACAGTCTGGAAATAATAGAAGTGGATGATCCTTATGTATATTGCAAAAATCGGGACCTTCTGCTTTTCGAAGGAAATGTCTCAAAGGAAGTGAGAAACCTGCTGGAAAAAGTAGCAAATAAGGTGATTATTTTTTCCACAGTCTTGAACTTGAAATTAAAATGAATTGAGTTTTTGAACGAACTGAAAAAAGCTTTTGCCGCAAGTATAATGTTTTGAAGTGTCGTGTTTGTTCTGCGGTTGACTTTATGTCGACCTTAAGTCCCGAAATGACTTGCTTTGAAAGTTCTTCATTCCGAACGCGTTTTTTAGTTGGACGCTACTTCGAAAAACTTTGAAACTTCTATGAATCTTTCCATTGAACTTACGACCAAATACTCCAAAAAAGCGAAATAAAACCAAATTTGGATTTCTTTTCTATTCAGACTCTCGAAAATTGTACCACGACAGCAGCACCAACAACAGTGCCAACCACACAACCAACAACAGAACTAACATCAGAACCAGTCATCACGACTACGACGACTTTCAACACCACCATCGGCATTGTGGCAAACTCTCAGCAATGCGGGCAAAATTCGTCAGCCGCTGCCTCAGCGCGAGCTCAAGCCAACGCCGATCGGAAAGACTGCCCTAGCTATTGCAGCAGTATTTATAATAGTTTTTTGGGCGTCTAACATAGTTATTTGCAGCCGGGATGCTCATCACAGCGATAATAATTATCGTTGTGCTTTTGATCCTACTGGCCATCTCGACGTTTGCCGCTCTCAGATTGTTTTTCTTCAGGAAAAACGAGGACGCCGAAATCGCCAATCACTGTATGATCATTTCCATAAGTCTTTGTGTACTTTATTAAAATTTCGATATTTTCCTAATCAGAGATCATTGGACAGCCATAGTGTAGATACCTATTTGTGAGAACATTTGCAATGTTAGGCACATTGGATCATTGGATTATCTCTTTTTTGGAAGTTTTACAAGAAGTTTGAAAAGCGAAAATCGTATAAATACCGTTTTTTCGTTTTTCCCGCTTTGCTCACTCCGAGTTTAGAACTTTTTCAAAACTGGATTACTGGATAAGCCTTTCCATCACTCCTCGAAATATAGATACTCATTGGGAATAGGAGTTTTGAGAAGGACAAAAAAAAGGTGAAAACCAAAATCTCCCGAAAATGTTTACCCCTCCTATCCGATGATGGTTCTCGCTTGTGTATACAGTTATCTCAAAAACTTTTCTTGGAGGTGAAAGCAGTGTACTAAGGTATCACTTCAGTGAGAATGTTCAATCACTTCAACATCCCAGAGCAATGAAAAAATTCCATAGACTTATCTTCATTTATTCGGCCTTGAACGCTCAAATACGTTTTCTTCAAACCTCGACCCCTTGCATCCAAGCAAACTTTTGAAGTCAATTGTTTTACAAAATAAGACATGAGACCCTCAACTACATCAAGAGAGAAAACGTGACCTCTCAATAAATTGTCTGAGCCCCCTACACACCGAGAGACGAACATTTGGAAAAACTATCCTTTCGATCTGCCTCAGCTGGCCTAGCTCATTACAAGTAGTTCTTGTTTGAAGTCAGGTAAATTATGGGCCTTAGGACTATAACCGCGCAAAGCTTCACCGAGCCTTGACGTGTTATTTAGATGTGTGTAGAACCGACATTGCTCTTGGATCTTTATTAAAGCAACTCAGCACCGCCACTTAAAATTTTCTAAATTTTTTCTTCTTTTTGGGCTGCGCCTATTCCGCCAGGTTATTTTTTCAACGTGTAGTGGTTGCATCCCTATTAGAGTTCTCAAAACCAAACGTTTGAACGAACGTTCAACCAAACATTTTTCAAACTTTGACCTTTGATTGAAATTTCGAAATCGAACGTTTGATCGCAAGGAACATTCATTAAATATTTGAAAAAGTTTGATCAAAAAAACAAACGTTCGTTTTCGTTTGAAAAACTTTTGATCGAAAAACCAAACGTTCGTTTATCGCTTGGAAAAAGTTTGATCGAAAAAACAAACGTTTGTTCTCGTTTGAAAAAAAGTTTGGTCAAAATAACAAACGTTTGTTTTTTTCGGTCGGAAAAACGCTTGATCATAACTTGAACGATTTGAATGTGACCTTTTTCGATCAATGTTTAAAAAAATGAAATTTTTTTCGAAATGTTGAAAACAAACTTTTTCATGTTTTCAAACTTTCATTTTTTTCAAACGTTTGGTTTTGAGAACTCTAATCCCTATATATAACTATAATTACCCTAGAGTAGTTGAAATTATCCGTAATGGAGAATAATTCGTCTTGCAGAAGCATATTGAACACGGGTTGGTCACATTGCTCAAAGCGCAACTGGCGGGCAGTAGGGAGAGATGAATAAATAATGTGTCCAATCGCTAGATCACTAATGTGGCCATCAAGGGACAGAAGCTCGCTGACCCATGATTTTCCATTGAAATGAAAAAAACGGAAATTTTCAAAAATCAAAAGTGCACAAAGACTTATGGAACACCCTAATATTTCGATTTAGTTTTCCGTTTACAGTCAATCCTTCCCGAAGAAAGGAGAAATAGATAGATCTCTTTCTGAAGATCAGGACATGTGAAGTCTTAGATTCCCAAAGCAAAAAAAAAAAATGACAACAAGCTTGAAAAATTTTGTTTTCTTGTTGCAAAATCTAACTATCGAATTTAGCTGTTTAAGCAAATTTTGTTCGAAATCTATAAAAGAAATATATTAAATACTCGAAAGTTACACTAACGATAACTGCCGAGTCTGGGAAGAGAAAAATGCTAGGTCGGTGGCGGTACATTAACGATATCGCAAACAATTCGCTCTGTCTTCGCGCGAGTTACACATTTTTCTCGCTTTACTCACGCAGCTGGAAAAGTTCCGAAATGCGAGGTCGCGTCCCGAGAAAAATGCGAGATCCGCGCGAGGAGAGAGCGAGATGTTTGCGAACTCGTCAATGGGCCTCGCGTTTATCTCGGCAGTTATTCTTAATGAATGTGCTTTTGAAATGTTTCTTTGATACTCTCATGTGTGATTTTTTCAGTGTCTTATGTCACACAAATATTTAATTTGATGATGTACATCCAATCTGGCAGAGATAAGGCTATGCGTTAGTTGATAAATTCGTATCGTTTTTTTTCATTCAGAGCTTTTGCAGTCAACTCGTCAATGATGGATGGCCTGTCTGCGAAGCGTTCGACACTGTGTAAGTATAATTTATCGAACAGCTATGTATTAGAGCTCTCAAAATGACCGATTGAAAAGAATGACATTTTTCAAAAACGAAAAATTTTCTGTTTGACATTTCAAACGAATGTCGTTTTTAAAAGATAAATCAAAATTGATCATTTTCATTCTTTTCATTTTGTGACTTTTCAAATAATGACTGAAAAATAAATGGTCATTTTTTTTCATCATAATCTGACTAGTAAAACATTTTCGCCTTAATGACCAAAATTTTCAGAGTGAAAAGTGAATTTTTACCTTTTTGAACAAACTTTTTTTTTTGTTCAATTGTGAAATTTAAGACTTAAGTTTTTTCGAACCGGGATTTTCCGAATCGAAATCTGAATCGATACTTTTCCGAATCGTACTTTTTCGAATCAGGTGTATACTTTTCCGAACCCAAACTTATTATTTACGACTCGTAACTCAATTGATTCTCCAGATAGCACCTTTCTTTCGATCTGCTCATTTTTGACCAGTTCCATATAATTTTTCTCGCCCTTTAACCGGCTTTTAGCTTTGCCCTTGACCATCCAGCTGGATTTTTTTTCCCAATTTTTTTTCTTTAGTGCAAGAGGTGACGGAAGTACACTACCTGGCGCTAAGACGGAAGATCAAATTTGAACAAAATAAGCCTCTGGACCCGAAAACAGATTTCAATGACCCCTATGATAATTACTTGCCCACGTCAAACATTTTTGAGCTCGACACTAGACAAGAAATGACGGCAGATTTCATTGAAGCGGCGCAAAAGTTTGAAACCATCAAAAAGATGCATGGAGTCGGCAAGGAGTTCGAGCCGCCGGCGGGAACTAAGATTTGGTCGGACTTGCGCATGAAAGACGCAGATAAGATGGAACTGGCCAAACTGGCCGAACAGCCATTAGTCGAGAGAAAACCAAAACCCCAAAAGCCAAAAGGTCCCCCGAAGATTCCAAAGAGGCGGCTAAAAGGAGGTGCCGATCCGCCTTCCAGAGGAACCACCAGCGTCATCAAAACCGAACAGCCAAAAAAGAAGGAAGACCCCAAAAAAGAAGGGACGAGAAAGGAAGACCCGAAAATGGAAGGGGTGAAAAATGAAGGCACAAAAAAGGAGGACCCAAAGAAAGGCGAAGCGGAGAAGAAAGATGGAGCAAGAAAGGTCGTAGACGCTGCAAATATCGTTGTACGAGTCCTGAAAGAAGATAAGCCGAAAGAAACATTCAAAATGCCGCTCCAAGCGCTAGAACTCAAAAACTGTCACCCGCTATCTCTGACGGAACCAGTCAATATGATCTATGGCACGTGCAAGAGTAAATCCAAGATTTTGAGTGAGTTTTTTTTTCCATCAGCTCATAGTTGAAATTTTTATTCTCTTTTCTGATTCAGCTCATTACTTCACGCTGATTCCAATTATGAGTGTGAAAAACACGCTTCAAAAAAAATTTTTTAGAAGAAATGGGTATTTCAGGAGATACTTTCTCAGTAATGATGTTGGTGACCGACAAGCTACAGCGTTACTACCAAGTTCATGGGAAAGGTTTAGAGAAAGCTGAAAAAAAAGAACATAAGTTATTTAAATTTATTTCAGCCCTGGCGCTTCTGAATCAAAACGCGAACATGGTAGAGATCAAAATCATCGAGAAAGTGAGAAACTACGCTTCTCATGATAAGAGCCTTTCGTCTTATCCCGACTTTCCGTATGATGCGCCGATGAGGGTAAAGAATCCCACATTCAAAATGGTTCCCACGCAAGCTGTTGGTGAGTTTTCACAGGGATCGAAAATTATATGTTACAGTACTGGCCATAAAGGTATTTCAAAGTGGTTATTCGAGCATAACTTCTCTGAAAGTGGCTCAAATGACTTGAAACTTAGCACATATTTCAAACAGCTATACAGTTACTTATTTTCAGAGATAGAACTGATTTGCTTGAGTCAGACCAGATTTGTGAGCAAAAACCAAAAATCGTGAAAATGGAAACTTTTCTCTCTAGATTCGAAAAATAATATTTTCAAAGAAACGTCGGTTTTCAATCAGAAACTTTTTTTGCCTTGTGAAACAAGTCTTCAGCTTTTCTAAAAACCTAACCAGCCCTTTACCAACCCGATAGTAAGAGCGTAGTGACTTTTTCTTCGGAAGGCCCTTCAGTTTTGACGCCTCGTCATCCAAATGGACTATACGATGTCTATTCTGTCAAACAGTTTGAGAACACCTCGATTTATGTTGAAAAACTTCAAAACACCTTCAAGAGTAGTTTTACACTGTTTTCCTCTGCTTTATCACTTTATCCGCTCTCCAGAATTTACTAACTTCACTAGGACCGATTTCGAACCTCTGGTTTGAGTTTAAGCTCGTTTTTCAAAATCAGAACAGTCATGTTAACAGATAGCTGATGATGACAGTGGGAAAATCGCTGTTTGAACTCAAATTCAAAAAAAGTTATACACCAAGAAACTTTCAAACGCAAAAAAAGAAAGAAACTTACTAGTTAGTAAACGACCCAACAGATAGAAAAACCGTTTTTTTGGTGGGGTTCAGTTAATGCTCTTTCTCAAAGACAAAGAAAACAGAATCAATTTCATAAAATTATGCGTTTTTTTTATTCACTTTTTCAGAGAAAGGGGTCTGCTATAGTCTGTTCAGATTTTGAATGTCAAGTGCAATGACGTCATTCAAAAACACTCTGTGGATGGCTCGCTCTCTGATTGGTTTATCGCACCATTATGGGCGGAGCTTGAGCGACGACTTAAAATTCAAAATCTGAACAGACTATAACTTTAAAAATAAATAGAGAAGAAAATTTGTTTCGGAATTTATTTTCAAAAGGGCAGAAAAAAGGGAATTTCAACACTTTGAACGGTATTTTTTGTACAATTCTCAAAATTTCATCAACTTTTTCGAAGGAAAAATGTACAAAAATGAACAACAAGGGATCGAACCTGCATCATGTTCCACAGCGCGAGGCCGCTAGCCACTACCCCACATGGCAACAGAACTTTGCCGCCGCAACACATTCCCTTCTTCCATCCTATGCATTTTTCGCGTGCGAACTTTGAAAAGCCATATCTCGATTAGAACGCAAAAGGCGCACTTTTTCAACTTTATTGGAATCACGGTGTCCTAAAGTACCTATATACCAATTTTCATCAAATGCTCAACCCACCACCTTTTGCACTCCCCGAGTACGTTATACCGAACAAACGCGAGCTGGAACTCGAAACGTGTAGACAAAACGTGTAGAATGTGTTATTTTAGGAAACTTTTATGATGCATCTATTAAAATTCTTTCTTTCTTGATAAGTTTTTATTTTGAAGAGCATTTGTTGCTCATATTTATGGAATTAGAGCTATCTACGCTTCCTGTTAAAAATAATAATCATCTCAAACTTGAGAATGTAAAATGCGGAAAATTGCCGGCGATTGCCGAAAAAAATTTCCGGTAGGTGCCGGCATTGCCGATTGCCGAAAAAAGCCCGCACAGCCCTGGTGTAGACGAAAGTTCGAAAAATTAAAGAGTTGACATAGTAAACGTTTTGTTTTTTTTTCTCAAAATATCATAATACGATTTTTCTTCCCGTTTGGAACGCATTTTTCAGCCTTGTACGATGAGCTCAAAAGGCTGCGCTTTTCTGCCCTTCCGAAGGAGAAACGACTTTTGGAATATTTGGAGACCGAACATGCCCATTTGGCGAATCTCTTGCACGCCGAAGGGCTCAACTATTTCTACTGGCACAAGAGTTCGTTTCGCCCCTTTCTTGTCATTTTTCGACAATCGTGAGAATTTCGAGAGAAACAAGAATAACTATTGAAGTCGCATTACTGGAATCCGGAAAATTTTCCAAAAAAGGGAGAATCGAAATTGGTCGCGAAAAGTTTTTTTGAAAAAAAAAAAAACAATTTCAATTGCGGCTTGAAAAATCTGATGTTTGGAAAAAAAAATGTGATGGAAAATCCGAATTTCCCTGGCACATATCGACGTAGAGACAAACGATACGGGCAAATTCCAAAGGGGCTCAAAAAGAAAAGTTTGAAGCTAGGGATCAATATTACTATGGTTGGATAGCTGCTCCAATTCACTATTCATAACAGTTTAGATTTTCAAAAAATGGTTGAAAACAAAAAAAGTTATGGTCAAAACAGTAGTAAAAAAAAGTTGCGAAATATAGTATAGTCAATTTTTCCCGACTTGAAAGGAGAGGGATGCGGAGAAGGTGGCGGGACGCGTGGCGTTTGCGTACGCGGCTCTTGGCACGTGTTTAATTCAACCGCCAGCGACTCTTTGGAGAGCTCGTTTATCGCTCTTTTATTATTATTTTTTTAATTATTTATTGATTTTTTTCAATGTGCGCATCAAAAAAATAGTAGAAAATATATTGAAAGAGCGGTGACCGAGCTTTTAAAATAGTCGCTGGCGGTTGAACTGAACTCGTGCCAAGAACCGCGTACGCACACGCTACGCGTCCCGCCCCTTGCCCCGCCTCCCTCGCCTTTCAAGTCGGGAAACATTGACTATACTGAAAGTTTAGGTTTTACACTTTTGGTCGTTAGGCGCAGACTTGTTCTGCGCCATTTGGGTTTAGGCTGGGTTGGAAAAAAAAGGGTTCATTTTGTTTTCATATCGGATTTAATTTTTTTTAGTGGTTTAGTTCGGTTTTCAAAGTCATAATAAGTCATTAAAACAGTATAAAACCACAATTTTGAAGAGAAAAGCTATTTTTTCATGAAAAATAAAAAATGGCCGCTGCGAGGATTGAACTCGCGATATCAAAACTGTGAGCAAGCGCACTTGCGCTGCTCCACGTTCATCCCTCGGAGAAGGGAGGCGTTCGCGCTATAGACCACTTCACCTCGAAGTACAGCATTTGCCGACTATCTTCTTTAAAAAAAGTTATGATAGTTGAATAATTATAATTATTAATCACGTGTGTTCGCGAACATTTGGAAAACCTAAAAATAATTTACTCATAGAGATTCAGTTCAAAAATACCTCCGTTTTTCGGCGTTTGTTATTATTTTTTTAGCGTTGGCTTCAAATTAGCAATAATTAAACTTTTAGGCATCGTAGGAATTTTTATTTTATTTTTTTAATTGATCAAAAAAATTGAGTAACGTTTAAAATTAGAAAAATAAAAAAAGGCGCCAACGACATCTGCCCATATTAAAATGAATTTTGAGATTTTCACTGCCTTCTTTTTCTAAGAAAACAAATTTTTTGGAAAAAGTTTTACACTAATAAAGTTTTAGTTACAATTCAATCCACAAGTTGAAACAAAAATTTTTTACTTACACGCTCTCGAAACCGAGTACAAAATTTTCAACTTTGCGCGGCCTCACGAAAATTAGGCAACGTGTAGTCTGTGTGCCACGACTTGAAATTTCACGGAACGACATTCCGCTGTTCCGCTGCGCGCCTTTGCGAACCTTGGTCGCGCTTTTCATTTTTATTATTTTTTTATCAAGGTACTCTACTCTCCTGTGCTCCCACAGCAATAACAATCAATTGAAAGTGTGACCTAGATTCGAAAAACGCTTCGCGAACGCACGCAGCGGAACAGCGGAATGTCGTTCCGCGAAATTTCAAGTCGTGGCACACAGACTATAGAAATTTCAATTTTTTTGGTCTTAAAAGATTTGTTTTTCACTTAAAAATCGAATTCGAAAGTTAAAAAAAGACGCCAACGACATGGAAATCGGTTAAAAACTCGAAGAAAAAAGTAGTTTTGGTTTTTTGTACGAAACTACGCTGAACGCTTTAAAAACCGGGTAAAAAGTATATGGGATTGAAGAGGAAGGTTTTCTCTATGATTCCACTAATTTTCTCCGTTTTTGGTTCAGTATTGCGTTTGTGCGAACAACGAACACAAAATCTAAAAAACCAGTGCATTTCACCATCGCAAAAAGGGGCGTGGCTTTGCGGTCTCTATCTAAAGCTCCTTTTTGAGTTCCTAAAAAGTTGTCTTACGTTTCTGGGATCCCTAGTAAGCATAAAAATTTTTTCAGTGACACAGCAACCGTGTCAGTTATTTAACAATAACTGTTTTTTCCAGCTTTCATACCACTTGGAGAAACCATTCTGCCGGGCGAGGATCTCGGCGACGCTGCTCTCAGAGTTCTCGGTAACGATTCATTTGAACGAGGAAAAACATCCATGGTTGATGGTTGAAGTTCTCTTTCTCTTTTTTTTGTTTTCATACTTTGATGTTTTTTGAGTTTGGTTGAATAAAAAAATTTTTTTCAGATAAAGAGCACCGTCAGGAAGCGATTTTTGCTGAAATGAGTGAAGCTTACTGCAGGCTGCACCCTGATCAAAGGCCGAAAGAAACGGAAGCTAAAAACCCGCCCGCTCCGAAAGAAGACAAGGTCTCAAAGGAGAAGAAATCGAAGGAAAATAACCCGAAGAAGGCGTAGGAGATCAGTATGGCACCGAATCGACACAATTGAATTTATAAAAAATAAGAGAAATCATCTTTTTGATGCTTTTCAAAGTTTGATTTCTCAAATCAATGAATTTTTTTATTGCACTTCGAAGCTTTGATTTTTTTTTTCTAAGCAGGTGATGTTCGTGACCTGACATAAACTTGTTTGAAAATGTGATGATTCTATTAAAAGCTGAAGGTTTCATACTAACGCTCGGTATCACTATCATTCCCACTATTACATCTAGGGAGCGCGAAGCCCCGCCCTTACAGCGGGTAAACCGGCAAATTGGGCCTCCAGTTGAGCGCTCGTTTTTTGGCCATAACCAAGCTTGTGCGTCAGGCCCGGGCCGGCCTGGCCTGGACTCTAGGCCTCAATCTTTTAAAAAAGCCTGCGCGGGCTCGGGTCAGGCCGGGCTTTGAAGAAAACTTGAATTTCATTTAAAAAGTTTTCCCCGATAAATTATTTTTACTTGTTGAATCATAGTTTCTAATAACTCTATGAGGAAAAATAAGTGAAAATCCCACTTTTCTCGTTAAAAAAGCGAAAAATTCAAATGGAAAAAAATTTGAGCTTTTTGGGCCGGGCCGGCCATGTTTGCTTGAGGCCCTTCTAAGACCGGGCCGGGCTTGGAAAGTGGCCGGGGGGCCGAGAGGTTGACGGGCCGGCCCTCGCTCAAGCCTGGCCATAACTTTTTTCTTACCAGGGAATGGTTTCCGGTCGCAGTGGGACCTCTCAATGAGACCAAGTTTTCTAGATATAGTTTTTTACGCCGATCCCAAATCTGGTCTCAAAAACCTCAAAAGTCGAAAATTCCAGTGTTTGCAATTGAGCTCATTTTTGAAGGTTCTATAGATCTCGTCCCTCTGCTCACGAAAAACCATCAAATTTCTCTAAATAAAATTTGCGATCCGGCGACCGTTGAAGCAGCGGCAGCGAGGAGCAGTGAGAAGGCGGCGGACTGGGGATTACGAAGTCAAAGGTTCGGTGCCCATGCTGTGCAAACATTTTTTGTCGTTTTTTCTTTTTTCCATAATTTTGTTCAAGGGCTTCATTTTCGAGTTTTAAGGCGTATAAACATACAAATTCTTCGTCCCGAGATACGCCGATCGATCGACGCTGGAAGTTAAGATTTCTGGAAGGAGCGCTGTATTTGTACATACCTAACGAGTCCAAAGACAGGACTCATCAACAAATACACATGTACGTTGCTCGAGGCAGAGGGTATGCGCGGATAAGCCAGAAAAAGGCTTTATACACATCGATAGCTAGTACTATGTGAGAAATCTCATGCGTACACCGAAGGAAGATGCGAAACTTTATATATACGTTAATTTTTTTTTGTACTGAAGAAATCGTATTAAGAGAACGTGTACAGCCAAAGCCTCTGAAGACCTTGAAAAATGAACTGAAGTCTTGTTTTCCGTAAGCTCCTTTGTTTCACGTCGGCGTTCCAAGGTGATAGTGGACACACTTTTCTCTTCTTTGCAATCTTCAACAAGAATCCAACTCATTTTTTTTATTAGAATGAAAGCTAAATCTGTGGGCCCGCCCACGTGGGAGCTGCTTCACCCTTTTGCATCGCAGTGCTATTCATTGTTTGCGGATTCTTCCTGTGTCGGACAGAGCTCTTCCATAATATCCTGAAAAAAGATCGAATATCAAGTCAGAAAAAGAGAAAGTGACCTGACGGTTAGCCGGTACGCGTCGACGTGGTTTTCTCTTTTTCGGAAGTCCTGTCTCAACATTGCCCTAAATTTCTTGAGAAAATGCGAATATTAGAGAAACTCTGTCATGCTGCTACAAAACGCATCAATTCTCCGGCTATATAACACTTTCTTTCAACGCCGGCACAGGTTAATTTTTTTACTGTTCAAATTTGAACTTGTGAAATGGGTTTTTTGGAAATTTTACCATCAAATTTATTACCAAGCTGAAAAAATTTCGGTTTTGTAATCTCACCGTAATTTCTTCCGTCTCGATTGTTCCAGTCTTTGGGCCTCCTTGCTCCTGCAAAGTTTCCCGATCAAAAAATAATTTTTAGTTAAAATTTTTTATATAAACTGACTTTTCTGTAGGCACGGTAGGTTTTCTTCAGGAACGCAGCTACCTTAAAATTTTTTTTTTCATATTGAAAAAAGTGAATAAGAGAAACCTCGTTCATTCCAGACCTTGCTTTCATTTCGTAGGTCCACATGTTCTCTTGGATATACTGACGAAGAGCTGGAGGAGCACATGTCTCCTCCAGATCGTTCTGTTCTCCCTCCATAATCTCAATTCAAAGATTTTTTTCCGATAAAAAAAGACCAAATTTTAAAAATTTTGAAATTTTCTAAGAAGTATTCCAGGGCCTCCGACTACAAAGCAATCAAAAATTCAAATTTATCTATTTTTTTCATTTTCATCTTTTTGAAGTAGGAAATGCCAAACAGCGAGGTTGTATCCGAATAAGATTAGAAGAGCTTTGCGTTGGATTTTGGGTTTTTTTCGGCTCAGTGAAGTTGCACCAGATTCTCAGCATTATTTTTTGAAAAGAAACCTGTGAATTAAAAAACTCCAAAAAATTTGTTTTTCGGGCTTCCGTAAGTATGTTTCTATTTTTTTTTGTACTTTATAAAGACTAGGTGTCAAGACAATGATCATACTTCCTCACGGCTTATTCGGATGTTGCCACTCAAGAGAAGTGGAATCGTATCCTTTCACAAAATTAAACAAACTTTCTGCCTTGCTTCAGCCGAAGTTAGGTTTTCAAATGGCATAATGCCATTGGAGAAAAGTTCATAGAGCAGGTTCTGAAATACTAATTGTTTTCCCCTTGAGAAATCAATAAACTCACCCCGAATGCGAAGGTGTCTGATACGTAAACGAAGAGGAAAATGGCTAGCGTCTCCGGGCTAAGATACCTCGTCGGCAAGGTTTCTCCTTTCGACATGTAGTAGAAAGGTCCGGGAACTGCGAGGCCGAAATCGGCTAACTTGAGCTTTAAAAATCTTGTTTATTCAATTTTTACGGACTTGAAAGGAGAGGGATGCGGAGAAGGTGGCGGGACCCGTAGCGTGTGCGTACGCGGCTCTTGGCACGAGTTCAATTCAAGCGCCAGCGACTATTTGGAGAGCTCGTTTGTCACTTTCATTTCTCGTTTAATTCTTCGTTTTTTTTTCATTGTGCATTGAAAAACAGTGGAATAGATACGAAAAGAGCGTGGACCGAGCTTTTTAAATAGTCGGTGGCGCTTGGATTGAACTTGTGCCAAGAGCCACGTACGCGCACGCTACCGCTCACATCTCTGCCTTTCAAGTAAGGAAGGAATGACTATATTATAGATTCAGTGTGTTTTATCTTTATGAAGAATGAAAATGTGAAAAGTAAATAAGAAAAAGACATTGTTATGAAAAGATTTTTCATGATATATACAGCTCATACCTTCTGGTCGGCGGTGAGCAGGCAGTTTCGCGCTGCCACATCCCTGTGGATGATCTCCATTTCATGAAGGTAGGCTAATCCATCGGCTGCCTCAAAGCCAAATCTCAACAGTCGTTGGATGTTTGGTTCCTCAGAACTTTTCAAGAGATACGTCTCCAGCGATCCCCCTGCAAAATGCCCAGTAATAACTTGGATGTAAAAAAAGCTAATTTAATTTTATCAGGTTATCATATATTTCCTCCAAAAAATCAGTAATCGAAAAGTTTTCTGGTTAATCTTCAAAAAATTCTAAATTACGAAGTGAATTCATCTCGCGAATAACATTCAAAGCAGTAAGGTAAATAAAAGAACTTGAAAAAAATTCCTAGTTTCCTTACTAGGGAACTACGCGAACTCGTATTCCGGATCTAGTTCAAACTTGGGTGTTTTATTGACCTAGTTCAGGTTGCAAACAAGGAAGATTATCTGCTAAAATTGATGAGGTACCGAGAAAAAGCTTGTGGAAAATGAACAGTTGAAGATTGAAAGCTAGCTGCTTGTGTTCTGATTTCTGTTCTATGATATCCGGATCATTCAAGGCACTTGTACTGGAATTTCTCACCTTCCATGTACTCCATGATTATCATGTAGGGTTGTACATCGAACATCCAGCCGTAGGTTTCTATGACGTGTTTGTGATTGAACGTCAACATTAGACGCGCTTCCTCCACGAAGCTCGTGCTCCGTTCGCTCAAGTTGGGGGCTCCTTTCTTTAGCTGCAAGAAGAAAGTTGTTTCTTGGAAGACACTTTTTCAATTGAACTCACAGTTTTCACCGCGACCCTTTTGTCAATTATCCCAAACGACTTCACATTGGCTAGAAATACTTCTCCGAAGTTTCCGCTGCCTAGCTGAATAGACTGTTCTAGATATTTCAACACAAACATTCATTTTTATTTTAGATAAAGTTTTTAGCAGCGGAATATCGTTCGAAACGCTCTTTTTTGCCTACTCCAAGCCGCGTTTTCGTGGTTTTTCTGTAATCTCACACGGAAAGTCAATTTACTTTTTCGATTTTTTTCTGTTTGAAATTTTTATTTTGCAACTTTGAAAAAAATTACATGAGTGTTTGAGCGAATTTTTTTGAAATTCTGTAAAATGACTTACTTTGTTAGCGACTTTGGTAAGTTTGTTAGGAAGTCTTTTTTTAGAAAAAAATGAAGGTAAAAAAACTTTTTCCTTTATTTTTTTAAAAATAACGATAAAAATCAATTCTATCGGTCTGGGAAAAAAATCCACTCCTTTTTCATAGTTGATTTTCGTTTGTTTTCTTTATACTTCTGACTAAGGATTCATTTTAGACTTCTCATTATTGACCGTCTTGAGGCGAGAGATCTGACGTTCTCTGAATTGGAACATTCGAGTCGGGCAACCTCGCTTTAGTTGGATGTTGAGCGATTTCTGAAGTAAGATGATTTTCGAGTCCAACTTTGTCTTCTGCGATTCTAATTCCAGCATTACTTCCTTTTGTAATTTGTAGCAGCCCGAGAAATAAAATTTTTCTCATTCCGGCATTCTTATAGATCATTTCATTCTACTATGAACAGTCATCTCATTACTCGACAAAGTTTGAGAGATATAAACATTTTTGGTTCTTGGTTTCGAATTAAGTTATTGATTTCGAAACCGTTTTCTTCATTTTCAGATTTCATATGTAGACGTTATCAGAAAACAATTTTCCCCCTAATTCAGTTTCCCTTTAAATCACTTTCCCACTCATCTATCTTCTGCATTACCTTTTGGGGGTTGAACATATAATATATCAGCAGGTCTTTCAGGCAGTCAAAGACGTGCTCGTGCTCGATTGATATTCCTTTTTGAACACGACGGACAGCATAGTCGAATACTCTTATCGGTTCATCCCTGCCGTATTTTTTGTCGAGGTCTGGATGAGATGAAAATTTATATGACATTCAAATGTTTCAAGGTGCGTTGTGACAGAAATTCGGTCGAACATGTTCGAGCTTGAAACTATTCTGCTCTTTTCTATTAAAAAATTGAAAAATCCTCTCATATAACTCTACTCAGTTGAATCGGATGAAATTGAGATTCATAATGATTGGAAAATTGGAAAAAAAAGTCACCTTCGGTTCCGACACGTTGATGTTCCAGGAGTACGCCGACGGAAACCAATATGTAGTGTTCCCCTTCTTCTAAAACTTTATATTAGATGGTTGACACGTCTTTTCTCTCAAACCCTCCACTCTCCGCACGAGGAAATCGCCGGCTCTCCGTATAAATCTTCTAGTTTCGAGTTGCGGCAAGTATATGGAAAGAATCGATTTCAATGAGACATTCGATCGAAAACTTCTTACCCATGGTAATAGCAGAAGCTATTCAAAAATTCGTCAGGGTTTTTCGGAGCATTCTGCACCATTTCCAACCGTTGAGGCACGATAAACTGGTGGATGTCCGCTCCTGCAATTGAAAATGATCATAATAAAAAAGAAGAATGTTTCGAATTTTTTGTGTGTGATTTTCATTAATTTCATGGCTTTTCAGTCTGAACTGCTATTTTAAAAGTATATGGTATTCGAGATGAAAAGTTGGGGATTGATATCACTTTTATATATAAAAAGTGCAACCTCTCTTCGGCGCTGTCACGAAAGTTTGCTCCGTCTTGAAAACTTCAAATTTGCAAATTTTGATCGCAAAATGCTTTTCGAATTAAAAACGATTATTTTATACATATTTCAATTGGAAAGATATTTCGCGTTTTCTGTACCACCGGTGTTTTTTTGTTCGGCTAAATTTCTCTCCAGGCAAAGAACTCTGCCTATAAGCATATATCCGGCTAGAGTCTGCTCAGATTTTCAAGTCGTCGCTCAAGCTCCGCCCCTAATGGCGCGATAAACCAATCAGAGAGCGAGCCATCCACATAGCGTTTTCGAATGCGTAAAAACTCGGCATTCAAAGTCTGAACGGACTATATTTCACACAAAATACAGTCTGATGAAGCGTCCGTAACTTCACGTACTATTGAGGCTACTTCAAAAAATTTTCTGTACACCCATCCCAAGTTTTTTTTTTAAATTTGAAAAGCGGAAAAATGAAAGTGTGTCCTCCTTAAGGAGGAGGGCCTACATCAGAACTTATATCTGGGATTTTACAATTACAATGTTCTCTTCGGGATTAAAAGCTCTAAAAGGTACTTCTCTCATCTCGAACCCTGTTTTTTACTACCTTCAAGCCTTTGAGACAAAAATCTTTTTTCTATAGCTTTTTCTTTCAAAAACGAAAAAAATTTATATTTACAAAAAAGAACAGTTAATAATGATTTTTGATTGAAATGGATTGAGTTCTGTCGGAGCAGATTTTTATATGGACTTTTTGACGAAAGTTTCTTTTAGAGGAAAAAAAAACTCAACGAAATCAAACGTTCTATTTTACATTGAAGTACAAGAGAAAAGGAGAAAACTCACGAGCTCGGCTTTCAAGTCTCCCACCGAATTCTTGGGCCATCCGAGACAATTTTGTTTCTTGGTCCATCGTCATGGATTTCTTCGTACCTCCGGCATCCGACATCAGTTTGTCCATCATACTCTCCTTGTGCACTTCCCCGTTATTCTCAATTTGGCCCGCCTCAAAACCGACGCCCTCATATCCTGGGATTTCTGTAAAATTTAATAAAAAGCATATTAAAAAAACTCATAAAGACTTTTTTTGTACTGTCTGTTTGGTTCATTCTATATTCGTTCTCAACTCGGCTTTTTTTAACCAATTGAAACGACAAAGCTCTACATATATATTTCTCATTTTCCTTGTCCTTAATTCTCCTGTTCCCGACCACTTGATTCACCAATGGTATAGTCAATGTTTCCCGACTTGAAAGGCGAGGGAGGCGGGGCAGGGGGCGGGACGCGTAGCGTGTGCGTTCGCGGTTCTTGCCACGTGTTCAATTCAACCGCCATCTACTCTTTAAAAAGCCCGTTTTTCGCTTTTTTCATTCCTTTTTCAATTATATATTGATTATGTTCATGTGTGCATCAAAAAATAGTAGAAAAAATTGAAAAAGAGCGGTTGCCGAGCTTTTTAGATAGTCGGCGAGAATTGAATTGAACCCTTGCCCCGCCTCCTTCGCCTTTCAAGTCGGGAAACATTGACTATAGTTTGAAAAGACTTTTCTCAATTGAATCAAAATAATCTACCAGGCTTCTGGACTTCGTTGTTGCCATTGGGTTGGTCGGAGCCCGTCTGCTCTTGCATTGTATTCGTGGTACTTTCCGCCCCGCTTTTCTGACGAAACGCTCCGCCGAAAATCCAGAACATTGCGTTCTCTTAAAAATTTCATTGAGAGAAAACAAAAGTTCTCTAAGAGAAAAGTGTTTGTTTTTGAAACTATCCACGAGGATAACACGGTTGGCTTATTGAAAGAGATTTGAAACGCACTGGTTTTTTGGATACCCCAGCCAAAGGAGTTCCAGCGAGGCGAGTCGCGTCCGTCTCTTTGTTCGGATTCTATAACTCGATCAATCAATTTTTTTATCAGCGGTGTTTTTGCATTTTTCTTATTTAGTTATATCATAAGAGTAGAGTGATCACTTGAGAAAAAAAAAATTGTTGATAAAATATTTACTCATCCACAAGGTGTGACAAGTAAATAGTTGATACACGGCTGACTGGAGCCATTGAAAAAGGGTCCTGACACGATAAGAAAAGAGACAGCGCCTGTACCCCTTTGCGCCCCAAGCTAGCTGTGAATCAACCATAGTCTGTTCAGATTTTGAATGTCAAGTCGTCGCTCAAGCTCCGCCCATAACGGTGCGATAAACCCAATCAGAGAGCGAGCCATCCACAGAGTTTTTTTGAATGACGTCATTGCACTTGACATTAAAAATCTGAACAGACTATAGAGCATTTTTGTACACTCAAATCTTGAGTTTTCTAATACTGGGTTTTTTTTTACGAGGACATCGTTCGGTAGGTTCTTTGAAAGTATATTCTTTAACTTTCCTATCTTTTAGTTGCTTTTCCAAAATCTTGCTCTCTAGTCTTGCATGATTCGAAATACGCTGGAAAACGACTTCTTACATAGTTCGTGCGCTTTCGAAGGCCTCATTAAGGAGAAAAAAATTACGACCAAAAGAAATATTTCTTGAAATTATCGAATGAAGGCTTCACAAGAGGTCATTTAACACACGTTCTCTAAGAGAAAAGTGTTTGTTTTTGGAACTATCCACGAGAATAACACGGTTGGCAGGGAGATTTGAAATTGTTGAAAGTATACCTGACAGCTGGCGCATGATCCACTTCTCTCCTCGAATTTTGTCGTCCATCGTCTTCCGTAGCTCCGGGGCTTGCTGTCTTTCCAAGGTTCGGCTTCAAGAATAACCCTCTTTTGGACGGAACAGGCCGCGTCGATTTTCCTTCTTATCTCAGAAGTTCATCTTCAGTTCTTTCTACACGCTGAATAAATTTTTTTATGATTTTTCCATTTTTCTCATAGCGTGAGTGAATATTTTCAAATAACTACGCTTGGTATTCTAATTAATTTACTGATATTTCGTTTAAGCAGAGTCTCAGTAAAAAAAAAAGTCTTCTCTCCAGAATGTAGTAATTTATAAACTGTTTATTCAGTAATTTTGCTGTTCATGAAGATGAAAAAATATTTACTCTTTTTTTTTCTGTTTCCGAACACTGTTTTCAAAAGTGATCCTTATTTTCTCTCAGAACCTTCATGAAAGGCTGAAAGCATCAGAAAAAGAAGCTTGAACTGGTTCGTTTCATTCCCAAAAGTTAAAATTCGGATTATTGTCGGCCCTGTCTTCGATTATGACGAGAAATAACTCAAAGAATCTCTGAAGGTCTTGATGAAGATTTTCTGGCTAGCTTCTCAAAAACTTTTTCAAGAACAAGATGCTTTGAAGTTTCGAATCAATGCTTGCAAGCCTGATTCTGTATATATCTGCACTTTTTTCGAGATCCTTTTTTCCGTTCCCAGACAACTTTATTGCGCGGTGGTAAACTTCACGGTGAGTGAACCGCAAGTCTTTTCCAGGATCCATTTTTTTTCGATGTGAAACCGCGTTTCGGAGAGCTCATAGAGCGTGCGAAGACGATCAAAGTAATAGTAACTACAGACGGCAATTTCGATTCTAACTGGTCTTCTAAGCTCCTTAACCTTCTGAAAATCTTTCACAGTAATATTCATAATTAAAGCTTTCACGTGCTGTCGTGAAAAAAAATAATACGCGAAAAAAAATTATTAACCAAATGTGCAAATTCTCACAGACTTTCTGGAAATGACCCAAAAAAACACATCTCGAACAACGAAAACATAAAATGTATATTGCGAATTTTTTCAGTGGTTATTAAAACTTTTACTGGTCAACTTTTTTTTTCCAAATCTCAATTGCATCTTCCAGGAGGTCCGAAATCGACGACACGAATCCCCGTGAAAATTAATTTTAAATCTGTTTTCAAAGAATCTACATACTTGTCGATAAATGATATCACTTGTGCCACGAGCCAATAATCTTGCTGAAATTTGATAAGATCCGTTATCAGCTCGCCGCTTTTCGCTGCTCTTTTCCACAGAGTCTTTCACGCTTTTTGGTTTTTACTTGAAGTTCAAAATAATCATTAGCGTTGAATTTGAATTTAGTGAGAGTTTTCAGAGAACCCCGGCCATGGGTCTTCTCCTCAAGATTGTCGCCGTGTCTTTTGCTGCACTTACTGCGGCGAACAGTGAGTAAAAGTTACAGAATTTTGATTTTTGAAGGTTTCAGAAATTTGCGCTTTATTATTACTTTGGGTTAAGTTTCAGAATTTCGATTTATTTAACAATAAACTTCAAGTTTCTTCATTCTTCTTGTAAAATACCGAATTTCCATCTTTTCTCTCAACGACGCTCCCACATTTACATGTTATTACAATTCTCTAATGTGAGAGAAAAGAGACGCAGCAACGTCAGACGGTTTTATGCCCCAACAGAAAGGGTATTCTCTCTTAAATAGGAAATAATGTTCTTGAAAATTCTCAACCTTTTTTTTCTTGTCTAACATTTTCTATTTCGAATATTGAAAAGGTATTGCAAGTTTGAGATTCTTTTGGAATTGTCGAATTTTCTGAGAAGCGTACATCAAGATTATTACCTGATATCTTTTTTTCAAAATGAATGAAAAAAAGTATAAAAAAAGGGGACTTTTGACCAAGTTTGTCTTCTTTAAATTTTTAATTCTGAACAAAAACAAAAAAAGCCCCCCATAGGGACTACTTACGATTTTTTTCCCTTTCAGTTTGCACTGACAACACTGGTCACTGGTCTTTTTGCAATTGACGACGGAGTTACCGACTTTTTATTATGGCGGAGTCAAGCTCAACAAGCAGTGAGTCAGAAAAATAATATTTTCAAGAGAATTACAAAAATTAAAGGTACTTCTGCTTCGAAGGATGCTTGAACACGGCCACGGCTGTTCAAAACTACAAGGTTTGTGATTTTCTGAAAAACTTTTCAAAGTTAAACCGTTTCACTTGAATTTTACCCCTATAAGGAGCAACTAACCCCCCCTTAAAGGGACTGCTTCTCGTCCTAATCCCTACTTAAAAAATTCCAGAGTAGCCCCTATAGGGACCGAAAAAGTGTTCCCTATAGGGGTAAAATCAAGGTCGTCCCTATAAGGGTCTTTCAAATTCATTCGAAAAACGCTTATTTGTTGAATTTTTCGCATAGAGTAAATAAAAATTATCGGCTATCATGTTCCCCTATAGGGACCACTCTGGAGTTCTCAAGTAAATTTATGTAGTAGCCACTTTTTGAAAAGGAAATTCCATGAACTGAACGATTTAAAAAACCTCATCAAAATCTGCAAAAGTTTTGGCGAATTTTGAGCTTCACAATAAAATTATTCTTTTCTGTATAAAAAAAACCCTTATAAAGATTTTATTAGAAGAGAAAATTTTCAAGGTACAACTTTCTACCGGAAATCAATTCGTCGAAAGAATCCGAAGACGCGAGGAGATCATCGCGAAATTCGCTCTACCGGGTTCGTTTTAGCAGAGAAATAGGCAAGCAAACCGGAGGTTGCTGAGCATTTCTGGGGTTCACTTAAGGGTGCTAAAGACCGCTTAAGGTATCACTAGAAATGGAAGGTCCGAGGCACGTTCGGTCTGCGTTAAAGAGGTCCGAAAAGGCTCAAAAGTCTCAAAAATCGAGCTCTTGAAAACTGAAATGTAGAAAATTCGCTCCCATGAACCATGAGTCAAATTAGCTGATATTCGGCCCTTAATCGTCTTTATGAGGAGTTTTGATCCAGCTAAAGAAGTACTGGAAGGAGTTCAAGTGATCATTTTAAGGCTCCAACTTTTGGAGAGGTTCAACTGATCATTTTAGGATCCCAACTATTGGAGAGGTTCAAGGGATCATTTTAGGAATGCATGACTTTTCAAACACCGTTTTCCGCTAGAAGCTCATACGTAGTACTTTTTATTAGTTTCTTCTAAAACTGTCTGTCTTCATTTGATTTTTTATTCACTAACTTTATTGAAGAACTTATGAGCATCACTAAAAAAACTGAGATCTCTTCAATTGTTCAAAAACTGAATAAAGTAATAATAAAATGAAAATGATTATTCTTTCAAATGCACTTTCTTCTTTTCCAACGTTTCAAAACCCTCTTAAGTGATCCCTAGAAGTTTTAAGAAACGCCCGGTTTCTTTTTTATAATTTCTAGTGGTCACATTAGCGACATTAGCGATCTTAAATGATCCCAAAACATCTCGGAAATGCCCGGGGCGTATCCCGTTCGCGTTACCAAGGTGCGAGTAAGTAGAAATTATGTTTCAGATGACCCGAACGCGCAAAGTTGCATCGACCCGGTGTTGAGACAGGACGTCGGCAGCGCAATCAATAAGACAACTCGCCACGATTGCAAGGTTTTTTTTGTTGATAAGATAGGAAAAATATATAAAAAGAAGTCAGAGTTTGTAAAAGGGGTGCAAGCGACCTTTTAGGGGACTTACATTAGGGGTTTGAGTTTCTAATAAGGTGGGAAAAATCTCTATCTTTAAAGCATCTTTCTCTCACCTATTCAAGGAAAATGATTTTTGTCGGCTTTTTTTCTTTTTTTCCGCTGCTCATTATGGTTATCTCATAACTTTTTTATCTTTTTGAAAATAAATTTTCTCATAAAAAGTTCTGAAAAACCGCTAAGAAGATTTTGAAGGTCTTCTATTCAAAAAAACTCCTTTTCGAGCATTTTTGCGTTTTTCCCCTGTTCCAAAAGGATGAATTTCTAAAAAAGCCGAAAACAACAGAAAATGTAAGGTTGAATATATTTTAAACAAAAATTTAACGATCTGAATGTTATTGAACAAAGGTAACTTGCGCTCCACGGCTAATATTCAAAAATTCACTAAATTGATGAAAAAAGTTTTTTTGAGCACGTTTTTATTGAAATGGAAAGTTGATGAAGAGCTTCGAATTCCAAAAAAACTAGGCATAAATATTGGCCGCAATAAATTCAAAGCAAAAAGCGCTCCTCCTCAAAAAAATTGACTTGCAGGTTCGAAAAAAATTTGGATTTTTGATTCAGCCTTTTTTTAAATAGAAAGTATCAATAGTTTTATTTTTATTCACCTCAAGTTCTTTGACGAAAATATTTTTAAAGATTCTGACATGGCAAAGTTGGAAGGGTCGAAAAAAGCTCCTTTTTTGTTCCTTTTTGCGTGATTTCATCGGCTTTTATGCAGCATTTTTGCTGCCTCTCCCTTTTCCCACCATTTCCTGAGCCTTTAAAATCTTAGCAACAATGGAAGGCTCGAAAAAGGGACTCAATTTAATGCCTTTCTGCGGCCTTTTTTGAGCCTCTCCCTTTTAGCGCCCATTATCCACCATTCCGACTTTGCCCGTGTAGTTTGATCTTTCAAGCTTAAAATGTTGACCTTTTCGATGAAGATATTAAGTCTAAGTTCGTTCTAAATACTTTACTGGAAGCTAATTTTGATTTTTTTTTTTTTTTGATCGAAGGAAACTGTTATTCAATCAATTTTTTTGAGGGAATCATCAACACCCTGGCTCTGAATTTGAACCGTCCCGGCTGGGCTTACATCTGCGTCAAGTTCAACTCTTTTGGCGTTGATTCGATCGTTGCGGTTGGTATTATTCGTTTTTCTTACTTTCGGAAGCATTACAAAAATATTTTTTTCGGAATCAACAAAAAAATTTCTTGATTTCCAGGACAAGAACTTCTGCGACTACGACGCCTTCCTCCAAGGCGAAATCTTCAACGTCCGTTTGGCCAAGATCGACATGTCTTGAACATTGTGAATAACAAGAGAAATTAAAAATAAAGGTTTTTATTGGCGAGGTGATTTTCAAAAAAGCAAGTGTGAGATCATTTATAGCAATAAAATTTTTCAGATAACAAGGGAAAAAAATCGTTTTGTTTTTTGAAGACTCTGTAATGAGAACGCTATGAAAGTTCTTGTTCAGTCGATTATAGTCTGTGAACCAGGACTTGAAGTTTCACGGAACGACATTCCGCTGTTCCGCTGCGTGCGTTCGCGGAGCGTTTTTCGAATCTAAGTCACGCTTTCAATTGATTTTTTTTTGCTGTGGGAGCACATGAAAGCAGAGCACCTTGAAAGAAAAAAAATTTAAAGCGCGATCAAGGTTCGCAAAGGCGCGCAGCGGCACAGCGGAATGTCGTTTGGTGAAATTCCAAGTAGTGGTACACAGGCTATACATAATAAAAATGTGAAAAATAAAAATTCATTGAATGATTGATTGAACTTCACGCTTTCCAAGACAATAAATCGAAGAAATGCCACACGTTTTTTGTATTCGGCCGAGTGGTTCCGGTCATTCCTACGATGCGGCTGCAACTTCTGGCACTGCTCCTTCTGGTCGGCGTCCATGCTTGGCGTCGTCGCCAACTTGGTTCGACGGTCGGACCAGTTAAGGCTCCTTCAGGACCTCCCCCAGCTCCTCCACCCATCAATAGTTCTACTGCACCGCTCAATAAGCCTTCCCCAAGCCCCAGCATTCCCGGCAACGGGTCAGTCTCCTCCTCGGCGGCTCCCATTGCGTCTATACTACCGTTCTCTTCCAATTACAACTCGGCACCACCACGTGAGCTTTTAGTAGATCTCCGAGCCATTGCGACCAAATAATGGGAACTCTTACAGGTACCCGCTTTTTTCGTCACAGAACCACGACTTCGACAGCCAAGCCTCCGATCAAGGCAACTACAAATCCGATGTTTCTAATCTTTTTTTGCTTCCTTCAAATTTTCCCAACATTTTCAGATACAGCGACTTCGTTATAGCCAAGATGTGTGAGAATGAACTTGTCTTAAAGGTTACAATTTTCATTTTATCGTGATTTGTAGTTGATAGCAACGACAAGATCGAGTTCGTTTTGCTCGCTTGGTTCATCATTATCTTCTTCTTTTTAGTCCTGTGCTGCTGTATTCTTTTCCTCACGCGATGTGTCTACAGGTAGTCGTTTTGAAAATTTGTTTCAGTCCTTCATTTATCTTTCTGGTGGTTAAAATAGCTTTCTTTACTGGCCAGGGTACAGAAATTTGCGTAATCGTATTTGAAGTTCCTCTGCATTTTGGCGCCAATTTAAAAAAAACTTGCATTTTTGAATTCTTGGAATTCCTTAGGAATTCTAGAATGGTTCCTATAGGGGTTAAGGAGGAAAACAGCCTCTATAGAGGCCGAAAAAATGGTCCCTATAGGGGTTTAGAGTCTGACCCCTTAGCTCCGAAACCCAAGTCGACCCTATAGGGGCCTTATTTATTCAGTTTTTCCACGTGCTTCATCCCTTAGAGTTCATAACAATTATCGACTGGCCTGTCTCATATGGGGACCACTTTTGCAAGCTTAAGTGGCCCCTATAGGGGTTGATAAAGCGGTCCCTAGAGAAAACCTTCCAAGGGCATTTAGGGTTGCCCATATAGGAACAACTCTGGAGGAAAAAAGTTAATTATTCACTTTGAATAATTTTAAAAAAGTTACTTTGTCTTTCATACAATGTATAATAAAGATAATGTTCACAAAAGCGATAATTTTTGAATTAGCGCCAAAACGCATCGCGACCGCTTCGCAAACAAACTGCAAATGCTTTGTCGAGAGACTAGGAGGGCGCAGTGAAGTCCCGCGATTTCCAGTAGCAAAGAACGAATTGAAATAACGAGATGAACGGAAGAAAAAAATTTTTTTTTTAGAAGAAAAATGGTCAATGATATGAAGGACATTCGGGAAGCACAGGAAGGCCGCCGTGGTTATTGTGAGATTTTTCTTTTTTTTTCTCCATGTATATTTATTTTTTTGTGCAGACGTTGACGATGGAGCGCATGGTGCGAAGAAAGTTCAGCCGCCGCCAATTTCCCCGCCGCTCACCGATCAGACCGAGTACAACTTGGTTTTATGGAAATATTCAAAAATTCTTATTTTTCCTTTTTTCAAGGTTGCCGCCGTTCTCGCCGACTATGACAAGGGCCGACTTTTTTTAAATCGTCTTCTCATTTATTTTTTTCCCCTGTTGAAGTTTGATTCGAAATAGTTATCTCGATTGAGCAATAAATATTGTTTCCTCAGGGTCTTTTTTGAAGGGAATTTCGAAACTTTTTCTCTGCGAATATTTCATTTTATTCAAAGTTTGAGGACTATTCCTGAAAAATGTTTTTAGAAATTTTTAACTCTTTGAACTCTCTAAAAAAATTTTGAATATATTATAATAAAAAAATTTGAATATATATTCAACTAGGCTTCACTTGTAATTTTTTGGTCGCATTTGGAATGGCTCGATTTTGCAGGTTTTCAAGGTGCGTCCGACCAGAAACGGCTTACAGCTCTTTGTTTTTCAAGCCTGTAGGCGTAGGTTTTTCTGAATTTCTTGTCCAATAATACCAAGGTTTTAATAAAATTTTTTCTTCCAAAATTTTTTTATCTTTATTGAAAAATAGAAGAAGGCAAAAAGTACAATATTCAGAAAAAAAAGTCATTTACAAAAGGCTTATTTGCCCCAGCCGCCGTAGCCGAAGCCTCCGTAGCCTCCGAAGCCGCCGCCCCAGCCGCCGTAAGGTCGTCCCCAGCCGCCGTAGCCGCCGTAGGGACTTCCCCAGCCGCCGTAGCCTCCGTAACCGCCGTAACCGCCATAAGGACGGCCCCAACCGCCTCCGTAGCCTCCGTAGCCGCCTCCGTAGCCGCCATAGCCGCCGCCGTAGCCCCAGCGCTTCGCCCTCGTCTTGGGACTGTTCTTGGAGCTGAAGATGATGGTTTTTAATCTTTCATTTTGGTAGCTCAGTGTTTGAGGCTTATTTCTAGCGTTCGTAAGGTTGCTGGGTCGAACCCTACTAAGGTTTTGTCGTTCAGACTTCTGTTAAAGTCCGATAAAATACGAGTTTTAAAGTTATTAATGTCGGGATGTATAATTTGCGTCGCATTTTTCGAATTCGTTTCAGAAACTGCAAAAGAGACTTTTCGAGAAATTCAAAATTTTAACTTCGCGCCAACAAGAAAACGAAGGAATGGTGTACAGAGCTTTGCATACCGTAATCCGCTTTTCAAAAATGCAGAATTATTGTTTCTCTATCTTACTCGGAAGCTTCTTTCACGTAAGAAAATTTTTATCGAGCTCCGATTTTTTTCCTCAAAACTTAAATACACTTTACAACACAATGTGGCTCATTTTTGATGGTTTAACTTTAATTGAAGATGGGAATCTAAAGAAAAGTTTCATTACATGAATATGATCTCACCCAAACTGTAGACTGTGCAGAGAAGGCTCGGAAGCTGGAGCAACAGGTCCTTGGACACTCATCTCGATCAGAAGAATCGCCGAAAGCAATAGGAAGATTGTCAGTGGATTCATGTTTTTTTTTCTTGCTTCTCTTTGTTTTTCCAAACCCTTTTTATACCCACCTTTTTTATTTTGGTCACCTTGATTATTCACAGTTCGACGAAGATTGTTCCCCCGTTCGTCGTATTGCGTACTTTTGACTTGGAGAAGTTGGAATTGGCTAAAAATGAGTGGTAAAACTAGAGTAGAGCTAATGGTTGGTGGAAATGTGGCCGCTTCTCATTGTACTCTCTTATTTAGCATTTGAGTAGTTCTTGTTGTCATCATTTACTTGGATTTTTTCAACGATATATTTGAAAAATGTTCCAGGTCTTTTCCTGTGTTTCTAGTCATCACGAGGAAGGTAATTTCACTTGCTCTTCGAATTTTTTTAAAAATTGGACAATTTGTTCCTTGATTTATATACCAAATGAGAGTTCCAGAAGCTCCATCCTGCATACGTTCCGAGATTTGAAAAAAGAGAGGCTAAGCACTGTAAAAAGGCCTGAAGAGGATAAATCTCAGGAACTTCACAGTGGTACCTACAGGGGCAGGGCTCCAACTTTTTTTTCTAAAATAATGTCAATTTTATCATGAACGACTTTGAACACGGCATATAGTTTGTTCAGTTTTTGAATGTCAAGCAGCTAACTCCACCCCCAAGGCTACAATATCTTTTGCGTCAATGTTTTATCTACAGATGATAATGCTTCGGGCCCTTTGAGGGTCCCCGCTTGGAACCTTTCTAACAACCACTGCAGGGGCCACTAAAGCTTGCAAAATTGGTCCCTATAGGGGTTTAGTTAGTGGCCCCTATAGGGGACATGATAGTCGATAATTGTTATGGATTCTAAGCGAGGAAGCAATTCCATGGGAAAAAACGCTTTTGAATGAGATTGAAATATCCCTATAGGGCCCACTTTCATTTTTACCCCATAGGGATTTTCATTTTTTCCCTATTTTTACCCTATAGTTTATCCCTATAAGGGTTGTTTTCCCCGCTAACCCCTGTAGGGAACACTCTGGAATTCTTGGGATCTGCACTGGAAAACGCGATATTTTCTTTGTATACTGTGGCTTTTTGTAGTTTTATTTGGTAACAAGGAAAATCCTGGTCAAAATTTTTGTGAAAATCCCCACCTCCTTTTCACTCCTCTAACTTCTCTTCTCCAAAATCAAATAATTGCACCATGAATATTCTGAAAAAAAGTGATAGAATCTAGATATTTTCTTGGTCTTCTCTGGGATTTTTTTATCCCAAAAAGTCAAAATTATTCTCCGCCTGGACCCGTACCAACGAACCTTTGTTTCATAGTCTATTCTCTTTCCGACTAAGCCAAGGCGACAACTTCCAACTATTGTTTAAAATGAACTTCCAGTTTGCCAAAGAAAGTCATTGATACCGCTTGAAGGGCAATTCATCGATTTTCTGGTCCGATTGTTTCAGATCCGAAAAGAATTACAAGAAGCATGTGTTTGTTCAAAAACCGTCATGATATCCAGCAAGAAAGCCCGACATTTATTAATCTTTACACGCATAATCAAGGAAGAAAAAAAAAATGACAATTTATTCTAGTGACGCCACCATCCAAAGCCGCCTCCGAATGGCGGTGGAGGCGGTAGTGGCGGCGGGGGAGGTCTGAAGCCCCAGCCGGGACCTTCTCGGATGACCACGGTTTTATGGATTACTACTGGAGGAGCTGGAGGATAGTAAGGAACGCCGCCGCCGTAGCCGCCTCCGTAGCCTCCGCCGTAGCCGTACCTCTTTTGTCGATACCTGGAATTGTTAGAAACGTTATAAAAAAATCATTAGATCAGATAATTTCTGTTTGAAAAAACTCTTAAAATTGGTTCAATCAAATTATCGCTTTTTCTCAAGAAAGAATGCTTGACAGTTTACTGTAGAAAATTCCTTGGAAAAAAATCTCTTTTAATAATATATGTATGAATAATCATGAATAACTTCACTCCGTTCCAAAACATGAAATTTTCAACTTCATTTCTAAAAGTTTATGGGAAAAATTCACGTCTTCTTACAAAATTAAGAAATTTCAGCCATCCAAATGTTCAAAAAAACGGAAGAATAGTTATAAAAAAATCAATTATTTGTTTGCATTTTATTTACCATAATTACAAAAAGTTAAAAAAATATATTTTTACGAAGAAAAATCCCATTGAAGACTTTGAGCATCTTCTTTTCACGTTTCTTTCAAAGTTAAAAGCCTTCAAATTTCAATTTTTTCAAACAAAAAAGGACGTTTTTCACTACTAAACCAATAATAGAACAATCAAACGAACCCTTTAGGAGCTTTCCACATGAGATGATGTAAATCGCCGCTTGGCCCATGGCTCGTAACGCCGTTGACGGTTTCCACGAGCAGCAAAGCTCCAAGAAAAAATAATAGGAAATTCAGATTCATTAAATTTTGCCACTCCGGGTCGCGAGAATCACGTTTATAAGGGGCCAAATCGAATCAGGACGAAAGACGAGAGGTGAAGGTCAACGTTTTCGGCAAACTTTTTGGTCCGTTGATTGAAGGTTGGACTGGATTGATAATAGCGTCATTTGAAAACACGTGTTTTGAATCGAGGAAGTTGCCTTTCTTGGATGAAGATCGATAGAAATTAGGGTTCAGCGTGATAATAACCACTTCTTTTGGTTATCAAAGGAGTGTAAACGAAAAGGAGCGGTTTTGAATTCTCAAGTTTCAGACTTAGCTAGAAATTGAATGCTATTGTAAAATTTTGAATTTTAAGTTTCTTGAAATTATGTCAATCTCTTTATGATGATGAACGCTTGGCTTTTATTATTAATCATAATTGAATATTTTTATAAAGAAAAAAATTATAAAAAAATACGCGGAAGCTCCAAAACTGCGCATAGATGCGCATTAAAAAAATTTTTTTGGAATCAGGTTTTTTTCGATATTTCTTTTTTTGCATTATGAACGTACTCTCAAGTCAGCTTTATTTTGAATGCGTTATTTCTCGTATTCATAACTGCGTTTTTGCGATTTGTTCGACTTCACCACACAACCTCAAATTTTTTTATTAAAAGTATCGTTTTAAAAAAATCGTTTCAAACTTTTTATAGGAATGAAAAAAAGACTTGTGATTCTCGACAATCGAACAGCTCGCCAACAAAATAAATCAATTTTTATTAATTTTCGTTTCTTTTTTTTGAGATAAATCGTTCCGAAGTTTTCGAGTTTTGTGAATAAATTTCAAAGGATTGATGATTTCCTCGGCATTTTTACTTTTTTTTAATTGCAATTCCAGCGCATCTGAACTGATTGTGGATCGAATAAAAAGGTTTCAAACTTGAAATAATTGTACGCTCAAATGAAGATTTCAAAGGTTCAAATGGAAAAGAGGGGAAACCGACGAAAATGAAGTCGTGCAGTTGATGTCAAACGGGGAAAAAACATCAGATAGGTGCGCTATTTTTAAAATTTCTATTTGAACCTTTTTGGATTAGTGTTGGGCTGCTCAAATACTGATGCATAGGTTAGAATAATCAGTAAAAACAGTTCAGCTGTTTGAAGTTTGGAAAATAGAAGTTATTGTCTGGAATTCTCTTTCTTTTTACTAATACTATAAGCGGAAACTCTGATTTTCCGTAGTATCAACTTTTTCCTGGTTCTTGATTTTTTTTTTCTTTGAGACTAGAAACCGGCGCGTCGTTCGCCGAACTTATTGGTTGTTATTCTCGCTTTTCGCGACCGCAAATGTTTCTTGCTAAATTGGGCAACTTCAGTGTTTTATTGAAGGTAGTTACTGATCAACGAATTTGGGAAAAACCAACAAAAATTCAATTGAATCTGATTTGGAGTGAACTTGGATACTTGTCAGTTTGATCGTAGTTTTGTTCATTATTGAGGAGTCCTGCGTATTTTCCGCAAATGAAGGGAAACTTGATGGCGCAGCTGAAAAAGGGGAATTTAGTTGGCTTGTAAGATAATGATGCTGTAATCTTTGTTATCCAGTCTAATTTTATCATCTTTTCAATATATTTGCAGAAATTCTTGTTTGGGTGCTGGCAGAAGTCTTGAATTGAAACTAAGAACAAATGTTTCAAAATTTTCAAAATTCGTATATATGTTTTTGAACCCCGCAGACTTCTCTAACTTATAGAAGAATAAAGTTAATTAAATTAATCAATCTGAAAAGAGGGATTTTAACAGTTTTCGCGAGGAAGTTATGAAGAAGAATGTTTAGCAAGTACGCTTTTAACCTCTTTTTCTTAGGTTTTTTTAGGATACCTTTTTTTATTATTTTTTTGTAACCTCATGTGCAATAAATATTATTGTTAAGTCTAATTTTCGATAATTTTTTTCATTGATATTGGAGAATTTTTGTGAAAAAAAGCTCAATAAAAAATGAAAATTACTTGACATCGCTGAGGGACCCTCCACGAAGAGATTTGTCATCGACTTGTTGGAAACTATTATAAACCGCACATCCGACCGCCGGGATCCATCCTTTGTTCCATTTCGAGACTATTATATTTGTTGAGGAGACGTTGCCGATCCATTGGTAGCCCTTGAGATAAAGCTAAACTTTAGTTTTGTAGTTTTAATACCTGCCCCAAGGAGCAAGGTTCAATATTACTCTGACATCGTGGATAAGATCGAGCTCCGATCAAGTATTGGGTGTAGTCGGTGGTAGAGGCGTTACTGACAAAGGCTGAACAGAGCTTTTCCGGAAATAGTAAAGGCGCGTCAATGACAAAAAAACTTTTTGTTGTCCAAAGTTTTTAAAAATACTTTTATAGATGAAATAAAATACGAAGATAACGGGAAAAAATAATAAAAAAACTAAAAAAATGATTGGCTGAAAAAAATACAACTTGTACTTTGGAATTTTTAGATTGAGTTCTTGTCTTTTTTTCGTTTTTTGGGCTATCTCTGTGAATTTGTTTTTTATATAGCTTATAGCTGATTCACGGCTAGCTTAGGACGCAAGGGGGCGTGGCCTGTCTGCGCTCTCCACGAGTCAGGCACTATCTCGTGCATTATCGTGTCAGGACCCTTTTTTTCGATAGCTCAAGTCAGCCGTGAATCAACTAAAAGTTCCGTTATAATAAAGGCGCATACACATAGCACGTCGAAGGAATCTTCCTCGAAGGGTTCTGTAACCCGGAGGAAAATTGTGCCAGAATGAGTTTCATCAAATTATGCCACCTTTGAACTCTTCGAACTCCTCGTCCGTTTCGAAGCCGGTCAAGTGCGCTCCCAACTCTTTGCAACTTTCCTGAGCTTCGTCCCAAGTTTGGACAGTCGTATTCATCTAAAATTATAATTTAAAAATCTACTTTCTTCCCTAAAAAACCATTAAACACCAGGTAGTTCCGTCCTGTCGAATTATTGGGTACCAATCTTCGGGGCATTGCATAGGAAATCCTAGAAAAAGTTATCGGTGGCTTCAGATTTTCCTACATAACTTTTTTCCAAATCACAAGTTTCCAAATCGTCTTCCGTGAGAAGGAGGGTAAAGTTGTATTGAGTTTCGTTGAAAGGAAGAAAATATCCATCTGGATTATTGTGATAGTCACTGCTCACTCTTTCATTGAGTAATGCACAGTAGAGCTGAAAAAAGTCTTGCTGAAGGCCGAAATTTTTAATTTTTCCAGGGTTAAAAAAATCTCGTAGTTTTCCGTTACATTTCTGGAAAGTTCAAACATAATTTTTTTGGGGGGCGTTTGGAAGACGACTAGAATTTTAAAGTTTTTAAAACTTCAGAGGTTGAGCGAGTTGAAAGCAAAGTTTTGAGCCGAAAAAAGTTTTTTTTTTCTGCAGTTTTTTAAGGTCGTATTGATCATGTGATGGGTGTTTCAAGTTTTCTTCAAAACTTGAAATTTTCTCTTTATGCGGTAATTCATCTTTTATCATTTTTTTAAATAATCAATTTAAAAAAAGCGAAATTCTGGAGAACTAAAATTCAAAGGCCCGGGCGGGACTTTTTAAATTTTTTTCAAAAACTTTTTACATATTTATAACAAAATGGGTAATTCTATGCTGTTTCTTGTCATAAAGAACTTTCTTCTAAGCTTTGAGTCCACTTTTCGGATAACTTAAACCGTGTCAACCTTTTGATCTTCGAAGTAGAAGGAGATGAAACAATATTTTGAATCGCTGCTCCAATCGTTCAAATAGTAGTCATAACACGGCCAAATATTATCCCCTTCCAATGATATATTTTTTGCCACGATTGTCCGAGTATTCAGAAAATTGGTAGTGACCGGAGGGCTCAGTAACGTGTAGCAGAGAGCAGGAATCTGTCAAAAAAGCGGGTTGAAAACTCAAAAAAATCCTCTGAACCTCATGCAAGAAGCTTTTTCGTTCAAAAAAGGGCAAAAATTATAGATTTTTTTAAAAATCTGCATATTAGAATGATTCATTACGTTGTATAATAGGAACGACTTGGTCTTTTTTTAGTTTTTGATAGGAAAGCAAATAATAGTTTCCCAAAAGCCAAAAGAATATTTTTGGAAAACTTGCACTCATCAGGAAGTTTACATCATGATAAAATAAATCCCGTATTTTTTTAAAATTTATTTTGAAATGAATCACTAACTATGAAAAAAATATTCCAAGAAACAAACCAGAAGAGCGGCCGACCAGATCCAAGGGAGCATTTTTTTCATCCAAATTTTAATTTTCGCCTGGTTTCTGGCGATCCGCCTCCTAGTAACCGATTACGGCTAATTTTTCAAAAATTTGTCTCGCCAAATTTTTTCAAAATTGAGAGTAGAAAAAGTAAACTTTTTTTAAACGATGTAAGAATGTCTTTTTGAAAACTGTAAGATTGAAAAAGCTGAAAATAAAGGGAAAAGAACTCTGGAAACGAAAGCTGTCCAGTAATAAGTTTTTATTGAAAATTAAAAAGGAATAACTATTATTAAATTTTACTTTCGTATTGACAGTTTTTTTACAACTAGAAAAATAAGCGTATTTCGTATAACTTATTTTCTAATGACAAATTTTTTCAAGATATTGTAAACTGTTTTTTTCATTTATTCGAGCAATTTTTATAGCACTGACAAAATTGCTATACAATAACATTCTGGATTTATTAATAAAACTTTGAAAAAAAGTCGTGAAAAATTTTTTTATGAAAAGGACCTTTTTTTCGAGATTATGAAACTTATGAAAAAAAGGGATAAAATTATAAAAATCTTTCATTTTTCAAAAAAACTTTTTTTCGTACCCCTCTTCCAAAATCCAGACTCTCAGCTCGAAATATTTTTTTAAGATGCACTCTTTCTCTCAAAAGAAGTAGCACACAGTTCAAACTGCCTCAAGTGCAGAAATTTCTTCTGAAAACAACTTGAAATGCCAAAAAAAAGGGTGGAAAAATTGATTTTTTGAGGATAGAGATTTCCTGGCGACTAAAAAATTTTCAAAGGGTCACTGATCCTTTAAGACTCCAGAGTGGGCTCTACAGGGGCTACCTTAGGGGCCCTTGAAGGGTCTTCTCTAACTAGTAAGGACCACTCTACCAACCCCTATAAAAGCCACTAAAAGTTGCAAAAGCGGTCCCTACAAGGATTTTAGTTAGTGATTGAGTGTTTTTTTGAATGAAATAAGACCCTATAGGGACCACTCGAGCTTTAGGAACGTAGGGATCAGACCTTGAACCCTATAGGGATCACTCTGGAATTCCAAAGCCTCTCAAGCTCGATATTTTTGCAAAAAGGTTGCAAAACAGATAATCATTTTTCACAACCTGTATAAATCCATACAATTTTCCAATATCGATTTTTTTGAGTAGATTCTCAAAAGTCCAGAGGGTCATAATTTCAAATCCGCTCTGAAAAAATGATTCAATACTCATTTTCTTTTCAAAACCCTACGAAAATCACCTTTCAAAACATGAAATTCAAGTCCTTCCATTCTTTTCAAGTTAATTTTTTTCTCACCTGTGATTCTTCGCCGCAGATTTACAAAGTCAAAATGACGCTGTTGACAAAGTTGATCATCACCAGCATCAACAGGCACATTCTACTCTGTAAAAACAATTTTTTAAAACTTTAGCTCAGTCGGTAGGACGTCCAGACACCGCTAAAAAGGCCCTACGCTCGGTTCTCCTTCTTGTTTTTGGCACTTTCAAAAATTAATTGACCCATGATAGGATAATTCGATAAAACTTGTTCCACCTACACAACATGGCTCAGTCAGTAGGAATTCAAAACATCGGTCAAAAGGTCCTAGGTTCGATTCCACTTCTTGTTTTTGTCATCTCCAGAAGGAAATTTAGAACTTGGTGATGGTAATTTGATAAATCGTGTTCCACATGTTAGACGGAAAATTGATCTTTAGAAAATTTGAAATAAAGGAGCATCATGGCTCAGTCGTTAAGAGGTCAAGTCGTCGCGAACAAGACTAAAAGTTCAACTCTAATCCTTGTTTTTGCCATTTCAAATCGGACTTTAGGACTACCTGCGCCTTTAATAAGAAAGTTACGGGTCTTTAATGAATGACTGAACATTTTTCGAGCTCTCCAGACGTCAGAAAATCGTTCGATATTTTTTATCATAAAACATTGAGATAAAGTTTTTAAAAACCATTGTCAAGTTCCTGCGCATTCAAAAAAAAACTGATTCGCCTTCAAAAAGTATTTTAAGAATATCAAGCTTATTTTCAGCTTCTTTGATAAAAACAAATAGATGTCAAGTCTAAAATATTCCATGGAACCTCGACAACCTTCCATAAACTCTTTCTGAGAAAATTTAAAGGAAATAATAATAAAAACCTCGTTCAGAACGGTGAGCTGATGGTGGAGTTCAAGCCGATGAAGTTCAGCCGCATCAACCGACACAAGATGTTCAAGCTGAGGAAGATCCGAAGGCCCGCCGGTCCGGAATACGACACGAAGCTCTGATTTTCTTCATCTTTCGTTGAACTTCCGTCAGAGCTTTCTCTGAAAATCGACAAGCTTTCCACCGATCTTCACAGTTTCCCACATAGTTGTATAGCGAATAGCTTTACCGGCCCACCCAGTATTACAACATTTGTAAACCGCCGATGTACCTTCTCCTCTTCATAATATTCATTATACGGCCGATTTTAATGGCTCGTCTTGTAGATATCAACTATCGAACGTCCTCTTCGCTACTGTTTGAGTGGTTAATGAAACGACCGAAAAAAAGTTGTAACGGCTATTTGACGCCTTGGGTAATAAATGTTCCGTCTGATGACCTGTTGTTATCTTTTCAAGAACACATTAAAATGAAACGACGTTGTTAGGACTTGAAACTCGTTCCGCGGGGTCAATACAAGTGTTGCGAAACGGAGAATGGAACGCTTGAAACTTCAATAATAGTAATATAATGCAAAAAGCTGAAAAAAATCTGGATTTTTTTACAATATTGTGGAATGTAAACCCATTAAAAATTTTGTTAATAACAAGCCTCCGAATCAAAAAAAGGGAATAGGAAGAAAAAAAGAGTACGATAAAAAAAGGGAAGATTCATGAAAAAGGTATACCTATAAAATTTTTTTCACAAAGTTAACTTTCAAGAGGAACATAATCCAAAAAAATAATTGAAAGATAAGACGATTTTCATGTAACTAAAAAAATTTTTAAAAAAACTATTTATTGACAGATTATACCGCCACAAAGAGAAAAAAATTCTGAGGCTACTAAAGTGGTCACTAGAAATGCCCCTTCGTTTCGCTTTACCAATTTCCGAGTTTTTTTCTTCCTTTCAGCGTTTTTTTCATGCCCTTCTCGACGTGATCCCGCGGAATACAAAATAGCGCCTAGACAGTGAAAAAAAGAACTCAATTTTGGAGAGTCGAAAAAATATTAAATGGAATTTCGTAGAAATTACTTCAAAATTCTTTATATTTCTACAAGAGAACATAAAAGATACAAAATCATAAGAACCGGAGTTTTATTCAAAACGAAAATTTCATTCTCTGCAAAAAATAAAACGTGAACTCTTTGGGACGGCGTCATTTTCTAAAATCGAACGCTTACAAAATCCACGTGGCAACGTGTCATTTCTTCTTTTTTGACTTGGGTGCAAATCTCATTTCTACTTTCTTCACGACGCCGTCTTGCTGCTCCTGAACTCTACGTCAAGATGAGTTTCAAGCTTCCAAAAAAATTCTAAATTCCAAAATAGTTCTCTTAGTAGTAAGCGCTAGTAGAATAGGCCCGTGGGACTCCCGGAGTGCCGATCCTTTTTGCTTTGCAAATCGGATACGCAATGTCACGCCGAAGCCCATTCCTGTGGCTGAAGCATAAACTGTTGGCAGCGCGATGCTGACAAAGCGATGATGGGACCCCCACGGAAAATGCCGTCACGGCCTTCGGCGTCTAGGATACTTAGTTTTGACAAGGCCGAGCGGAGCTCTAGCGCACCGCCTAGTTAGTTCTTCTGACTGGATAAGACTTCCCTAACTTACTTGAGACTTTACATAGTTAATCAACCAAAACATTGCAATTCTAATGCCACCGACTTGCTTTTTTCAATTTTGAAACTATTGCAGGAAGCTTTCAACGGAGTTGTTCTGATCATGGAGGATCGACGAAAACTTCAAGTAAAGCAGTTTGATTTCTCAAAAATTTTTGTTTAATCAATTTTTCTTCAGAAAGAACGAATGAAGTCCAAGATTAAGGAAAAGGAAATGCGAATAATCTATCGTAAATTACTGGAACAACTTTTATGAGGTTTGGAAGTTTTCGAAAAAACAATTCATTTTTTGTATTTATCACGCTGTTTCTGGAATTATCAAAATCAACGAGTACAAAATTTTTTTCATTTTATTACAATGAAATTTTTAACCAGTGTTATCCTATGACGTAAAGATTGCGGACGCAACTTTTTAAGCCATTTTCTCCAACCGTAGCGTTACGGTATGTTGGTGGTTGAGGAGTTTTGAATTTCGCAGAATCACTTTGGACACGGTATAAACGAAATATGAGAGTCTTTTTTTCAACTTTCTCACAACACGCAAACAAAAAAACAACGTTCATAATACTTTGAACCGTAGTAAAAAAAAACAAATGCCGTGTTCAAAGTAATTTCGGCGATTTCAGAATAGAATAGTGTTAGAATAGTGTTATTCGTTCAAAATGCATTTTGAACGAATAACACTATTCTTCAAAACCGCCCGTTCGCCGTCCCAAGCCAGCCGTGAACGGGCTATATTGTAGCCTGGGGGGTGGAGTTAGCTGCTTGAGATTCAAAATCTGAACAGACTATATTCGTTCAAAATGATTTCGGGAAATAGGCAAAATTTTTATTACGGGAAGGCGCAAAAAAATTGAATCCTACAACGATATATCGTTGGATACTCATTTTTACGGTGCGTTTTACGCGCGAACTTGAAATTTCCGTAGGATATGCCCAAATAATTCCAAAATTTTGAGTTCCCGCGAAGGAATTATGGTAAAAATGCACATGTAACGATATATCGTTGTAGGACTCATTCATTCTGCGCGTTCCCGGAATAGCAATTCTGCATATTTCCTGAAATCACTTTAAACGAATAACGCGTCTATTTTGAAATCGCCGAAATTATAATTTTGGACACGGCAGAAACATTTTTCAAACACTAAGAATAACTGCCGAGATAAACGCGAGACACTGGCGGTACATTGACGAGCTCGCAAACATCTCGCTTTTTTTCTCGCGCCGGTCTCGCATTTTTCTGGGCGCGAGCTCGCATTTTTCTAGGCGCGAGCTCGCATTTCTCTCGCAATTTGAAAATTTCCGAAATGCGAGATAAATGCGATATGGCGCCAAGAAAAATGCGAATTCGCGCCGAGATAAATGCGAGATCGCGCCTAGAAAAAAGCGACATTTTTGCGAGTTAGTCAATGTACCGCCACCGAGCTCGCGTTTATCTCGTCAGTTATTCTTAGTGAAGAAGCGAAATGAGAATAGGCGTCAAATAAAACGCTTCGTCGTATTACTTCTGTGTGACCACGTACGTAGAGCGCACCGTAACCTTGTCCTCAAATTTCTTCTTTTTGCGTAACTTCAACGGGAAATAGCTATTGTGAGAAGGGTGACCGAAAAACTAAAATTGTGAACACAAAAAGTGACATTGCAAAAAAAAAAATCCTAAAAGTGCATTATCTATCAATTAATATACAAATTGCCTAGAAAAACTCCTCAACTATTAGATACGCAGGTGATCTCTGCCTACCGTAACCCGGCTATGGTTGAAGGATATGGCTCAAAAAGTGTTGTCCGCAATCCTGAAGTCATATGATAATGCTGGTTGGAATTTCATCATGATTAAAAAAAAAAAATTTGTATTGTACTCGGTTTTGAAAACTCGAAAGACAAAAGTTTTTGAAAAATTATTGAAAATTACAGAAACAGCGTGTTATTATCCTCTATTAACGCATATGAAAGTCTTTTATCTTTGAAAGTTTAGTTATCGCGATGAAAAGAAGTCCGCCTCCCTCCATTCGCGGCGACGTTTCGAAACAAAATCCGTGGCGGACGAAGTTCCAACAGCAGGCGAGACAATACCAGGTAACAGCCCAAAGCTCTTAAAAGCAGCTGAGGGTTTTTTTTTCTGTGTTGAGTTGCAATGCAAAAAAGAAATAACAGTGGACTAGCCAGGCTTGTGCGAGGTCTGGATTTTCAACAGATCGGCCTCCGTCCATTTCCATAACTTTTGATAGACTTTAATGAAACAAGTGAGAAGTATTTTTCTGGCGAAATATTCGAGTTAAGATGGCAATGTTTTTGAAGAAGTTTGAAAATTTGGTCGAAGCCTGGCGTGGTCCGAGCCGGCGCAAGTTTCTTTGCTTCGGGCTTCAATTGCTTGGACCTCTGTAATGCAAATGTGACTCGTTCCGGACTCTTCTTGGAATTTCTAGTAAACTTTGAGAAGGTTGATGCCGTCCAATGAGTTAATAGAAATGCTCAGAAACGTCCGGGGAGCTCACGGTTTGGGGTACCGAGGTCCTGGCTTGGGCGCCTGGCTGGAATAATTTTGAGAAGAATCTCGCGCAGGGTAGGGCCAAGCCAAGCTTCAAAAAATTTAAAACTTGGTTTGAAAAAAATTGTATCAAAACTCTCATTTCTCACCGAGAAACGCTTATTTTTAAAATTCGTAGTTTCTGGGGAACTATTACTATGAAAAAAACCAGAAACATTTGCTGCAAAAAGAAGTTTGATGTTCGACTTGAAGAAAACCTTAGCTTTTCGAGCCTGTTTTGCTTGAGGCTTCGCTAAGCCCAGACCGGGCTCAAAGAATGACTTTGGCCATTATACTGAAGAGCCGGTCCTCGCACAAGCCTGTCTCGGCCCTCGGTAACGAAAACCGAACGCGCTCCGGACTTTTCTGAGCATTTCAAGGGACGCCATTAAAGTGGTCACTAGAAATGCGTCCAGTTTGCGTTATAGCCGATTCACGGCTAGCTTGGGACTCGAAAAAGCGTAGCATGTCTGTGATCCCCAGTAACCCAGTTCTTTACCATTCACTTATTTTACCTTTGCGCAATCCTCACCTCTTATTCTTTCATTACTGGCTCAGAGGCTCGTGAGGGCCTCAAGTGCCTTTTATTTATTTATTTCAGGCTTAATGCCAAATTTTTCTCTTTTTTTTCTGTACATGTTATTTTGTTCTGCCTGTAAATAAATAATATTATATAAAACCAGGCCCTGACTTTTTTCTCATCGTGGCAGGACCCATTTTTCGATGGCCCAAGCCAGCAGTGAATTGGCTCTAGGTTTTTTTTGCAGATAATGACACATTTTTTTCTGATTTTTAGTTTCTTGACTCGTATTCGGTCTTTCTTAACATTCTCATTGGTAGAAAAATGCGCGTTTTCGGTGTCGTGAGTGAAATGGTACAGAATATATTATTGTCTTGCCTTTATAATCTGTGCAAGTGCCAACTTTTTTCTCTATTCCAATACCAAATTATCCCAGTCTTTATCCGACATCCAACAAGTCAAAGCGACTCTTCTCTGTTTCGGGGCTGATTAGCTAGCCTTTGCGAAAGAGCCTTGATACGTTGAAATCTACCAAAATTCATTTGGCCACTTGTGAAAGTTCGTTACGATTTCTTTGGCTACGGAATCCAAAATGCTCAGGCTGTTTTTTGTTCGAAAAATTTTCGCAATTTTCATGAAAATATTTTCTTTGATGAAATTGTTATTTTGATAAATTTGGTTCAGTTTTCCAGGGTGTTTCGCTAATTGTACGTTTCAAAGAACGCGTTCCTCCTCCGAAAAAAGTTTTCAGTTTCTGTTCTTTTTTCAAAATCTTCTCTTCCGCACTAAGAATAACTGCCGAGATAAACGCGAGACACTGGCGGTACATTGACGAGCTCGCAAACATCTCGCTTTTTTTCTCGCCCCGGTCTCGCATTTTTCTGGGCGCCAGCTCGCACTTTTCTAGGCGCGAGCTCGCATTTCTCTCGCAATTTGAAAATTTCCGAAATGCAAGATAAATGCGAGGTCGCGCCGAGAGAAATGCGGGATCGCGCCTAGAAAAAAGCGACATTTTTGCGAGTTAGTCAATGTACCGCCACCGACCTCGCATTTATCTCGTCAGTTATTCTTAGTGCATGCAACCCTGGAGCACACGAGGACCGATCCATGTCGAAACGGGTCTAATTATTTCAAGGCATCGGCGGTTTTGAGTAGAAAAAAGAAGACACGAATCGGCCATGTCAGGGCGTTGCTAGTGACCACTTTAGTAGCGTCAGCACTCTTAAGTGATCTCTTAATTATCCCCGAAACGTCCACTTTCTGTCACCGAGATGCAGGCATTTTCGAAAAACAAGAGCACGTTTATTAGCCAACCAAATTTGCTTCAAACCAGTACTAATTTTTGTTTTAGAACAATCTTTTCACTTACCACTTAGTCCATTTATTCATTGATACACCAAAAAACCACAGTAATTTTTCTTCCAAAAACTTCTTTGAGAGTTGCAGTGATTTACCTATGATCATCACCTTATGCCTGAAAAAGTTTTTTTGCGCGATTTTCCCGAAGTAGAAAAAATGAGAGTGCGCAAAAACAAAATTTATTGTTGAATAAAAATTTCTTTTCTTTCCTCGAAATTTTCTCTCGAAAAAGTCTGACTGGACTGTGAACTTTCACAAGTTCCATTAGAACGAATTATTTGGGGGATTTTGGTCCCAATTGTGTTATCTATCAATCAGAAGGGATTTCTTTGAAAGTTTCAGCAAAAATTTGAAAAAATGCGGATTTATTTTTTTTTCTTATGAAGTCGTAGTTGAACGGTGAGGTCTAAAAAAGCCAGGAAAAAAAATTTTCTGTGGGACATGTCGGCGTATCTATGACTAATTAAACTTATAAATCTTTTAGGAACAGAAAAAAATGGAAAAAAAAACAAAAAAATTTTTCTGAAAATTTTCTCACTCCAGCCCATGCTCATACACATGAAAAAAATCTCGAAAAAAATTCCATGAAAAAAATTTTTTTGACGAAAAAAATTCTAGATGTTCGAATAGGCTAAAAAAACGAAGATTTTTTTCATGTTTATACGCCTCAAAAACTCAAAAATAGGAGCCCTTAAACGAAATCATAAAAAAATAGAAAAAAATGCAAAAAAAGTTTGCACAGAGTGGGCACCGAACCTATGACCTCGTGATCCCCAGTCCGCCGCCTTACCACTGCTCCTTGTTGCCGTTGCTTCGACGGTCGCCGGATCGCAATAGGACACCGCGCTCGCAAGCTCTTGTGTGAGGCGGGGCTTTGAAACATCATATCTGGGCTCCGAAATTTTTTTGTGAAAACTTCAATGGTTTTTCTTGACCAGAGGGACAAGGTCCATATACCCTCCAAAAAAATGAGCTCAATCGGAGACACTGAAATTTTTCGACTTTTTGAGGGTCCATAACTTTTTCACAGAGCTCTTCGGCAGTTTTTGAGACCAGATTTGAGATCAGCGTGAAAAACTACATCTGGAAAAATTGGTCTCATTGAGAGATCCCACTGCGACCGGAGACCATTCCCTGGTTAGAAACGATCATTTTTTTTTTTTGATAATCCACATCAATATCCTATGCACTTTTCTCACCTTTCCAATAATGAAAAAAAGAACTTTTTTAAAAATCCCTTTCCATCGGACACATCGCCCGTCCGCCCTACTATGTCCAAAAAATACATTTAAAATAAATAAATGTATCTCAAAAGGCAGAAAGAGAACGCCCTTTAGAAGAATCCACAATGAAAAGACGAAAGGAGAAAAATGAGATGACAGGAAATTTTGAGCCAACGGATGAAGCATCCATAATGATAAGAAGATAGCAGAAAAAATATGATGATACTGTGAAAATTGCGGCAACGAGTATATCTGAAATAATTTCAATTTAGATCTGACAAAAAAACTCTTTCCAACGCACCAAAAACCGGAAAAAAAGCCCATTTTGCTCAGATTTGAGCCTCCAAATACGCTCAATTTCGACGAGAATTCGTTTTCTTTAGTCAATGAGACTATGAGCGGACCAAACACGTTGGAACGTTGAACGTTGAACTTTCTGAAGAAAATGCACTCCGCCTTGTTCTGAAATTTTTACATAATCGATAAAACTTGAAAAAAAAAAACTTACACGACTCGCGGGCCTTTTGTCCAATGGAACGAACGATTGACAGAACACGAAAAGAGGCACCCGTCGTTCATTCATACACTTACAGCATTCTTACAAGCCCAGGAAAACATTCCATCCATTCCGCTCAAGGATAGGCCTACCACTGAGTTCCTTTCACCAAGCTTTTACTCAAATCCTCATTTCTTCTTGTCTATTCTGAATTTCAGTGAGACCCATAGACTATTCCAAGCTTCAAAAACTGATGCCGTGCTCAAAGTGATTCCGCTAAACGCAAAATAGCCGTTAGAGATAGAAAAAAATAAAAAAATTTTGGAGGATAAGAGGCCATTTTGCATTTCGCGGAAACTACTCCGAACACGGCATAAGCTTTTCCTAACTCCCAAGGATAAATGACAGAAATTCTTGATGATCTACCCGAAGCCGATTGTGATTTTCCTTATTTTTGAAAATGTTTTGAATTAGGGACCACAAGCTATCTCTAGAATGTGCACACGACTCGTTGGATTTTTCATTTTTCAAGCCAAAAAAAGTAGGGACCGCAGGCCATTTTTTTTTAAAGACATGAATAATTTTGTCACTCTTTGATAGAAGACATTGTCAATAATCATAACTCGTTTAGTTCTTGAATGAAAGACTACTAAGAAAACAATTATGGCCAAAAAACTAGCGCGCGTGCCGTTCAGCTGGAGGTTGAATCTGCTAACTTCTTACTAAAAATTCATACTATCAGATGAAGCACATCGTGAAATAGTCAAATAATTTTAAAAAAATCTATAAAAAAACATTGAGTTCGAGCCAAGCTTCGGTGATTTTATTGAGTCACTAACCAACCAAAGATTTAGTACTGCGGCCAAAGTGTCATGGTTCATAGCCAATCCACGGCTCACTGAGCCATCGGTCAAAGGGTCTCGACACGATTTGAAACCAGACACAAGCTCGCCGTGTTCAGTTATACTCGCTACCGCAAGCTTTCTTTTTCAATCTGTTCGAGCCTTTCTGGACCGTTTTTGAATCGGTTTTCTGTTCCGAGAGGTTGTCAGAACTGAGCTCAATGTTTTGACAGGATGATTTTGAACAACTTTCTTGAGAGTTTTCGATAAAGTATCAAATAACTACCCAAAAACAAGGTCAGGGGGATTTTCCGCTCATTCATCTCTCTTCTAATCGAAAAGTTGTTATCATTTGATTTTGGCAAACAAATAAACTCGATAGAAGGCTTAACTTCAAACTAATAAAGAAAAATTTTGATGATCATAAACGGCTATTGCAGAAATTAGAAACGAGATACAGTAGCTTTAACGCAAACTCACCCACGCTCACTTGCACAAAATCTTTCAAAAAAATTCAAAAAAACGCCTACTTTTGGGCTTTTCGTCGTCGTTCAAACTTGTGCGCTGTCAGATTTTTCACATCGATGGTTTTTTTGGATTCTCAACAAAATATCTAAAATTAGATTTTGCCGTCCATGAAAGACATTTGAACAAAAAAAGTGATACTTGCTTAGTTTTGTAAACTTCATTTCAGTGTGATGAAGAGGCGGGGCTTCGCACGCCCTATTTTAAAGTCGTTGAAGTTTAATGATTTCGATACAATGATGAGGATTCTATGAACTTTTTTCTTTGGATTCCTCTGGAAATCGCTATTATCTCCTGTCGAAGTCACAAACTTGATGCGACCAAAGTTTGAGTTCCTAAATACAAAAACCTAGACTTTCTCTCTCCCCAAACCGGAAAAATTTCCTGATTTTCCCGTCTATATTTCCCTGTCTCTTATGGTTTCCTACTGAAAACTCAGCTTTCCAATATTCTTCTCGAATTAAGATTTTCTCCCGGACTCTTTCCCAATATCAGGTAAGTCAATCACCCATGAATAAAAGTTTGAAAATCGAAACTTATACTTTGAAAAGCCACGTATGGGTTATCAAACCCGTTTTAGAAAAGAAGGGAGTTTTTTCCTTCTGTGAGGAAGCAATGTCTACCGAAACAAGAAGAACGATTGGTGATTCGAAAGTTTCGAGCACTCAAGAAATTGGGACTGTGCAGATTTTCGAAAGCCATGTCTCCCTTCTTAATATAGTTTTTCGGAAACTTGCTCTACCCAGCCAGGCTTCCCTCAAGGAAACATATAGCTGGATGAGGATCGTTCCATCACGCACGACAAAGGGGTTGTAATGCATGTCTTTCAATCTAGCACGGGGGAATGTGTGGGGGGCGGAGAGGGGGGCTCGAGTGCTCTCTACTTTGATTTCGAAAACTTCCTTCTGAGTCAGTAGAAAAACTTCTCCGCAGAAAGAAAAACTACCTGCTCTGGAAGTTTGCGAGAGACCACAGTTAAGTTGTTCTCTCTTTTTTTCTCTTTTTTTTTATCTCGGTGTTAAGTTCACCGAGATGGGACAAGATAACTGAGGCTCGAAACTTGCTAGAGACTTTTTTGAACGTTTCTTTCCTAAGTATAAGTTTCAACCCCCAAACTTTTATTTATTAGTGATTGAAATTACTGATATTGGGAAAGAGTCCGGGAGAAAAACTCAATGCAAGAAGAGTACTGAAATGCTGAGTTTTCACTAGGAAACCATGAGAGGCATGGGAAATATAGACGGGAAAATCAGGAAATTTTTCCGGTTTGGGGAGAGAGAAAGTCTAGGTTTTTGTATTTAGGAACTCAAACTTTGGTCGCATCAAGTTTGTGACTTCGACAGGAGATAATAGCGATTTCCAGAGGAATCCAAAGAAAAAAGTTCATAGAATCCTCATCATTGTATCGAAATCATTAAACTTCAACGACTTTAAAATAGGGCGTGCGAAGCCCCGCCTCTTCATCACACTGAAATGAAGTTTACAAAACTAAGCAAGTATCACTTTTTTTGTTCAAATGTCTTTCATGGACGGCAAAATCTAATTTTAGATATTTTGTTGAGAATCCAAAAAAACCATCGATGTGAAAAAAATCTGACAGCGCACAAGTTTGAACGACGACGAAAAAGCCCAAAAAGTAGGCGTTTTTGAATTTTTTTGAAAGATTTTTGTGCAAGTGAGCGTGGGGTGAGTTTGCGTTAAAGCTACTGTATCTCGTTTCTAATTTCTGCAATAGCCGTTTATGATCATCAAAAATTTTTTTCTTTATTAGTTTGAAGTTAAGCCTTCTATCGAGTTTATTTGTTTGCCAAAAATCAAATGATAACAACTTTTCGATTAGAAGAGAGATGAATGAGCGGAAAAATCCCCTGACCTTGTTTTTTTGGGTAGTTATTTGATACTTTATCGAAAAACTCTCAAGAAAGTTGTTCAAAAATCATCCTGTCAAAACATTGAGCTCAGTTCTGACAACCTCTCGGAACAGAAAACCGATTCAAAAACGGTCCAGAAAGGCTCGAACAGATTGAAAAAGAAAGCTTGCGGTAGCGAGTATAACTGAACACGGCGAGCTTGTGTCTGGTTTCAAATCGTGTCGAGACCCTTTGACCGATGGCTCAGTGAGCCGTGGATTGGCTATGAACCATGACACTTTGGCCGCAGTACTAAATCTTTGGTTGGTTAGTGACTCAATAAAATCACCGAAGCTTGGCTCGAACTCAATGTTTTTTTATAGATTTTTAAAAATTATTTGACTATTTCACGATGTGCTTCATCTGATAGTATGAATTTTAGTAAGAAGTTAGCAGATTCAACCTCCAGCTGAACGGCACGCGCGCTAGTTTTTTTGGCCATAATTGTTTTTCTTAGTAGTCTTTCATTCAAGAACTAAACGAGTTATGATTATTGACAATGTCTTCTATCAAAGAGTGACAAAATTATTCATGTCTTTAAAAATGGCCTGCGGTCCCTACTTCGGCTTGAAAGATTAAAATTCTAAAAAGAAGTTTGCACATTCTAGAAATGGCTTGTGGTCATTACAAAAAAATAAATAAATAAAAAAAGAAAATCACGATCGGCGTCGGGCAGATCATCAAGAAGTTTGCAATTATCCTCGAGAAAAAAAATTTAAAAAAAAATTAAAGAAAAACCTCAGTTTGGAATCTTGAAAAAGTCTATGGGTCTGATTAAAAATTGAAAAAAAGATAAGAAAAAAACATTGAGAATTTGGGAGAAACTTAGTGAAATTAACATAGTGGAGACCTATCCTTATGGCGAACAAATAAACTATTCTCCAAAACTCAAAAAAATGCGAGTAAGATAACGAGTAAATAACAGGAGGCCTCAAATCGGCCTTCAGACGAGTTTGACAGGAGATGGGGCTTCTTAAAAACTTATTTTTACGAAACAAAATCGACTGATGACGATTTTTTTTTGGATTTTTTTTCCAGTCCCTAAAAATTCTCTCACAACTGATCTACAGAGTTTGGTCGAGAATGCTGTTTAATCTGAATTTTGAAGTGAGCTTTTTTTTCCCATTACTAGAAAAGCAATGAATAAATCAAACTGGCAAACTTTAAATGATTCAAATTAGACAATAATCGTCTTTAGGACATTTTTACTTCCAGTGACTTATTTCATAACCTCTTTAGTTTCATAATAAAATAGCTTTCAACTTTTTTTTTGCTTCAAGATGAATTAATTTGAAGCTCAATTCTCAACGATTCCCGTACATTTCAGCAATCTTCATGTTCAGAAACACTTTCATTTTAATATTTTCACACAGAAACTATAGAAAGATTTTCAAAGCTCGTTCGCAGAATTGCTAAATTGCCCAAAAAAAAATTCCAAAGAGAAGTTCTTCCATGATGGGATCAAAACAAAAGTTTTCAAGCTAGACTCTTACTAAAAAGTATTGAAAGACATCTACCGAGACTCATCAAATCAAAGTCCATTGAGGAATTGAATGAATAAATTTGATGTGCAAACATACTTAGAATCCTTTCTCAATTTTCCTGAGGATCCTTCCGAACTGGACGTCCGTGACAACGCGTCCTTTTTCAATTGCTTGAAGCGAGGTCATCGCCGAGGAGAGTCGGCCAACCCGGCGCAACTCTTCGTCGCCGTAGCCACCGTCCGCAACCTTGGCCTCCAACTCCTCTCTGATCTTGACGAGGAGTTGGGCCGCGGAATGACCAGCGAGGGCCGGTGGCACACGGCGGACGGCTTGGCCCACGCCCAGGCCCCTGAGCCGTCTCGAGGCTCTCTGAGCGACGGACCTGGGTCGCTGAAAAAATTTCTTTTATATCAACTGCTCAAACTCAAAAAAAAAAATGCACAGCTCATAAGAAACTATCGAAATTTGCGAAACTCCTATCTAAGAAAAGAAAAAAGGCAAAAAGTCTAAGGTAAGTGGGCAGGTTGAGACTTTAAGGTCTACAGTCATCGAAAAACATTTCAGATTATTTTATGGGTTTTTTTCTTAAATAAAAATAACTCTTTTCGTAAGATCTTGTCGATAAAGCGGCGAAAATTTGCTTTGAAAACGCGCTCTACAGATTAATGTCTATCAAAACCTGAACCTCTTAAAATTCTTAGCCTTGAATCTGATCTCATTGAAAAGGGGCTGAAAAAACTAAGTAAAACGGAAATTCGCAGCTTCAAGAGATTTCTGGATGCTTAATGGAGAAAGTAAGCTTTTTAATTTTTTTAATTTCTAATTTTGTTAGTTACCTGGCCGGCGCGTTGTTGGCGGGTTTGACCAGGGCCGGCAGCACCAGCCGCAGCTTGTTGGGGAGCTGCGACGGGCTGGGCTGCTGGACCGGCCTGGTCGTTGGCCTCCTCGTCCTCCTCGACTTCTTCTCCGTCCTTCTCCTCTTCCTTTGCCTCATTTCCGCTTTCTTCGGCTTCTGGGACCACTTCGTCCTATAATTTCACCATCAGCCTTTCAGAAAAATCTGAGATCTCCAAGATGAAACTCAATTTGTCTCAAATTCTCCTTATATTTTTCAATAACTAAGCTTTTCAAAGATTCGAAAAACTTGAATCCACCAAAAATTGGATTGATTGAAGTCTAATCGAAGGAGAAAAATTGCTAAAACTTCAAAAAACGTTGTAAAAATTCCTTCTCTTCCCAATCTCATCTTTTTACGTCTACTCAAATTAAAAATATTCAAAAAAATATGAAAAAAAGCTGGAATATTCTACATAAAAACCTTATCACCAATTCGATCAAATAATGAAGCTCATAGTTTCAAAAAGTCGAGCCTTTTGAGGCCCTGAAATTTTCACAGAAAATCCCGTGGAAGACAAAGTTTTTTGAATATATTTTTAATGTTTAAACCAAACGACCAGTGGAAAAGGAATTGGAATAGAAACCTGGAGATGGAGGAGCTCGGCGGCCTCATCCATAGCCTCCTCGGCGACGAGTTCTGCGGGGTCTTCGGCACGCGGGGCTTCGGCCACATCATCATCTTCTTCTTCTTCTGGGGAGTTCAGAAGGTTGCGTCGAGCCCATGCGAGGGCGATCCTTTCCCGAGCGCGTTGGCTCAGGAAAAATGAGTCCGATGAGTCGGACGAACCGGTCTTAAACAACTTTTTTTAGACATCATTAATCGAACTAAACTGGTTATTGTTTTTTTCAATGAATATTCACTAAAAACTTATATCTCGCCAAATATCATATTCCAGAACTCTATCGAAATTCCGAATTCATCTATTTCCAGATATGAGAGGTTTGTGATTGTGGCAAGAAAATTTCGTAGTGAAATCGAATTTTCTGGCTTTCGTTACTCTTTTCCATTTTTGAAAAAGTTGAATCAAAGTTGATATCAAAGAAAATCCTACTTTCTTCATTACTTTGTCAGGCTAGACCTTTGGGTTTCTTAAGTATAATTTTTGTTTTGTTTCTAGTTTTCAAATCTCGAAGAACTTCCAATGCCTACTAGAATCTCAAGAAGCCAGAAGACGAAAAGAGAAGATTTGAAAAACTAACCTCTTCGTCGAATTCCTCGATCGATTCGAGGTCGAAGAGTTCGTGCACGTCCTCAAGCTCTTCCGGCCAAGGCGCCTTAAATGAATTTTTACCAAAAAAGAAGAAGAATTTTCGGAAAGCCCTTCCATTTTGAAGTTCAATTTGATTTAATTTCTTCTTTTCTTTTTACCTAGGACACAGAAAAATGATGGCGAAGTTTTTTAACTTCAAACATCAATATTTACCAAGTCCATTCAGCTCATTAAATTTATTGAAACAATTGACCTGAACTCATTTTTTCCGGCTTCCAATTTAAGGAAAATCTCATTTTGATTTGATTATTGAAGAACGAAAAGAATTGGACAAACTTGAGATCTACAGAATTATTCGATTTGATTAAATTCCTCATACAGAAACTCAGATATCATAAAATTCGATTTCTAAGGCCTCGAAATTTTGAAGTTTATCAACCTTCTTCACTTCGCATCAAACAGGTTGATATATTAAGGATACTGAGATTTCAAAGTTGTATAAGTTCTGGGGATTGGTTATGATAAAAATGCTTGAAAAGAGGACCGAAAAAATCTAGAGGATCCTTTTCTAGGGATCGAAAGAAACAGCTTGAACTTCAAAGCCAAGTGAAATGATTATGTGATTAATTAAGCAGAGAGTTGGAAATTACCGATGATGAAGAGCCGGAGGACGTCGTCTCTTCTTCCTCTTCTTGATCTTGCCTGGAGTCCGGTGACTGGCGCTGAATCCATTTCGTTTTATTCTTCAATAGTTTGAAACAAATTGTTCAGAAACGAATTCCAATATGCGCAGGATTGGCCCAGTTTTGCCTCATTCTCCGATCGTTTTTCAAACTTTTTCAATCCAAATTCAAAATTTTCGTTTGCCGCTCAAATAACCCAGAGGTCTCTCGTTTTCGGAAGCCTCAAAACTCGAAACGACGCGAAATTCGTCTCATATTTACTTTAGTTGGATGAATACTGGGATCAACTAATAGGATTTCCGAGACCATAACCAATTTTAGATTTATTGTTACAGAGGTTTCTTGGTTTTCGGACTTTTCTGTTTCTATTTCCCCTTTATGATAACCATTTACCGAAAAAGACTAAGGTTGAAAACAATTTTAGGTTTGGCTCAACAGGATGGATGAACCACGACTACAAGCCATACCCAAGGCGTAGGAAGAATAATTCACTTTTTCGATTCGATTTAATTCTTTAAAAGAATGAAAACCAACATCGACAGCCTCAGGACGACGGTTTTTCCTCTCTGGGCCTTCTGAACCTTCTCCTTTCCGTTTCTCAGCTGAGCCCCCGGGTCCGTGGAGGGCGCGCTGAATTTTGTTCATTATTTTATTTTTTGGCAAACATTTTTATCTTGAAATAATAAGTAACATCTGCGATAACTTCACTTATTCATGTGCATTTCGGATTAAGAAAAAATTTTCTCTCCACACTTTTTCTTGCACATCTTGAGCATTTTCGAAACGCTTTGAAAAATTAAGTCCATCTAAAATTTTGCTTCTAACGCTCAGGTTAATTTCTGGTCAAGACGGTTACAAAGATCATGAGAAGCTTTGTTATGTTTTTTACGTGTCTATTTTTTTTCCTAAACTTACTTTCGGCGGCTGCGCGGAGCGGCTCTCTCCCATTCTCCTTTTGCGCGCCGTAATGCCGAAACTTGCCCTCGTGGACGGCTGTAAATTTTACTTTTTCTTCTGTTTTGTTGGAAATCTGGACAGAAAACTTAATTTTCCTCAGCGCTACATTGTGCCTATTTCTAGCGCTCGTATCTCGTAGCTTTCTAATTTTTTCTACATGTAGAAATGAAAAATGAACAGCCCTCCTTCTATTAAAAAAGTCTTGACAGCCGAATCATCTTGAAAACAGCCTTTCTGGTCCTACTCAACCTATATCGGTCCTATACTGTTAAATCAAGTCAAATTTCTCATTTTTTTTGCGAATGGTACCAAAATTGTATAATAAAGAATAGAAGAATTTCGTGTATTTAATGAGTTTTCCACTGAAAAATAAGAGACGGTAGAAGAAGTCTATTTTGCATTGTTCTTTTTAGAAAGAACTTGTCTAAAAAAAACTATTGGGATCGGAAAACTTAATACTGTTCGAGCAAAGTTAAGAAAGATTTCACTACATCAACAGCTTTCATTTTCGAGTTGCCTAGTTAGCTGTTCTGAAAAAACGGACCTGGGGGGGCTCAGCTCCTTCTTCTCCTTCTCCTTCTCCGCCTTCCTCTTTTACTTCCTCAATTTCTTCTCCTCTTTCTCCATCCGTTTCTCCAACCTCGTTGGAGTCCGAGTCTTCGCCTGTGACGGCCTCTGCACTGTCGACCTTAATCAAAATTTTCAGTAAAGACATGGAAATCTTTTCCGATATTTGTCGACGGAATTAGAACGTTGATAATTCTCTTCAAGTTCACTTTCACCATCAGGAAAAAGGTTATCAGCCAAGTCGATAGCGAGAAATATATCGCTGTTTGATCTTTTCGAAATAGAACTAGATTCGTTTGAGCAAAACATTCAAGTCTCGCATTCTGTCAACGGAAACGTCGAAACTGATGTAGCGAATAAATTTCGACGTTTGAAAAATCTTTACTTTGAATTCTGACCACTTGGCGGAGGTTTAGCTGTTTCGGATTCTATTATTTTATTCCGAATATAAAAAGTCACTCGAAAAGAAATAAAGACGATGTTTTTGATTTTTAGTTCGAAGTTCAAATGTTCACAATGTTTCTTGCTCTACTGACTTCATTTTTTTGAGAATCTTACAGAAGTATAGAAAAAAAGTCAGAACATCGAGTTTCTTTTGGAGAAGGAACAGATTCACAAGTTTCTCAGTTTTTTTATTTTTTTCTGAGGGTTTCTTTTTCTCTTTTCCCATGCAAAAGCCCCGTGAACAGGAGTATTATGAACTTGTTAATAAATATTGAACTTGTTAATAAATATTTTAATAATATTGAAAGATGGCCAGTAAACTAACCGTGTTGGTCGGTGCTCCGATCCCATATCCTTCTGGTTCATCCCGGGACCTTGCGGTTCCCTCTCCATGATCTTCCATCTGTAAAAACAGAATCACAAAGATATAATCGACATGCTTCTTGTGCCTCAATCTTATTCATAACTTTTAAAATCTGGATTTTCTTTTGGAAATATTTCTTGTCTGACTTATTCGATTCATTTGAGACATGGATCGATCAAATCGAAAACAGTAGATCCAACATAAGTCTGTTTTCATGTTGGGAAAATGGACGCAGACCGTGTTCCAAATGAAAAAAGATTCAAACGGATCTTCTCAAATTCTTTTCGGTCCTACAGAGAAGAAAAACGCTGATTTCTGTCTGTCTCATCAGTTTTTCGAAAAGATCAAAATTTTTGGAAACCTGGAGCCTTGGAAAATGATCGAAACTTATTTTTTGTTCTCCAGGAATTCAGAATGCGATCTTTTCGAACTAAGAACTATTTCGAAATTTTCGAAATAAACCATTTTATTCATATTACAATTTAATTTTGATACGTTCTTATTGGATTTCCAGTGGTCTTAGGGATAGTTATAAATTGAATATTTCAGTTTGAATTGAGTCTGAAATAAAAAGAAAACCTGTGGGGTCGTAGCGGCGTCCAACAACGTCAGCTCCAGGCGCTGTAAAATAGAATTTTCCTTTTTTTTTTGACAAAATCCTTCTCCGTCCTATTAGGTGTGAAGGTTTCAAAACTCTTGAAGATTGTCAGTTTTTGAAATAACCACTGTATTCATTGACATTCTTTTTTCATACTAGGTTCGGAACGAATTTTTTCAAGCTCATTTCGCTCCTTCGTGGCTCTATAAGACACCAATCGATACTAAATCTGTCTCTTTTCCGGGTGTTTTTCAAATAGTTCCATTTTGAAAACAGTGGAGAATTGCACAAGTTTTTGGGCTAAAGTTGATCTCGTGAATCAAATTTCACTACCTCTCATTTGATTTAATTTAAGATCGTTTGACCATTGAAGGGTTTTATGAAGACAAAGAACTAGAAAAAGACTGCTTTTTTGAAGATTTTGACCAGGGATGGTTGAGAAAGGATTTCGATTTGAAAAAAAAGACGGACGGTTCGAAGAACTTACAGCTCCTCCCCGACGATCCCTGCGGATCGCAACCTCGTAGGCCGTCGTTCCATGGCCCCTCAAAAGCTGATTCCATTCGAGGAACGAGGCCAGCTGTAATGTAGCCAAGTCAGCGAAATCAATCAATATCCGTCAATATTTTTCAGTCATAATTGATCTTTCAGAAGTAAATGACAAGTCAACAATATAAATGTGATGATCTTTCTTGTTGATCACTGGACTTATCCCTGTATAGGATTCCCAGAAGTTTTGAAAATTCTCAAAATATCTCTACACCCTGCATTTTCAATCACTAAGTCGTTAGACTAGCCCTCCTTCGTGAGAATCGAAATTCCCCTTTTTCTCCTTAAAAAATTCTGGAACTGCTCCGAGTAAGTTCCTTGCAGAAATATTGAAGCCGAGTCGAAAAAACTAACGTTTTCGACCTGGTGCGGCGCAAGGCGCACTGAGTGGGTTGGAGGCGGCTGTAAAAACAAATCAGTTTTCTTTTTTGCAGTGGAATTTTTGAATTTGATAATTTTCGAAGGATAAGGGCGTGCCTCAACTTTTTGAGGTTTCTGAGAAAGTAGGCCCTCTAGTTTTATTAACTCTTTCTTTTCATAGCATCTAGAGAAGTTTAGAGATTTTTCAGTAACTTCAACGTTTTCGGATTTATTTACCAAAAAAGACATCTGTACTGACCAGGACTACAAATCGGTCAAGGAATAACAATTGAAAGAATATGCAAAATTCAAGACAATACATAAACTGGGTTCTTTCAAAGACCTTTGTGAAAGATATAGATTCATTGAAAAAAAGTCCCAAAGTTCAGTCAAAACGGCAAGGTTCAAATATATCAAATTCGAGATAATCGAAAAGAGACACGAGATATTAAAAATTGAATCATCTATTTGAAAATGACCTGGGGACACGTTTTCATCCCAAAGATGATAAAACGATGCTACACGTTTCATTTTGAATTAATATTTCTGGAATGTCTACTTTTCAAATTATTTTTATAGCAACGAACGGATTTTTCAATCATTTGAACTTTTTGCAAAGGATTGTTTTGAGTAAACGCCTATATTTTAAAGACTTATATCGATATTTCTGCCTTTTTTCATTGAAACATTGTCTTCATATGGCTGAAAGCCTTTCTGAACCCTGAAATATTGCAATCGAATCGAAAACTAACCGGGTCATGGGCGTCATCTGCTTGTGGAGGCCTTTGCCTTCCTTGGTCTTGATGGCGACTTTCGTCGCGTGTTGTTTCGTCCATACGGACTGAAAAAATCATTTTTGTTAAAAATAGATCTGAAGAAAATTCAGTCTTTTTGAACTAAAATTCTTTCTCCTATCCTAATCTTCTTATAAAACCTTATATCGTCAGATGAAGTCTCAATGAATGAACTCCTAGCGAGTTTCAGGCCTACATACTGCTTCTGAGTATAGATGATATTTATGTTTTCTAAACTTTATGGTTAACCATCATGATATAGTCTGTTCAGATTTCAAATGTCAAGTCGTCGCTTCAAATGTCAAGTCGTCAAGCTCCGCCCCTAATGGTGCGATAAACCAATCAGAGAGCGAGCCATCCACAGAGCGTTTTCGAAGGACGTCATAGACTTGACATTCAAAATCTGAACGGACTGAAAAAATTCCGTCTAGGTTCGAAGAAGTTTTTTAATTGAACATGATATTATCAAAAGAAAAACCTTCGCTTTGGTGAGCCTGGCTCAGTTCGCTGCGTTCTTGGTGAACGGGTTGCTTGCAGACTGTACCTGTAAAAAAAGGATTTGGGAATAAGGATCAAAGAAGAAGAAAGATAGAAAAAAAGCTTTTTAAAATCTACAAGGCTCCTGTTAAGATTTAAGAGACGTCGCGAGAAAATCTCGGAAAAATTAGTTGAGGCTTTATGAATATTATTCTGAGGGGTTTTTTATTAGATCGATTTCATGCAACAAATTGTTTTGAAACGAATAAAATGAAACAAACTTGTTGGTACAGTCGGCTTTTTTTGAAATGCTGAATGATCTTCACGCGCTTCGTGTTTTGTTTTTCCAAGGTTTCTAAATCATTAAGTGAAAGTAATTCTTCCGTCATTAATCCATTTCTAAGTTTGTCACGTTTATTTATTCGTCTGCTAATTTTTGTGAGGACCATTGTAAGATGAAACCTGTGAAAATTTGTGGATATAGTTGAAAATTGAGAAATTTTGTTTCAAAAAAGTTTAGCACTTTTTTGACCCCATGAAGTTGAGTTCAGTAGTTTGTACATAAAAACGTCTAGAAGACTGATATCATAAATGGAATCACTAGAAGGAAATCATCAAACATTTACATCATCTGGAGCTTATTTTTCGGCTCTCACAATCGTTTGCTTCGTATATTCTGTTTTTTCCGATTCGAGAGGACGGGACTTTTCTGTGCCCTCTTCGTCTCACGACGACCATCTCTTCTTGACGCGCTGTTTCCATGATTCTCTGACCTCGCCGGTGAGGGAACAGAGAGATTCAGACACATTTTCAGAATATTCCAGTTCTATATAAAATAAAAATACCTTCCTTGTTCACAAGTCAACGATTCCATAGAAAATTTTTTAGACCGTTCAGTTTTCTACGATTCAACCTTCCCTTGATAGGTAATTCCTGAAAAAAAGCTCTAAACCTTTATAGCCCGAAAAGGCGCACTTCTTCTCTCCATCAAACCCTCTTTCATTCTCTCAACTGTCTTCTCTCATTTTGCACCCAACGGGGAAGAATTTTGAAGAAAACACTTTTTCTTTCAGAGATCGCGCCAATTTTCCGAGTTCTGAACCGTTCGGACAACAACGTCTTCTAGGAAAATCCTGCCTCATTTTGAACAATTATGAAATTTCTGCAATCGTATCACTTTCAAACACTGTTAACAATGATGATGCTACTGATCCTGACTCGGGCTTTTCGAGAAACTTTTGAGGAGACCCTATAGGGACCCCTACGCTCTCCCTATAGGTAGGGACCGCAGGCAGTTTTCTAGAAACCATCAGATTTAAATGATTTTCATATGACCGTGTACTTCATAGTCCTGGCAACTTTTAAAAAAAGAGATCTTGGAAAAATATTGACTCTGAACGAAGTTACAGCCATTAAAGCGCGCGTTTCGCGATTTCAATTCTCTGTAGAAAATTTGGTCGAGGTCGCGAAAAAAGTGGGCGTTGCAAGGGTGCGGCGCGCTCTCAAAGACCAGTAAAAAAATTAGAGAAAAAGTTTCTTGTTAATTTTTTTCGCACTAAAACACACTAATGATAGTTTTTCATTATTGGAAATGATAGAACAATGTCCAAAGATGAGGACCAGCAAAAATAAACACTGAAAAAGAATAAGTTGAACGATTTTCAACGGCAAAAAAAGCAAAATTAATATTTACGGAGTTTTCAATGCTTTTGATGTTCAAAACTGTTAAAATATCATTAGGAAGCATGGATAAACGCAAAATCTCCCTGAAACAAGATTCGATACAGAATTCGGAACCAATAAAAGGTTGTGAATCCATAGAAACACGAATAAATTAATTATTAATGACTTTTATAACCATTCTTGTAGCAATACAGCACTTTTAAATGCGCTCAACTCATTAAAAATCCACTTTTTATGTCTTATTCAGGTGAATTTCCCGACTTTGAACGTGTTTTTCCAGTGGAATCCGGATAGTGGGAGTTTGGCGAGACTAAAATAATTTTTTTTGTTCTGGAAAAAGCATGTGAAGTTCTATTTTGTTTTCCGAATTACATTACTGAAACGTTTTGACTCATTTCAAAAAAAGTTTTACGCTATTTTTTTGCTTTGAAAACATCGCGAATTCGGAATTTTCGTGGGTCGGTGAATGCACAATTTCGCCAACGCGCAAATGCAGGACGCTGTTTTTATTGTTCGAATGAATCAAATTTTGAAAGCACAAGCAGGATTTTTTTCATTTTTGACTATGTTGAAGAAAAAAAGTAATTCAAATCAAAAATAAGAAAAAAATAATTTGCCTACGACTGCTAAAAACACTTTCCCAAGTGTTTCAAAAAAATCAAAAATCAAAACTTATTTTTAAAATTAAGGTTGGAATGAAAGTTTTGTTTTTTATTTTTAAAATGTTCTAAAATTTATAGAGAACAGTTCAAAAAAAATTTTTACGATGTTTCGCGGAAAATGCCAAAGTTCCCGAATTTCGAAAGTTGCGATTTTCCGACGCTTCGATACTTGAAAGCACAAGCAGGAATCTTTTTATTTTTACTTATATGGTGTATTTTTACATGCTTAACAAAATAAGAAAAAAAAATAACTTGCCTACGAGCGGGATTGTAAGTATTCAACGTTTTTCCACTTTTTCGCACAAAGGCGTCGCGAAAAAACGTCATTTTAACCGATCCTTTTTTTATTTACAGCTATTTCTTCTATGTAGAATTGTAGAGCATAGCCGATTGTATGTTTCCCTCAATTTTTTCCCGAAACGGTTCAGGGAAACTGCATAAACAACAATGAAATGTCAAAAATGCAACGAAATATACGACGTTTTTTGGTCAGCGAGGGGGTGTGGCCTTGCGGTCCCTACCTATAGGGGCCTTTAAACCGTGTCGTAGAGGTCTCTTTATGAATCCTAAAAAACGGAAAAAAAAGAAGTCGTCAATTTTTTTTACCTATGAGATAACTCGATTGTTACTACTGTTATGAAGTTTCGAAATAAAAAAAATGGGAGAACCCTATAGGGACTCTTCAGAAACCACTTAGTTGGTAACGCGAAACACGTGTACTCCGGGCGTTTCTGGGCATTTTTAGTGACCACTTTAGTAGCTTCAGAACTCTTAAGTGGTCCCTAGAACCGCCCAGAAACGTCTCTAAACTTTTTTTAAAGTTCATTCGAGCAGTGTCTTTATTTTTTGAACACTCAAAAAATTGCTAAAAAACAACAATCGGAATTTATCAAAACTCGAAAAAAGTCGTAAAAAAGTTCAATGAATGAAAATTTCGGTCATGCGTATTTCCCGCAGATGAAGGGAAGCTGAAGGCTGCACCTGAAAAAATTTGAGCGGGGATTTAAAAAAAAGGAAAATGTTGATTTGTAGGTTTCTCACACTACAAGAAAAATTTTTTTTTAAAAAATTTATTTGCTATAGATTTGCTTTCCGCGTCATGGCGCTTCAAAGCTCGGAACTCGAATGCAAGATCTATCCTAAACATTTTTTGTTCTAAATCAGAAAGTACTGAGCAGTATACTTTAGTCACGTTTCATCAAAAGTTCAACCGGTCACAAATAAACGTACCTTATTAGCATTTCAAAAGTAAATATTTTGTTAAGATTTTAAAAAAAGATACTTGACTTGACGCAGTTCGTGGTCCCAAAGAGAATTGTCAACACTGTACGCCAAGCAACCCTTAGAACTATCTAAGAAAGGCTTCGGAATGCCCAATTTTTTATCTATTATATTCGTGGATGAAACATTGCCGACCCAATCGTAGGTCTAAAGAAAACGAAAGTTTTAGAAAAGCAAGTATACTTTTACGTCAGAACGAAGGCATTCTAAAAAGCTGGGTATTGGTGATAGACATTCCGGTTTCAAACGCGCTCCAATCAGATACTGTTCGTCCGAGTCCGAACTGTTCATCTTGACGAAGTCTGAAGGAGTTCAGATTGTTTTTCACAATAACTCTTGAATGTCAAAGAAAAGCGACATATCAGGGTTCCTAGTACAGCTGATTCACGGCTGACTTGATCCATCGAAATAAGGATCCTGACACGAAAAAAAAGAGAAACTGCCTGGTTGCTGGAGAACACAGATAGGCCACGATTGTTAGCATAACAAGCTAGCTGTGAATAGGCTATAAAAATGCCTTTTGTTCGTTCAGAAGAAAAGATTCATTGAAATTATTGATAAGATCGTGCCCTTGTGCATAGTTTGATGAATGATGTTTCTATTAAGGTTGAAAGAAAAAGTGTAAAACAATGAAATAAGAAGAAAGGTAGAAATTTTTCCCGTTTTTCTCTTATTAGGACATGGCCTCCGCTCGACAAAGAGTTGAGAATTAAGACTTTGTGCGTGAATAGGCCTAGGTAAGAGTACTCAGAATCAAAAATAAAATCCTGCTGAACCCCATAGGCAACCGAGGGGAAGCTCGTCAAAAGTTTTCCAGCGCTCATATGGACAAATGGATTCGAACCATGGTCCCAATATTGACAGTGCAAGACCACAACCACTACATCTCGTCGCCAGTTGCTAGCCGAAGGCTCCGAGCGCGCCCATATACGCGAAGGGAAAATTTCGACGAGCTTTTCCTCGGCTGCCTGTGGGGTTTAGCAAAATTTCATTTTTGATTCCGAGTACTCTTACCTAGGCCTATCCAGCCACAAAGTCTCAATTCTCAAGTGGTTGTTGAGCGGAGACCATGCCCTAGTTAGTGGTCTTCTATTTTGCAACAAGTTGGAACTGAAATCGGTGTACCTTTGAATTTAGCATATTCTTTGTCAGTCTCGAAGCCTGTCAAATGAGCTCTAAAATTGTTACAGATAGCCTGGGCTTGGTCCCAAGTTTGGGAAGTCGTGTTCATCTGAATTTTAAATAATAATATCTCCTCCGAACTGAAAGGTCAACCAATAAACACCAGGTGGTCCCGTCCTCCCGATTTATTGGATACCAATTTTTGGGGCATTCCAGCGGAAACTCTCAAACAGTAACAGTGAGCTTGATAATTGATATTTTACACAACTTTCTTCCACTTTGCAACTGTCGAGATTTTCTTTTTGAAGCAGAATGGTGAAGCTGTATTGATGGTCGTCGAAAGACAGAAAATATCCGTCTGGGTTTTTGTAATAGCTTGCACTGACGTTCTCATCAAACACTGTGCAGTAAGCCTGTAAACTTTATTATTTTTTTATTAAATTTATAAGGTATTCTTACTTGAGCTTTCCTATAGTTTAAAGTTTGGTAAATTTATACCTTCTCATCTTTCTCGAAAATGGCGATGAAACAGTAGATGTCGCCGTGGTCCAAGTTTTTCAAACAGATATCATAACATGGCCACAGATTGTCGCCATCCAACGGAATATTGGTCTTTGAAATTTTCCGCGTATTCAGAAACATAGTCGTGACTTGGGGGGTCATAATCGTGTAGCCGGCGGTGAGAATCTTAGAAAAAATAAGTTTATCGAGAATTTTTTTCATCTAATACCAGTTCGCCTTCAAGTAAGCTTTTTCTCATTGAATTTTGTTCAAAAAAACATTCAAATTAAATTTTTCTTCTTGATTTGGGGAATTGAAAGAAAGATCTCACAAAAAAATTTCTTCTAACTATGGAACGTTTTTATCCCCCACTCGAAAACGAGGTCTATTGCGTGAAATTTTTTTCTTAAAAAACGCTCCCTAGTAAGAAGGGGGCAAGACACTTAATAAATTAGTTGAATCCCTGAGTTTGTTTCATATAACGAACTTGATACAATTCGGAAGTTTCCCCATTTTTTTTTTTCGAAATTTGAGCAGAAACTTATGTTGAAGGAAGTCCAATGTCAACGCAAAAGTTGGAAACTCATAAACGGAGATGAATCAAATCCCATTTGACTTTGATAAATGTTCTTTGAAAAGAACAAACCGGAAGAACAGCTAGCCAGATCCAAAGGAGCATTTCCAGTTGAAAAAGGGATTTTTGCCTGGTTTCTGGCAGTTGGCTAGTAACCGTTTTTACTGCTTTGACGGATATTCCCGTGGGCTATAACTTTGAAAAATCGCCCATCAAGAAAATAAACATGTTGTAGTCGTTGTTACTGTAACTTCTAACAGAAAACAAATTCTTTGATTTTATAGACCTCGAGATTAATGTAGTCAGGGAGTGCTTCTGTATCCCAGTAGATTTGAATAATTTTTTTCTGGAAATTGGCGCCTTAAGTACAGCCTGGTCGGCGAGAAATGAAACTTTTCGAGTGTCTGCGTCTCTCCGTTCTCTCATCGGCGAGGTCAGAGAAACATGGAAACATTACGTAAAAATGAGAGTTTTGCTGAGAGACGAGGAGGGTGCAGAGAAGTTAGGCCCTTTAAAGTCACCAAAAACGGCCTATTGGGTTTGGCCTATTGGTCCAACGTTATTCAAAATTGCTTGAAACGCTTCGAAAATTTGTTTTTTCTTTTCTTATAGACGATTTTCTTTTTACCTAACCCCATTTTCAAAAAATATCGCCAGAATAGCGCATAAGTTTGTGTGTCAAATCGTTAGGGTGATCAGATTTCAATTCTGATCTTTTTGTTCCCTCGAAATATTTTCTGATTTTGCTGATGATTTAAGTTCGGGCATGATTACAAAAAAAAACGCGTTTATAAACTTCTCATTCCAAAGTTTACCTCTGTGTATCGAACACTTTTTGATACGTTTCTCCTTCCTTTTAAAATGACTTTTCCTTCTGTATTTATTGGTACCAATGTTGTTTGAACAAACTAGTTTATCTCTTAAAAAACTGTGGTAATCGAAACAGAAAAATAGTTCAAATTGGATGCTTTGAAGCAATGGTCAGGCGTACATCCCACAAATGAAGCCGAATCCAATGGTGCATCTAAAATTGAGAGTTTTTTCGGAAAAATAAGGTTTGAACTAGGTTTACTTGACGTCACTCAGTGTTTCTGGAGTAGGATCTTGAGGCTGTGTTTGATTCCCGTGAGTATAGGTCACGCAGTTGTCTGCTGCAACCGACGGGGTCCAAGCCCAGTCTGTATTGTTGATTATGTTTTTCGATGAGACGTTTCCCACCCATTCGTAGGCCTGAAAAAAGGCAGACAACTTGCAATATTGATCAATTTTCAAGCTGTCTTCAGCTCTAGATTTATCCTTCGAAATGATGTAAGTCTAGATCTATACTGATGCTTGAATGATATAGCCGATTCACGACTGGATTGCGACACTAAGAGGGCGTAGCCTGTCTGCGCTCTCCACAAGCCAGGCACTGTCTCGTGCATTATCGTGTCAAGACTCTTTTTTTGATGACTCAGCCGTGAATCAGCATTAGCTTGAAACGCTGTTTCCACTCGTTAACGCGAAATGGACGTTTCTGAGCTTTTGTAGGGAATACTAAAGGGTACTAACGCCACTAAAGAGGCTACTAGGAAGGCTCAGGAACGTCCGGGACCCGTTCGGTTGGCGTTACCAAAGTTTGAGGCGAAATCTTGAAGAAACCTTCCGAAAAATCCTTTTTACTCTCATTAGCGGACTTGGAGACCTAGTTTTGAAAAAACATCACACAAGTTCAGACACATATGTTCCCAAATTCTTCCTACATCTATTTCGTGAATTCTAGTACTTGTGTGTGAGAAATAAAACACTTTGATTGTTGATTGATCTCTTTTTTTCCTAAAAAATAAAACTTATATTTTGCGTACATTTTTCCCTGCGCATGGTCCTTCTTGATCAGTATCGTTCTCTCTGACACATTCCTGTCTCACTCGCGCTCCGATAAAGTACTGGGAGAAAGTTTGATTGGACGTGCTTTTAACATAGTCTGAAAAACATCATAATTAAATATTTTCTCCGCCTCCTCCCTTTTTTCAGACTTTTTCGCTAACAAAGAGAGGATCTACGTCCACATTTTCAAAGTTTAGATCGAAATAGCGAGATTTTCCAATTCAGAAAACTAGATACACTGCGACCCATAATTATAGACCCACCCTAATTTCTCCGATTTTAAGAAAGATTGAAAAACTTTGAGCCACCAAACTTTTTTTGTGATAAACCTTGTTGATAAGGAACATAATCATATCATAATTATCAATCACCCAGTTGAAAAGTTTTTCAAGATACGAGAAAATCTGATTTTTGACCGACCCAGAATTATAGACCCACCCCAGAGTTTTTCCGAGTTTTTCGTTTCAGGTAACACGTTTTTTTCCTGTTTTTTTCAGTGGTATATAAGAGAAAAAAGTCCTCGTGTATCACTATAAGCCATAATGCCTAAATCTACTCAACTTGATAATACCGAAAAAAAGCGGTAATCGATGCTCTACTCAACAACGGCTTGTCCCATCGGGAAATCGCTTGTCAGACGGTTCGCTCAAGACGAACTATTGACCGTTATGCAAGGAATCCGCAAGAATACGGCACAGCAATACATTCTGGACGGCACAGGCTGCTATCGGTTCAAGCTGAACGAGACGTCTGTCGAAAAGCATCAAACTCTCCGAAGTCCGCCAACCAAATCAGATCCGAAATTCCTGAAAACGTCTCGAAGAACACCATCTTACGAACAATTCATCGGTCCGGTCGACTTGTGAATACTCCAATGAAGGCAGCACCTCGTCTACAGCAACGCCATAAGAATGAACGGCTCCAGTTTGCACGCTCTAACATGGCCACGGATTGGAATAAGGTATCAATGTTTTCTATCACCTTATGATTCCCAATTTTTCTGTTCAGATCATCTTCAGCGACGAGAAGAAATTCAACCTTGATGGGCCAGATGAGTACGCTCACTACTGGAGAGATTTGAGGAAAGATCCGATGTACTTCTCCAAGAGAAACTTCGGCGGCGGCAGCCTCATGGTCTGGGCGGCTTTCTGCGGCAACGGGACGGTAGCTCTTTCTTTTTTTGGGACCAGAACGAACTCGCAAGACTACCAGCAACTGCTTGCCCAGCATCTCCTGCCCTATCTCCGTCGCCGACGACGTGCTAATATGATTTTCCAACAAGACAATGCATCTGTTCACGCGAGCAACTCCACATTGGCTTGGTTTGCGGCCAAGAACGTGGTTCTTCTGGACTGGCCCGCGTGCAGTCCTGACCTCAACCCTGTAGAGAATTTATGGTCAGTCCTTGTACGAAGGGTCTACGCGAATGCCAAGCAGTATACAACGGTCAACGATCTGAAAAAGAGCGATTCGTGCCGAGTGGGATGGTTTGGACAAGTCACTGCTGCAATCACTCGTTGGCAGCATGCCAAACAGGATTTGCGAAGTCGCTCAGAAACAAGGAGGCATCACATTATTAATTAATCTTTTTGTTATACTTTGTTGACTTTGTGAAATGAATTTTGTTGATTTTTTATAGTGGGTCTATAATTCTGGGTCGGTCAAAAATCAGATTTTCTCGTATCTTGAAAAAAACTTTTTCAACTGGGTGATTGATAATTATATTATGATTATGTTCCTTATCAACAAGGTTTATCACAAAAAAAGTTTGGTGGCTCAAAATTTTTTTCAATCTTTCTTAAAAATCGGAGAAATTAGGGTGGGTCTATAATTATGGGTCGCAGTGTATA